TCTGGTAGTGATGATAACTCTATTCGTCTTTGGAATGTAAAAACATCAAAGGAAATACTCCAATCAGATAGCAGCTATAAAGATTTGCTTTCCTAGTTCAACATACCTCTTCAGAATAGCTCCTTATTGCCAAATGGTATTTATTATTCATTATTATTTAGTTAATCCAGATTGTACAATACTTAGAATCTGTTAGAATCCTTTGTTCTAAGCATCAGGAACACTTATCTTATAAGGACAATTCATTAATCATTAAGGGAAAGATTTAAAACCATTGTTTAAATCCAAAGGAAGTTGCTTTTTAGAAGACTTAAAGCAAAAGAAGTGAATTTGAATATTCATTAAAAACATTGCAATTATAATTTTAATCAATTTTTTATAACTTTTTGAATAACATGTGTTTTTTGTTACTATTTAAATAATAATATTAAGATGTCAGAAACAACGGTTATAAATTAATATTTATAGAAGTACAATAAACTATTAAATTTATAATATAAACAGAGTAAACAGGTTTAGGTCCTAATAATGATTACTAATAGTTTAGTATAATTTAGATTTTCAGTTTATAATAAAGATAATGATACATTTAAGAACATCTTAAATGAAACAAAGTTAAAACATTGGAATTGAATGATTTTAAAAATCACTCTACTCTAATCTTGGTAATATTTTCGTAACCTTTTACTTATTATTTTCAATTGATATTAAAAGTATTAGAGAGAATAAAGGACATAAAAGATATATGAATCATCAATAAGTATTCCAACCCCTAATAAAATTTAGATATCTTAATTATCTCCATCCCTAACAATAATCTTAAATAAGCTCTATATGAATTACATCCAAAGTAGCTACTTTCAATAATAATTTTGCATATAAGGGAACAGTTATTAATCATTAAGATAAGGACTATGTAATCTTATCTCAAGCTGATTTTTTTTACAAATTAATTAATATCTACACAGCGAGAATATCAGCATAAACATAATGGATAATTTTTAAAAAATAACAAAATTAACCTTCTCTATAACTTTGAGTTAAACCCTATTAGACAATAAATTTTTAGAATTAAATTTATTGATATAACATAAATGTATTATTTTCTCTAAAAGAGTTTTAACGTTATGGCATAAACAGTAAGAAAGATAGAGCAGTTGTTATAACAAAAGGTTATCGTTCTATTTTAACATAAATTTCGTTATATCCATTCGATGAATAATTATCTTCATAAATAATCTTTTGGAAATATAGACATCATTTCTAAATTATTTAAAAACTAGCTTGTTGTTTATACAAAAAGTTTATAATTTAATAAGTCTCCCTTATATTAAATTCAAAGTGATAATTTTTTAAACACCCCCCCTAAAGATTTTGATATAATGCCTATTCCAAATTAAGCTGTAGAATTATTTTCATTTATTAAAATACATTTTTCATAATATTGTTGAGCCTACTAATAAGAGTGTTAATTTTATGCGTTTAATTTCTTAAATGATTCTTTAAAATATCACCTAAATAATATAGTAATCTAGTACCCATTTTCAATAAGGAGAGCTCATGTTTTGGGTTAATTTTAATTATATGTGTGTATATCTATTAAGCAACTTCTTACTTATTAAATTAACTTAATGAGTTCGCTTAAAATAATAATTATTATTAACTTTTTTAATACATAATTTCTACATTATAAATAACTTATCAAAGAGTTGAATTGCTTCATTTTATTAATTTCTAATGTTTAAAGAGATACCTATAATAATATAAAACAAATTAAACCTTTTTGATATTAATCTTTATTAAATTTAATCTATTAATCAATCAGCTAATAGTAAATCAGATGTAATTATAATTTAATAAAAAGATCATCTGAAATTTTTTCAAATTTGGATTAAATGTTGGTTAAATGGCTGAAATTCAAATCGAATCATAAAGAATCAAGTGCCTGTTGTACTTAATATGGTTTTAATTTATTATCTTCTAATCCACAAAACTTATATGATAAACTAGACATAAGTTGTTTAAAATTAAATTTGACATTCTGAAATGAGACCATTAGAAAGTTATGACTTTTGAATTAAAAATTAATCTAATTCATCAATACTAAGGACATCTTCAGTATAATGTTAAGCATGTTTATTCTACTTTTGACAATAAAGACAGAAAATTCGATCCTCACTGCAAGCATTTGATTTACACCGAAAAAGTACAGGTTTCTCGGGATGATCTTTACATTTAAAATCTTAACTCTATTAGTTTTAATTCATTGTTTTATTATTAATTAATTTTATTAATTCACAAACCATTTAAATATATTTTATCATATATATTAATTTAATTAAAATACCAAGCAAAACATCAACATGCACATTTAATTAAATATTTCTGTAGATCTGGACTCTTTAAATTTAGAGAACTTCAGAAAAGTTGTGTATTAAATAAATTCAAGATTTTCTATTCTAGAGTGAAATTAAGCATATTAGTGATGAATACTACAAATTTTAACATAAACCTTTGTGCTCAATTTATTTAGAATAAATAGGGCATAGAGTCTTTGATAATTAAAGCTCTCTTTATAAATTAATTTTAAATAGAAATATAAGTAATTAACCAAAAGAGTATCAATTCTGTTCTTATAAAGTCCAAATAACACCCAATCATTTTAAGCATGGCTTTGTACATTACCTCTACTTACTTGAGTGATGTAAACGCTTAAAAATATGTAATATAATAAAATATTATTGATGTCAAATTGCTATTATCAGTAGATTCTACCCCAAGCATTTTTACATCCTGTAAGATAAACATCAATTTGCAGAGTATTAGCCAATCTAATTCAATAATACTAAAGAATTCTCTGTGAAACTTTAAGAAAATGAATTACATAAAAATAAAAACAATTCAATGATGCTAGAGTGGAAGGAAGGAATATTCTTTTGGTTTTAGAATAGAAGTAGAATTATTTAAAAGCTTCATGATAAATGACATCTGAAATTTATTACCAAAATCTACGTATGAATTGTTACATTTACTGAGTTTATCTGCATTTCTAGGCCAACATCAAACAGCCAGATTTATATTAAGAAATAAGTATTCTAAATAATAAAACAAAATTTTAGGTTACAAAAGATGAGCTTTTAGGAGATTTTACATCTAAATCATCCGATATAAAGGCCATAAATCATGGCTAAACTGAAGAGAGAAAAAGGAAGAATTCATAGAGATCAAAAATTATTTAAGTTACAACATAATTGGAGTATTATTAAAATATTAGAGATTCTATGTTAAAATTGTAATAACATTTAATTTAAGAATGAGTTTATTTATTAGTTTTTAAATCTTAATTCAAAAAAAAGAGCAATAACCAATTCCATTGTATTCTACAATATATATTGAAATTTGTATTATCGAAATAACCTTGTATGAATCCAAAACAAGGATTTGTTTTGAATCAGATTTTTTTAAATAAATCAAAAACTTAAAACCAAAATAGTATGATTTATTTTATCAAGTGAAGAGCAGCAGTATATAATTTTTCATTGATACCTAGTGATGAATTAATGAAAACTATGTGTACATTCTAACTTTCCTTTACAATTTTTCCAGTGAATTTATCNGGGATGATCTTTACATTTAAAATCTTAACTCTATTAGTTTTAATTCATTGTTTTATTATTAATTAATTTTATTAATTCACAAACCATTTAAATATATTTTATCATATATATTAATTTAATTAAAATACCAAGCAAAACATCAACATGCACATTTAATTAAATATTTCTGTAGATCTGGACTCTTTAAATTTAGAGAACTTCAGAAAAGTTGTGTATTAAATAAATTCAAGATTTTCTATTCTAGAGTGAAATTAAGCATATTAGTGATGAATACTACAAATTTTAACATAAACCTTTGTGCTCAATTTATTTAGAATAAATAGGGCATAGAGTCTTTGATAATTAAAGCTCTCTTTATAAATTAATTTTAAATAGAAATATAAGTAATTAACCAAAAGAGTATCAATTCTGTTCTTATAAAGTCCAAATAACACCCAATCATTTTAAGCATGGCTTTGTACATTACCTCTACTTACTTGAGTGATGTAAACGCTTAAAAATATGTAATATAATAAAATATTATTGATGTCAAATTGCTATTATCAGTAGATTCTACCCCAAGCATTTTTACATCCTGTAAGATAAACATCAATTTGCAGAGTATTAGCCAATCTAATTCAATAATACTAAAGAATTCTCTGTGAAACTTTAAGAAAATGAATTACATAAAAATAAAAACAATTCAATGATGCTAGAGTGGAAGGAAGGAATATTCTTTTGGTTTTAGAATAGAAGTAGAATTATTTAAAAGCTTCATGATAAATGACATCTGAAATTTATTACCAAAATCTACGTATGAATTGTTACATTTACTGAGTTTATCTGCATTTCTAGGCCAACATCAAACAGCCAGATTTATATTAAGAAATAAGTATTCTAAATAATAAAACAAAATTTTAGGTTACAAAAGATGAGCTTTTAGGAGATTTTACATCTAAATCATCCGATATAAAGGCCATAAATCATGGCTAAACTGAAGAGAGAAAAAGGAAGAATTCATAGAGATCAAAAATTATTTAAGTTACAACATAATTGGAGTATTATTAAAATATTAGAGATTCTATGTTAAAATTGTAATAACATTTAATTTAAGAATGAGTTTATTTATTAGTTTTTAAATCTTAATTCAAAAAAAAGAGCAATAACCAATTCCATTGTATTCTACAATATATATTGAAATTTGTATTATCGAAATAACCTTGTATGAATCCAAAACAAGGATTTGTTTTGAATCAGATTTTTTTAAATAAATCAAAAACTTAAAACCAAAATAGTATGATTTATTTTATCAAGTGAAGAGCAGCAGTATATAATTTTTCATTGATACCTAGTGATGAATTAATGAAAACTATGTGTACATTCTAACTTTCCTTTACAATTTTTCCAGTGAATTTATCAACTCAAAGCAACTTATCATTTTCACTCTAGGAAGCATTTAATTATAACTATTTTATATGGAATTGTAATAATAATATTAGTTAATTTGTATAAGTAATCCATTCTTCTCATTTTTTCTCACATAATATACTAGAATTAATTATACTATATAAAAATGTTACGATTTTTCGCAACTAATGAAAATAACTCCTCATTTGATATCTAATTATAATGCAGATTGATAGTATGTAAACTTAAATTAAAAGCAACTGTCATTTATCTAGAAATTTTAATTCTTATGGGTTGCTATTGTATTTATTATAATTGCCATTACAACTAAATAGATAAAATCAGCTTTTTTAATCATAATCAATTATGAACATGAGATCTTAATACATTGATTTTAGAAATTCGAATGAAAATTTACAAAATTATTAATTTTTATATAATTGAAATAGATTATAGAAAATGCTTCTTTTGAGTAATTTATCATTATTTTAACCATTCTTATTTATGGTTTAATAAAAAAAGAAATGTGTTAAGAGAAAAATTGTCAACTAAAAACTTCATACAACTCAAACTTCTAAGTCAGAAGATTCCTACCTCCTCCTTACTATATCTAGAAAATATTAGCAGTATTATTTCTTAAAGATAGCAGACGCTTTTTGAATTTTCATTTAAGGCAAACATGTTTCAAAAAGTAATTTTGGCAGTATGTAAGATTATTTCCTACTTATACTGCTCCATCTGAACTTAGAAAAGAGCTCAAGCTTGAGTTCAGAGTGAAGTGCTCTTTCTAGTTTGCAGAAAATCCTAACTTATTACAAGATTATCAATAGAGGTAGTATAATTCTTAAATGATTTTGACAATGCTTTGTTTGCAAACTAATTTACTTTTTTGGAAATATTCTTATATAATCCAGGATAGTAATTTAGTAAAAATACAAATATAACGGTTGAAGTTCAAATAATTCACAAATAGAATGTTTTACATTCTAACCTTATATGCATTATTTTTTCAAATATTAAGATGACCCAGATCATTTTATTTCTTTATACTTTAATTTTAATTTTGATTAAAAATTCATAACACTACAACTCAAGATTAAATTAAATTTTAGAATTTTTATATTTTGTCTTAGAGAATTATATATTTATTCAAAAATACAAATGTACAATTTATAATTTTAATATTCTGTTACTTTATTGTGCTAGATGATGGATCCTGAAACATAATGAAAGTTTATAGATTTCGAATATTATTAGGAAATGTATTTATACATGAAAAACCTAAATAGGATTAGTTATAATCAAATGGTAATTTTAATTCTTATATAAGATTAGCTGATTTAGATGAATTCTACACTATCAATAAAGTTGAATAACTCGAGACTATTAAATCCATAATTAAAATAGAATAGAGAATTTTTAAAACTCTTTCCGAAAATATTTGAAAATTAGGGATAGCCTCCTCCTATTTTTAGGTTTTATTATATTAATATTACTTTGTTGACCCAAATGAATGTACTAATTTGGGCCCTCTGATAAATTACTTTTGAAATAGCATAAGTAATAATAATTTAGAGATTCAAAATACGCGTATTATTTTCACTTAGTTGCAAAATCAGCCTAAATTAGTAGCCTCAAAAATTATTTTCAGTCCTGCACTGATTTTATAATTAGTCCTTTTAACTAAAGTCTGATACTAACATTAATATTAATAAATAGTTTCTACTTTCCATATCAACTATTTATGATTCATTATTCATTAGAAAAATAATTAAATAATAGAATACTAATTATTATTATATAGTATAATCATAAATTATTACATCTGATACTAGGGGTATATATACCTCTAGAAGAATTTAAAATATAACTTGCTTAAATTAATCTACCAATCCCTATCCTACCCTTCCTTAATTTTGGACCTTGACTTAAAAATTGTTTAATTTCATCATAAAGGACCAAAGATAAAGCAGATCTGCTTTCAAAAAAGGATTATGAGAGAGCTCCTTTGAAAAAACTTTTTAATCCTTTTTTATTAAGAATCTAAACTGCGCAATCTAAAATTATTTTATAATGAATATTAGAACTTCCTTTTTAATTAATAATGATCCAAATCTACTTTATTGCAATAGCATTCTTCTTCTGATTATATTAAATGGGGATGACATGATACTAGAAGTACAATGTATGAAGTAAGCAACAATAAATTTTACACCAACATTGCTCATCATTGAATTTTTGATGATTTCCAAAGCTGAAATTCTCAATCCTCTATTTAATCCCTTCAAGCCATCTGACTTATATATCTTCCTCACACAATCTTTCAAACTATTGAATTACCGGTCCACTTTATATTAATTATCTATAACTAATTTATTCCTTGCAAATGAATATGGATAAATCAGTAGCAAAGTTGTTCCACCAGCTGCACCTCCCCGATAGCATATTTACTAAGAAAAAGTTTAGTTTCTCCCTTTTTGGATCTTAACTGAATGAAGAATCAATTATCTTTAAATAAATTAAATTATTCTTATCTTTCATAAAAACCTAAATATTTTAACCTAGAACATATGATTTTAATAAGCCTTTCTTCCCTTAATTAAATAACAGATATTTCTTTTAAATTTTAATCAACTTAACATTGATGCACAGATAATATTGGCAAAACCTTTTTTTTGTTCTATCTTAACTATTTAAAGGTTCCATATTATTATAATGCAATAAGCAGCAGTTTAGTAAATAAAGTTTTAGGAAAAACCCTTCAAATTTTACATTTGAATAATTGCTGAATAATATATATAATTGGCATATTTTAATTTCCCATAGTCTATTGAATCTCAAAAGGAAGTTGAAACATGAGATATCATTCAACTTCTTTTCAGTTTACTCTATATAACTTTGATTAATTTAAGCAATGTTATCATTAAAATTTATTAACTCCGAATAAATAAACAATTCCTCTGATAAATGTGATTATTCAAATTTTCTATAAAACTTGGACTATTATAAACCTGTTTGATATCATTTATTTTTTTTTCCAATCTTAGAGATTTTCTATTATTTTTTGTAATCTCCAAGCATTTTTGTTTTACTCTCTTTAATTGATGATAATATCTATTCTAAGCCTTCAAATTCTGTATTAACTGAATTTGTAAACTTTAAACTAAAAGGATTGATTTCAACTTGTTCCTTTATTGTCTAATGAAATTTTAGTGAAGTAGCATTGATAACGGCTTGTGAAATTTATTCAACTGAATATTAATCTTTTAGTGAAACCTAAAAAGTTTTATAATTTTCTAATGAATCAATCCGTACCAAATTATCCAAATGTGTTCCTACCACAATGATAGGAAATTTATCTTTAGGATCTAACTGGCGATATTCTAAAAAACTGTTCACCCACTTCTAGAGTGATTTTGGCCCAAATTGATCAGTTAAATCATTAACTACAACACAAACAATCAGCTCTTTTATATATTGATTAGTTGATGGTTTAGAATTTTCCTTATCCTGATATATCCAAAAACTAAAAGTACCATTGAGAGATGTTACATTTAAATAGTACTTAGAATTTTCAACTTTGATTTCCTATTTTGTAATATCTATGCCTAAGGTAGTACAATGTGATTCAGAGAAACCGTTATTAATAATTTAATTTATAAGTGTTGTTTTGCCAACCCTAGATATGAATTTAGAGATTTATATATACCCATAATCACCAATTAGTAGAATATTGAATCCTTTCTTTTCTTCTATTAACATATCAAAAATAATACAATTATCTAATTTATATAAACTATATTTAGATAATGGTATAAGAAATCTTTAATTAGCATATTGTTTTTTTCCAATTATTATTGATTGAATTTTAACTCATTTAACATTTATGGCAACGAATTAATTTAAAGAGATCATATAAATACAGATCAATTTTGAAGTCAATTTTATGGATGGATAAGGAAGAAAACAATGTTGATGTTAAAAATTAAGGGAATCAATTTATAATGTAAGTGCATTATATGGGGAATTATAAATAAGAAAAAAAAGTTGCTAACAATAAGACTAAACCTAAATTTATTAAATTGAAAATGTCTATTTAGTTAGTTATGTTTTTATTCCTTATGTTAAATAAGTTTTGATGGCATTGATAAATTTAATTGAATTTAATTTAAATTGGACAAGCATTAATTAATTTTTTTAGAGAAGGATAAATTCAGTGATTTCATATCAATTAAATTCTCATCACAAAACCATAATATCCAAGTTAAAACTTTTTAATATTTTCTGTATTATAAATAGTTGAGAAGTATTAGAGTGATAATTGAGTGATATTTGCTAATTTATATGTTTTTTGATGAGTAATTGCAGATTATCAAATAGTTTTAAGAATCAATTGTAAGATTGATCATGTCTATTCAATAATAATTATTTTGATTTAATATATTATTCTGGAAATAATGCATTACTATCATTTCCTTGATTAACAGTAATATGTTAACTCATCTCATAAAACATTCATCGAAATATTCTTTAATTGCTTATGATCAAACCCAACAATTTTTATTATTAATTTGACCAAATTGAAATATTGCCATTTAGGTAGTATCCAGATAGGAACTAATTAGATTTTTCAAAATTTTAATTGAAACACATATCCTAATAGTTAATCTAATACATGAATTTATTTAAACATTTCTTATTTTAATTTATTGATTACTTCAGCTTTATTTTTCAATTTTATTAATTCTTATTTAGACTGCCACTTGAAAAGATTGCATCTTTATACAAATGAAGAAAAAATCTAAATCCATTTAGCAATACCTGCTTAAAGCAAATGTTTTTGTATGCAAACTAACTTCATGGTAAAGCATGGGAATTTGTTCCATAATTTTACATTAATTGAATAAGTTATAAATATGTTTTTTAATGTTGGTAGAAATTTATTGAAAATATAAATATATTAGTAAACTAAGTTTTTCATAAATCAGTAATATAAAATACTCTCTTTTGATGTGAAAACGTATGCTTCCGAACTATAAATATTAATAAACTGTGCTATTTTAATTCTTATTTTATTATTCTTTTTCTCTTCATTTGATAAACTTTAAGAAAATTTTGGCCAATACAACATTATGTTTGAAAAAATACTATATTTAAATTTAAGCATTTCGATGAAATACTGATTATCACAATATTTAATCTAATGGCAGAGGTCCCCAACTCCATATTCCAAAGAAATTTTTGACATCTGTTAGATACCATCTGCCTTTAAAGCCTTCCAATAACTTATTAGAAGTTCCTTCCAACACTACAATTGATAATTTGCAACACGATCTTTGTACATATCTACATCTCTATGATTATATTAAATAAATTTTCCAAACATTCTAATAGAATTTAACATGCCCATTATAATATACACCATGTTTTTTCAAGTTTATTTCAATAAAATGTTTATCAAGCTTCTAGTTGTAATTTAGTTGCACATTCTANGGAATCAATTTATAATGTAAGTGCATTATATGGGGAATTATAAATAAGAAAAAAAAGTTGCTAACAATAAGACTAAACCTAAATTTATTAAATTGAAAATGTCTATTTAGTTAGTTATGTTTTTATTCCTTATGTTAAATAAGTTTTGATGGCATTGATAAATTTAATTGAATTTAATTTAAATTGGACAAGCATTAATTAATTTTTTTAGAGAAGGATAAATTCAGTGATTTCATATCAATTAAATTCTCATCACAAAACCATAATATCCAAGTTAAAACTTTTTAATATTTTCTGTATTATAAATAGTTGAGAAGTATTAGAGTGATAATTGAGTGATATTTGCTAATTTATATGTTTTTTGATGAGTAATTGCAGATTATCAAATAGTTTTAAGAATCAATTGTAAGATTGATCATGTCTATTCAATAATAATTATTTTGATTTAATATATTATTCTGGAAATAATGCATTACTATCATTTCCTTGATTAACAGTAATATGTTTACTCATCTCATAAAACATTCATCGAAATATTCTTTAATTGCTTATGATCAAACCCAACAATTTTTATTATTAATTTGACCAAATTGAAATATTGCCATTTAGGTAGTATCCAGATAGGAACTAATTAGATTTTTCAAAATTTTAATTGAAACACATATCCTAATAGTTAATCTAATACATGAATTTATTTAAACATTTCTTATTTTAATTTATTGATTACTTCAGCTTTATTTTTCAATTTTATTAATTCTTATTTAGACTGCCACTTGAAAAGATTGCATCTTTATACAAATGAAGAAAAAATCTAAATCCATTTAGCAATACCTGCTTAAAGCAAATGTTTTTGTATGCAAACTAACTTCATGGTAAAGCATGGGAATTTGTTCCATAATTTTACATTAATTGAATAAGTTATAAATATGTTTTTTAATGTTGGTAGAAATTTATTGAAAATATAAATATATTAGTAAACTAAGTTTTTCATAAATCAGTAATATAAAATACTCTCTTTTGATGTGAAAACGTATGCTTCCGAACTATAAATATTAATAAACTGTGCTATTTTAATTCTTATTTTATTATTCTTTTTCTCTTCATTTGATAAACTTTAAGAAAATTTTGGCCAATACAACATTATGTTTGAAAAAATACTATATTTAAATTTAAGCATTTCGATGAAATACTGATTATCACAATATTTAATCTAATGGCAGAGGTCCCCAACTCCATATTCCAAAGAAATTTTTGACATCTGTTAGATACCATCTGCCTTTAAAGCCTTCCAATAACTTATTAGAAGTTCCTTCCAACACTACAATTGATAATTTGCAACACGATCTTTGTACATATCTACATCTCTATGATTATATTAAATAAATTTTCCAAACATTCTAATAGAATTTAACATGCCCATTATAATATACACCATGTTTTTTCAAGTTTATTTCAATAAAATGTTTATCAAGCTTCTAGTTGTAATTTAGTTGCACATTCTAATCTTACGCTTGTAATTGAAGCCAAAGGTTCGATGACTAACTTAATGCCCAATTACACCTTTTGTAGAATTTCTAAACCATATTTTAAATTTTATGGAGTTGAATCATTTTCCAATTTGAGATCATTTAAAATTAGATCTCTCCTTTTTTTTTTTCAATTTGATGCAAAGACAATAAAATGTTAAGAAAAGTATAAGGCCTGTTACTGGGAAAATTGTTCCAAAAACTACTCCGAAAATTGTACCACAATCATCGCATTCTTATGATTTTGAATTCCCTACTCCCTCCTACTAAGTTATTCTGAACACCAGAGCAAATAGAATTAAAATTCTAAGAAAATTACTAATAATTTATGTTAATGACAAATTATTATATATATACTATTTTTCATTTAATATAACAATTTTTTGTGAACCACTTTTTTAAATTATATTTTAATTCAATTTTTATCCCTTTTTATTTGCATAAAAATAGGCAATTTCTTTGATATCCGAACCAAGTAAATTATTGATTCAAGCAAAAAAAATAATGTTTTAGTAATTCTTTATGTTTTTATAATTCAAATAATAAATTTCATACTTTTTACAATTAATGTATATATTAAAAGAAATAAGTTATTAAGAATTAGGAACTCAAGTCCTCATTAAGCTCACCTCTTTAAAATTATTATTAATAGGTGGTTTTGATAAAAAAAAGAGCTCTTTATATTAATTATATGACGGTTAGACATATATATTTTTTTTTAATATATATTTATTGCAGATAAAAAAATAAAGTAGTCTCATAATTGTACTAAGATTGAATTCTAATGAAAATAATTCTATAATATCTATAAGAAGTTTAAGCCCATTGAATCTAAAACATTAATCATTATTTGCTAAATTGAAATCTGTATCATAAATTATTTAGTAAACTTCAAATCCTAAGTAAATTTCATTAAATCAATAGTAATATAAAAGCAATTTGCCTTTGAACCAGCAATCTCAGTAGCATTAAATGCAACAAAAGAATTGATTTTAAGGAACAATAATAAATTTGAGATACTGCGATTAGATTTGTTAAGCATATCAAATTGGAAAACTTTGCCACTTTTAAATTTCAAATGAGTTAAAAGCTATTTCCTTGAAATTATTGTGATTAGATGAAAATTACGATTCTTATCTAGTCAAGTATTAATTTAATCTGGCATTAAATTTCATTCTAAACTATAATTAATATGATAATTCAATAAAGAAAGACAATGGGAAACATCGGAATTTAACATCTATTATGAATAGATTAATTATTCCATTTAATAATCTCATTAGATGAAGCTTAACATTGATTTAGTGATATTAAAATATTTTATTAATTAAAGATACATATATCATTTATTCTATTATAATCTGCTTATTTTAGGAAGATGGCACCTTTGGCTTATTAAATCGAATTTTATTTTGTTAATGTATAATTCTTTAACTAAGTTTTAGCGCATATTATGAGTGAGATAATAAATAGATATTGTTAATCAGAATTCAGATATAAAATTAATCAATTAGATTGATTTAAAAAGGAAAATAATGAAAATTTGGTGCAATGTGTCTTTAGAAATACATTATGTTGGCAATATATCATTAAGTTAAAGCAATGAGAATGTTACTATAAGTATATAAATTAAAGATTTTATAGAAGATGAATAGTAAAAAAATCAGTAAAACCATAAGTAATTTATAATTTGTTCAATTTTTATACTAAATTTTAGCGATCTCCACCTTATCCTTCCAAATTACTATCCATATGCCAGCTCTTTTTCCNGTTTTTTCAAGTTTATTTCAATAAAATGTTTATCAAGCTTCTAGTTGTAATTTAGTTGCACATTCTAATCTTACGCTTGTAATTGAAGCCAAAGGTTCGATGACTAACTTAATGCCCAATTACACCTTTTGTAGAATTTCTAAACCATATTTTAAATTTTATGGAGTTGAATCATTTTCCAATTTGAGATCATTTAAAATTAGATCTCTCCTTTTTTTTTTTCAATTTGATGCAAAGACAATAAAATGTTAAGAAAAGTATAAGGCCTGTTACTGGGAAAATTGTTCCAAAAACTACTCCGAAAATTGTACCACAATCATCGCATTCTTATGATTTTGAATTCCCTACTCCCTCCTACTAAGTTATTCTGAACACCAGAGCAAATAGAATTAAAATTCTAAGAAAATTACTAATAATTTATGTTAATGACAAATTATTATATATATACTATTTTTCATTTAATATAACAATTTTTTGTGAACCACTTTTTTAAATTATATTTTAATTCAATTTTTATCCCTTTTTATTTGCATAAAAATAGGCAATTTCTTTGATATCCGAACCAAGTAAATTATTGATTCAAGCAAAAAAAATAATGTTTTAGTAATTCTTTATGTTTTTATAATTCAAATAATAAATTTCATACTTTTTACAATTAATGTATATATTAAAAGAAATAAGTTATTAAGAATTAGGAACTCAAGTCCTCATTAAGCTCACCTCTTTAAAATTATTATTAATAGGTGGTTTTGATAAAAAAAAGAGCTCTTTATATTAATTATATGACGGTTAGACATATATATTTTTTTTTAATATATATTTATTGCAGATAAAAAAATAAAGTAGTCTCATAATTGTACTAAGATTGAATTCTAATGAAAATAATTCTATAATATCTATAAGAAGTTTAAGCCCATTGAATCTAAAACATTAATCATTATTTGCTAAATTGAAATCTGTATCATAAATTATTTAGTAAACTTCAAATCCTAAGTAAATTTCATTAAATCAATAGTAATATAAAAGCAATTTGCCTTTGAACCAGCAATCTCAGTAGCATTAAATGCAACAAAAGAATTGATTTTAAGGAACAATAATAAATTTGAGATACTGCGATTAGATTTGTTAAGCATATCAAATTGGAAAACTTTGCCACTTTTAAATTTCAAATGAGTTAAAAGCTATTTCCTTGAAATTATTGTGATTAGATGAAAATTACGATTCTTATCTAGTCAAGTATTAATTTAATCTGGCATTAAATTTCATTCTAAACTATAATTAATATGATAATTCAATAAAGAAAGACAATGGGAAACATCGGAATTTAACATCTATTATGAATAGATTAATTATTCCATTTAATAATCTCATTAGATGAAGCTTAACATTGATTTAGTGATATTAAAATATTTTATTAATTAAAGATACATATATCATTTATTCTATTATAATCTGCTTATTTTAGGAAGATGGCACCTTTGGCTTATTAAATCGAATTTTATTTTGTTAATGTATAATTCTTTAACTAAGTTTTAGCGCATATTATGAGTGAGATAATAAATAGATATTGTTAATCAGAATTCAGATATAAAATTAATCAATTAGATTGATTTAAAAAGGAAAATAATGAAAATTTGGTGCAATGTGTCTTTAGAAATACATTATGTTGGCAATATATCATTAAGTTAAAGCAATGAGAATGTTACTATAAGTATATAAATTAAAGATTTTATAGAAGATGAATAGTAAAAAAATCAGTAAAACCATAAGTAATTTATAATTTGTTCAATTTTTATACTAAATTTTAGCGATCTCCACCTTATCCTTCCAAATTACTATCCATATGCCAGCTCTTTTTCCGTTTTCATAGTTGCCATGATGAGTTATAGAACCTTGTTCAAACTTTATATATTCAATCCACTTCCCAATTTTAATACTATCAATCTAATCATAATGACCACCAGTACTAAAATAATATTAATGATATAATATAATCTTTTACATCTATTCGTTTGGTTCGCCTTGTGTCTTTAAAACAATATCCCACCTGTCTACCTTTTTACCAAGGTTATATTCACCACAATATAATATTTATAGTTGTTAATTTATGCTTTGATCGAGATAAAACCATTTCCCAATCTTAATGCCATCACCTCTTTCATCATTTAATCCACCACCACTAAAAGTTGATATTCTATTAATATATTTTACATTTATTAATAATTTCCCCTCTACAAATTCCAATGAAGAATAGTCCACATACCAACCTTATTACCATATTTATACTCTCCAGCATAAATTACTTCAAAATTCTTATCATATCTATCACTTATATCAATCCACTTTCCAATCTTAATGCCCTCACCTTTATCATCATATGACCCACCACCACTAAAGCTTTCAATAATTTCTAATACATTTATTCTCCTGAAGCCAAACAAGTGCTCCATCTCCCAATTTTTCTCCCATCTAAATACTCACCATGATAAGTGATTTATTTCTCTTTATAAAATCCTTCATCCAAATCAATCCACTGCCCAACCGTATAAGCATTACCTTCTTCATCATAGCATCCTCCACCACTTATATTTATATGTTAATTAATTTCTTATACATCTATTTTATGGAAGAGAACCGTTTTTATAGTCACCATGATAAGTAATTTGTTTCTGTTCATAGAATTCCTCATCCAAACCAATCCACTTTCCAATCTTAATGCCATGGCCTTCCTCATCATAATAACCACCACCACTAATACAATAATAAAATATTATAAGAGAATTTTACACTTCCTAAGCATAATACTTCAACTACCAATGCCATCTACCAATTTTTTTTTACCGTTTTCATACTCTCCCCTGCAACTGAGTTAATTATCCCTAATTTTATTGATGTCCATAGTTATACCTATCAAACCTATTACCAAATTCAATCAATTTCCCAACTTTCTTTGTTAATCCAATATCAATCTCATAATATGAACCTCCACCACTAAAGGAAAAGTGCTGAAAATACTATTTTTACATATTTTTCCATCCAAAACTTGTATTCCATCTACCAATTTTATTATTATTCTGATAATCCCCCTTCCAAGTGAGTAAACTTGAACTAATAAAAAAATTATATTTAAGGAATAAATACTTCCTAAATCCCTCATTCAATTCAACCCATCTGCCTTATTTANGATGGCACCTTTGGCTTATTAAATCGAATTTTATTTTGTTAATGTATAATTCTTTAACTAAGTTTTAGCGCATATTATGAGTGAGATAATAAATAGATATTGTTAATCAGAATTCAGATATAAAATTAATCAATTAGATTGATTTAAAAAGGAAAATAATGAAAATTTGGTGCAATGTGTCTTTAGAAATACATTATGTTGGCAATATATCATTAAGTTAAAGCAATGAGAATGTTACTATAAGTATATAAATTAAAGATTTTATAGAAGATGAATAGTAAAAAAATCAGTAAAACCATAAGTAATTTATAATTTGTTCAATTTTTATACTAAATTTTAGCGATCTCCACCTTATCCTTCCAAATTACTATCCATATGCCAGCTCTTTTTCCGTTTTCATAGTTGCCATGATGAGTTATAGAACCTTGTTCAAACTTTATATATTCAATCCACTTCCCAATTTTAATACTATCAATCTAATCATAATGACCACCAGTACTAAAATAATATTAATGATATAATATAATCTTTTACATCTATTCGTTTGGTTCGCCTTGTGTCTTTAAAACAATATCCCACCTGTCTACCTTTTTACCAAGGTTATATTCACCACAATATAATATTTATAGTTGTTAATTTATGCTTTGATCGAGATAAAACCATTTCCCAATCTTAATGCCATCACCTCTTTCATCATTTAATCCACCACCACTAAAAGTTGATATTCTATTAATATATTTTACATTTATTAATAATTTCCCCTCTACAAATTCCAATGAAGAATAGTCCACATACCAACCTTATTACCATATTTATACTCTCCAGCATAAATTACTTCAAAATTCTTATCATATCTATCACTTATATCAATCCACTTTCCAATCTTAATGCCCTCACCTTTATCATCATATGACCCACCACCACTAAAGCTTTCAATAATTTCTAATACATTTATTCTCCTGAAGCCAAACAAGTGCTCCATCTCCCAATTTTTCTCCCATCTAAATACTCACCATGATAAGTGATTTATTTCTCTTTATAAAATCCTTCATCCAAATCAATCCACTGCCCAACCGTATAAGCATTACCTTCTTCATCATAGCATCCTCCACCACTTATATTTATATGTTAATTAATTTCTTATACATCTATTTTATGGAAGAGAACCGTTTTTATAGTCACCATGATAAGTAATTTGTTTCTGTTCATAGAATTCCTCATCCAAACCAATCCACTTTCCAATCTTAATGCCATGGCCTTCCTCATCATAATAACCACCACCACTAATACAATAATAAAATATTATAAGAGAATTTTACACTTCCTAAGCATAATACTTCAACTACCAATGCCATCTACCAATTTTTTTTTACCGTTTTCATACTCTCCCCTGCAACTGAGTTAATTATCCCTAATTTTATTGATGTCCATAGTTATACCTATCAAACCTATTACCAAATTCAATCAATTTCCCAACTTTCTTTGTTAATCCAATATCAATCTCATAATATGAACCTCCACCACTAAAGGAAAAGTGCTGAAAATACTATTTTTACATATTTTTCCATCCAAAACTTGTATTCCATCTACCAATTTTATTATTATTCTGATAATCCCCCTTCCAAGTGAGTAAACTTGAACTAATAAAAAAATTATATTTAAGGAATAAATACTTCCTAAATCCCTCATTCAATTCAACCCATCTGCCTTATTTAATTGCCTCAGGAAATTATCCATCTATCTTGTCTTCATACAATCCACCCCCACTATTTAATAAATCTAAGCCTAAATTTACATCAATTTAAAAGATTTTTCATCCTTTTCCTTCCAGTAGATTTCCCATCTACCAATTTTTATATCATTTTTATATTCACCAAAATAAATGACTTTACTGGAACTACAATTTGACATTTATTTAAAATTCAACGTACCTTTAGAGCAAACTACTCAACTCATGCCATTTGCCTTATTTCATACCAAGACGGCTTTCATCCTCCTACCCGTCATCATATTCTCCAAAACCACTTATACAGGTAAATTAACACATTTAGTAAATATATTTACATCTAATGAATTGATCCATAATCATCCATAATCATATAAACCTCCCATTTCCCTACTCTGATACCTTTCTAATATTCTCCCACATACATAACTTAATTATTACTATATTAGTAAAAGGTTTACCTATGAAATCCATCACTGGGCTCAAACCATTTGCCTATCCTAAATGATTCACTTCCTTCTTAATTATCATATGATCCACCGCCACTAAGAAATAGAGAGTATTATTAGAATAGTATTATACATCAACTCAAATTGCTAATAAATTGTTTCCCTATATTAGAAGTCCCATCTGCCTACTCTCTTGCCATTTTTGTATGCACCCTCAAATGTGATTTAACTTTTACTAATCAATAAAATTGATATCGCATATTGCACAAAAAAGTTATTGGTTAATTCAATCCATTTTCCTTACTTCCCTTAATTGTCATAGTACCCACCACCACTAACATAAAAAAAAAATAAACACTTCTTCATTTTCTAGAGTGTATTTCAATTAACCAATTTTTTTATCATTTAAATATTCTCCACTTTCATACACTTAAAACTGCCTTTTTAAATAAAATATTTCAATCAGTTGGAGAAATTTTAGAATAGTTAATTCCATTCTCCTTATTTATTTCCATCCTCTGAGTATACTCCTCCTATACCAATTATTGCTTCTCCTTGCCATAAGGCTGTCCACCTTCCAATTTTAATAAATTATTTCCATCTTCACCTATCCATTTAAGATGTTTTATATGCTCTACATTAGTGAGTATCTCACTTTATTGGAACTCTTGATTTCTAATTTTCTCACTAGTTTTCATCTTCCATAAACAATTACCTCCTCATTATTGATCTATCATCGGATATGTAATAGATTATGTTGTTTATAGGTTGTGTCACAAGAATGTAGTCTTCAGAAATCTTTTGTAAATAGCATCCCAAAGTACACATTCCTATTCTATAATCCCTTCAAATTTATTATCATTTCTCTAATTTTTTCGAGAGCAATTGCAACAAAAAGTGAACATATTCCCCATTTATTTAACTTTATAAATTATATATCAAATAAATTATTATTAATACATTGATCAATGGGATATATTGTTAGATATTTAAATTAATATTAAGGAATATTGATGTTTTATTACCACTAAAAATTAAGTAACCATCAAATTGTATTCTGAAAATTGAAAAAACTTGAGCTAAGTTGAAATAAATTTCTATATAAATTCATTGCAGAATTAGTTATATTGATTTATAATATAATTTTGACTAAACTCTTATTATTAAAATAGCCATAATAACATATGTAAAATTTGAAATTAGCAGAAAAATGCTTGACAAAATAGTGGGATTTACAAGTAATAAAAAATTATTTGTTAACATTTTAAAATTAATCAAAATTATTAATCACAAAATTCATTCGATAGCTCAGTGCAACCTTCTCAAAAATTAGATCTAAATATATATTTTATAAACAAAATTTGCTATAACTTCAAGATAGAGAGCATAATTAAACTTAAACTATTCTAGAAATTAACTAAAGTCTTTAAAAATAATTTATTTTAAATTATTATGAAATTTTTTATCTATGTAGAAAAAGAATAAGAGAATTACATCATCAATTTTATAATTATTTTTAGTTATAAAGTAATACTATTTGATATAGTAAATAATAAAACCAAATCTATCCTAAATTTATTAATGAAGTTAGAAAGTTTATACCTCTTATGTGTGGCCTTTCTCTACAAAATAATTAAGAATTAACACTCAAGTCCTTGTTAAATATGCAGATGCATAAGTGTGAAATTACAGGGCTTACAAACCTCAGCTTATATTGAATGAAGATGATAGTATTAATTAATCAAGATTTTATAGAATTGATTAAAACACTGGATTGAGTGTTCTAAATCGTATGCAAAATATTTAAGAAATAGTGTTGGCTATGTTATATTTGATGATGCAGTGAAGGAGATGTTATACATATTTTAATACATAGGTATTAAAATTGTCCTAGCAATATATAAATCTTTAGTTTAGCATTTATGTGTGCTTATTGCTAAAAAATAAATGGAATAAGAGTGCCACATTAGTCCATTCTAGAACCTTAAATAAATTGTTTAANCTATCCATTTAAGATGTTTTATATGCTCTACATTAGTGAGTATCTCACTTTATTGGAACTCTTGATTTCTAATTTTCTCACTAGTTTTCATCTTCCATAAACAATTACCTCCTCATTATTGATCTATCATCGGATATGTAATAGATTATGTTGTTTATAGGTTGTGTCACAAGAATGTAGTCTTCAGAAATCTTTTGTAAATAGCATCCCAAAGTACACATTCCTATTCTATAATCCCTTCAAATTTATTATCATTTCTCTAATTTTTTCGAGAGCAATTGCAACAAAAAGTGAACATATTCCCCATTTATTTAACTTTATAAATTATATATCAAATAAATTATTATTAATACATTGATCAATGGGATATATTGTTAGATATTTAAATTAATATTAAGGAATATTGATGTTTTATTACCACTAAAAATTAAGTAACCATCAAATTGTATTCTGAAAATTGAAAAAACTTGAGCTAAGTTGAAATAAATTTCTATATAAATTCATTGCAGAATTAGTTATATTGATTTATAATATAATTTTGACTAAACTCTTATTATTAAAATAGCCATAATAACATATGTAAAATTTGAAATTAGCAGAAAAATGCTTGACAAAATAGTGGGATTTACAAGTAATAAAAAATTATTTGTTAACATTTTAAAATTAATCAAAATTATTAATCACAAAATTCATTCGATAGCTCAGTGCAACCTTCTCAAAAATTAGATCTAAATATATATTTTATAAACAAAATTTGCTATAACTTCAAGATAGAGAGCATAATTAAACTTAAACTATTCTAGAAATTAACTAAAGTCTTTAAAAATAATTTATTTTAAATTATTATGAAATTTTTTATCTATGTAGAAAAAGAATAAGAGAATTACATCATCAATTTTATAATTATTTTTAGTTATAAAGTAATACTATTTGATATAGTAAATAATAAAACCAAATCTATCCTAAATTTATTAATGAAGTTAGAAAGTTTATACCTCTTATGTGTGGCCTTTCTCTACAAAATAATTAAGAATTAACACTCAAGTCCTTGTTAAATATGCAGATGCATAAGTGTGAAATTACAGGGCTTACAAACCTCAGCTTATATTGAATGAAGATGATAGTATTAATTAATCAAGATTTTATAGAATTGATTAAAACACTGGATTGAGTGTTCTAAATCGTATGCAAAATATTTAAGAAATAGTGTTGGCTATGTTATATTTGATGATGCAGTGAAGGAGATGTTATACATATTTTAATACATAGGTATTAAAATTGTCCTAGCAATATATAAATCTTTAGTTTAGCATTTATGTGTGCTTATTGCTAAAAAATAAATGGAATAAGAGTGCCACATTAGTCCATTCTAGAACCTTAAATAAATTGTTTAAGGTATAGTAAGTGTATTATTGTTATATTTGAAAATACTGTAAAGGATGTGAAATTCTTCATCAATTATTCAAGAATGATTGTGCAAGTGTTGAAAATACTATCTCTACGTGTATATGTCTATTCCAATTTATCATTTTCTAAACTACAGTGTAGTTATATAGTATATGCATAGACCTGAAATCTACTGATCATACATGTTCATTTTTGAAAATTATTTGAACCAAATAATGATAATTATATTTGAATAAAGTTAGGTATCATTTTTAAGAAAGTTATTGATAAGAAAATTGCTAAAGTTGTATTCATCCCATTTAGACTTGTCTTATAACAGCTACTAATACATATGTTTGGGATTTGGATCAATTAGGAATTAGTTTAATTTTGATGATGGGTAATTTCAAATAGTACATGTTTGCCTAGTAAGTTGTCATTCTTAAACTTATTTTTAGACGATTGCCAATAAAGCTGCTATCTATCACATCATAATAGAGTTATGTGTCTTTTATTCATCATGTCCATTAATTTTCCATAATGTAAATTTGTATATTTTCTCAGATAATATAATAAATTTTTATTTCTTTGAATAATAAACAAGTATCTCCAACTATAATAATGATCTTATGACTCTATCACAGCATAACATTTGTTTAAGTTGAAGATAATATAACTATAGAAAATGTGTTTAATAGAATGTTAGCTTGGAACTAATAATTTGTTTACTTAGAAGGGTAGATATAAAAACTACTATTATTTGTGTGGAGATGAATTGGTAGAATAATCATCAATTGAACAATGAGATAAGGTAATCAAATAGAAATGGATGGATTTTTCAATGTTAATATGAATGCCTTCTTATTATTTATAATAACTATCATTTTTTGTAATGATTTGAAGTTAATAATACAAATATTCCTTTGGAGAGATTTTCTAGTTAAATTAAATATCAATTGTTGTAGCTGTTAAAGTAAATTGAGAACTTAAGAATTATAGCATTAATGAATAGAAATAAGATTTAATTTTAATCACATATCAACAACTGCAAATAAATTAGTTTAAGTCACCATCCTAGTTATTTCATTTTGTTCTCTTTTTACTAGATAGGCTTTAATTTGTTTATACATTATATAATTGAATCTGATCACAGGTCCAAATAAGCTAATTAATAAGATTCCTATTTATCCAAAACCTAAGAGAACTTACTAATCAAGGCTCAAAAGTTATTAAAAATCGGAACAATATAATATACTTGTGCTAGTAAAGAACATTACAGGAGCTTCCATCCAAACAACGATAAACATGTCAAATTTCTACTTGATAAGTTTAATAGTAAAAATCAAGCCAATATAACTAAATGTTAAAAATGTTATCATCAAACATTAAAAGGCTCCAGCATTCTACAATACAATTAAGATTAAAATGAATGAAAGTTTCTTGAATAAGATAACACCTTGATGCTATTCATTTCTAACGTTTGTTAACTTTATTTTCCCATTTTGCTTCTAAAAGTGCGAACTAAGAAAAAAGATCACTAAACTCAAACACCCAACACTAAAGAAGTAAGAGAAAACTGTTCGATATCCTGATTGATTATTAGATTTGAGAAATAAAATTACTTTAAAAAGTAAGTCCCAACTATTGGCATAAAAGATTTATCGAAATCCTCCCATGCTGAGCATATTCTTCAATCCTAATAAACCTTTAATCATTTAATAATATTTAATAGCTATGAATTCAAGGAATCTTGATTTACTTCTTCTTATGCAATAGAAATATCTTGAAGTGAAGCAATAATTAAGAAAAAATTTCTGAGAGACTCTTGAGAACATCAATATTATTAATAGAAATGAAAGTTAAAGAATTTGCCCCTTTATATTTACGAATAAATCAGCATTTACTTAATATTCTGATAGTTTTCCGTAACTTTAAATATAATTTGCACCAATGGCTGAGTCTAGAACACCTGAAATCTTAAAATTAACAAGTATTGGATTGATTGATACAAAATCGGATGATTAAAAGTAAATTTAAAGATTTTAAGGGTAGTTGACATTTACAAATTTTAAATATGTTTAAAATAATAATGTATCCAAAATTTCTAAACTTAAATCTATTCTTCCAAACAGCAACATTATGATGGAAATAATTCCTAATCCGAACATTATCTTGTTGCCAAGTTCTTAGAATGAATTAGCAGCTTATAATTAAGTGCTATCTAAGATTTAGGGTTTTTAGAGCATTAATATTTATTACTATTATTTCATTAACATGTTATTAACATCAATAATAGAAATATTGAAAGCAACAGTTAAATTTGGCTATGCTTAAATTGGTTGGAATATTGTAATTTTGATATTAAACACAGCAGGCACATACTCTGCATCATTAAAATCAATTACTGGATAAACAGTGATATTATATTCATTTAGATCTAAATTATCTATTTGACAGTGTAATGAATTTGTAAAATTTTGGGAAGTATCTTTTAATTTTACAAGATTCGAGAATGACAACTAGACATATTAATCCTAGTATGTTCCATTTAAATAGGACAACGAGAAAATGGTCTTAGAAAAACATTTACTGGGTTCCTATTCATTGCAAACCCAACCAGTCTCTATATTACAATTACTCGAGCAACCATCGTTATTTAATATGTTCCAATCATCACATTCCTCATCATTAGATATCAATCCATCACCGCATTGCAATTAAATTTTAACAATTTCATCTTCCCTATCAGATTCATCTTCATAATTGATGATTCTTTGGCAACCTTATAATGTTAATTCAAAACCATCTATGCATTCTTAACATATTCCTCCAATACACTTTGAACAATTGATTTCACATTAATAATTGCACTAATAGCAACCATCATATCCAATATCGTTTAAATCTTCACACTCTTCAAGACCTTACACAATTATGCCATCTCCACAAATAGGAGTACAATAGGTATTGTCAATCAATTAGAAGTACTGATTACAAAGCATGCAGATATTGGAGAAGGAGCAAAAGTAACAGTTTTAATCGCATATATATTTACATTCATGACATCCATCATTATTCTCGTAATTTCCATCATCACATTATTCTTATGAATTGAATGCCTACATTCCATCTCCACATATCTAATAACAATAGTTATTTATTAGAGACCAACCATCAATGCAATCATAACACTAATTTTATTTACATTATCTACATTCCAATTAACAACTCGATTAACATTTATAGCAATCATCAAACTGAACATTATTTTAATCATCGCAAATTTCACTTTACAGTACTACCCCGTCTCCACAAATTGAATGACATTCTTTATTCTTTAGTTTTAATTGATAATATGGCTGACACTCCAAACAAACATCAAACAATTATTCTTTACAATTAAATATTCTATCAAAGCTACATTAATTATAATAATAACCAAATATTCCATACGATTATTGATTACAATCTAATTATTTTACTTACTAAAGACCTATTTAATAGTCATATAATAATGCATGCTAATAAAACCCATTTTCTATTAAGTTTGTAATTTAATTATTGAACTCTGCTTTTTATCTTAATTCAGGACCATCGTAATAATTATACACATATATACACTAATGTTCAATCAACCTATATGATTATAAACACTCTAAACATTTCCCAAATTTGCAATTTCCACAGAACTTTTAACAAGAAAATTTGCATTGATAACAACCATCGTATGGAATTACGTTTCCATCATCGCATTCCTCTAAATAAGTAATTATAGAATCCCCACAAATTGGAATGCATTTTCTTTGTGACTTTTAATATTCCCATCCTCCTTTGCATTTTATACACTCTCCCTTTACACAATTACTACATCCAACAACGCAATCATATGTGTTAGAGAAACAGCCATCAAATGCAATATTGTTTTGATCATTGCATACTGCCATACTAGTAGGATAAGGATGAATGAATAGTTCAAAATCACTAATCCCTAAGGTTTATTGCAAGGCTGAATTATATTTTCCTGACCATGTGGAAATAACCTAAATTTGGATAGTAGAATATGAATGTTAATAATCTAAAATTTAGATCTAACTTAATGTCATAACATTGCAAAGGTCAGTGAATGTAACTACTTATTTCAATAAATTAGAAGTTTATACAAGTACAGTATCAATATAAATCTGCACAGAATGAGGGTCGGAATTGAAAGTCATTATTTTGAGTCTTAGACTTATATTATTATGACTAGTCAATCGGATAATTTTGGTTAAATCACTGTTTGGAGATTTCAAATAATTTTAGTCTAATATTGACTTTGGTACATACCTAAACAAACTGCATATGTATTCATATTTTGATTATTATAAAACCAACCATAACTAGAATCATAATTTATTGGATCCAACTTTCTCATGTAAAGACTTTATACATAACATTTACTTGAATCGCATATTTCGCAACCAGTTGCACATTTATATACCAGTAATTCAAATTCAGAAATACCCCAGTAATTTTCAAACCCATTAATAATTATTTGTGCAGTATAACTTGTGTGAGTCAAAATTCTGGAAACAGAAGATACCCCATCCCCATAAGCTGATCCAGCTACCCCACAAATACTTGGTTAAGAGTATTCAGAGGAATAAGATTGAGAATGTGCTTCCACATTATCTACATATACTTTCAAATTTTCTCCTCCCCAGTTATCAAGACTTCCCTCAATAATAAAATATCTTACTGCCAAAATTTAAATGAAAACATTATTTAATAATGGGGCGGTAAATTAAATGTCTTGATGATATGAGTATAACTTGTAAATTAAGGTGAGCCTCCAAAGATTTTGGTTGGTCCACAATATGAAACTGGGCCTGTGTAGCTACCATAGATAAGCCAATCTGAATATTTATTTCTTTAATTATACCATTTGTGTATGAGAAATCTCCGAAAAAATTTGAATATACAGATGACTGCGATAATGCACATCCAATTAATTGACATAAAATAATCATTGTTACGAATTCTTAATTAGGATTAAGGGGGCCTTTCAAATTCATGTACATCTTTTGTAATATTGAAGTTTACTTCTAAATAAATAATTAATAGCAAAGATAATTCAGTTTTTATAATTCAAATTAATAGATCACCTTAAAATTAAATGTATTAAAAATTCTTGAAGTGAGGGTACAACTAAAGATAGACTACTTCATATGATTTCATCAATAGTAACTAATAAATGCCATCTATTTTTTCTCTCCTCTATAAACATAATTAAGATTATTTCAACCATAATTATTTCTATGAGAAATATTTAATAGAATAATATATTTTGATACATATACCAATATCAGAAAAGATATCATCTTTTTTACCTTTATATAGCATGGTAATGTTTAATTTAATTAGATAGAGAAGAATTTTAGAAATTAAGAATTGATGAAAATAAAGGAATTTAGCATTTTGAAAATAATTATTGAATTACTTTGTAAGGGCATATTAAATAGGTGAAAGTATTTGAGCTTAAAATCTTCTTTAGATTACTTTATAAAGCAATCTTATCTATCCTTTGAATTCCTTTTTTGGATCATACTTTTGTTAACGAATGCTTCTTTTCTTCAAGATTTCCTTGCTTTTTGATCAATGATTGTAAAACTTTAAACGATGAATCTTATTGAATAATCTATACTTCTCAAAGATAGATAAAGATTTAATATTCACAATCAGCTCATCAACGGCGCTCTAAATCTAAATTAAATCATATTTAAAATGTATGAATAATTATTAGAATAATGATTAGATTACGAAAACTAATAATCCTAACTTTGGATTGTAGTTTAAAATATCAATACATATAATATTTTCGATAACTTTGATTAATAGTTTGAAAATGATCTTGAGTATCCTTGTATTTTTTATTTTATATTTCAATATAATCATTTTCACCATTTCTCTGAATTTGAAATTTTGAATAATATTAGATAATTTAGAAGTATACAATAGTTTATAAATACAGAATGAATATTTTCAATTATTATATATATAAATAAACTTTAAGTAATATAGAATATTTATTTAATAATGATATAAAGTGGCTGGGATTTAGATAAAATCTATGATATTAAAGGAAGACAAGGGTTTTATTCTTATTATTGGTAATTTGAAAAAACAACTTTTTAAATAAAATTCACAAGTAATTCAGAACTCATCTACTATTAATTTGGAAATGTATTAAGGATGTAAGAGTAATCATATTGAGATAGAGAAAAAATAATTGATTAAAAGAATAAGCCCATAATCATGACGAACTTGGAATAAATAAAACATCTTAAATGGGAAGGGAATTATGGAATTAATAATACATAGACTGGTAAATGGATAGCGTTTTGGAAAGGAAAATAATTAGATGTAGGAGGATATTATGATGAGAATGGTTCTAAAATAGGAAAGTGGATTGAATTGTTTGAAAATTATTGGGAGTATTAATTGTTAATTTAAACAGCTTCTCACCAGTTACATATGTTGGCGAATATTAAGTTGGAAATAAATAAGGAAGATGGGATACATTTTACGATAAATAGAAAATGTAATCGTTTACAAATAGACTTAATTTAGAGGAGGAGGTAGTTATTAGAATGGTAATAAAGTTGGTTTGTGGACTGATTTATACGAAAATTATTATTGGTGATTATGCATAATATCTTATTAGCTCATGTAAAGTTACTCATACAGGAGAGTATTAGGACAATTATAAAATTGGTAGATGGGATACAATGTTTTAAACCAAAATCATGTATAAAATATCATTTAGAAATTTATAAAATACAGTGGAAGTACTGATTATGATCAAAATGGATTGAAAAATGGAATAGGAATAGAATTAAATGAAGATTTCTATTAGTATTATAAAGATCATTAGTTTTAAGTTGTTGTTAAGTTATATACAGGGGAGAATATAAAAACAATATTAAGGTAGGTAGATGGGATACAATTTTTCTGGAAAATAACACGATCATGTAACAATTATTATCTTCATTTGTTATAGTGGAGGAGGAAATTATGATATAAATGGTTTGAAAGAGGGCTTGTGGGTGGATTTACATGATGGATTTAATATGTAATATATCTTTAAGTAAAATTTAGATACTATAAACACATTTAAACTGGAACCTATTAAAATGGTATTAGGTAAGGCTAATTTATAGAATCATAATTATCTTGAATTATTTTATTTTAAAACAATTACATTATGAGGATGCTATTTAATAATTATTAATTTCTAATATTTCATTCTTTTTGCGGTATATTAAATTAAAAGAAATATGAAATTTAGAATTACCTTAAGTTTATTTAAGTTAACTTTAAAAAAATCAATGGACAATTTTATTATATATATCTAAAATATATAACTATATCAATAGAACACTTTTTCATCAATAAGTCCCAAAATTATAAAAATAATAATTAAGATTATCTGTTTGTTTTTATATATTTTGTTTTCGAGACGAACGAGTTGTTTTTATTCTAGAATATTACTAATTGATTTCATTGGTCCCATAGCAACATATAAAATGGAAGAGGAAGAGCTTATTAAACTTAAATCAGATTGTTTTTTAATTTAATTTAATATTAAATTAAAATTAATTAGCTTATGATGAATAAAATATATTTAATTTGAATTTTCATTTGTTGTTTATAAAAAATCAATATATCTAACTTTTGTTATTCCATTTTTGTTTCTCAACTTAGGCCTAAGGGAAAAGATGATTTTTCAAATCCTAGAATCGCTTTGCAAAATGAGAGTCTATATTTAGAGCGGTTGTAGAATTGGTTAATTAAGATATTTAGCCTTTAAAATTTCCAACAGTCTTCTACCTTGGCACATTTAATACTAAAGGTTTACCTTTAAGATTTCTGCTCTACATCATTCTATCAAGCTCATTTGTAATTTAAAAATGAAAAGATGAACCTATAGTAACATATGAAAGTTTTATAAGGTATTTATTTGGTTTAAGGCTTTTAAGTTGTTTATGCAATTTAGAATAATCATTCTAACCATCAGTGATCAAACAGATGCAGATTTTTTTAGTCTTCAAAGCATAATTCTTCTCTTCAAACTGTTTAAAAATATCAACTAAGCTTGAATATTATTATTGGGAGTCAAATAATGAAAATTTTGTGTTTTACCAAAATAATTTAATGATTTCTATTTAAGAGAATTCTTAATTAAAATTCTAAATAGCTGAATCTATTTCATTTTTCATTGAGTCATTGTTGTCAAAAATGGCAACGACGAAATTCTCCCTCTCATCATTTTCTGGTCTAATTTGAGATTTAAGGGATTCAGGGAGAAAATCAAATTCATCATTGATGTCTGGGATTGCCATAGATTATTATATGCCGATGCCTGCATGAGCTAATACATTATCAAGAATTTTAATAGCTTCTTTTGGAGGCAAGGCTTTCTTAATTAATCTAACTGAATCAATTTCCTTCATCATCAGATTCAACTCCTTTAATAGATCATATGATTCTTCGTCGACCTTGGCCAATTAGACTCTTTCAAAAACTGAATCAAGCTCAATAAGAGTGGATTTATAGTATTCATTAAGAATTTCTCGAACATCTTACTATTGTTAATTTTGATTGAATAAGGACTTGTATTTTTTTAATCCATTTATAATAATTTCTTTGGCCATAGTGATTTATGCAGACTCATAAGTTTACTATAATTATTGAATCTATTTCATTTTAGCTTGAGCTCTAGCATAACATCCGACATTTTTTAATTTTTTCTTTTGGATTGCATTAATGTTATCAGGCTCTAAATCTTTTAAATTATCACTTACTGATATTTATTGTGCTATCAGTTAAATACCAGCAGAAGCATCAGGATCTGACAATTTAGCTTATAAATCTGTTAAAGTACTTGGAGTGCATTAATCTAAATCAACATCTCCGACTGCAAATTAGTTCACAATTAACATAGCATTATTAAACTGAATGTCAAGTTTTTATTCCTGTTCTGTCTATCCCTATTATTGATTGTCTTATTTCGCTTCATTTACTACTAAATCAGAAAATTCCTTTATTGTTTAAAAATTTTCTAATGCTTTTTCATCAACCTCACTAGCAAATAAGATCAATGCCTATTAAGCAGATTTAACTAATATGTCTTTTTTATCTTTTATATCATTTGAAGGTTCTATTGGTTAACCATTGATGCTAACTTACTCTTCAGAAATAAATAGTGCTCCAGCAGGTAAAGTATTTTAAGGATTAGAAATCAACGTCAATTTTACTTCCTTATCTGTCTCCAGTAGGTCTTAGTACACTAGAGATTAAGATCTAATTATTTGAAAAGTGTAGTCAAAAAAATTAAACATTTCATCTTCTGTGCGTTCTGGGTTTTTGTCATGATGATAAATAGGTTCAATAAATTCTGTATTATGAAGTTGTGCTCTCAATTGATTTGAGATAGTATTCGGAAACCATTTCCCTATTGAAATAGAAACAAATTATATTTAATATTTTTTTTCCTTAATTTTTTAAATCAACTCTTCAAGTTCATTCAAAATGAATTTTTCATCGCCATCACTAATAAAGATTATTGTAATATGTTATGGAAACTCTTCAGACAACAATTTGTTTAAAACATATTTGAATGCTTTAGTAATGTCACCTGACCCAGCTGCCATAAAAGGCTCAAAATCATGGACGTCTTCTGTAAATTGAATTTTTAATTATTGGTCTTTGAGGTCATCGAAGTTTTTTTGGTGAGCCTTCAAAATTGCCTCATATTCAAAATTCATTGAACTTGTACCATCCAATAATGTTATTGGATATGATTAAACTTTTTTGGACTAAGGGGCCCTTCCAATTAAATTTTTCATAAAATTATTAATGTTATTGTGAAATATATAGTATAAGGATATGTACATATATGTAAATTCTATTAATTTATATTGGAAAAAATTAAATAATTATCCCTAATGAATTAAATAAATTTCTAATATAGAGAGATAATCACTTTAAAATTGAATAATAAAAAATTACAATTTACATTGACTTTCAAATATTCTTTGATTTATTATTTCTTCAACTAAATACCTCATCTACTGTCATTCTATCAATAACTTTATTTTTGAAAAGTTGATGTTTAAGCTTCGATAATTTCATTCACTCTAATCAAATTGATGAACATCTAGACCAGTTAACGAAGCTAAATCAATTAGGTCTACATTTATTTGTAAAAATGCATTATCCTTTGTTTCTCTTCCTCCTCTCAAACTTATACATTCTAATAATCAAAGCCAATTCTTTTCTTAGGGCCATGGAATAATATTGTTCATTATGTTCTCAATTTCCAGCAAACTCTTTTTAACGAGTTGTTATAATAACTTAAATTGCTCTTCGCATTTATTAGATAGATAATTGTAAGAAAATCATCGATGTTCGTTTTTAAGGCTAAAATCGCTCCGTCTGTGCGTTTATGTAAGACTTGAAATATTGTTTGATATTCACCCAATTGAGCAAAATGAAATTTTAATGTAATACTAAACTATCTAATTATTAATATTAATTTGGAATTTATTTAATTGGTAGTTGATTATTTTAAATTTCAAATTATTAATAAGAAACTATCGAATAGAAAGAATAGATTCAAATTAATTTTGACATCACTCTACTAAATGTACAGTTATTAATTCTTTTTATCAAAATTCTTAAGCTAAATATCACCAATCATCATTTTATTAAATTATCAAAATTCTATTTCTAAGCAAAACAAAATGCATGATGAATATTTGTAAAATTAGAATAATTCTATATTTGTAATTATATTTTTCTGTCATTTACATGCTTAAATTAAAATTTTCGACTAATCACTTCCTTAAAATATAAGTATTTATTTATATCAAAGAGAATAATATAGAAACTAAATATCATTACAAATTAAGATTTAAGAGTGTTTTATGAATGATTTATTGTAAAGAGGGAATTTATGAACGATTAAGGCCATTAGAAAAAAATAATCAAGAAATACTTTGCTAGTGACTTGAAATGATAATTTAGACTTTAATAAGAATTTGGTAAAAAATGAAATGCTTATAATTTTGAATTATTTATGAATAGGAACCTAAACTTTAAAGTATAAACAAAGATTCTAAGAATATTCTGAGAATTCTTTATTGTTCTAGATAATTATTGCCAAATGAAATTACTCAAAATTTGTATGAGAAATTGAGCAGATGAGAATCTAATATTGATCTATTCAATGCTAATTATAAAAATATAAACTCATTCTTCTAATTCTGTTTTTTCAGGTATAAAATCATTTAACAAATCACAAGGAGCTAGTACATCGAATATAACTCCTTCTACAATCACATTGTATTAATATGTTGAACCTATTATCATGAATAAATTAAACAATTCGGATCATAAGGCTAAGGATTTTATTGGATGGGTTATTCTTTTGTAAAATTAACGAATAGTTGAGACTGATCGTGTTGATTATTGGTTGCTAAACTTGATTTTATTTAAGATTTCTAATTGAGACAAGAGGTATTTAATTTTAATTCCATTTAATAAATTAAAATAAGTTTATTCAATTTGCAGAATTAATATTAATCCTTCTAAATATTTTATAGTTATAATTCCGTTAATTAGCTGAAGCTATCTTCAGAAACTTTAAATGATGACTCCTTCTGAAGGCGTATAAATGAGTTTGGTTTTCTTAATCCCTGCTTTTGTAAATTCATATATCATGTTCCACTTCATCATCTTTTGAAGTTGAATAGCTTTACCAAACTTTAATCTTGTCAAATGTTATTTTTATAATCAATTAATAGTGTCTGATAACCTTGCTTTTTGAATACTTTGACCCTTTGATTATGGGTTAAATTTAGTTATCGTGTTCTCCTCTCATTTTATATACTTTCCAATTCTAATTAAATTTTACTTATGATAATTTGTTAATATTAAAGCAGAATTATTCTTAACCGTTTTGATATGCTCCTTTTTTAACTTATAAGGTTTTGAGTTATTGCTTTATTGAAATAATAACCATCACCTAAGAGAATAAATTTCCTGAAAAATTTTTAATTTAATCTGCAATCGTATACTTTTGATGTTATGTTTGCGCTTCTCAAACCCTTTTGTGATTCAGTAATTTGATAAAACAAATTTTTGTTTTTTTGCATCACCAATATTCTACTAATTGAATTGATATATTCATATCAGAATTAAATAACAATTGCATAAAAGTGTAATTGAATTCATTTTATTAACTACAATCATTTTTATTATGTTCTCAATCAATCAAAACTTTGAGAAGGCAAATTATTAATTGTTGGGGGATAATACGATTCATTAAGATTCATGGTGCGGGGCTGTTGCAATAGATGAAATACATGATTTACTATTGGTAGGTCACAAATTCGTCATCAAGGTATTCTAATTTAAAAATGGAGCTTTGAATAGATTAAGTCTACTTTTCAACCATACAGATTTTGTTACATCTCTAAGTCTAATGTAAAAACAATCATTTTTCTTATCTGGATCTCATGATATGAAGATTGTTGTAATGTCTGTTCATTTGATGTCAAATCCTAAATACATCATCAAATTAGCAAGTCATATGAATTCAATTACTCAAGTTTTGTCACATCCGATTAACAAAGAAATGTTTATGTCTAGCAGCAAAGACCATACAATCAAATTTTGGAGAATCTCATCAAGGATATCTAAAAAGCATTGTTTTCAAACAATAAACCATCACACATAGTCTGTTATAAAATTATCCATTAATGAAGATGGAACTACACTAATCTCTCTTGGGATGGATTAATTAATATTAGTTTTGACTCAATAAGAATTATGTTGGGTTGTAAAATAGAAAATACATGTCAGTAAAGAAGGTCCAAACATACTCTTTATAACGAACGAAATGTTCATATTTTAACCTTATTAGGGTTTCTTAAAAGAATAGAGCCCCGAAACTATATGGGTTTATAAGTTAAAAAAAGAAAATGAATAGTACTCGTTATTTTAAAATATAAAAACAAGTGACACCCTCTAAGCTTGTATAGGATCCTTTCCATTGTTTTACAATCATCAGAAAAAACTGCTTTTATTTTAGAATGGTAATTCACTTAAGATAATGAAATTATAAAATTTGGAGAAAGGAGAATTCACTTTAGAGCAAGTCATCTCATTTAATAAATCCTTACGAATCAATCCTTTAAGGTTTATTTGTGGAGCAATAAGCAAAGATTGGTAATATTTAGTAACCTGGNTAAATTTAGTTATCGTGTTCTCCTCTCATTTTATATACTTTCCAATTCTAATTAAATTTTACTTATGATAATTTGTTAATATTAAAGCAGAATTATTCTTAACCGTTTTGATATGCTCCTTTTTTAACTTATAAGGTTTTGAGTTATTGCTTTATTGAAATAATAACCATCACCTAAGAGAATAAATTTCCTGAAAAATTTTTAATTTAATCTGCAATCGTATACTTTTGATGTTATGTTTGCGCTTCTCAAACCCTTTTGTGATTCAGTAATTTGATAAAACAAATTTTTGTTTTTTTGCATCACCAATATTCTACTAATTGAATTGATATATTCATATCAGAATTAAATAACAATTGCATAAAAGTGTAATTGAATTCATTTTATTAACTACAATCATTTTTATTATGTTCTCAATCAATCAAAACTTTGAGAAGGCAAATTATTAATTGTTGGGGGATAATACGATTCATTAAGATTCATGGTGCGGGGCTGTTGCAATAGATGAAATACATGATTTACTATTGGTAGGTCACAAATTCGTCATCAAGGTATTCTAATTTAAAAATGGAGCTTTGAATAGATTAAGTCTACTTTTCAACCATACAGATTTTGTTACATCTCTAAGTCTAATGTAAAAACAATCATTTTTCTTATCTGGATCTCATGATATGAAGATTGTTGTAATGTCTGTTCATTTGATGTCAAATCCTAAATACATCATCAAATTAGCAAGTCATATGAATTCAATTACTCAAGTTTTGTCACATCCGATTAACAAAGAAATGTTTATGTCTAGCAGCAAAGACCATACAATCAAATTTTGGAGAATCTCATCAAGGATATCTAAAAAGCATTGTTTTCAAACAATAAACCATCACACATAGTCTGTTATAAAATTATCCATTAATGAAGATGGAACTACACTAATCTCTCTTGGGATGGATTAATTAATATTAGTTTTGACTCAATAAGAATTATGTTGGGTTGTAAAATAGAAAATACATGTCAGTAAAGAAGGTCCAAACATACTCTTTATAACGAACGAAATGTTCATATTTTAACCTTATTAGGGTTTCTTAAAAGAATAGAGCCCCGAAACTATATGGGTTTATAAGTTAAAAAAAGAAAATGAATAGTACTCGTTATTTTAAAATATAAAAACAAGTGACACCCTCTAAGCTTGTATAGGATCCTTTCCATTGTTTTACAATCATCAGAAAAAACTGCTTTTATTTTAGAATGGTAATTCACTTAAGATAATGAAATTATAAAATTTGGAGAAAGGAGAATTCACTTTAGAGCAAGTCATCTCATTTAATAAATCCTTACGAATCAATCCTTTAAGGTTTATTTGTGGAGCAATAAGCAAAGATTGGTAATATTTAGTAACCTGGGATAACACTTCTTTTTGTCTTTAAGTGAGGAAATAAATTGAATTAGAATGAATATGAGAATTTATGATAATATTCTTAAAATTTTAATGGAATAAATAAAAATATATAATAAAATTTAAGAATTTTATCTAAGGTTGATATAAAACAAATAAAAAAAAATTGTGAAAACATGAGATTTGAAGTTGATTCAAAGTTTTTATAAAAAGAGTCTAATCGAGTTTTTCAATTTCCTCATTCTTATAAATATAATATTATGAAAAAAGATGAACTCTACAAAAAATAATATATTATGTTTTTTACCTTCATTTCATTGATCAAATTAGTGAATGTTGATTATGAAATAAAACTATAAACAACCACCTATTTTTAAATTAGAAGTATATATATTATTTGAATTAAAAACGTTGATTTATTATAAATTCCATATTTTTAATTGAAAAAGAATTACTAGTATTTTCAAAATATTATTCATATAATCATATTATTATTAATAAATGGCTGAAGTATAAGATAAAGCGAGGAGGAATGATAATGATCGCGAGGAGTCGATATCTTAATTATTTTTCAATTTAGTTACATGTACTTTTTAAACAGTGTTTGGTTATATTTGCTTGGATGTGTGTGTGTCTATTAGTTTGCATTATATTTCCTAAGAGTATGCTGTATCAATTTATTAGAATAAACCCAATAGCAAATGCAGGTTATGGTTTCGCATTGACTTGCGTCTACATGATATTAACACCATTTGGTTTTGGACTTAATTAATCATTAAATATGCATACATCATAAGCTTTGGGAGCGAATAAAATAACTCTTGCAAAAGGGTACTTTAATTTAAATCTTTATGTGATTCCTGCAACACTAATTCCTTTGGGAATTTTTCTTTTAATTTTAAAATACCCTCTAAGTTTAATTATGGCAGAGGATTAACGATAATAAACATCCGATTACTCTTAAGAATTTTTATATTATTTGATACCAGCCTTTATTCTGGCATTTCAATTTGAAAGCGTAAAATGTTTTATGGTAGCGCATAAAGTAACATACCCTTTTACAATAATCCACTTTTGTACTCTACTTACTCATTGGTTATTTTGTTGGATTTTTATAGTGTATTTTTAATGGGGAGTGCCAGGAGCAGGAGCAGTGATAATCCTAACAGAAATCTTTAACATTATAGGACTAGTCCGTAAAATATAAGTATTATAATTTAGTTTTTGTTGAGAATACTGATTTAAAAAAGGAAATATTTGATGGAACTAAAATCCTACCTGATTTAGATAGGTTTAAGAAATTCGGACTTCAATATATCAAAACTTCAGTTCCTATAGTTTTGCATATATTTTCAGAACTGTTTGTTTTTTTTACTTTATCATTTATTGCATTGAGTTTAGGGATTTCGGAAATGAATGCTCATATGGGTTTATAAAATATGTGTGGAATTTATTTTAGTAAAACTTCCAAATTATTATAGGAATTCCGATTTGTTTATCTATTGCATTGATGACTTTTGTGGGAACTGAAATGGGTAGAGCAAACATTAAATTAGCCAAAATCTATGTTTTATTAGGAGTAATAATTTTTATTATTGCATGTGCATTCTCATCATTTTTGATTTGGAGTCAAAGAGAATCTCTGGCAAATTTTTATTCATCGAATTAAGATGAAAATGAGTTCACTTTGAGAGCTAAATAGATATTTTTAGACACTATTCCATGGTTGATAGGAGGAATGCTGATTGTCGACGGTTTATAAGGAACACTGAGTGGAGCCTTGAAAGGAATTAACAAAATTAATCTTGTCTTTGTATTATTATTATTCATTATCAAGTACTCAACAATTTTAGCTTATTACGTAATTTGCCTTCCAATTGTATCCATTTTCGCATATAAATGGGGGTTAGATCAAGGAGTAGTTGGTATTTGGCAAGGTTTTGGAATAGCAAATTTAATTTTAGCTATATTGGACCTCTTTATTTTATTTACTGTTGATTGGGACTAGGAATCGAAAAATATCATTGAAAGAGTGGAATCGCAAAATTAAATCGAGCTAAACACTTTAATAGAATTAGAAGTTAAATAAGCAAATGTGTGATATAGGTTTAATCAGTCATTATTTATAAAATAAAATGAACATTATCATTTTTTTTTCAGATGAGTAAATTATATGTACTATTCAAAACCAAATAGTATTTTTATAATCTGTTGATAAATTTAGAAGAAATTATTTTTCTAAATTTTCAGTTTTAATAAAGGAAAGAAACTTCTCATTTCTTATTGCTTGTACTAACGACCTATGAATTTCAATTGAATAATACTTCTAATCCAAGATCTTTTGAGTTTTCGAAATCTTGGTTTCATGAATAATGTTATTATGAAAATTAGCCGATTTTTGAATTAACATATATTTTGTAATTATTAATAATTTTTAAATTATTTGAATTACAATATTTTAACTTTTAATTATTTATATTCCCAAAAATAAAATCATTAATTATTTGTAGATTTGATTTAGTTATCAGAGGAGGAGGTAAAAAAACACACAATTCTCCTCTGCTCTCATAAGGATCTATTTTTATTAATGAAATCGGAAAAATATTTTATAACTAATGTATTACTCAAATCTTTTATCCTTCACTTTAACTATGGATTCTATATTATTAAAAAAAGTTGAATGGAATCGGTTTGTTGGAATAAAAATAAAGAATTAGAAGAAAAATAAAAATGAATACGAATACCTACATCATTTAGCTATGTTAACTTAAACAAAATTAAGAATATTTAATCTAAAAGGAAAATTATGATTATTTATGAAAGTCAATATAAAAATTAGCATTTTATGTATTAAATAAATCACACACATAAACTTTTCTAATGAAACAACGGAATAAGTTGAATAGTTTTAAGAAAATAGAGATATTACTATGATTGAAAAGCCTAATTCATTAATCAAGAATATTGATGAATAACAACAGGGCAATTATATAAAAATATTTTTTGTGTAACAATATTACTTAATCTTTAAATATTTTAACTAAGTAGTTGAGGTTATATTTGATAATCTTAAATATCTATTTCAATTAGCTAGATATACAAAAAGAACTCAAAAAAAATTAATTACTTTATATTTAAAAATTAATAATTTTATTAATCCTAGCATCTTCAAGCACATTATGATAAAATGAACTATTTGAATAAAAACCAATTCATGATTTTATTGACCATTCTACAAGTTCTTTAATATCATTAATTATATGCTTTTAATTAGGCTAGATTGGTTAGCCTTTTATACTCAATTTTTAAATTTGTATTTTAACAGTTCTTTTTGGTTTGAAATTATTTGTTAGAGTCAAATATGTATTTGGAATTAAGCATGCTCTTAGTTATGAAGATGAATGCAAAACTTAGTTCACTAAACACAGTTTCCCTTTAATAAGTAAAACTTCTTAGTAATTCTATATGGTTTAAAGTACTTAAGTACTTACTAACTTGGACTCACGCTCTTATAACTCTTTATAATAAATAATAGAAAATATAAATAAAACAATACGTAGCATTTCAACAAAGTTAAAGTTATTCCTTGAAAATAATATAACATAATGGAAGATTTATTATTATTCTTCAATAATAAAATATTTTCTGAATTAGATAGAGGTATATTTCATAAGAATGTATTCAAATAATCATTTAACCTTTAAAAGGAGGAGATGCAAATTTAGAAATATTGAATACACATTTAAAAAACAATTATTCTTTTTATACGAACTATATTTCATAATAATTCTTGGTGCAATGCTATCTCCCTTAAATATCTGTCTAATGTCTCGTCAAACATTAGGACATTTATTGGGATTAAGCTAATAATTCTTCTAATTATAAAATATTCATTAGTTAAATGTTACTTTAAATAAAATAATAAACAAAATGTGACAATGAATGAGTATATAAAAAATGCTATAGATAAATTCTAAATAAAAAATACGAATAAATACATATGCTAAGTCGGTTTAATTTTATGTAAGTGATGTTAAATCTTCTTTAAAAGTTAAAGACATATTCAAGAATGCTCTTGTAATTATTTAATTTCCTTCCTATTCGTATAAACTATAGTCAGTTTTAACTGTGAAGTTATTGATGGCTTATTAGGTTTTTATAGTATTTTATACGTAATTTAAGGAAGAGACTAGCCCTTAAGACAATACACCGTCAAATGATAATTAGCAGTATGAATATAAATATTCCTATATCATAATTTTTTACATACTTGAGTAAAATATGAGCATAAAGAATTAGTTTTTAAATCATTGAAAAGTATTATAAAAGAATCTGTAGCAAGATAAGTGTTAAAGTCTAAAGAATTACTTAAGTTTAAGTAATACTGAATAGAATCTAATGAATTGAAAAGCATTTGATACATATTTTCTCTATCTTATTAAAAATAAAAAGTATAATTATTAAAGCCAAGCAATATTTCTTTATACAAAAAGCAATTTCCTCCACTTAAACTTAAATCCTAAAAAAGTTTGAACAAATTTGCTGTTTTTTCGTATTTGTTTAAATATATTTGTGTTCTTTGATTAATTATAGCAGAGTAACCTCCAAAGATTAAATTCAAAACAAATATGAGCATAAAGGAGGAAAACCTTCTTAATTTTATTACTTTTTTATTTATAGTTTCTTTGTTTTTAATGGATAACTATCTTTTATTTATTTTAGATTGTTGGATTAGATCCAAATCAATTTTGTATTCAAATACATGCCTACCATTATCTTTAAGTTTTTTTATAATTTCTTTGTATCTCTCTATTTCTTAAGCTATTAGGTCCTATTCAATAAATTTTAGAGTTAATAAAAATTTATCGTAAAACGTAATGTAATTGTAATAGCAATAAAAATTAAAAATTGCTAAAACCAAGGCTCCAATTTAAAAAAAAATCCAAATCAGCATCCATTTATTGGCAACACTAAGACTTCTGTTAGTTGATTCAGAAAGTAAATTTTTAGTGAGATTCTCTAAATATTGATGCAATTTCACAAAATTTGTAAATAAAAACACCTGAAAGGTTGAGTTAGAAACGTCCTTTTAATTTATAAAAGCATCCAAAACAGCAAATTCATATTGAAGATAAACAATTAGGGCTTCCCTAATGGTGACATTCTTCTCTAGCAATTAATAATTATCTAATGATTCTAATTAATAAATCATTAAATAATAATCATCTAGATAGGGTTATAAATTTAGATTCTAAAACTAATTATATAAATCATTTTAATAATCTAGGTATGATTCAGTTAAATGATTATAGAAAGGCGAGATAAGATTTGTTACATTCAAAACGACTTTATTTTTTTAATATTCTTAATAAATCTTGATGGTTGCTCTAATTGAAAAGTATATGTCATGTTTAACCATTATACTTGAATGTAAAGATATTGTATCTATCTCTTTAAGAACTTAAGTTAAGTCATTAAACATCACAGTAATAGCAATTAAAGAAAATATTGTAAAGATTATATTTTAGAGTGTTAGAAGAGATAAAATTTCAATTAGTTTTAGTGGTCTTTTGTGAACCATTAATTTTTAAACCAGTTCAAACTTTTTCATAAACTTCTTTTTTTATTCATCCTCTATAGAAGACTTATCAGATAATTAATCCACTTTTAGCTGTTATTACTATTCATCATCATATGGTAAATCTAATTTTTTTTCTGAGATCAAAGCTTGAATGTCTACTTAGGAAAGTTTTTGTGAATAAAATTCTTATTGATTTCTTGAATGAAACTTTCTCTTTGTATCGGATGAACTTTCATTAGGTGTAATAAATCTTCCTGGTTCACAGATTGTAATTCTTGGTTAACTTAATGAATCTAAATAATGATGAGATAGAATGAATTCATTTTTTAGCCCTTGAAATACTTCGACTTTATTTGGTATATCCTAATATTGAAAGTTTAATTGCCCTGAAGAATAACTTCCAGATTCTTCACTAATTGAACATTCAATTTTTTATAAATAATCTTGACATTCAATACGATTTGTTGAATCAAAAATATTCGTTTATGAATTTGCTTCTACGGACAATATTTCTATGATGATATAATAAAACTCTTTAAATTCTCTTCTCGTTATTTATAAATTCACATTATATTTAAATAATTTATCCTTTCTATGCCAAGCAATTTTGGAAAGTGTATTTAAAGAGGTTTGCACTTTTTTTTCTGTAAAAATAGTGCTAAACAATCTAAAGACGTTGGCAAAATATAAATCAACTCCTTATAATCTAATCTCTGATTCATTTATATCAATCAATGTATCATAATCAGGTAATAAATATGTAATTGATAAATTTAATAAGATGTTGGAAGACTTGATAAATTTAATTTCATGCTCTTGAAATCCTATTTTTTTAAAAAAACTTTCGCTAAAGTAACAATATTTTGTAGCTCCATCAACCAAAATATAGGCTTTACTATCAGACAATTCTTAGAAGAAAACTGCAAAAATCAATTAATCTTACTATTTTTCTATTTTAGTTAAATCATAACACATTCTTACTCCTTTTATAAATCCATCATTTGTGTTTAAAAAATTTAACTGAAAGTTTTAGAAAAATTTTGATTGGCCTGTTGTTAAAAAATTCTCCATTAATGAGGGATGATATTTAATTAGAAATTTTGGTAATAAATCATCTAATTGTAATTTTTGGTCAAAACTTTTTCTTTCAAATAATTTTTAGAACTAATTAGAAGCAAATTTAATCTCAGTTTATTTAAAATCATTTGAAATTTCAACTATAAGGTAACCAATCTTATCTTTATTATTAATCAGGCTTGAATTAAACATTAGAAATTTTTCATCAGACATTGAAGTTTGATTACTGACTTTTCTGGCTTCATGGTAATTGTTACTAATTTCAGATTCATAATAACAGATGGCATTTTGGATGCTGAGACATGGAAAGTCTGAAAATTTTGATTTCAGTATATTGTTGGTTTTTATTATAGAACTACATGTATCTCTTGTTATTTAAAAAATATTATTAAGATTAAAAGAACTGTCTTGATTGAGTTTTTAATAATAGTTAACTTTTTATTAAGCCTATTAGATTATCAATGTTTTAATGTCATCCATTTAAAATTCGAAAGTTAAAAATTTTTATAAATAATCAATTATAACATTCTAAGAATAAGTATAGAATGATTAAGACAATAGATTCTTCATTTCGCATTTAGCTATGCTTATAATTATTCTTATCTTAATTCTTTGGATAAGAGATAAATTAATCTTAAAGTTGAAATTACATTCTCTTAATTCAGCTGTTTCTGAATTATTTGAGAGTGCAAGAGTATTTGTATCAATTTTTGTTTAAACTGTACTTGAAGATTAAAGTGCAATTGAAAAATAAGTAGATTAAGAATCACTTATTAAAATAGAATTGAGTGTCTTAATTGCAGCTATGGTTAAACCAAAATCATATTGCATGATCGAATGATTAATAACTTACTCTAATAATTTTGCTTTTGAACCCTAAACCGATTGATAAACCAAACAAGATAATTATTTTAGTTTTTTTTTGTAAAATTACTGTCTCATCTAAATAGTCAAAGGAGCAATCTTCGACACATCAGAATAATAAGAAGTTGTATGGCAAATGCAATCAGACCTTTAACAAAATTGTTTATGTGATAGATAGATGAATGCATCATGTATAAGTGTGATGGACTACTCTTCCTCGATTTTATTCAAAGTTTTAATTAGGGAATACTTGAATTTATCTAAAATTATGGCAGTAGAGGAATTTAAGTTCTAGAACCAATGACTATCTTATTTCTTGTTAATCATTATTGCCAAATAAAGTAAAATTGGATATAAAATTATTAAGATTTATTGTACCTGCTATTCACTTTTAGATGCTATTTTAAAAATACAGTTAATAGCATATGAGATATTGAAAATATTAATAACAAATACGATAATTTGTGCTTCTTTATAAATGTAAATCTTTTCATGTAATTATTCTATAATTTCCACTAACGAAATTAGAATTGTTAAGATGGAAGTTATAAGCAATATTTAGTTTGAATTCATCTCATCTTAAACCGTAAAATAAAGGATATGAGAGAGCAATTTTAAAATATTAGTGAACAAAGTTGATAAAAATACTCTGCGTTTTTCTTAAAACAGAATTTTGTAAGTCAATGGTGATTCTGTTATTGCAAAACCTATAAATATGTCAACTTAGATAATGCATATTATTATCCATGATAATATTATATATTAGATTTATTCTTGTGATTTTTATATTTACATAAAGCATATTGTCTGCAAAAACAATCCTAAAAATTTACAAATGTTTTATTAATAAATTCCAACAAATAGTAGTAATAATTAATTAATCAGAGTTAGATGAGTGTTAAAATAATTTTAAAAATTATATAATAATAGCCCAATAATTAGCTTATGTAAAATGACCATGGTAAAAGTAACAATAAATATAATTTCGATCGGAATATAATTTATAATTCCAATTTCAGGTCTAATTATTGAAATATACAATCCATATAATAAAGTAGTCAAATTCTAATAATCAGTATTGGATTTAATATATGTTATTGTGATGATTGTTTAAATTTAATTTGCTATGTGAATCCAATATTGAATTATACTATAACATTTAAATTATTTTTTTATTATCATCATTAAAGTAATCCATCTTTCCAAGTAAACAAATTTCTTCAATTAATTTTACATATATGTATTAATTAATTTTCATTTTTAATAAATAAATTAAATATATGTATTAAGAGCTCATAATTATATAAAAGTGTGAAATTTTGGATTCAAAATGAGAAACCCATAATTTATAGTAATAAACTGTAAATTGAATATTAATTTATAGATATTTAAATAATAATTCATAATAATAACAACTGAGACTCATTTCATTGAGGGAGCAGATGTGCATTTATGATATATAAAGAATTATTAGTACTGTCTGAATATGATATAATACATATTTAGAAATCAATATTAATTAATAACCTTTTTTCCTGAGGATAAGTCTGAACAAAAAGAAATTATAACTCACTATTTGTTTCATTTCTATAAATGCTACATCTACTTAATTCCTAAACTTCTTCCATTATAAATTTAATTGTTTTTAATTTAAGTTGTCGGTTATCAGAAACCTTGAAAAAAGGGGATCGATTATTTATAATACAGTTTTGGTGAGTGATTCTTTAATTTTACAAAATATTGTGCAAATAATTTTTGAAAACAGAAGATTAAGTGAATTATTTTTGTTAAAGAGATCTGATAAAATACTTTGCCAAACCTCATAAATTTTATTTACAGATTGATTAGATGGATTTATTTCTTTATTCCAAGATTGAATCCAAAGTAATTACATTTTGTTTTTCTAATGATTGTTGGAGCCAAGCAAAATGCTTATCGTTTGATGTGTATTAATATTGGCCAACTCTTGCTGATAGAATTAACTAAACAATTAATATATTGATTAAGTTTATAGTATTAAAGATGTATTTATTATGATAAATAGTTCAGTGTAATAAGTGTTGATGGAATCAATCAAAATCAAAGTATTGGTATTATTCCTACTTTAGAAACGAATGATGGTTTATATATTCTAATGTTCTGTGTAAATTTCAAATTATAAAATGCACTAAAATCTTGAAATTGTTTAAATCTTAATTCTCATTTATTTCTTTACAATTCATAGAGATAAAGTAGATTAGATTAAAAACAAAGTAATTTCAAATTTATGGCAATACATTATAAATAATCAAATTATAAACTAGTGGATAATAATGTATTTCTTAAATTTATTTTGTTTAAGTAATATAAATAATTATAATTTATAAAATTGAATTGATTCGGAAATAAGAAAATCGAAATTTTAATTATTGTATATATATTTTAAAATGAATTCCACAAAGTAATTAAAAACTTATTAATAGCAAATTCCATAAAATATATAAATTATACTTTAAATACATTTCAATTCCTTAAGAATCTATAAAATATAATAATGTCCAAAATTAATTGTTATGAAGTTGGACTGAACTAATTGATTATGCAAATTAGGAACCAAATACATCAATCAACAAGAAAAAACAGATTCCAAATTTAAGAAATGAGACAGAATGATTTTGAATTGAGATCAAATCTACTTACATTTAGATTGAATATGAGAGATAGCTCTGAAAACCCATAAGCTTTAACAGCATATTCAAAATCAATTGAAATAAAAAAGAGATATTCTCTTTTACCTCTTAAAAGCATTCTTATAAAATCTCAACATCAGTCCCAAAGAGAAAAGTATAAAAAAAAGCCCAGCACTTTAAATACAGAAAAATTAATAAAATTAAAATGCGAGATAAGAGCTTGGTCTATTTCGACTACCAACCAAACAGACTAATAATGAGAATTGAGCAATTATTTGTTTATTGTATATTTTATATTTTCTATTCTACAATAAAGTATCGAAGCAATGCAACTGGTATGAATATATTATAAGTATGTAGTATTGAATAATATCAAATTTTTGAACAGAATATTGCACTAAAAGATTGATTACATGTATGTAGCATCATCGAAACTTTAAAATATTAATTGCATTAATAACAGTAGTCTTTAGCTGCCATTAACCTCAAAACTATAATCTAATCCAACAAAAGTTGAACTGCCTAGCATAATTTTATCATTTTCTTATTTTAGTTAAGTTAATTATTTTATTGGAAGTATTAAAACTGGTTAGATTGAATCCAAATCAACGATTTCATCAAACTCAATCGATATCCTCATGCTTTTTACTATTAATTCCTTAATTTGATAAGGATATATAGTTTCATATGATAACAGATTTATTTTGCAATTCCTTTTCAGTTATAGAAGAAATAAATAAGTAAATAATAGAAATGTTGGTTAACAAGCTAATTTAAAATTCTTTCTTGGTTATTTCATTCTTATGAGTCATACCATCCCAACTTGTCCAAATAGTTTTGTAAGTAATAGACTAATAATTTTTAACAAAATAAAAGTTATATTTGAGGAAGTTAAAATTATTTTAATAGAATATCGCATGTGTTTATATAATTCAAACTGGATATTATTTTATGGAAAATCAATAAAAGGCATTTTAAATTATGGAATCAAATTTTAATGTGAGAGACAACAATCTAAATTTGATTCTGATTGAAGTTTGTATAAAAGGACACTCTGATTAATATATATAGCAACATGATTAGTATTGTCGCACAAAAGATTGTAATCTTGTTTATGTATAGGTTTTAAAATCTTATCATTTCACTAAAAGATCCTTTATTAATTAATACTGATTGATTATTACTTGAATACAGAATACCCATTGAGCATCGAATATCCCTACTCTAATATTTTAGCACACAAATATATGTATAAAATGTATTCAATGAATAGCAACTACTTTTATAGAGTTTCAATTAATTATATTTATCTTAGCTATTTCAGCATAAATTTAGTTTTTCTGGAAAGTTTTGGAATAATGGGTATTGGGAGGTTATCAATTATATGGATTCCTTGATTTATTTCTAAGTTGACTACATAAAAGACTGTAATTCCTTGATTTTAAATATCATACACGATAGAGAAGATGAAGAATATATCAGCAAATTTTAGTGTAACAGCGTTGATTCTAAAATCCAAATATCACAGCTTAATATTGAATCAAAATTTAATCAAGATCATTTTATTGTACCCATTCCGCTCTATCCAGGGCTAATTTTACTAATTCTCTTATTAAATTCTTTTTTTTCATTAATCAAGTTTTTAATTGATATTACTTATTCTTCTTTTGAAATGATTTTATATTATTCAGTTAATAGAGAGATTTCCTAATTCTTTAACATAATTCTTTTTTTATCTTTTAAATCCCTTCACAAAGTTTTCTAACACACTCACACTTAATTTTCATTCTATTTCTGAACTATCAATATTTAGCTAATCAGTTTATTATACAAACAANATCATTTTCTTATTTTAGTTAAGTTAATTATTTTATTGGAAGTATTAAAACTGGTTAGATTGAATCCAAATCAACGATTTCATCAAACTCAATCGATATCCTCATGCTTTTTACTATTAATTCCTTAATTTGATAAGGATATATAGTTTCATATGATAACAGATTTATTTTGCAATTCCTTTTCAGTTATAGAAGAAATAAATAAGTAAATAATAGAAATGTTGGTTAACAAGCTAATTTAAAATTCTTTCTTGGTTATTTCATTCTTATGAGTCATACCATCCCAACTTGTCCAAATAGTTTTGTAAGTAATAGACTAATAATTTTTAACAAAATAAAAGTTATATTTGAGGAAGTTAAAATTATTTTAATAGAATATCGCATGTGTTTATATAATTCAAACTGGATATTATTTTATGGAAAATCAATAAAAGGCATTTTAAATTATGGAATCAAATTTTAATGTGAGAGACAACAATCTAAATTTGATTCTGATTGAAGTTTGTATAAAAGGACACTCTGATTAATATATATAGCAACATGATTAGTATTGTCGCACAAAAGATTGTAATCTTGTTTATGTATAGGTTTTAAAATCTTATCATTTCACTAAAAGATCCTTTATTAATTAATACTGATTGATTATTACTTGAATACAGAATACCCATTGAGCATCGAATATCCCTACTCTAATATTTTAGCACACAAATATATGTATAAAATGTATTCAATGAATAGCAACTACTTTTATAGAGTTTCAATTAATTATATTTATCTTAGCTATTTCAGCATAAATTTAGTTTTTCTGGAAAGTTTTGGAATAATGGGTATTGGGAGGTTATCAATTATATGGATTCCTTGATTTATTTCTAAGTTGACTACATAAAAGACTGTAATTCCTTGATTTTAAATATCATACACGATAGAGAAGATGAAGAATATATCAGCAAATTTTAGTGTAACAGCGTTGATTCTAAAATCCAAATATCACAGCTTAATATTGAATCAAAATTTAATCAAGATCATTTTATTGTACCCATTCCGCTCTATCCAGGGCTAATTTTACTAATTCTCTTATTAAATTCTTTTTTTTCATTAATCAAGTTTTTAATTGATATTACTTATTCTTCTTTTGAAATGATTTTATATTATTCAGTTAATAGAGAGATTTCCTAATTCTTTAACATAATTCTTTTTTTATCTTTTAAATCCCTTCACAAAGTTTTCTAACACACTCACACTTAATTTTCATTCTATTTCTGAACTATCAATATTTAGCTAATCAGTTTATTATACAAACAATATATAATAATAAATATCATACTTAAGTGTACTAACAGATTCATTAGGGAAATCACTTTCTAATGTGATTTCTAACCTTTATTCTAAATTATTTACATTATGATTTAAATCACCACTTAACTTAGTTTGTAATTAATATTAAGGATAATTTAATTAACTTCTTGATGCATTAATTTATCAATTTTTGTCTTAAAATTTTATTTTCACCCTCCAAGTCATCATTTTAGTTTTCAAAACTATAAATTTGATTCCAGTTCACTTTATAATTATGATGCCCTATGCAATTAGCAATATTTACACCCTAATTCCAATTCGCATTATGATGTTGTTTCTAAGCATTATGATTATATCTCTATCTTAGTGTTGCTTTCTATGATTTTTTAATATCTACATGTGTAACTATTCAAATAGTTTTATAGTCAAAACCATTGTTATTAAATATTTGAATGGATCATCAATTTCAGGTGAGGAAGTAATTAATGAATTTACAATAAAATTGATAATTTGATAATTAAAATATTAAGTTAGGTTATATCAGATATTCAGGAATGAAAAGGAATAGTTTAAGATTGGAAAGAGATGATTATTAAACAATGGGAGCCATTATGATGGAATGTGGATGAATAACAAAATGAACTTGAAAGAATAAAGCTTAAATTCCAATTATTTCTTGATTAGTTCATAATAATCTATCAAATATTCCATGTCGGGTTTAATATTAAAGAGCTTTCAAAAGAGATAATACTGGTTTTGGAACATGGCTTTGGCACTGTGCATTAAAGATAAATGGAAATGGGTAGGTTTCAAAAAATTAAGTAATTTATCATGATTTATTTGTATTTATTATAAAATATTATCTTTAAAAATTACTTGATTGAGAAAAATACCAGAGGATGAAAATGGATTTTATAAATTTATCAAATCCTATTAAGTGAAAGAAAAAATCCTTTCTTTTGATTGGATGTTATAATTTTGTCACTAAATACATTATTATAGATATTGATAAAATTAATATTTGTAAAATAATATTAAAAAAATAAAATGCTTTAGTAATTTATTTAACATTATTATTATTCAGAAAATCAATTATCAGCTATTAAAGGGAAAGAAGGGGAAATTAATTAATATAATGATTGCTAAATATTAACACTATTTACAAGATTTATCGTATAATTTAAAAAGAAATAATCCTCAATCGTCAATCAAAATTATAGGTAAATTTAAACTTTTTCCAGCATTAGTTACTATTGGAAAATCATCTTCATCCTCATTTTTATTAATCTTATTAATATTCTGATATCCCCTATCAACTATGTCTTAATACGTTTTTATTGTTGCATCTTACAATATTAAATTTATTTATTCATCTTTATCCAATTAACCCTATACTTAGTATTAATATAATACATTATGGTCTAATGATAGCTGGTCAATTGAAATTTCCAATTGTTTGATTCTTTCAATAATAAACAATTGATATTTATCAATTACCAAATGGAAGCACACTTTTTTACATATTGGGCATATCCATTTTTTATGTTCAACCTTAATCATCATCTCAAGGAAACTACACAAGCAAAAGCACTATTCATGCTAACAAAATTCACCCCTAAATCTATCAATACTAATTATTACTTTGCTGGAATTTGAATTAATTCTAAAGTGAATTAACAATAGAGACTAATGATTGTTTTAGCAACTTATATTTCTTTTTTACTTTAGTCTGCTTTAATCTTAGGTTAAATATCTAATGATTTAAATTTCTCTATTGTTTATATCACATTTAATGGTTCTACCAAAAATAACCCAAAACAATATATTGAACCAACTGAGTCTTTACGATATTATTAGTCAGCTGCGCGTTCTATTATTGAGAATAAAAATTTCTTTGAATAGTTATTTTATCTGATTAAATCTTTTACATTGATGTAAATTGACATATCCCTCCTTTTTTTCAGGCTCGATTTTTCTTACAATGGTCTGATCTCTTTTATAGTTACTCCATTAATTAAGAGAGTGCAGGACATTGGAAAAGTCAAATCATATAATCCTTATTTATTCAAGGCTACGCATCTTATTTCAAGATTGCAATTAGTTGAAGTATCAATAGTGAAGGTTTAACAAGTTTTTGCGTTTTCCTTTCCTGAGCATTTATATTCAGTATAAGCTAATTTTGTTATGATTTTTTAGAAGGGATTGATGGATACTAGCAAACATTATGTACATATTCTGACTCCATCTTAGATTTCAATAGTTTTGGCATCCAAATTTTGGCAATAATTACATTGAGGTTTTTCTAGCTTTGATTATTCTTTTTCTAATTTTTTGGTTACTTTATCATTGCTATCAACAATTATAACTTATTCTTAATATTTTTTAACTTTAGAAGAATCATTCGGATTAGCACATAGTAATTTTTCAATGATTTATTCTAGTTCTTAAGTTTCTTTTTATCTATGCTTGTCGCTTCTTTCTAATCTTTCCTATCTTTCCTTTTCTAATCTATCCTATTTTTCCCTTTCTAACCTTTATTTTTCTAAGAGTTCAATTCTATCTTATCTTTCTTTTTCTAATCTTTCTGTTCTTTCCTTTTCAAATTTATCCAAGCGCTCTTTCTCCAATCTTTCCTTTTCTAATTTCTCTTTATTCTATTTTTCTTTTTCTAACCTTTCTAATATTTAGCTTTTCTCTTTTAATTATTATTATCTTTCTAGTTCTCTTTTTTCTTTCCTTAATTTATCAATTTCTCTTTCTTTTTTCTTTTTTTCTTTTTTTTCAATCATTGGAATAATCTATTTAGTTGATTTTTCAAGTTGTTATTTAATATCAGATTCTGAGTATTTTTTTTTTTCAATTTTCTAGAGTTTTTCTTTTTTATTAAAATTTTCTAAGTCCTTACTTATCTTCTTTTCTTACTTATTTTATAATTTGATATTCTCTTTCCTTTTTATACTATCTTCTCTCAATGATAAATCTTCTGAGGTCCTTATTTCTAGTGATTCAGATAGAGAATCTGGTTTAAATGGCTTAATATCTTTCTTTTTTATTAAATCCAAAGATGGGGAAAGCTTTTTCTTTTTACAATTATTCTAGAGTTCTGTTTTAGATTAGAGAGATCTATTTAATTGAGTTTCCTTATATTCAACAGGTTCAAGAAATGTATATGTTTTATTATTGCTGTCATTTTTTTGAGGGGTTTTCTCATTTTTCTTTTTGGTTATGAGATCAGGAATGATTTTCAAATCTTTAGGTTTATTATCCTATTTGGTTGATGCTGTTTTTGTAGATGTATGCTTAGAGTTATCATTTGTTTTATTAAATTGATTATTATTTATGTCGAAATTAACCCCAATAAAATTTGGCACAGGCACATATGATTTAGGTAGAAATGTCTCCAAATCAATTTTTCGCTTATTGGAGTCCCCTACTTCATCATCAATTATTTAAGCCGTATTATTTTTTGGTTTCACACAAATGGGACTTACAAATTACTAAGCAATTTGCGGTAATGCAATTTATTTATTTTCTTATAGTTCTTGTGCTTTAGACTGGTTTCTAGAAATTTGAGCTTATTAAATAATAGCTGAGAGTTCATTTTTTTCATTTAAATATGAAATAAAATGGGAAGCAAAATGCTTAAAGAAAATCGCATCTCTTTAACCTCCATATTCATTAACTCCAATTTATTTACAAATGTGTTAAATTTGAAAGTCTCGATACTAACATATTTTGAAAGTGTACTTAAATTAATGGATTGACTGGACTATTTAATAAATCGACAACCATAGTTTCTAATAGTTATCTGTGTTCCATAATATAATAAATAATGTATTATTTAATTGATCTTTTAAGATCTAAAAATCCTGTAAAAAAATAAACATCACTAACTTATTCAAATAAAATGCCTCTAACCCATTTTCCGGTTACTTCATCGGACATTCCCAAAAATGTGGCAAGCCAACCCAGCACATCATCTATAAACTCTCTTGCCTGCCTCTCTTCCCTTGAAAATATAATAAGCCCAATAACAACTTTTTTGTCAGACTTAAAATTGCCTTCTTATTTTGATTAATAATTCTCAAATATTTTTGAGATCTCTAAAATCATTATTTTAAGTTAAATTGGGATTCGAATTGCTTCATTATTAGAAATTATGATAATTCCCATTTTGAATTGTTTCTTCGTAAAGTTTCTTCTATTCCTTTACAATCTATTGTCTTTTACTATTTATTAAATTTTCAAACTTCTCCTTCTTTTTCAGACCCGTAATGATTTAACATTTTCGAATGACCAAGTTATTATCGACCTGATCTCCTTGCTATAAACACCATTTGATTATTTCAGAACCTAATCATGAGCATTATGAATAGTGAGTATAAATTGATTGTGTGCCCTGAGATCTTATATTTACTCTTAGGGAGTTGTGATATTAGTTCATGTTTTGTTAATTGCAAAATCTATTATGTTGAGTACATTTCATCAGGTCACTCCTAAACTTATATATTAAACATTTAGAATCTGTACATATTAATTATTATTAAAAAGTGAAAATACTCTAAATAAAAGCATTCACTTTTTAGTTCCCACACAAAGATACTCTTTTTCATATCCCAAATTCAAGACCATCATTCTGCATATTATTAACTCTATATTGTTGATAAATTAATTATTTGATCAGACAAACAACATCAGAGTTCTTTAATGACTCATTTAATGATAATTCAAGATGAAAACCTATAAAACCTTGGATTTAATATACCTCAAATTTATCTTCCCCTAGAATTTATACAAGCAGTTCATTAAAGGTCATTTAATGACTTACTAACTATATTTTGTATGCGAAGGATATTTAAATATATTACTTACTTAAAAATAATATGCAAGTGAATTTAACTATTTACATGATATATTAAGAATACAGAATTTATAAAAATATGTATAAAATTCATCAATCAACAATATTAGAAAAGGGGTGTTATTTAAATATTTCCCATTTTTAAGTACCAATTTCATTATAATCATCAATTGATATAGAAAATTAGGAAAGCATACCTTAATATTTATTGGCAAAGTTCTTCATTCCAAACCATGTTCCAAATACTGGATCAGAAGCAATTTTAATAGCAATAGGGCAATCATATTCGGATATTAGATCTTTTTGCAATCTTTATATAATCCCTTATGTTTTTGCTCCACCTCCAGTTAGGATGATGTTTTCTAGTAAAAGTTTATCCAAACCTTTTGACGATAATTTGATCATATCTACCAAACCTTATTGTTCCACTCCAATTAAGTTGGGTTAGAAGTAGATTTCTTAACATCTCACCCGATCGACACTTAATTGAACTTGGCTGAGATTCATGCCTAATTAATGTACGTTTGCAATTGATTTAAGAATTTTAATTTCAAAATCAGGATCTAAGTCTTTTAGTTCTTATTCAATTTCTTATAGTTTATATTTAGACTTTTCATCAGCAGAGTCTATTTCTTTGGTAACACTTCTATAGATTTCCCAATCCTTATCATCTTTTCCAAAGTCATCTTCTACTTTATCATCAGCTCCAAGGAAGGCTAGAGTTTAGATTCTTTTTTAATTGAATCTTGAATTTCTACTATTCATTTCTTATTCTAATTTTTTTCGTTCTTGTCTTTAAAGAACTATGCGATCTCTTTTTTCATATAGCATTTGCAAATATTTCTCTGGTTCTTCTAATTTAAATTTATTGGCATCTTTCTGTAATTACTTAAATTCCTAATTTTTTTATTTTTTGAGTAATGCTTATTCATGCATGACTTTTTGATATCTCTTCTAAGTGTAAGTTTATCGTCAGGCACATTTAGTAAATTATATTTTAATTCATCTAAAGCCTCTTTAGGTGCTAATCCAAGTTTAACTTGAAGTGTTGTAATTTTCTTTTTGAGTTCATCATTGTTTTAGTCCGTTTCTAATTCCTATTGTAATGCTAATAATTGTTATTCCAATTGAGATTTCCTATTCTATCTGCTTTATTAGATGGACTCCTGTAATCTTACTCTCATCCTTTGTCTATTTTCATCCTTTCTTTTTAAATCCTCTGCGCTCACAATTTTCTGTACAATAGGAATATCAATATATATTGAATCCAAAAATTACAACTAATCATCATAAAATCTATTTTGTTCTGATATCTTATCTCTGTATCCATAATATTATTAAGGTCCCTAGAAATAACGCAATTAGAGTTAATAATCTATAGCCACACTAGTGTATTACTTATGCCAATAATCCATTTGAGCATATGTGAACTTCAAATGTGGGTGTCTTAATTAGATTGTTTAATAAAAGTATTTCAAACTGTTTAACCCACCCAAATTCAGTCTTTTTATATTGGAATATATCACTTGACCATTGACTATTGGCACTACATGAACAGTTTGATCACCGAAATGAACTATTAGCTATGTTTGTTTTAAAAAAGCCTCCAAGTCGTCCTGAAATACCGAAAATAAAGCATCAACTCCTAACATCACACTTGGTACTTGATAACATTCAAACATTTGCTCTAAGACTATCATCCTAGCTAAATCAGTAGTAGCAAAACATTCTGTTAATATCATTGGATGATTCACTCTGCCATGTCTTCCAGCCTAAAGTCTTTCAAACACAAAATCATTTAATTATTCTAATGCACCAGAATGCTAAATGAGATTCTTCTCAAATGGAGATCTATAATTCTTAAACACATCTGTGTCCCATTAAGCTATCTGATTAGATTGTGTATTAGAGTCCTTAAATTTATTGATATAGCTGCGAATAACTACATCAGGGGCTTGTGATGTTGCATAACCCTCTGATAAACAAAGTCATTACTGCTTTGATTGTCGAGGATCCATAATCTATCAAGAGAGGCACATCATTTTTTGCATTCGCATAGTTATCTCTCATATAATTCATTATTATTAATTAATTTTAGTAATTTAATCGACTTCGTGAACTTAATAAATATATGCAATGGAATTATTATTTATCATTGAAAGTAATCTTCTTTTGCCCTCCATCATTAGTTCTTTTAGCTCATTTACACATAACCAATTTGTTTATTATTTCACATTTATGTAAATAATGATGATTACTAACATAATTTACTTGACCCAACAACTTAACTGATCATTTATAATACTCTTAAGGTTTTTTGTAAATTTTTAATATAGTATGGAGTTTTATGATCCTGTATGGAAATTTATTTAAAAGTCGAAAATATAATTTGATATATAGATATATATGAAATGTTCAAAATAATTGTTTTATCCAATATAAAACAAAATTTATCAAACTGTAAATCTTCTTTAAGGATTACAAGGGTTCTCAACTATACAAAAAATTTCTTGTTTGCTATTTGAAAGTTCAGATGTTTTAGATGCTTTGCATTTTTGCCAAATTGGATGAATAATTTTGATTAGATCAATGATTAAAGTCATAAAGAGTATAGTACTCATTAAACCGATTATATTCCAACCTATAATAATTAATACATCTGCTTAATATTGATAAAAATCATTTACTAGATACATTCCCAAAATAATAAATTGTAAAAGATGAGATGTGAATTACTTAAAATTTTCTGATGGTAGCATTTAGATTTTTCGAATATAAAGAAAGTAAATGTATTGGAATTCGTTTAAAAGGCATAGTAATATTTGAATTTAAGAGGATTCAAAAAAAAAAATGATAAATGAAATAAAAAACAGTTTTTACATGCACAAATACGTAAAACTGTTATTCTTTTATGAGGATAATTATTGTGTTTTTGCTATTTGAATGCTAAATGAAGTATTTGAGATTATTACTAATATAACTCCATAGAGTATTAAAATTGCAATTGAAACACCTAATTAACCTTCAGAATCAGATTTTTGATATTTTAAGGCTAAAAAGATATTGATTCCAAATTCATATATCATCGTCAAAAAAATGGCTTAAATTGAGTCAATAAGTTTATTCATTTAAATTCTAAGACAAAGTTTTTGTACTGCACTTACAGCAGCCACTAACACATGATTAGAGTAAAAACCTGTCAATTAATCAATTTTTTTCAAAAAATAAAAGGCTACTTTTTTAAAACAAAAATAGGCAGGAAAAAATATTAAGTAAGCTAAGATTAATTGTGCAATATTATTTAAATAATTTGCATTCCTATCATCACTTTCGAAGACAGGTTCAGAATGGTAAAAAGATACAATACTAGACATTTATCTATTAGGATTAATTCCAAGAAAATCAAAAAAATTGGTTAACTGAATTATTTGAAATGTCTCATAATATTTTTGTAGATTTACTCCAATTCTTGAATTTATGTATTTCAAATAATAAAGCTATTAAATAGTATCTAATAAATTGGAAATGATTTCAGATTGTCCTGATAAAGATGATATAGCAATTAACAATGCCGCAAATTTCAAAATGTAATCATTAAGTCCAATTAAAGATTTTATAACCTTTTATTCTTATTCTTTTAAAAAATTTGATGACAAAAGTTTTATTCTTAGGATATCTTATTAAATCTCAGCTCCGTCCTAATTAACCAAAATACTTTGATCTATAAATCGTAATTTAAGAATAGGATTTGAACAATATTTAATGAACTCAATAGCTACTTGAATATCTACAAATTAAAGATCATGAGTAATATTTAATTTTGGAATAATTTAAATAAACGCCACATCAGTCTAATTATCAATCTCAAATTTTAAATTATCGAGATAATCTTATTAAGTGAAACCATCTATTAATCTCATCATAGTAGAATATTTAAGTTTGATATATTGAACACCAGACTATTCTTTTTCATATTCTAAATAGGAATATGTTGAACTTAATATAACACATTCATTGTCTTTACATGTACTATTCTCTGATTCAGTGCAATCATTATCACAACCATCTCCATTTAATAGATTGCCATCATCGCATTCTTCTAAATCAGTCATAATTCCATCTCCACATTAAGAATAGCACATATCATTAATTAAATAATATCCAGTAAAACAAGTGAAACAGGAGTCGTTTTCACAAAGGTTACAACCACTATTGCCACATGCATTCGTTTATTCATAACAAATCATATTAACCAGTTCATAATCTTAAACGCATTCAAGACAAATATTTTATGGTGAACATTCTAAACAATTAACGCCACATTATAATTTGCACAAATGGCATTCATCATCGGTTATATCATTACTATCATCGCATTCTTCAAAAGGGTATACTATAATCCCATCTCCACATTATGGTCTACAAGATTAACTTGCAAATGAATAGTATAATCCTAATTCACAAGTAATCTGATCTTTGTAACATTCTCCTTTTATGCATTTACAACCTGGTAGACATGAGTATTGACATTTATGGCATCCGTCAAATTCGATGTCATTGCCATCATCACACTCCTCTCTCTAATATATAAAACCATCTCCACAAATACTATAACATTAATTAGTGTCTTGATTATAATAACTTCCTGGTTATGTGCATAATTCTAAAAATTCACATTAAAAAGTAGCTGGAACAATAATTTTATTCATTTCGCAGAGAATACACTTGCCAAAGTCACAAATGTCACAATTTGAACTACATTGATACTTGCATTGATAACATCCATCAAGTGCCAACCAATTTTAATCTTCGCATTCTTCCGTTCCAGATATTATCCCATCCCCACAAATTGGTATACATGTGTTAGTAAATATATCTAATTCAAAATTCCTATCACAAATAATACACTAATTATTTAACTAAAAATAACAAAATTAAATAAATTAAGGTAAAGCATCCAGAACCTTTAATTTAATTATTTCATATCTTTTCTAAAATTAGCAAACATTTTAATGCAATAAATATCCTTTTTGGCATTCTTAACAAATTCCTTCTATAGATATTTTGCAAAATTCAATTATTTTTGGTTTGTATTATTCCTAAAAAGGAATTTTCGGAATTTCACGTATATCTACACATACGCCATTTTACACTTCATATCCATCAATACAAAATAAACAAATACCTTTCAGACAATGCAAACATTATGTTTAACATTAATAAACACATTAATGACATCCATCAAATGCAAATTAATTGCCATCATCACAATCCTCCCCTTCTACAACTATTGAATCTCCACATATGTTCCTACAATATTGACTCACAAGTCTAAAACCATCCTTACATAATGTGCACCCATTATTTGTGCATGTTAAACATGATTATTAACATGAAAGCCTACAATTATAACACCCATCTAACATTAGGGTGTTCATATCTTCACATTACTCATTTCCAACATAGATTTTATCTCCACATGATTCAATACATTCTCTTTTGTATGGATCTAAAGTCCAACCAAAATAAAGACATTCAGTACAAATTCCTTTGTTACATCTTGTACATTGTGGTTAACATTCGATTCTACATTAATAGCATCCATCAAATTAAACGGAGTTTGAATCATCACACTCTTCTAATCCACTAATTATACCATCTCCACAAATGTCTAAACAAGGAAAAACTGTTGTACTATTACAAACAGTACATTGGGCAGGACATTAAAATCTACAATTATGACATCCATCATATAAGATTAAATTTCCATCATCGCATTGTTCTCCTACTACTAATTATAGATCTCCACAAATAGGTATGCATTAATTATTTACATTATTGTAACCAGATGGACAAACAATAGTAGGACAATTCTAATTAAACCAAATGGATATGCCATTTCCACAAATCTTATAACAAAAAGTAAATGAACTATCTTCCACTGCAGGACATTAAATACAAGCATCTGAACCATTATCATAATATCCTAATTGGCATTTACAATCAAATCCATCCAAAACCCTAAATTGTGTTGAATGACAAGATAAACAAGAAGAATCTGATGACCCAAAGCAATTTTCACACTTTTATGAACAAGTCAAACATTTCAATTAATATTCATCAAAGTAATATCCATTACTGCATTCACAAGTATTTCCATTTAATATTAAATTAATTTAAACCTTACACGCTTAACAATTTTTATTAGTAGGTCCACTGCATTTACTACATAGTTTATCACATGGCTAACATTATTGTATATTATTTTAGTTATAATAGCCATCATAGCATAGACATTATCCATTCTCTAAATATCGCAAATATTTAGTTTCACAATGTATACAATAGTTGCTTGACTAACACTATTTACAACTATAATCGCAATTTAAGCAACTTGTACCATCATAGTATTAATTAAGTTGACAATTTAAAATACAAGTGTTAAATACCAATCTATAATTAGGCTGACATGTTAAACATTCATATTCATTAAAACACGTAAGACATTCATTAGGACAGTCTTCACAAGTGGAAGTAGTTTCATCTAAAAATTAATTTGATAGACATTATGATTATTCTACTTTTACAACACTTGGATTGTAAGCCGTCCACTAATCACAAGTTGATTCACTTGTGCATAAATTGCAATATGGTTTACAGTAATGAACAACTATATAATAGTTTGATAGTCCACAATAGGAATCAACAACATCAACCCCATAACATTATATTGCAATTGTCAAAGTTGGATTATAAGTTAAGACCCGTTCTATAATCTAAACTGGATTTAGTGAATATAAAACTCTCTATTCGGTACCATTATTAATTTCATACGAAAAATAATTTAAAGAGGAAATTGGAAAATTGGGACCAAATATAATCTAGAAATATATTGTTAATGAGTGATGTGGATCCAAATTATATATCTACGAAAATCTAGATTATGCCCATACAAATTTTCCTCCAAAAATAATTTTATTTGTTAGATAAGACCAAAAGATGTCAGTTCCCTTTTAAAAATCTGTAGGATAACTTGTTTCTAATACAAAAGTTGAATTCAAAGTGTCCCTTACTGTGAAATTATAGAATTCTTTGATTAAATATTTGGAATCTAATTCGATAAATTTTAATATTACATTTAGTTTCTTAATCATAATACACACAAATCGAATTGATTAGAAGTGAATCAGCAGGACAATATTATTAGGAACAAGTTCCATCTGATACTTTTTAGTATCCACTTGCACAAGTCTAACACATGTATCTTTAATTACAAAGAATACAGTTAAGAGGGCAGAAACCAGAAGTTAATGTAAATAATCTAAAAAACCACCCTGCATTAGGTTAACTATTTAGGATAATTATAATACGTAAAATTTCCTTGGATTATAAAAATGAATTTCTTCTCTAAAATAGGGAAAAACATATCAAGTTCAATAAAGATATTATTTGTACATGATCCTGTATTTGGATAAGTTTTTAGATCTCTTAAATTAACATTATCGAATTTGAATTGTGTGCCATCATAGTAAGTTGAACCATAATAGGTAGAATTGACATAAAATGAGACACCTGATCCTGCTGGTATTGAATTACAGAAAACCAATTAAATCTATGCTCCTACTGTATAGTTCCCAGAATATATATTCATAGCAACATAAGCTCCTTCTCTAAAGTGAAATACTCCGTAATTATAGGGTGACATCTTTTTGTTTGATACATCGATATGCTATGGATCATATAGTATATTCCAATTTAATAATGTATTCAAATCTAAAGAAGCTAGGTTAGAATAAATATATTATATATGTTTAAAGTCAACACAAATTCTATTTTAAGACCTTACTATTGAGTTTTTTATTGGGCATTGGTTTACGCAAGTTCCATTAGGCAACATATTTTATCTAAGTGAACACCTACTGAATATTACATCCCAAACTAAGCAATCTATTATGTTTGGCCCATTACATGATAAGCATTTCGGATAGCAAGATAAAATACCAACATGTACATTTCTAATTTAGGCCTAATTTAAAGGGTTAACAATTGAAAAAATAGGGTAAGTGAGATTGCTAGATGTGTAAGGTAAGATAAGATAAAAAGTTTTAATTTCAAATTAAATCGAACTGCACAATCCTTAAGAAAAATATAATGGGTCTTATGTGGTATATCTTATTTGATAATAATAACTATCATAATTGATATCGATTGCGTCATTCATCCATTAAGATGTAAAATAGACATCAAAGAACAACAATTTTTTAACATTAGGAATTAAAGGGCTTAAGGTTGTTTAACTTTAAATAATAGACATTTACGAGCTGTCTAATAAAATAGAGGTTCCTGGGGAACTTGAGCAATTTACAAAATTGGCTGGACTATTTGTTAAGGAGTTTCTGAAACCATAAATGCAATTAATATTAGTACAATAAATATTCTTGGCTTCGTAAACTCCATTATATATAGTAGTCCATTAAGAATTAAGCTAACAATACATCTTTGTTAGGCATAAGAGGAAAATCGTAATTATTTTATCCATTAAAATATTTAATTCATATTTTTCATAATGTGCATGTTTTAAAAATATTATAAATTGTTTTGATAATGTTCTTTTATCGGTATCAATTTCAAACATAATAAATTTTCTATATTTTTGGAATTAACTGAAATGAATGTTTTTTTTTTTAATTTGCTCATTTTGCGTGCTTATCCTATTTCTGAATATTTCTAGATTAAGAGATTTTCAAATTAAATTAGAAAGTGATACTTATTATAATTTTATACATAATTAGATGATAATTTGATAATATGAAACACCAAATAATCTATTGGTAACATTCAATTTGAAGAAATCCATCTTTCCAATAATTTTTTTTTAAAATAATTGTGTTTTACATGGATATCATTCAATATATCGAATGGCATTTATTAATTAAGTCGATTTATTAAGGTATAATAATACAATTGTGCAAATTAAATTTTATTAAGGAATTTACATATTATTATAATTTGCATCATCTATATTTTTATATTGATAGTTAAACATAATAACAAATATGAATGAGATTCCTTTGTTTCTGGGATATAAATTATTTAGAAAGAGAGATTGACTATTTTTAGATCCATAAAACAATTTTAAGCTTTTATTTAATATTTGTGGCTCTTTTATTAATTAACTTATATATAAATATACCCCAGAATACTTTGAATAAAAATATTTTATCAATAATATTTTTTAATATTAATTGATTTCCTATTTATATTATTTTTGTATAAAATTATCTATTTTATCATAATATTTAAGATATTTCTTATATAATAGGATATTCATTTTTACTATAGTTATAAAATTTCATTTAATTAAGACTAAAGAATGTAGATAATATTTATTTTAATGTAAATGAATAAAACATCTATCACTATATACAAATAATTTTATATTTGTCTTATCATACAAAGATAAGACTTTCTGAAGATTTTCTCGACCATCCACAGTCGTTGCCAGTCATTAAAAAATTTTGATTTTTGTAAGAGTTCGTCAATAATGAATTTCTGAGAGTTTTCCTTCTGTTTAAATCTATATTTTAATGTCTTTTATCAAGAATTGAGCCTTGATACCTTAGACTTTAAAGTGGAGACTTTACAGAAAATATGATTTTTTGAATCATCAAGGCTTTGTCCTCATTATCCGAAGTTGATGTATTAACATGAGAATTATAATTCGATTATTTTCTTGAATCAGATGACGACAATTTAAAGTAATTACTGAATTTAATAGGTTCTCTGTTCTCAGATTTGTACTATAACTTAAACTTCTGACTTCGAATTGTTTTTATTCTTCTGCTTTGTTCAGTTTGCACTCTTTTTCCACTTGGGTTATTAATGAGCATTTAATTAGCCATTATTTGTGAAGTTGAGTTTACTCTTATTTTTTGTTTCGGGCAGTATATAGATATCAGTGTTGCGTTTTTGTTTTTATTTCCTTACATCTATCTATATATTTAATTTATATTAATTATTATAAGTATCAATTTAGATTAAGAGTTCCTGAAAATGGTTTTCAGTAATATTTAAATCACGTCATCAATATTATATTAATATTTTGATAAAAAGATTCATTTATATTACAATCTAAGCTTGTGTACTCCTTAAAGAATATACATTGTGTATTTGTTTAAATTAAATTATTTTTCTATTTTAACAAAATTTAAATCTTTTCATAATATTCAAAAAGTCGATCTAATCGAATGAGGTTTGGTTTTTCAAGAAAAGACATTCATCAATCATATATTCAATAATTTCATCCTAATCTCAATTCTTTTGAAAATTAGCTCTTAATCTAGCGATTATTAGAAAATTTGTTTGGCTATGTCTTATATGATATTGCAATCTCCTCTCTTTTCAATATTCTCAGCTGAGGATCTTCATAGATAAATAAATCATTTTGTTATCTTCAATTAATTACTGATTTGTCCCTTTCCATCTATTAACCATAAATATGGGAAAACTAGAGCGTAATAAACTATCCTTATATCTTTAAGAGAATTTTTGCAATCAATATACATATTATAATTTAATTACAATAAATACTTGTTTTGAAATGGTTCCCAAATAATTTAGAAATCGATTTCTATGTGGCATAGTTCCATTTTGTATATCTTATTTATTATTGTTAAAATAGTCCTCTTCTATCTCTTGAGTATGGATTTAAGTATTTATGCAGAATTGTATTATTTTTCAATATCTAATTAATGGTAAGTGTTCAAAAAATTATTTATAATTATTCAATTTGGAATTAAGTTTGAAATCTCTTGAATAGATTCGTAATTTAAACATCTTTAAGTTAGATTGTTAGTTTAAGTATTTTAATATATTTATAAATATGAATAATTATTATAAATCAAGTAATACTCACATTTATTGAAATATTACTATATATTAATATTCATTTATTTGTATTCTAAATTTACTTAGATCTATATAATAATGATCTCTCAAGCATAAAATTAATATTTAGAATAAAAATTTAATTTTTATGCAGTTAAATGAAAATGAAGAAAAAATCATAAAAGACTTATTCAAAAAAGTATGATCTCATTCATTAAATTAAAGGTTACATTATATTATAAAGAGTATATGTCTATGCCAGATGATGGCGATTTTCCTAATTAACATTGTGTAGATGATATTGCAGCATCATTTAGAATAATTTGTTAAATTGTTGAATCATTTTTGATAGGTTATAAATAATTATAACATCAGCATATTTTGTTAGAATAAAAATTAGTAGAAGCTGAATCAGAAATTAGAAATCATATAAGAGTATTCTTGTAGCAATATAATAGATTTAACAAGAAATAAAGGTTTGGGGAGATTCTTTACAGGATGAGATAATATCTTTACAATAGGACTTAAAACGATAGAAAGTAAAAGTGTTGGTAAAAAACAAATTTAATGAATTCTTAAGACTCTTGAAAGAGAATTAAGTTTATAGAAAAATTATAAAAATGCATGCACAAGTTAAGAACGATTACCAACAGAAACAACATAAGATAGACAGGACAAAATGCTGAGTTTGCTATCATCTCAAAAGTCTAGATAAGTTTAAGGTTAGGGATATAAAAAGAAAAATATGAAGCTTTAATATTTTGAAGATAAATAGTAACATTTTTTTTATAAGTTCTAAGAAATAAGTCCTTTACCTAACTTGCCTAATAGTTTTTAAATTCCTCGTTGTCTAAAACCTTAAGATCTGGAATCGTAACTTAGAAAAAGAAAAAGGCCACAACTAAATAATGTAAGACAAATTAAGTTAATCTAAAAATAAAAAATTAAAGATGTCATTCTTAATAAGAAAGAGCCAAAACATTAAATGATTAATCGTTTTACTATTGAAATAAGATTTATTAAAATACATAAAATAATCATTTCTACATTAACCTTTTTTGAAGCATCATTCAATCAGACTTAAATTTCTTCTTTTTAATAGTTTTTATTTTAAAATGATAAACTATAAAGTAGATTAATTAACTAAATTTGCTCTGCTACAGAGTCTATTGTTCATAAACCGTTAACATACTTATGAATTTTTACATATCTGAGTAATTATATAGATTTCTTAACGTATTTGATGTTGGAATTAAATTTAATAATCCTATGATTAAATCATTGAATTAGAAAGGAAGAAACGATTCTCATATCATTTGAAAGATAGAAAAATAAAAAGTTGTTTCAAATATTGGAATGGTTTTAATGAACAGAAATATCTAGAGTGAGAGGTTTAAATTTTGTACACTAAATTTAATTAATATTTATCAAAAATTATCAAGATGACAGAATCTTAACCTCAACAGAGATTTCGGGATATCTAATTTAATAAAATAGAAATTAAAGCTATTTCTCATACTACTGTGAAGGAATTAATAGGATCTTTAAATAATAAGGTTTTTGATTAACAATTCGAAACAAAATATGCAAATCATATGAATGAAAGAGTATTTGTATTCAAAGTGATATATGATGGTTAAGGTTGGGAGATAAGAAGGACAGTTGGATAGTTTATACAATTAGAGTAGGATATGGCAAATAACATATTTTATTATATTTTCCAAAAAAAGAAGATAACAGGAAGTCTGGAAACAGATGATCCAAAAAAAACATTAGTTCTACTTCATAAATTCTTACAGATGATCACTTGCAATGAGATCATTCCATAATGTGCATTAACATTTTTAGAAATCTCTTGTATTAATTTGCCATTCAAAATGAAAGAATGTTTTATGGAAAAGAAATCAGGAAGTAGAACAACTACAAGCTGTTGCGAATCATTAGAAACAAAGCTTGCAAAATGGCAAAAGAGATATTTTATAATAACTCAGCAATCCCTACTCTATTTAAAAGGCCCTGAAAAGGATAAATGTTAAATTAGAGAATGTCTAAGTTTTGATTCTGATTTCAGTTTTTAATATGGCAAAAAGGAGACAGGAGATGATAATAAAATTATCATCTAATTTTCATAGAGGAAATTGATTTTAAGAGCTGGAAATTTGACAATTTTCATTGACTTCATCTATTCTCTCTTTAGATCAATTAAGGATAGTCCATATACAAAATTGCATAGATTTGGATCATTTTCTCCGATCAGAACTTCTGAATGCAAATGGTATATAGATGGAGATAAATACTTTGAGGATGTCTGTGATGCCATCTTGAAAGCAAAAGAAACAATCTACATAACTGATTGGTGGCTGAGTCCAGAGGTGTATCTAAAGAGACCTGTAGATGTGAGAAAATACGCTTAATCTAGTGAGTTTCTGTATACAAGACTTGATAATGTATTAAAATTAGCTGCCGATAAGGGAGTCTAAGTTTTGGTATTATTGTACAATGCTCTACTATAATTTTTATATAATGACCCAAAACATGCGAAGATGTAATTAGAAAGTATGTCTCCAAATATAAGGGTTTTAAAGCATCCACCTTAGAAAATACCCAAAATCTTTTCTCATCATGAAAAAATGGTAGTAATAGATTAAAAAATTGGATTTATGGGTGGTTTGGATTTATGCTTTGGAAGATGGGATACTTAAAAACATCCGTTGTTTGAGGTTCATCCTTTTGAATAACTATGGCCTTAAATTGATTTTTCAAATTCTAGAGTTCGAGATTTCTTTGATGTGAGAAATTATGAGGCGACTCTTCTTAAAGAAAATGAACCAAGAATGCCCTGGCATGACATAGCAATTTGTAATATATCCTTTTATTATAATAGAGATTAAAGGAGACACAGTAATAGATTTATCTAGGCATTTCGTTCAATATTGGAATCATGTGATGATGACAAAATAAAATAAGAAGAAATAGTAATTAATACATGCTAACGATTTAAAAATGGAAGGATTTGTACCTAACAATACTTCTAGTTTTGTTGATTATTCAAATGTTGTATATACAGGAAGAAAAGAATCTTTAATTCAGATGAAACAACCTATTCTGTTAGATGAAATAAAAACACAAGAGGTCTAAATAGAAATGAATCACACTATTTAATAATAGGAACATATTGAAACTTAGCAACAATCCAATGCACAACAATTTATTCAATAGCAACATAAAGATTTCCAAAATTATTAGAAGTATGAAAAGAAATTTATTCAAAAATAAGAAGATGATAATGATGATGAAGATGAAGATCAAAATTATTACGTTTTATAAACTCAACAATAAAATTAGAATAAATAGAAAAGTAAAATGAAAATGGAGAAAAGTAAAATGAAAATAGAAAAATCTGAACTCAAAAATTAAGGGAATACTGAGGGAATTTAAGCAAGAATTAATTTAGAATTTTTCATTCCTCACATTGACATGAATTAAAATTAATGTAATCCTTTTCTTAAGCTTTTTAGAAAGTTGTATAACATAATTGACAAGATCATCTTGTAAATGGTCAACTGGTATTAGATAAACTGAGAAGTCTATTTAAAATGCTTATCTCTCACTTATTGAAGATGCTAAGCATTTCATTTATATTGAAAACCAATTCTTTATTAGTAATACAGCTGGCTATCCTGTTAAGAATTTAGTTGCATAAGCTCTCATTTCTAAAATCAAAGAAGCACATGAAAAATAATAGAGATTTAAAGTTATCGTATTTGTTCCTCTATTACCAGGATTTGAGGGCGAAATTGATCAATCGAATAGTGCTGTCCTTAAAGTTCAATTGCATTTTGAATATCAAACCATAAGCAGAGGAGGCAAATCTATAATAGAACAATTAAAATAAGAAGGAATCAAGCCAGAAAATTACATTTAATTCTTTGGACTTAGATAACATGAATTATCTCCTCAACCTAACTCAATACCTGTAACTGAAATAATTTATATTCACTCCAAATTAATGATTGTTGATGATCAAGTAGCATTAATAGGATCTGCAAATATCAATGATCGAAGTCTGTAAGGAAATAGAGATTCCGAACTTGCTATAATTGTGTAAGATTAAGTAACAGTTGATACTATCATGGATGGCTAACCATATGTAGCATCTAAATTTGCACATACTCTCCGCACTTCACTCTACATGGAACATTTTGATATGCCATATGAAAAAGTCATTGATCCATTGAATCTCTAATTTGAAAAAGAATCAACAGCATAAGCAAACATCAATACAAGAATGTATAAATAAGTCTTTGCATGTTACCCTCATGATGATATAAAGAAAGTTTCGGATTATTAAGAGGTACTCAATTTTAATTACTTTTAGTTTAAAGCAAATAAACACCTAGATGAATATGATCAATTCAAGTAATACATTAAAGGTCATGCTGTAATTTTCCCATTATAATTTTTATGCGAAGAAGATATGAATATCAAAGTTTCTTAAAAAGAATATTATGTACCAGAAATAAGTTTTACATGATATTTGTGATAATTATACATTAAAATATAAATTTATTACATTTCTTAAACATTCATCTGAAATTTATAAATTATAATAATTAGAATAAATAAATGCAAATGAATTTTGCATTTATTTATATGATCAAATTTATCTCATCTCTAATCAAAGAGTTTAGATATTTTTAATACAATATTCCTATCTTAAAAAATTAAGTAATTTGTCTTCTACAGTCCTCAACCTATGCATTTCTTTCAATTACTGTGAAAATCATTAATTGAATTCGACAATCATTTTATAGTTGTATTAAGAATTAGGTTCCTATTTAAAAAATATAATAAATAAAATTTTCCATAATTATTTATTCACATTTTATGAAGTATTATTATTGAAGTTGCATGATTGATTATTATGTTATTTATCATTAAGAATAGGAAAGTTTTATAAAATCATGTTATTGTAATTATATTTCAATAATAATTAATGTTTGATAGATTCGGACTTTTAGAGCCATATCGATCTTAATCTGAAATCATGAAGATCAATAACCATTCAATTTGGCTTGGTGATTATTCAGCGGCATTAGATATTGTTAGTTTAAAGGTTAACAATATCAAGAGTGTATTGTCAATTATTCATTCAATGGATGTAAAATATACAGACATCAATCATAAAATCATTTATATAAAAGATAAACCAGATATTGATATATTCTAATATTTTGATGTAACGAATGAATTTATTGAATCAGCTTTATAATAAGGTTCATTATTAGTTCATTGTTCAATGGGAATAAGTCGATCACCTGCTATTGTTATAGCATATATAATGATGAAATTTAAGTATCCCTTTTCAAAAGCTTATCATATCGTTAGAAAGCAAAGACCAATAATTTGCCCAAACTTTGGGTTTTCATTCTAACTAAAACAATATGAGAGGATTTGTATATAGCCTAAAATAATGCCTGAAGTTGTATATAAAGAATTCAAATGTCCACCTATTTAATAGGTCAGAAGTATAAGTTTAAGAAAGTCCCCATAACAGCAGTTTATCAATAGCTAAGCTTATAGTGAAAGACAATAATGTAACACAAATACTTCTCTGAGTGCGAGTTCAGAAAGGAAGACAATACACCAGAAAAGGAAATAAAAAGAGAGGAAGTTACCCTAACTTCAACCTTAAATGAATTTTGTTTCTTACAATACAATTAAAGAATTTGCAGAGAAACTCAAAGCCTCAAGATAAAATCAAATATTATATGATTGATGTTTATATATCTTATTACTAAATAAATATACTAAAATTTACTTAATGATCTTAGAATTTAAGTGGCAGGTTTATAATAAATATATAGAATTATGCTGAATAGTTGGTTACATAAATTTAATCATATTCAGTAACAAATAATTGATTGCTTATTAATTGCTGAATTATTCATCTTCTTTGTCTATTATTTTTAAACAAATTTGAAATGCATTTGCAGTATCTTTAACAAAAACTCATAGGTTAACGAAATGACCTTCTCAATCCACTGAATTTCAGGATGTGATCTAATCCTTACTATGCCCAATCCCGAATATCGAATTCATAAATATCAATTTCGAAATTAAATTAGAGACATTATAAAACATTTGATAAAAATCTTAAACTAGATGAGTATATTAAATCATAGTGTTGTTATTCTAGATGCTATTAAATGGTTATATCAAGATACCTTTATGTCTCTGTATACTGTCTCACTGAAATATTCAGCATCAGTCTAATATAGTTCTTCAAAGTTGGAAGCTTCAAAGTCCACTTGTTTTATTAAGAATAGCAGGTCTTTTAATTGATCAACCATCTATTAGTACAATTCTTCAAACTTCTTCAGCAATTCTATCTTCTCTTCTAATGGAGACAAACCCTTAATTAACTAAAAACAAACCTGCTAAAATTTCAATTAGGTGCATATTATAGTACACTTCTAGATGATTCAAGTAAGAAGATTTTCCTTTTTATATCGAATTTGTAATAGATTGAGAAACGCTGTTATTAAAGGATGATCTACTCTTCCCTAAACTTCTTGTAAATCTGTTGTTTGTTGACGCAGGCTCTGTAGCTTCTTGTCCAGACTTTTAGCGACTATCTAATCCTTAATAATGATGAATGCGATTCATTTAATTATTATTTTATGATATTTTGTATGTTCTAAACAAAAATAAAACAACATTTTAATGAGAACTATAAGAAATTACTAAATTAATACACCCTCGAATAGTTAATTCTCAAGAAGTTAAATTTGAATAATGATAATCCATTCAAATTTAAATTATAGGAACTCTAATGTAATCTCTATCTTTTGGACAAAGACTATTGAATTTAATCAGAACCCCTTTCTCCAAGATTGATTTTGATAAATATTTAGCAACATTATAAATGATGGTTTAAAACAACTTAGAAGATTATTATTAGATTATTAGGAACTTTTGAAGATAAATTTATATTTGATTATTCTATATACATAGAGTTTAGTCATTAGTTTCCTTAAAATAAACTGGAAGAAGTATTTCTAGTCCAACAGTTTATAGACATATTAGTTGGACTATGCTCTTTGCTTTTTTCTATTATAGGCAATCTAATGATAATTTTTTTCTGCTCTTTTGTTTAAGTTTCATTACCCCTTGAGATGTGGCATACACATTTAGTTGGTAATTTCTATGGTTTTGAATATATTCTTTGGGTGTTTTTAACATTCATAGAAGAGGGTTAAATTATTTTGAGACAAGAATTGCAATCAAAATCAGGCATTATTCGATATTTGCTACTTCTTGATTATCTAGCCTTTTTTACTCTTGTTGTTTAGACTTGAATTTGATAAAACATTAATGAATTGTTATCAAGGTTGATGGTTGGGGGGATTTTTCTCTCTTTTTGGAATTTGCAAAATTGATTTTGTTGAGAAACAAGGTGAATGGGTTCAAACTGCATTAAGTCCTAAAATCTGTCATTTATATCGATATTATAAAATAGTGGGGTGTGTAAAGGTGGTTCTATACTAGATTACGCAATGCTCATGATGTAAATTTAGTTAAATTTATTTATATAGATTAAGAAATTTATACTATAAAATATGTAAATTCTTTATCTAATAAACATATGAGAATGATATCTATAGAAAAAGGTAGTTATTTGAATATCTTAAGATTTTCGAGATTATATAAAAGATTATTAACTTACATTGTGCTTTGATAAATTTAAGATTTTTGTAAATAGTATATATTTAATTGATAATTAATATGAAACACGATTTTATTAAGGAAAGGGATTTCAAAATAATCGAAAAAATTGGAGAAGGTGCCTTTGGTTAAGTATATAAAGGATTGTACAAAGGAGAAGAAGTTGCAATAAAAGTAAAAATTTATTAGATGCATAGTCTATGCAAGGTGCTTAATTATAAGAAAACTCGATTATGGAGAATCTTAAACACAAAAACATTATTAAATTTTACAAAGTAGCAATAGTTATGATTAATGTAGTATTTTAAACAAGGAAACAATCAATACTTGGTCATGGAGTATGCTGGAGGTGGTTCTCTTAGTGATTACATGAAATAAAGTTTAGATGAAGAAACAATAAGCACAATTATGAGATCTATATTTGCAGCCGTAGAGTATCTCCATTCTCAATAGATAATCCATCGAGATATTAAACCAGGTAAACCTTTTGAATATTATACATTATTAGATAATATCTTAATAAAAAATAGCGAAGATCTTTCTAGTGTTAAGATTGCTGACTTTGGATTAAGTTACTAATATATGCCAGAAATTCGATATTATCAAACAGTTTCGTAATAATGCGGCACATTTATATTTATGGCACCTGAATAAATTTTAAATAAAGCGTACAATAAAGCAGTTGATATGTGGTCATGTGGTGTTGTCTTATATATGTTATTAAATCAAGGCAAACATCCATTTTATCCTCGAATTTCAACCAAAAAGGAATTCATTAATAGCTTTCCAGATCTAAAATATGAACAACCTTTCCATGCATCATTATTGGCAAGAGATCTTCTATAAAGATTACTGCAATATGATTAGGATTCTCGATACACTGCAGCATAGGCTTTGGTTCATCCATGGATCACTCGAAATTTTAGTCAACCTATACCAATGAGTGTAAAAGAATTTGGCATTTGTCAAGAATAAAAAAAGAAAGTATAAGTTTTGAGTACAATTAGTTTTTTCAATTTTTAAAAGCTTTATTATTTTTAAATCAAGTTTAAGAGGATTCAATCAAACAATCTCCTATCCAATCCAAAACTGATTTAGGAGATTTTAAGATATCAATTGTCGAATTTGATGAAGACAATTATGAATAAGAATATTAGGATACGAACAGTCCTAAAAATTAGCAATTCTTAAATAAGTTATCTATTCAAAGACCAAATAAAATTTTAAAATCCTATCGCACTCTTAACAACATTCCTTACAAAGGCAAGCATTATCAATTAAACTCAATTCTTAATTAGACAAATGAGTCACCAATCAGAGATTTTAAAAAACTTAAATTTTAACAGTAATTTAGCATTGACAATGATTAAATGGTTATTCCAAAAGATCCAGAATCTCCAAAAAAGTAACTGAGAGGTACCTAATCAAATAAACTACTCTTACCTGCATTAACAGAATCAACATAAGTTTCTCTCAGTCCAATAAAGCAGAAATAAAAACCACACCTTAAACAAAACTCCTTTAGAAAATCAGAAACTTCTTTTTTTATGGGTTTAAATAGATTGAATAACGATTCTGCTTTAGAGACGGGAACGTTTAGAAATAGAGTTGAAACATATGACAGAACCTAAATCCCCATTATAAACACTTAGAGATTTTATGGAAGAAACACAATTACACACTTAGTAACATCTCCCAAGAATAGCATTGCTACATCAACCAATCTTCTTCTTCCAAAGAAAATAAAATGATAAAAGTTTAAATATGAATAAATAAAATCAACCTAATTATGATCTTTGTTCTATGCTTTAGGATATATTTTCACATCTGCTAATAATTTAATTTTAATCTAGATCCTTATATTTATCTAATTTATTGAAAAATTTAGTGCTAATTAGCTCAAAAGTTTCGACTATTAATTATATTATTTTCTTAAGTGAACTAAATTTCTTGGTTTTTTTTATTCTTAAAAATTCGAAATTCTAAAAATAGATTTGTATTTTCCAATTATTTTTTAATTGATTATTTATATGTTTAAGTAATTTAGGAATAGAATTATCAAAAAATGTATCATTAATTTCCAAGATGAAAAACTTCTTTGTAATTTTACCAAATAATTTGTTTATTAATATTAAATATTAAATTATTCAAAATTATGATAAACTTGGTATAACTTAAGTAAAATTAAGATTATAAATTTTTTTGAAGAGTTTTAAAAAAATATGTAAAAATTTTAATTAAATATTTATTATCAATCTTAATTTAATTGATTAAAGTCATTTTATTATTACAGTTCCTAATGATTTTTTTTCTCTAATAAATCTATGATTATTATTAAATAATTACCTTATTTGTTTATTATTTGAGATTATGTTAATAATTATTGTTACAATTCTTCTATAAGTTGATCTTTTTTCTGAGTATCTCCTAAATTATCACTATTTATTTTTTTTAATTCATCATTCTCTTACAATATTTAACTCATTCTCTAATAGTAGTCTTATTGTTAAATTTCATCTAATTGTGCTTAAAGTTATTAAATTATCTATTTTAAATATTAAATTTCCTAATTCGATTATGAATCGTTTTCATTATTTTCTTAAAATTGATTGTTTTGGTTTTAATAAATTTACCCTTCTTATTATTATGTTCTTTGTTAACTATATTCTTGTAATAGAGAATTTTTATTATCTATTTCTTAATTCAATTCATCAATTTATTAAAGAGCTTGTCCTAATCTATTATAAGCCTCTAAAAAATGATATATAATCAGATACCTGTATAATACATAGTAAGTTCTTCATATTTTTGTTTGAATAGTGTAAAACCTTGTAATTCTTACTTTAGATTCCTTTCATTTTCTTCATATTCTCCTATTTCATCGGCCAATTGTTATAAATTTTTCTTCCATTCTTTAAGTAATTACTATTGATTTATTTTCTTCTCTTAACCAACCGTATTATCATCATCCTCTTCTTCTTCTTCTTAATCTTCGGATTCTAATTTCCTAATTTTAGTTGATTTGTATATTTTAGTTAATTCCTATAAAAATGAATGTTGACTTTTAATTAGATCATCATTTTTTCTTCTTTCTTCATTTAATTCTTTCAATACTATATAGATAGAGTCAATTTTTACATTTTTCTTTTTCATATTAATCGATTTACTAATGATTTTAATTTATCGCATATTCCTTCTTATTATGTCCATTTTAAAATTACTCTTTTTAATTTTCTTCCATAAGTTCTATTATCATAGTGGAATCTTCTGAATTTGGAGATGCTTTTTACAATTAAGCTATTAATTGAGTCAATTCTATAATTTTTTTTTCATTTTATAAATTTTAATTTTGTAAATCTTAAATTTATATATGAAGATGCTAAATTTTTTATTTATTTTCTTCGGTGTGGTCGTTTTTTAATTAATTTATATGATCTTATGGTTGCCATTATTATTTTTGAGAAGCCTTTTCATTTTGATAATTCAGATCCTTAATTTGTTCTAGTTCACTCTTTAAATTTATAAAAATAAATACCTATTGTTATTATTCATTTTATGATGGGTTTGATTTTGAAATAGTTTGTTACTATTCATTTCTATTGATATCGACATCCTACTTTAATTAATTCTCTAACTCGTTCTTTTCTAAATCATCTAATTCAACTATTTTCTATTAATTGATTATAGTTTTTGGCGGAGTTTTCTCAAGTTCTTTTTGTTTCTTTTGTTTTTTTTCAGTTTCTTAATTCTGCTCAAATAAAATAACTTCTTTTTGAATCTAATCCTTTTTAGTTAACAACTGAAATTCTTACTTTTTTTTACCCAACTAAAAAATATTTAGTTTATATACCTAATTTTGTTTAAATTAAATAATGTAATAGCCAGAATTTGATGAAACTTTTGTAAAAATCTAATTTTTCACTTTTTACTTGTTTAATTCTGCACATTATAATTTAATAGATTGTTCTTTACATTTTATTTTTAAAGTTTAGATTTGTTTTTCCAATTCTATATTCTTANATAATCAGATACCTGTATAATACATAGTAAGTTCTTCATATTTTTGTTTGAATAGTGTAAAACCTTGTAATTCTTACTTTAGATTCCTTTCATTTTCTTCATATTCTCCTATTTCATCGGCCAATTGTTATAAATTTTTCTTCCATTCTTTAAGTAATTACTATTGATTTATTTTCTTCTCTTAACCAACCGTATTATCATCATCCTCTTCTTCTTCTTCTTAATCTTCGGATTCTAATTTCCTAATTTTAGTTGATTTGTATATTTTAGTTAATTCCTATAAAAATGAATGTTGACTTTTAATTAGATCATCATTTTTTCTTCTTTCTTCATTTAATTCTTTCAATACTATATAGATAGAGTCAATTTTTACATTTTTCTTTTTCATATTAATCGATTTACTAATGATTTTAATTTATCGCATATTCCTTCTTATTATGTCCATTTTAAAATTACTCTTTTTAATTTTCTTCCATAAGTTCTATTATCATAGTGGAATCTTCTGAATTTGGAGATGCTTTTTACAATTAAGCTATTAATTGAGTCAATTCTATAATTTTTTTTTCATTTTATAAATTTTAATTTTGTAAATCTTAAATTTATATATGAAGATGCTAAATTTTTTATTTATTTTCTTCGGTGTGGTCGTTTTTTAATTAATTTATATGATCTTATGGTTGCCATTATTATTTTTGAGAAGCCTTTTCATTTTGATAATTCAGATCCTTAATTTGTTCTAGTTCACTCTTTAAATTTATAAAAATAAATACCTATTGTTATTATTCATTTTATGATGGGTTTGATTTTGAAATAGTTTGTTACTATTCATTTCTATTGATATCGACATCCTACTTTAATTAATTCTCTAACTCGTTCTTTTCTAAATCATCTAATTCAACTATTTTCTATTAATTGATTATAGTTTTTGGCGGAGTTTTCTCAAGTTCTTTTTGTTTCTTTTGTTTTTTTTCAGTTTCTTAATTCTGCTCAAATAAAATAACTTCTTTTTGAATCTAATCCTTTTTAGTTAACAACTGAAATTCTTACTTTTTTTTACCCAACTAAAAAATATTTAGTTTATATACCTAATTTTGTTTAAATTAAATAATGTAATAGCCAGAATTTGATGAAACTTTTGTAAAAATCTAATTTTTCACTTTTTACTTGTTTAATTCTGCACATTATAATTTAATAGATTGTTCTTTACATTTTATTTTTAAAGTTTAGATTTGTTTTTCCAATTCTATATTCTTATTATAGAGTTTTTCTATTAGTTCTTCATACATGGTTTTCTATGTATTAAAAACAGTTTCTTAGATAGAATTCAAATCAAACATGATCTTAAAGATGAGCTAATAATTTTTATTTAAAATAATTAAATTTTATTTACATATTTTATTTCATAATAAAATACTCTTCTATTTATGATAGAATTAGATTTAAATTTATATAATCTAATCTTCAAATATTAAGAAAAGACATTTTCATTAACATTTTTTGTAAATAATATATTTATCAAAGGAATTTATCTCGAATCTTTAATCCATGCCTTATATGGTTTTGTTAACAAAGTTTTTTTGGTTTTCCTCTTACCCTGATAATGAGCATTTCACAGTGATCATGATGTTTGAGTTTTCTGATTGGGTTAGGTCACAAATATAATGAGGTTATACATTTATATCGTGGTAACATTTGAAATATTTCTAAGCCATCATAGGGATTAAAGATGAGTCATCTACATCTTGGACAGGCATTTAATCATCAATTAGAAAAACCTAGTTTTTAGTATTAATTAAATAATATTGTAAAATAATCTTATGAGATGCATAATTCGGTAATCTAGATGGTTCCTTTTGCAACCATAAACTAAATAATAAGTATTCTTAGGTGCAATGATGCATTTAAAATCCTAAATCTGAAATCAATTATGATAAATTCAATTGATGTTTATCTAATCTTAACCAGATGGCATTCAAATTTTTGTTAGTGCTATCCTATAATATATGCTCCAATTTCTATTTTAATATTTATTGGTTGACCAAATACTTATCCAAACTTTAAGGGTTTATGTGAAGACAATCATAATTATCAACTTTTTGGATTAATGAAAAATAATACTTTTTTGTTATTCTTTACATAATAATAAATGTATTTTATACAAAAAATTACTTAATTTGACTTTGTTGCTTTTTGATTTTTATATAACAAACATTAATCAATTATCTATTATTATGTATTAATTGAAACTCATTTTTAAGCAGAATTAAAGCTATCACATATTTAGTATTAGGTTTGAAGTAGAAATATTTTAATAAACCTTTAGATCAATTTATCATCATCATTCATTTGAGTAAGAATTAAAATTTATATATGGAAATGCTTTTTATCAAAAATAAACAACTAATATTAAATTTAATAGAATTCTAGTTATTAATGAACCTTTAAGGTGATGAGATATTTAATAAACAATTTAAAATAGATCCAACTGTATTAATAGGACAAGGATAATTTGGTAAGATCTTCGAATGCACATCAACTCAAAACAATACTATAAAATATTGTGCGAAAGTAAAATTATTATTCAATAACAGATGATTAATATCAATAGTTAAAATGAGAAGTTTTGTTAAAGAGAAAAAGAGATATCTGAATTAATTAAGAACAATTAAGGCAATATTAATCTAGTCTCTATTTTTCATGTCGAATATCACGAATCACAAAAATAATTTCTAATATTTATGGAAAGGTGTGATTCAAATTTAAAAGAATTATTACATAAAAAAAAGAAATTTAAAGACGAAGAAATTAGCTCATTTCTAAAGCAATTTCTAAATGGTTACAAGTTCCTCTATAATAATAGAATTGTTCATAAAGATATCAAGCCAGAAAATATATTATATAATGGCAAAGATAACTTTATTATTTATAAAATAGGAGATTTTGGTCTTGCAAAAGTCTACAAAAACAATTAGTCTACTAATGATATTAGTCGAAATGGCACTTTAGCCTATTCGGCTCCAGAAGTCAGTACAAATAATTAAGATGAAGAAATATAGAAAAAGTATTCCGAAATGAAAAATATTCATGCAAAAAGTAGGATTGACATTTACTCAGTAAATAATTCATAATAATAGAAAGCTTGGTATCATATTATATTAAATGATTTTTGGCAACTTTCCTTTTGATTTAAATCCTTAATCAGTTAACTTATTTGTTAACAACATAAAGCACCATCCCTTTTAAATAAAAGAAAGGAGTTCTATTCATGTAGAACTTGTAGAAAAAATGCTTGTTTATGATCCCACAAAAAGACTAGACTTTTTAGATTTATTTTAAAGTTTTAACATAGTTATTCAGCCTTAAAATATTGTTTATCAACCGAAATTTCCAGGAAAAAATACCAAAAATCCAATCTAATTTAACTAATAAAACCCAAACTAATTTAACTAGTAAAACTAATAAAACCAATAATTAAACTAATAAAACTAAAAATTTAACTAATAAAACTTATAATTTAACCAATAAAACCAATAATTTAACTAATAAAACTAATCAAATTAATAAAACTAATCAAAATAATAAAACTAATAAAAGTAGTTTAACCAATTGAACTAATAAGACTAATAAAAATAATTTAACTAATTTAACCAATAAAACCAATAAAAATAATTTACCTAATAAAACTAGTTTAACTAATAAAACTAACTTACCTAATAAAACTAATTTACCTAATAAAACTAATTTAAATAATAAATCTAGTTTTATTAATTAAATCAAGCCCCAAATAATTTACCAAATAAAATAGTCTTTCCCATTGGATAAGAAAATCCTTATTAAAATATAAAGGATTATCTAAATTATTTAAAGTAAACTTAAATATTAATAATAGGTGTGATCTTTTTAATGTCTTAAATGACCCAGTGAAATAATTAATTGAAAATATAAACAAGTCGCCTTAAATTAATTAATCTTAGATATAATAGCTTTAGTAATACTTCCCTTTTGAGCTTATAAAAATAGAATAATATAAGGAGATAACCCTGAAATTTTATTATTCTCTAATAAGTATATTAAGGAATCCTTAAAAGTGTTCTCTTGACTTTTCAAATATTAATTTAATTAAGAATGAGCTAAGAAGCTTTTATTAAAAAAATAATTGAGTCATTATAGATGTGATTTTTCTTTTGATATTTATTACATAAGGGCTTAACTACGACTTTATATAAATTAATAATTGAGTAAATCAATAAAATTTTAGTCGTTATATTTTTCTTCTTCAAAGATAATTTGCCTTTATTTACTTTATTTCAAAGATTTTATTTTAAAGTAGACTAGATTCTAGTTCATTTTATGTAAATTATTCAATTTAGATTTGATTGAAATAGCTTAATGAATTTTGGATTTCCTCATTATTCCCTTCACATCAATAACGTCTTTAATTTAATTGAACTTCTTAATAGCTACTGTTCCTTATATGTACTTGATTATACTTTTATATTCAGGTTAATTGATCAAATCCAAAATCACCCAATCAATTGCCACAATTAAAAGGGATAGTTCAAAAGCGATTAATGTCCATTCGTCTATTTTATTATTAATTAATTTATTATTCAAAATGTAAAGAGTGTTTTCATAAATGGGGAGAATTGCAATTCCATACCCAAGACTGTTGTCATCATCAAACTTATATTCGCCTTAAGTCTATTTATAGGCTTTACGTATTCAGAGACATCAGATTCCTCAGAGTTAGATTTTTACATCACTTTCAAGAGATAATACAATTAATCATTATTGTGAATAATCGATTGCAGTTTTAGATTGTCTGAGTAAGAAAAAGAAAAGAGCCAGAAAGAAGTAAATCAGAAGAAAGGGTAACAAAATTATCAATGCCAGAAATAGATGAGCAATCATATTAATATTACATATATATATAATATATAAATGGGTTAGTGTAAATGTGCAACATAATGTTGTTAAAAGGATGAAATAGCATCATAAAAAATATCTACTAGATCTATTTAAGTTTCTATCAAAAATCACAAACTATAGAAGGATTAGACTTCTGATTAAATTGATGCCTTGGTTCAAGATGATTTAGACTCTGGCATTATGAAAAATTCAATGAACAGCAAAGTTTCAATTCAAGAGATTTCTAAAAACTTGGTATCAAACAAATAGCCAATGCCCTAGTAAGTTAAAGACACCATTTAAAGCCAAGAACGCAAATTACTTCCAGTACATAATATTTCAATAATTAGATGATGTTATTGCCTAATGGAACTAAATATGAAGGACAATGGCTTAATGGTATGAGAGATGGCTATGGAAAGTAAATATGGCCAGATGGATCAATCTATGAGGGCTAATGGAAACAAGACAAATCAAATGGTTAGGTAAATCAAATCTAATATGAAGGGAAAATTGATTCATGCTGATGGAGATATCTATGAAGGAGAATGGGTTGATGATGCAGCATGCGGAAAAGGAACCTATGTTCATTACAATGGAGCTAGATATGAAGGCGAATGGCTTAACGACAATCAACATGGAGATGGCATTGAAGTTTGGCCTGATGGAGCAAAGTATTAAGGTCAGTATAAATTTGGCAAAAAAAATGGAAAAGGATAATTAACCTTTATTGATTAAGCTTATTACGAAGGTAGATTTTATTATAAATTAATTAGGTAATTTTATTGATAACGAAATTTCTGGGTTTGGTGTTTATAAATGGACTGATGGAAGAGAATATATTGGTAATTGGTTAGATAATAAAATGCATGGAGAAGGTACTCTTAAATGGCCAGATGGAAAATGTTACAAAGGAGTATCTTAATTAAATATTTAAGAATTATTAATAAGATAAGAAATAAGGCAGAGGAGTATTTTATTTTGGAGACGGTAGGAAATATGCAGGCACTTGGATAAATGGAAAATAATGTGGCATTGGAATATTTTATTAAACTCAAAATTAATATAAAATAGGAGTATGGAGTAATGGATAAAGGACAAAATGGCTCAATGATGAAGAATTAGAAAATCATAAAGATGAAGTCACTCAGCTTTTAGAATTGTGAATTTTATAACTACATTTAATATTTTTAATATATTATAACAGTCATGTCAAAGGGATATCAAGCCTCTGTCACTTCCTTAGGATAGATAGCATAATAGTAAGAAGTAATTAATCCAATGGCAGAATCTAAATTGGCTTCTAGTGTCATAAAAGTACCTAAAATAATTCAAAGTTGCAATGAATTTAATACTCACAACATTCCAAAAGTATTTCATAATACAAGAATAATTAGATCAATTGTTACAATCATCAAGGTTATACTTATACAAACTTCTGCTAACTTGAATCATGTTGCTTTCCATTATGTCCTGAATGTATTCCTTAACATGTCCAAGAGCATTTTGAATCTCAGTCCAAACCCAAATTAGATAGTCTAGAAAATGTCTTAAATAAAGTTCAAATGACAGTCTTTAATGAAGGTAAAACTGAACAATAACTATAAGCAAATAAATTGGCATCTTTCTCTTAGAACATTGCAAATTCTGTATTTATGGCTGATCAGATGAATATGTAATGCATCAAACTATTAAATGAGAAGAAGGAACGAATTATTAAGATTATTGATTAGCATTTCAATTCATTACTCATTGAAGTATAAGGGAAGCATTAAAAAAATATTGAAAATTATAAAAGAGATGCTCTCTTTTTCTAATAAGTCATTATTGATAGACATAATTCACATGTTGAATTATTGGAAAATTTAAAGAATTCTGACTGCATGAGACCACTTATAAGATTTTTGAAATCCAAGACTCTATAAGAAAACGAACAATATTTTATATAAGCATAAGAATTTACAGAACGTTATGCTCACTATTAAACAAAAGTTAGTTTTGACTCTGAGAAATCGTATTTATCAATGTTTATCTTAGTGCTTAATTGGGGGGATTTATATCTGAATTTCTTAAAGTAGTTAATTATGATTTACCAGAATATGTAAATATTCATAAGTTGGCACCTCCAGAGATAACCACTTAGAAATCTAATGTTGGAACAGCTAACAATAGTAAAGCATCGATTAGACAATCTGAACAGAAGATATCTTAAGTCCAATCGAAAAGTGGACTTGACATTTCATAGCAAGCTTAATACATGAATCAATCATCAAACATCAACAATTATATGCAACAAAGTTAGCAATAATTTGGATCGCAGAGATAAATGCGTAACAATTATGGAGAATATCCAAGTTTGGGTAATTTTGGATCAAGAAAGCAGTGATTATTCTAAAAATATCTATATATAAATATAGTATGAATTAAATAAATCAATATTTAATAGTGTCTGTTAAGGACAACTTAAAAGTATTTGTTGAATATGGTTGTGTTTTTAATCTCTCCCATATATTTTAATTAATTGGCTTGTTGAATTAAACCTACAATGATGTACTTTTAGCATGGATATTTTGTTTTGTCTTCTTCTCCAATTCTTGGTATTTTGATTTCCACATATTAATTTCTTATTCTAAATTCTTATTCTATTATCTCAATTATGAATGACTTAAGTGTAATTAATTATATGCAGCCAATAACAGCTCAATTTATATCATCTCTTTTGATTTTGAAATATTGATTGTTGAAGATTCCTTCAATTGCTTAGATAATTTCTCAACCACTATTTACTTATTGATCTTTTGGTTCTGTTAATTTTACTACTTTAAGTGAATTAACTAAAATTTGCAATCCTACAATCTCGATCTTGGAGTGGACATTTAATCACTAATCAGTTCAGAATTAAAGTATGTCTTGTCTCTGATTATTGGAATCTAGAACTTTTTGTCGCTTTTCGATGTCAAAGGAGGTTTCGATTAAATTCTTGAGCCTATCTGGGTTTCGAATTGTATTGAATCATTCAACTTAGGTTTCACACTACTTTTCAGGCTGTGTGTAAAACTGAAAGAGAGATCACTAATATTCTAGTCGATTGGCTCTGTCTTATACTGTTTACTAATACTTTGGGGAAGAAATTCTTTTATTTCACTATCAGTAATCATTATAAATATAAATATATTCAGATAAACTCATTAGATTATTTTATCATCATTTTTAAGGATTTCAAATTTGAGAGTCTCTTCATTTACTCCAGAAAAGGAGTTGCTATAATTTTATAATTCAAAGCCATCACTTCCATAAATTTGTACTTCTGACTAAATCTAATATTTTTAAACGTACACGTATTACATTATTTTTAATTCATACTCCCTTAGAAAATTTGGTAATTGTCATTATTTCTATTATAATTTAGAGATCACAATTGTGAAGACAATAAATATTGATAATTTTTCTAAGTGTCGCTGACCTTATTTTTAATTATTCATAATACAATATTTTAAGTAGTAGGAATCACAACATTTATAAGACTGTTGTTTCTTAAAAAAATACATATTGTATTCTTCCCATAATGATATGGATGTCTGTAAAGTAGAAATTATCAATTATTGAATTTCACTTTCAGTACCCATTTCTTCTATTATAATATAGTCATATCATAAATAATCAAAATGCAAGCTAAATCCTATTGAGTAGAACAATTCAATCTTACTATTATTTAACTGTATTATATGTGTTGAGAATTGATTCATTCATCTTGTTAAACATTACTTAAGAGAGGTTAATTTTAATGATTTTGAATTTGATTAAATCTTCAAGAAGGTAATATCGATTTGCATAGGCACTTTTATAATTTTAATTAACATTTGAATGAATTGAATTTAGAATTAACATTATTGTGATTTCAGTTTAACAATTATAAACTAATAAGCAATTATATAATTAATTATGTAATATCAATTATATATTAAACTTAATTATTAAAAAATAAATAAATGGATGATAAGCTTTATTGATTCATCATTTAATTTTATATATTTTTAGACTACTTTCGGATGTTATTTAAATATATAGAACCATATTTACGTAAATCCATATTAATAAAATTATTGTACTATAAATAGAAATGTGAACAAATAAACAAATCAACCTTGATTTGCTTAATAGATGTCATTGGCGAAGAACTCTTTTGTTTAAAAAATGAAGCGCTTGGATGCTTTCTGGAGTAAAGATCTCGCCATTCTATTCTCGAATAACAACTTCCTTGTATGACATCAACTCAATTTCTTCGACTTCTTTAGGGTCTTAGATAAAGTTGATTATCTATCCATCATAAAATGTATAAAATATTTATCCCCAGATTTTATTTTTCTTACTTTCAAAATAGAAAGAGTTGAGATATGTCAATTCCAAGTCTAATCCTGTTTCTTAAATTAATTTTCTTTTAGCACATTAACGATAATCTTCAGATTCTAGAACAATTCCAGTAAAACAAGTGCTAAATGTCCCAGGTTAGTATTATTTTGATTGTGAACGCTTATGACAAAAGATTCTGAATGTCTACTTCTCGATGACGAATAAAAAAGTTGCTTGATGAATTACTTTAGCTAAGAGTTTGTAATCAATAGAAATGAAATCTTATTAATAATTATCACTATTTATTACCTATAACATGATTGTTGATGTCGACAACTTTGGCTTTTATTAATTCAGATTCATTTTAATTATCCTTCATAATTAATTACAATTCAAAATATAAAAATAATTTTTGATTTGCAAATCATTATGTAACACATTCCTATGATGCATTTATTAGTTTCTGAAACATTTAAACATTGATGTCGCAATTGTTACATAAAAAAATAACATAGATTGTATATTCTAGATGGATATAAATTATTATATGTGTTCTCATTTCATCTTGATCAATTTTCTCATTTTTCTTTTCAGTCAAATTCTGAATGGATTAATATAATTGGATCCATAAAGATCAATTCTATAAATCAATTACTATAAGGAAATGGTTCAAGTGAATATTATAGCACTATAATTCCTTTAATATAAAAGATATTCTAAACTTTAATAATTACTCATATTAGATTATTAATCCTTAAGTAAATTGTTAACCTTAGTATAATTTTTTCAGAAATTAAGTGAAACCAAATTTGGCAACAATTAAACTTACTAATAGGATGTTAAGCAAAATTAAGACATTTTAATTTTCATGAATTATCCATTTTGAATATATATAGTAAATGTATAATAGGGAGAAATAAATAACATCATGGGGTTCTTTTGATGGCATCAAAATACTCATACTGATGTATTACTTTTTCTCCCACTTTAATTTAAACATATAATTTAGAGTCATTCTTGTTTAAGGTACACCCAGCTCTTTTTGAATCTGTCTATTCATCCATGTTAATTAAATTTTTCTTATGACAATGTAGTATCGTTTTAGCAGTGGCATAGTTAATATTCAGGTCTTTTGCTATCTAAAAAATCTTAAGAAATTTTACTTTCTTAATTTTGCATTTTTATTTCAGTACTGTATGAATCAACTTAGCTTTCTTTTCTTTTGAAATATGACAATAAACTCGTTTTGCCTTCATTTCATGCTATTTCTAACATACTTTCATAGATCTAGTTTTCACTCCTAAAACTGGTTTCATCCCAACAACACTTTCATGAATATTCATTCGATTTATATATTATTATAATGAAATCGAAATGTCTTGAGAATTAAATTGATCATAGAATCTATGGAACAAATTAATAATAAAATTTGGATTTTTTACTCAAAAATTATATTAAACTTAATAAAGACATATTTCATTGTTGACATTTAAAACAATTGAAAAGAATATATTACTTATCGGTAGCTGGTATTGCTGGAATTTGAAATTATTCAGCTTAAAAATAAAGATAAATCTTTTGAATAGGATGAATTATTTAATTTATTTAGAATCATGTATTATCTAATTATTTATATCATTGAAGTATTTAATATTTAATATCAAATAATTAACATTCAAATTTTAGATAGAAAATATTAAACCAAAAATTCATTTGATTTTAGATGTTATTAAGACAATTATTAATATTTAATGACTTGAAAAAATATCAAAGGAAAAAGTAAATAAATATTAATAAAGTACTAAATTATAAAATCAACAATTCATTGTCTACTGCTGCACATACTGAGATACATTTTTAGTATCTTATCTAAATCTTAAGATTGATGTGATTCTTTTTTGAATCTAATTATATATTATTAACTTTACCCTTTAATAACTCTGTCTGTCTTTAAATTTAATCTGTTTTCTTCCTCATATGTATGTTGTTGATCTTCAATTGTAAAAGATGGCATCGATTTAAATTAATCTAATAGTTTCACAGTTCCATTTTCATCGAAGTTTCTTGATTTTGAGCAGTATTTACTCAATTAGATCTTTTTTGGTTAAGGACTTTTTATTTGAGTAATTTTGGTGTTTGAATTCTTGATCAAATTTGTTAAACTAGCCTAATTTCGTTTATGCATATTGGTAGCATCTCTTAAAGGACTAGTTTATTCATAAATAATCTTCTTTTTGATGTCATCAAATATATTATTTGATTATTTCTTTGAATCCACTCTTGTTTTTGATATATTAGGAGATTTGATACTCAAGGATGAAGAATTATTCAGATTATTCCCATTGGTTTAGTTCAATCTACCAATTGGTTATTATTTATGACTAATCAAAGGAGATTGATATTTTTAGATTGAGTTTTAATCAACTGAAAAACTAGACCTTGGGGACAAAGAAATCTTAAGTTCTATTATAATATTTGTATAACATTATTACATCCTTATTGAGGATAGCATCTCTGAACAAATGGAGATTGATAAATATCTTTGAAAGATAATCTCTAGGATGGATCTTTTTATAAGATGTTCTTAATAAGTTCCTAGGCATCTGAGTTGATAGAACTGGAATAACGTATTAAGCCACTCTTTATATTAGCAGCAATTTCTTTGTACTCCTTGCCTTTGAATGGTGCATAACCATGCAATAATTCATACAGCAATACTCCAACTGACCAAATATCAATCTTAAAGTCATAGGGCAAGTCGGAGACAATCTCTGGGGCCATGTACTCGTAGGTTCCACAGAAGGTCTTTCTTTTAAGATGAATGTTCTCTGCACACCATCCGAAATCACACAATTTGATATCGTTATTACTATCCAATAACAAATTTTCAGGCTAAATATATTTATCTCATTGATTACTTTGATATCTCTATGGAACACATTCATTTCATGCAGATATTATAAGGCTTTGCAAGTTTGTATAAAGTACTTGCAGGCTTCTTTTTCATCTAATCTCTTCTTCCTTTGCACATAATTATATAGGTTTCCATTTTCAGCATACTCTAATACCATATATACGTTTCCATGCTCAATGAAGCTATCGTACAAATTTATTATATTTGGATGATGACACTTTAAATGAACTTTAATTTCTCTTTCCACTCCTTCCTATTCATATGGAGTTTAGATATTGCTTTATTAAATTGATTTTATTGCATAAAGAGATGATGATTTAAGATGTTACGCCAAATTAACAGTTCCAAAAGATCCAGTTCCTAAACTAGTCTTACCATTAGATCTTTGTTTAAGTTCAAATTGAGCCATTGAAGTAAAAAGTCCTTTATTATAGCATTCTATTTTTCTTTACATGATTGTTCGATTAACTGACAAATTTTTATAAATATAATCAATAAAATTTATATTCAATTTACTTAAAATAATCATCTATTTTCATTCTCACTCCAAAATTGTCCTTTGAAATTGATCAAATATACATCCTAACTCTATAATACCTTTAAAAACTGATTAACAAACCTATTTAACTTATTTGATATCATCGTTCTACTTAAAGATTATAAATAATCAAACAAAAAATAGACTATTATTATCAAACAGAACCTTATCTTTGAATATAGGTTTTCTATTCATACTTCTCAAAAGTTAGAATATTTAATCATACCAATATTTCTCTATTAACTCATGTCTTAATAAATTTACTTTTAGAAAATAAGAAAATTCGATGTAGATATACTTTCATTTTCTGATTGATTTTAGAATGAGATAATTATTTAATTAAGGAATTATTTAATTCATTATATGATGTGAATATGTGCTATCACTTTTATAGGTAAAAAGATATTTTGTCTATCATTCCATGAACTACGATGAGAAAAACAAATAATTTGATTAGTATTAATCTCCTCGATAGATATTCAATCTTTGGTAATGGTAATATACTAAGAAATTTTTTGTCTATTTAATAACATTTGAAGAGTATTTTGGATAAATAAAATACGTTTTAAAGGAAATTTGACTCAAGGTTCTTGAAAGTATAGTAAATTTCCAATTTTTGGGAAATATTTAGAGGAGAATTTATATGAATAAAAAAGTATGAAAACTATAAAATTACAAAAATTTTTTGGATTTGAATTCTATAAGTTATATAAATTAAATTATTTTATTGCATTATTAATGTAGAATGATATAAAGTGTTAAATTTATTGCATAATGTAAAAAGTGCGTCAGTCCACAGATATAATGATATCACATAAAAAAATTAAGATAGTTCGTCGATAATTGTTACAATGAAAATCATTTTGTTAGTTCTAGTATTATAGGTTTTCAGCCAAAGTTGTTTAAGTTCAACAGGAACATAGGTGGATTGGTGGTTGATTTTCAAATTGCCTGCTGATTCTGCCATACCATATAGTGGATTTGAATATTATTATTGCGATTCACAAAATGATTGTTCTGCCATGAACCTAATGAGTGATGATTTAAGGGACCGTACCTCACCCTTATAAAGAACTGTGGGGTAAATCTCATTTACATCGAGTACAACTATGAATGTAGTATGGAATGATTAACCTTATGGAAAATCAACTATTTCTGACAGAGCTCATTCCAAAGGCATATTATCCGCCTCTTCCAGTGGATAGGGATTCATAATTAACCATTCTACACCATAATTCCCTGTTTTTGATGAAAGTCAAAGGTAAAATTAAATAGTTTAGATTTTAGTAATATAATACCTTGAATGCCAAGCAGTGCAAATGTGAATGGACAACATTATTTTTGTGTAACCATGACAACCTCTTAAATTAATATAGTAGCAGAGCAATATATCATTGCTTAAACCCTAACTCAAAAGGCTAATGAAATTAGTACATTTGAGTCAACCTACCCTAATATTTTTGCTTTAAGAAATAATTCTAGAAATATTCCAGCCTAAAGTGGGTCTAAACAAGTCAAGAGTAAGAATGGTTTGAGTATACTTGTGATTTCGAAGAACCAAAATTTAGTGGAAGACTTCTATGCTAATATTGTGGCACCTAATCTAAAGGTTGGCTTAGTGATGGAAACATGGGGAAATGGAACTGGAGGATTATAAGAACCCTCTTGCTCATAGACTTATCAGAGTTATAGCAATATTTATAGAAATCATAATGTAGAATAATAACACTATTTTATAGGGTTACAAATTTAAATATACAAAGGACCATTCCAAATTCGGAATTTCAGTGTAAAGTGCATTGCCTTATGTTTGCATGTCAGATTTAAACAGGATGACAACCTAAAATAAAAGAGGAGGGACTACTTTTTGTTTTCTGCATTCCAAGATATGGAATGTAATAAACAAGGCATTTGTGGAGAGACAAACATGTTGAAATCCTAATATATTTATATTTTGCTAAATTAACTTAATATAAATATCAATAAGAGTTATACTCGCATACGAAATAATAAATATTATTATGGCAAAAAAAAGTAATGATGTAGATGTTGAAGCTTTGAAGAAAAAGGTTTTACCCATCATCAGAATTGCTGTTCTTGGGCCAAAGGGAGTAGGTAAGACAGCCATTGTCAATTAATTTGTTAATAACTCATTTGAACCATAATATGAAGAAACAGATGATGATATTCGTCGTTATAAGAAAGTTCATGATTTAAATTGCAGTCCAACTGATCCCTAATATGTTGTATTCATAATTGAGGATATGTATTGCAAATTTACACAACCTTAGATTCCCAACTAATCATCCTGATTTAGTCAGAGAAAGTGATTTCCTAAAGACAAACATTTATTTTGGGACACTGGAAAATAGACAATAAAGATTCAAAGAGGAATAAAAGAACATCCTGGACTTCGATAAGTAGATTTATGGTTATATCTTTGTTTTCGATGGCAATCAAAACGATTCATATAAAGGTCTCGAAGAACCCATTAAATATATATCAGAATATTGTGAAAAGCAAAGATCTTTCAGTATGTTGACATCTAAGAAGGTTGTGGTAGCAAATAAGAGCGATTTGATTGAAGCTTAAAATTAAGACAAAGTGTTTTCAAAGTGGAAGTCTCTTGAGAAATTTAATATCCCTACAAGGTTTGTGGTATCTGCCAAGACTGGACACAATATTAATGCAGTGTTTGAAGAAATTGGCAAATAAATCTTGCAAGACTAAAAATTAGACATGATTGACAAGGCTTGGCTTACAGAAATGAATAGTTTAATTATGGGAATAGAGTCCTATAGGAAAAAGAACAAAAACAATAATCAAGATGATAATAACAAAAAGAAAGGAGGAAACAAGGGATTTCTGGGCTGTGGAGAAAAAAGGAAGCAGTTTGTTGCTGATGATGTAATTACTATTATTAATTCATTAGGAGGATGAAGATGAAGACGAAGAAGATGAAGAATTTAAAAATTTGTAACAATATCCTGGAATGATGGAAGACAATAAGGAGGGTTGTGATATCTTCTGATTTATATATTCAATATAACTGAGTATCTTATTTCAATTGTTAAATAAAATTGAACACACTAAATTTTAGTTCTTTCTCATATGGTGATTGAATATAGTGATTTTTAATTTATATTTTTCATTACTTAATTATTCTACATTCTGCATGCTCTTATAGTAATTTAAGTTGAAATGAAAATATATTATTGTAATTTATTATTTAAAATCATGTCAACAACTTTACAGATTTGCATCCTCTCGGTCTTAATAAACGTCATTAAGAATCAAAATTATGCATTATCAGAATGGCAATATTATTCATCAGAATTAGTTGATAATACTTTTCCTTCCACTGGTTGGAATGCTATACCTCCTTTTTATACTTGCGATTCTATCGTACCTCCTTTTTAATAATTCTATGATTTCACTGGGTAACCTTGGGCCAGATCTTTTGATCTAACACAAGAAAGAGGATATTCATAAGTAAGAATAATTTTTGATTTATATATTTTTTAATACCCTCAAGATTCCATTTTAAANGATATTCGTCGTTATAAGAAAGTTCATGATTTAAATTGCAGTCCAACTGATCCCTAATATGTTGTATTCATAATTGAGGATATGTATTGCAAATTTACACAACCTTAGATTCCCAACTAATCATCCTGATTTAGTCAGAGAAAGTGATTTCCTAAAGACAAACATTTATTTTGGGACACTGGAAAATAGACAATAAAGATTCAAAGAGGAATAAAAGAACATCCTGGACTTCGATAAGTAGATTTATGGTTATATCTTTGTTTTCGATGGCAATCAAAACGATTCATATAAAGGTCTCGAAGAACCCATTAAATATATATCAGAATATTGTGAAAAGCAAAGATCTTTCAGTATGTTGACATCTAAGAAGGTTGTGGTAGCAAATAAGAGCGATTTGATTGAAGCTTAAAATTAAGACAAAGTGTTTTCAAAGTGGAAGTCTCTTGAGAAATTTAATATCCCTACAAGGTTTGTGGTATCTGCCAAGACTGGACACAATATTAATGCAGTGTTTGAAGAAATTGGCAAATAAATCTTGCAAGACTAAAAATTAGACATGATTGACAAGGCTTGGCTTACAGAAATGAATAGTTTAATTATGGGAATAGAGTCCTATAGGAAAAAGAACAAAAACAATAATCAAGATGATAATAACAAAAAGAAAGGAGGAAACAAGGGATTTCTGGGCTGTGGAGAAAAAAGGAAGCAGTTTGTTGCTGATGATGTAATTACTATTATTAATTCATTAGGAGGATGAAGATGAAGACGAAGAAGATGAAGAATTTAAAAATTTGTAACAATATCCTGGAATGATGGAAGACAATAAGGAGGGTTGTGATATCTTCTGATTTATATATTCAATATAACTGAGTATCTTATTTCAATTGTTAAATAAAATTGAACACACTAAATTTTAGTTCTTTCTCATATGGTGATTGAATATAGTGATTTTTAATTTATATTTTTCATTACTTAATTATTCTACATTCTGCATGCTCTTATAGTAATTTAAGTTGAAATGAAAATATATTATTGTAATTTATTATTTAAAATCATGTCAACAACTTTACAGATTTGCATCCTCTCGGTCTTAATAAACGTCATTAAGAATCAAAATTATGCATTATCAGAATGGCAATATTATTCATCAGAATTAGTTGATAATACTTTTCCTTCCACTGGTTGGAATGCTATACCTCCTTTTTATACTTGCGATTCTATCGTACCTCCTTTTTAATAATTCTATGATTTCACTGGGTAACCTTGGGCCAGATCTTTTGATCTAACACAAGAAAGAGGATATTCATAAGTAAGAATAATTTTTGATTTATATATTTTTTAATACCCTCAAGATTCCATTTTAAATATGCCTTTCCTTTTTAAATTTGATGGAAATATAATCCCTTTTGATGTTGATTTATTTATTCAATAAAATTTAGACTTAAATTTTACCTATTGTAATTCAAGAGCATTTAAGGATTTGAAATTTTTTTCGGACTTTTAGATAAACATACCATTAAACACTGTAAATTTTAATCATTATTTTGAAATACGACCCCTAGATATTACTACTCAATTTTCAATAAAAAATTTTTTTATTTTCATAAACAAATGCTCTATAAACTGTTTGCAATGTGAAGTCGAGAAGTTCTGCACAGTTTGTAAGCCAAATTTTTAATTATTGTCAAATGTTTGCCGTTGTTCTTATCCGAAACCCTTTAATTTTAATAATGATTGCATTGATTCCTGTCCTTTAGGTTATTTTGATTTTTATGAAAATATTTGCAAAACTTATGCAAGCAAATCGACTTTATTTTTGGATGATGTTAATCAGAACTAAATAAAATATGATTATATAAAGGATACCTTGTCTAATATTTTTTATAAATCATCAACTTATGAAGCAGATTAAGATGTGCAGGGGCCTTTTAGATTTAATGATAAAATACAATATTCGCTTAGAAAATAATCAATCACAAGCATTTTAGAATTAGAAATCACATTGTATCTTTTCGGAGAAATAGCTGTAATTATCTTGATTCATGATTTAGGATTTGTCAAAATTGATAATTGAAGTGAATAATTATAGAATCGGAACTATCACTACTCAATTAGTAATCTCCTAAATGTTTGCGAGATTTGGTCTAATCAAATCTGTTTTGGATTGTTCACGTATTGGATTTTCAAGTTGCAAGAAAATTTAATTTTACACAACACTCTAAACCTTTTTTGAATAGGATATTGTAATAGGAATACAATCTTAATTTAAGTATGAATTGAGATTGTTATCATAGCATATTTGATCCCCTCTAAGCTTGGGGAATAGATTAGATCATAGTGAATGAAATTGAACCTGCAATATAATTGCCTTTAGTTTGTGCCCTTTGGTATTAAGGTAATTGCATCAATTAATGTCCTTCTTATTCAACCTAAAATGGAAATGTATGCGAAGATTATGGCAGTATCTTTAAGAATCCACAATATATACTAAAAGAGTTTTATCCTAATAATCTTATCAGTACTAAATAAATGCAACTCATAAATATTTAGAAATTAGTATGGTATCAATTTGAAAATCGATATCTTTATATGTTTAATACTAAAATAAATGGTGGTATTTATTAGCAAAGATTTCACATTAAAGCAAATCATCGAAAATTGAGATTAATGATTTCAGTATTATTAATTGATTGGCAGAATAACTCATAGGATTATTTTTTTGAAATAGTTGCTGGTTTAGGTCTTAACTAGTAACGACATAAATTTTATGCTGATTCATTGCATCAGTTTACAAGTTATCAACTAAATTAAGAATTTCCTGATTATATCTATCGTAATTACACAATGGATTTTTTTCACTCCTTGAATACATTCAGTTTAGAATTCAGATGTTTTTCACCATTTGATGGATACTGTTCATTCTTTGATTATTTTATAATAATTGAAAAGGTTAAAATGTTGTTTAATTTTAGTGCGATCATGGATGTAAAGAATGTGATTCAAATGGAGTCTGTTAGAAGTATGAAGAGGATTTTGAAAATCAAATTAGTTACCAATTTAACAACTACCAATGTTTGGATGGTTACTATTATAATAATGAATAATGTTATAAATGTGTCTTCGGTTGTGGTAAATGCAATATAATAGTTTGTTTGTAATGCAAAGATGGTTTTGAAATGAAAGAAGGAAAGTGCTTTTGTTAGGGTACTTAATCTAATGAGACATGTCAGAAATTAAAATAATGTCCTAAATAATGTTTAACATGTGAACTTCATCATCCAAATTGTGATTCATGTGATCTCAACTAATTGAAAGTCCTAAATATGAATACATGTGTATGCATGAATGGCTATTATCTCAACCAAGATCTTGAGTGTATTCTATGCAATTCAAAATGTATCACTTGTAACGGATATGAGTCATGTACAAGTTGTAATAGTCTAACTAATAGAGAATTATTTCAAAATATGTGCGAATGTAAATAAGGCTATTTTGACAGTGTTGAGACCATTTATTGTCAAAAATGCCATCATTTATGTGTTAATTGTTACTATGAATATGATCGTTGTACTGAGTGTGATACTCAATAATTTAGATAATTGTCTAAAGGTAAATGTGCATGCTAAATTGGATATTATGAAGATAACCAACAAATATGTTAGTAGTGTAATCCAAATTGTTACACTTGCGAATAAGATTAAATTTGTCTAAGCTGTGATATCACATTGAACAGAGTTATAAACAAACAACAAATTTGCATATGCAATTAAGGGTATTTTGAAAATAACACAAATTAATGTTAACAATGTCATTATTCATGCATATATTGTAATTAATCTGAAGAATTTAATTAATGTACTACTTGTCCAATTTCTCGTATTAAATCATCTGATAAAATGAATTCATTTGAATGTAAATGTAGAAAAGGATATTTTGATATTGGAGTATTAGAATGCATCAGTTGTAAGCCATATAAAAATATAAATGCTTCACATCCTTGTTATTCATAATGTGGAGATAACATATTGCAATGGAATGAAGAATGCGATGATGGAAACAATGACTCCAGAGATGGTTGTGTCGATTGTTATTTCTCTACTGATAGATGCAGTCCTAGTATTTGCAAGAAGTGCTATTAAGGTTACTGTTCAGTTTGTAATGATGGATACTATTTAAATGGATACAATGAGTGCTAACAATGCTCCTAAAGTTGTCTTACCTGTATCACTTCTCCGCAAAATTGTCTATAATGTAGATTCACATTAGAAGATAAGACTTGCAAGATGTGTGAATAAGAATTTGGATTATAAATAAAGGATGATAAATGCACAGCTGTCTGTGGTGATAATATATTCGTTGATATTGAATAATGCGATGATGGTAATATCATTGATGGAGATGGGTGCAATTCTTAGTGTAAAGTAGAGGAAGGATTCATATGCAATCCAACTTGCGTCGTTATCAATCCGATTAATTTTATGTTGAAATCTGATCCCAAAGATAAGTATTTCAATAGTAAGAGATACTGTTACTTAGATTTCAATTAAGATGTAGTCATTGATGGTAATTTATCTTCCATGATCAATCTGTAATTTAATAATTCATTAATTGAATACAATTCAAATATCACATAGTTGAATCCTCAATCTCTGTTAATTGAGATCAAATTTTTGAACAATGCAGAAAATCCTGTTGTTTAGATTCAAATTTCTACTCCATAAAAAATTAAAAATTATTAAGGGGCATTTTTGGAAAATAATATTTAAACTATCTAACTTCTACCTTATATGTAACAAAGTGAAGGTACTAAGTCAGCCACAAATAGTTCATCTAATTTTGCTTATTTTATTATGGTATTTCTATTGAGTTTAGCTGGTTTTTCGTTTATTACTGGTGGATTGAATATATTTTTTAACTTGTTGGATTCAATTTAAATGTTAGCCTATTTAAAATACTTAAACATTATTTTCCCTTACAATGTGTAGATTTATTTCGAAACCTTTGGATTCGCTGAATTTGATTTTTTAAAAGAGTATATATCAGTTCAATTAACAATTCTTGATTTTGATTTTAAAATATCAGAAAATCAGCCGGATCAGAAATTTGCAGAAGAAGGATACTCTTCTTTATTTGTCATAAACATACTTAGTGTTTTGAGTGTATTTGCTATTACTTACTGCACTTTCATGCTTTCCATAATACTCAATAAAATATGCAATTACTATATAACCTATATCCATAATAAAATCTAAGATGATATTTATTTCATCCTAGGTATATTTGAATACTATCTCTATGTTGCAGCAAAGCATCTATTATCCCTATCTGGTATTTATACTACTCATATCCACAATAATATAATTAGAACTCTTTTGACTGTTGCAATGGATTTTAATATGGCGATGTTTTTATAATTGAAGACGTATCAAGATGATATGAGGTTTAGTTACTATTTGAGCGTAATCGCTTTTATTGCTCATCTATTATTCATTTATTATGGCTTAAATGCATTATCTAAAAAGTAGTATGAATTTGTTACTAAAGCATATAAACAGAAACATGAATCGTTTTTAGAAGGCAATCCAGAAATGCATTAGAATTAATTCGTAAAATATTACAATCTAGCGATCCTCATTAAAAAAATGATGTTCATGTTTTCCTTAATATTTCTATACCATTGTCCTTTCTTTCAAATTTTGATGTCGTCTATTTAGAATATCATTTTTATTGGATACATCATACTTATCAAGCCTTTGAAAGACATTAATGAATTCTATAAGGTGATTTTGACTGAGTGTATTTTGTGGTTGGAATAATTGTTTATCCTCTTAATTTATTATATTTAATCAGGAACCAATTAATTGGAACAATCTTAAATTTCAAATATGGAAATCTTGGGATGGGTTATTATTGGATTATCAGTTGTTATGCTCTTAATCTAGTTTTTGATTGATATTAAACAGCATGCTTATTTTCTATATCAATAGTATTCATTCATTTAGAGGATGTTTAAGTTTATTAATCTGGTCTTCAATAAATAAGAATAATAAACTGACTAGATAGCAGAGGAACTAATAAAGGAGGAAAAAAACATAAAGTCGAAAACTAAAATAATTACTTATCAATTCACAATAGAGAGAAAAATTTATGAAATATGATTATTAAACATTCGAGTATTTTCTGTATATAGATTAATATTCATATTAAAGTTAATTTAATGATTATTTAATTAAAAATAGCAAATAATATAATAACTANTTTCGTTTATTACTGGTGGATTGAATATATTTTTTAACTTGTTGGATTCAATTTAAATGTTAGCCTATTTAAAATACTTAAACATTATTTTCCCTTACAATGTGTAGATTTATTTCGAAACCTTTGGATTCGCTGAATTTGATTTTTTAAAAGAGTATATATCAGTTCAATTAACAATTCTTGATTTTGATTTTAAAATATCAGAAAATCAGCCGGATCAGAAATTTGCAGAAGAAGGATACTCTTCTTTATTTGTCATAAACATACTTAGTGTTTTGAGTGTATTTGCTATTACTTACTGCACTTTCATGCTTTCCATAATACTCAATAAAATATGCAATTACTATATAACCTATATCCATAATAAAATCTAAGATGATATTTATTTCATCCTAGGTATATTTGAATACTATCTCTATGTTGCAGCAAAGCATCTATTATCCCTATCTGGTATTTATACTACTCATATCCACAATAATATAATTAGAACTCTTTTGACTGTTGCAATGGATTTTAATATGGCGATGTTTTTATAATTGAAGACGTATCAAGATGATATGAGGTTTAGTTACTATTTGAGCGTAATCGCTTTTATTGCTCATCTATTATTCATTTATTATGGCTTAAATGCATTATCTAAAAAGTAGTATGAATTTGTTACTAAAGCATATAAACAGAAACATGAATCGTTTTTAGAAGGCAATCCAGAAATGCATTAGAATTAATTCGTAAAATATTACAATCTAGCGATCCTCATTAAAAAAATGATGTTCATGTTTTCCTTAATATTTCTATACCATTGTCCTTTCTTTCAAATTTTGATGTCGTCTATTTAGAATATCATTTTTATTGGATACATCATACTTATCAAGCCTTTGAAAGACATTAATGAATTCTATAAGGTGATTTTGACTGAGTGTATTTTGTGGTTGGAATAATTGTTTATCCTCTTAATTTATTATATTTAATCAGGAACCAATTAATTGGAACAATCTTAAATTTCAAATATGGAAATCTTGGGATGGGTTATTATTGGATTATCAGTTGTTATGCTCTTAATCTAGTTTTTGATTGATATTAAACAGCATGCTTATTTTCTATATCAATAGTATTCATTCATTTAGAGGATGTTTAAGTTTATTAATCTGGTCTTCAATAAATAAGAATAATAAACTGACTAGATAGCAGAGGAACTAATAAAGGAGGAAAAAAACATAAAGTCGAAAACTAAAATAATTACTTATCAATTCACAATAGAGAGAAAAATTTATGAAATATGATTATTAAACATTCGAGTATTTTCTGTATATAGATTAATATTCATATTAAAGTTAATTTAATGATTATTTAATTAAAAATAGCAAATAATATAATAACTATACTGGTATAAGTGTTAACAATTATTTAATTCTTATTCCATTTAGAAAAAGTGATTCTTCTATTTGAGTATATCAAAAATAGTTTGTTTAACTTAATAATTATGTTTATAATATTTTGACAAAAATTAAAATGCGAAATAGAAAGGGGAAAAAAATCAATAATTATACTTATTCTGATGAGATAAAAGGATAGACAAAAGAGCAAAGGAAAATACTTAAGCATATCGAAAGAACTAGTGTAAATAGTGGATGTACATGGCGGACCCAATTGTAAAAATTGGGGATAGGTGGCTCGGCATTTAGAAGCTCAAGTGGGTATAAAGATTGAGAAGGCATACAGATTGAAAAGAGCGTAGAAACTATGATATATATATACTTAGATGGGAATCTTTTGTTGATTACAATGAGAACATGTCGAAGGAACAACTAGCCACATTATTTGAAACAGCAATAAAGACAAGAGGGAACATGGAATACGCCAAACATGAATTTAAGAGATTGACAGGGATCTAATTATATTCGACTCGATATGCCGATTATGTGAAAACATGGTTGAAACCAGGATTATTGGGATTTAAGGATTGCTATATATTTTCAGTTGTAAAGTCTTTGAGGAGATCTGATTTCTATTAAAAACATACAATGATACAACCAATAACGGTATTATCGATGTTGAGAATATTGGATCACGACATTGAAGAATACAAGGATGATTTTTTTGTAATGGATTTCAGGGATAGTGCTGAGAGACTGCAAGAATTGTTAAAATGTTATGCTAGTTGTTTTTCTGAATCGAGGGAGGAGAGATACAGTAAGTTCTCGAGAATAACTACGAGACATCAATTCAAAAAGATCTACTTTTACTTATAATTGATGGAAGAGTTTAGGCGAATCAATAGATTTTTCACTAGCAATGTGAATCAATTAACCTTTCATCCCATGCTATTTAAAACCATCGATTAAAATAAGCAATGTCCAATTTATAAGTTGACACTCTTAGAAAATGATTATTCGAGAAAGCTGCAATTATTTAATGAGTCAAATAATAATGAGAATGAGTAGTTTTCAGTTCTTTTGAAGCCAAAGAAAAAGAGGACCTCTCAGAAATCAGGAAATGATGAAGAAAAGAATAAATAGAAGGAGTAACAAAATCCTTATGTTTACTAATTGGAGGAGGAAGATTTGGTTAAATAAATCAAGGTGCCTAAGAAAGTGAGTGAAACTAAAAAGAAATATAAAGATTATCGATATTTTAGAGGACATTTTATTAGAGACGGGCAATATTAATGTAAAGGATTAACAACGAAAGATTTTGAATATGATGTTCCACTTGAGTAATGAGGTGTAAAATATAGAAATAAAATTAATTTTTATTAATGCAATAATCTTAATCATTTATAAAAACAGATAAAAAGTGTGACAGACAACATGATGAGGGATCAGATAGATTGATAGCCATTTGTTTGAACCCTCATTGTGATAAACGTTTGATGTGTTGCTTCTGTTATCACGACTATCATTGTGAGCACGTGAAGGATGTTAAGACAATTGCACAAGTTTAATAATTGTGTAAAGATTCAATTGCTAAATTTGATAAATTGCAGCTCACTATTATCTTGTAGCAAAAAGCCGATTAGTTTAAGTCAATAGTTTAGAATATCAATGAGGAGTTGGAGAGACTGCTATAGTATTATATTCATGATATACAATAATTGTATTAGATGTTGGAGGACTTGGCAGATAGTTTTGTGATCTTGCAATCAGGTAATATCAATCAATTTACTAATGAATAATGTGAATTACTATCAACATTTCATGATGAGAGAATCCTAGATAATATTGAGGATATTTCTAATTTTATTGGATAGAAGATGGGAATATAAGATTTGCTTAAAATTAGTAATGATCTACATGAGAAATTGATGCTGATTGAAACGAATGAAATATTTGAAAAGAATATTTACAATGAACAATTAAAAAAGTTTGTGTAATCACATGAAATTAAATTTGACTGGATTTAACCTGAGTTTCTATTAACTCGAAGTCCTGAAATGGCCAAGATAGTCTATCCGAATGAGGATTTCTACATTGGCGAAATCAAAGGAGACAAGAAGTTTGGTAGAGGTATAGAATGATATTAATTAGATAGGATTGCTATTTAATAAAATTGCGCAGACATATTAATATGGGGTATTTAGAGAAGATAACTTTGTTTGGGGTCAACAATTAATGGTTGATTAGAAAAAGCGTTACTGGATCAAATAGGGGAAATGGGTGAATGGGAAAATAGAAGGCAGAGGGATCCACGCCTTGTTCAAAGGAGAGTACTATCAAGGAGATCTAAGAAGTGATATAAGAGATGGGTTTGGAATAATGAGGTATACTTCAGGAGACGAATATCAAGGACAATGGAAAATGGGACAATTTCATGGTAAGGGACTGTACAAATACGCAACTGGGGATGAGTATGAAGGTGATTATGTGCAGGATAGAAAGGAAGGCATCGGATCATATTAATACAAAAATGGAGAACTTTATGTTGGTTAATTTAAGGCTGGTTTGAGACATGGTAGTGCTATAGTAAAATTTCCGAATGGAGAAATGTATGGAATGATAGTTTATTTAGATATACAGGGGAATATGTGAATGATAAGAAGGAAGGGCCTGGGGTGTATAAATATATAAATGACAACATTTTTGAAGGGAATTACAAGGATGGACTAAGACATGGGTAAGGGATATTCACTGATGTTGAGAATAAGACAAGAGAGATTGGCGAGTATGTTTAGGGTAAGTAACATGGAGAACACATGGTTTTTAAGTTGTTGAAAGATAAGCCATATTGTATAAATGTTTACGATAATGGAAATCTAGTTAATACAAAGTCATTATGATTTTAGGTTTCATTTCAATATTAAAACACTATTATTCTTATAATATTCAATCAGCAATTTGGGGAATCGTTCTCTTAAAAAATAGAAGGGATAATAAGATGTTAACAAGTTTGGATTTTAATATTGTAATTCAAAGTACAATTCATTGTCTGATTTGACATGAGATTTGATATTAATGGGGACACTCTCAATTGTGTTCCCATGTTCTTTGTCAAAGGGAACCTTCTTCATCTATACCATTGGTTGTTGCCTCAATCTATCCAAAATGTGTCCACTTATTTCTTCTTGAGTGTCAATCAAATAGAATTCTCTGGGATCTTCTTCCATGTTGGTCTGCACAATTTTGTCAGCCCTCTGTTTCTTATCCCTTTTTAGCATGTTTTTTATTATTTGTCATAGATTTATTAAAACTATAAATATAAATAAAAACATGATTATTTTATTTCAAAATATAACTGTTTTAACTTTGCCTTTCCTAATTCATATATGAATGTCATTACTTATATATCCTTTTATTCGAGCTTGGCTTGATGGTTCCTCTGCTCTGAAAATGATTTAATTTGTCCTTCATGGCTTATCCCTTCTGAATGGCAATAAACAAGAAAGAGTATAAGGAATTGATGTTTTGTCTATGATATGTAGAGGCCACTCTCTAGAGAAACTTCATCACTCTGGAGATGTTATACTCTGGATAATACTCTCTGAACTCACAGATTTTATCGAAGTCTCCTACAGATGGCTGTGTAATGATGGGCTATGGTTGGTAATGAAAGCAATCTTACGAATTCGATTTAATAGTGTTCTTCCTCACACAATTGTTAAATGTAATTCTCATAAATTATGCTTGACCTTCGTTTCCTCATCCCAAACAAATTTTGATCAAATGTAACTCTTTATGATACTCTCCTGTAAATTCTTGGACTCCTATCTGAGTAGTAAAACTATTGTGCAACCCTTTAATTCTCCTACTATTGCAACTAAAATTCTTCGTCTATGATATCAATGACTGGTATATCTTCATCATTCTCCTGAATTGGGTTATGCATCTGAGATTCAAATTTGGCTCCAAATCCTGCCGTCTCCTTCTATTAAGATTTCCTTTGCAGGGACATCTTCTTCAACACCTCCTATTCAAACTTGCCTATTTCCTCCTGAGATTTGGATGACTGATAATTTTAACTCAATCCCACTGTCAAAGTTTAAGAAGGCCTATGACTAAACCTACTCAACTGATTGCTATACTAACTGATAGATTTGCTTAAACTTTTGGTTTGGATATTCGAGGTGCCTATTAAAGAAATCCATTATACTTTTTATAGTTCTTGTTTGAACATCCTAGGATTCCTCTTCTGATAAGTTCTCACTTGCTTCCACGTGTTCCAAATCCTTCATCAATTCTTTAGCCAAATCTTGAATTACTGTTTGTTACAACATGGCATTGATATATTTGGATTTGCGTTAACTAGATACATGTCTATTTATATTACATCTCCTCTCTTTCTTATTGGATTGGATACAATTGTTATTTGATCACTCTATCCTTATCTGGTTAATAATGTAAGAATGGACACTAATTCACCAAATGACTAGTAGATTTGCAACTATAACATCTCACGTCTAGCATAGATAAGTCCTGCTGAAATTAGACCTTGTCCTTTATCATGTAGAATTTCTCCTTATCGTCTGGAAATTGTTCAAGCAAATTTACAAAATGTTTCCTTTGTATCTTGTACAATTAGCAGAACCCTTTGCTAATTATTGTAGCTGTCCTTGAGCATCCAGTTATAAACCCTAAAAATCCAAAGTACTCTCCTTTTTGCAAAGTCTTTATATGATTACGAGAATGCTTCTCATTCATATTGTTTGTTTATTCAAATATCACATTCACTTCTCCCTTATTTATAAAATAGATTGAACTGTCATCCTACTCATTCAAACTCAAGATTCTTTACTCAGGTATTGTTTTCACTTCCTCCATATAATACACCAACTATTTTCTCAATTTAATAGAGAAATTTGAGGATATCATTTTGCATTGCTCTAAAATATTAGCCTACAATTAATGCTTCAATTCACTTCTTAATTAAAGTGACAACTTACCCATTATCTAAGTAATGTCTTCATCTTTCATTTACTGTTCTTACTAAATAATAATTATTATTTTAAATTACTTTATAAATGTATTGCAAATAACTGCGGATTCTATGTTGTAAATTCAAATTTATGCTGTTTAAATTCATATAATTTGTCATCATGTTAATGTATTAGTTGTGTTTAATTCTCTAAGAATGATTATACAAAAAGAATCCAATCTTTATTGTTACAAATCCATTTATCAATATTGAAATTATTGATATCATCGATGAAAATATCAATTGCTCATTGTTGTGTGACTCTAAATTCGAAAGTCCTGAACTAGTCAAGTAGACTGATGCCCAATGGAAACATTCAACGTATTATTGAAATACATTCTCTAACGATTTTAAATTATTTATATCCTTTATTAATGTGTACCATATACATGACACCAAATGGATCACATAAATTACTGCAATCAAATTGATAATCAATGGAATTAAATTGTTTTGCTAAAAATTAAAGTATTCCTGAGTATTGTTCACCACCTTCAACAATTTGGCTCCTTAAAGAATCCCAAATACACACAACAATGCCAGATTCAATTCTGCCACCTCCAAAGTTTAGAATAAAAGAACTATCAAGGAAACCAAACAGATAAAGTCCTTAATCATGTCCTATTTCAAATAGTTGTATATTATATGATAGCGCTAACTAATACAATAAGAATTTATTACTTAATTACTTTCCCCTTAAATATGTAAGCCTAGTTAAATGAGATAATCATTTCAAATATCAACATCACCACCAACAAATATTCAATTATGTAGTAATAACCATAATTTAATATTTAGAGAATCGAATCGAATTCAAATGAATACTTAAATGGCAACCATATAAATATCATCAATGTGTTTATAATGAAAATTATATCCGAACACAGTTTTAAACTGCTTTACGGTTATATGATAGGATAATTGTTCAGATAGTTGAACATAAATTTATAACAAGTACTGTCTATATCATCTATTTATGTATCCTACCCAAATTACAAATCATCAAGAACTTACTTCTAATAGTTGTTCATTCGGCTGGCTGGCATAGCTTTATCCAGTAGTTGTTTGATGAATGATTCTTGATACAATCTTTGCAAATGCAATCTAAATTATCTTTATTGATGTGAATCCTCTTGCTGCTCATATTTGTTTCTTCGACTTTGTATCGAAACATATCGATTCAAATTACCCCGAAACGAACAACTGATCTCACGTAAGCTACTTGGAGGAGTTAAAATGAGCAAGGGATCCAAGCTCTGATTCTATTTATGTGTCGATTTCATCGTAGGTGACCGATTTATCATCTCAAAATTTATATATATAATTATTATTCAACACTCCATTAAATTTTTACCTTAAAACAAATTTATCATAATATCATATCATATAGAGATATCAGAAGTTAAATATATTAGTTCTCATAATAATTGATATTTGAATTGAAAGTTATCATTATTTATCAAGAAAATCAAAATTATTTGAATTTAAACATTTGATAACTCAAAACAATATTTATTTAAGTATTTGTTCTTACCTTCATCAACTCATATCACAAGATTCAAGGTTAAAAATAATTAAATTTAATCTTACTATCGTATTGAAGGAGATGAATCAAGTATTCAATATTAGAGGTCCTTATGTCAAGACTTGCAATTAGTATTGAATGCCCTTTGCAAAAAGTGTTAATAAACTACTTAGTGATGAAAAATGACAAAAAAAATATTCTAAAATTTTATTAAAATTTCAATCAAAATGGATAGCAATGTTTTTGCAAATAACCCAATTATTATTGACATGGTATTTAAATATTAGAAATGAAAAGGGTTCAGGTCAAATTAAAGCAGGGTTCGGAGGAGAGGACAAACCTAAAGTGATTTTCAATTCATAGTAAAACAATCGAAAAATAATTAAGCATTGGACGTCCAAAACTTAAGACTTTGTCTGCTACAAATAGTCAAGAATTATATGTAGGAAATTAAATTACAGATAGTATAAGAGGGAATATGAAAATAAAATATCCATATCAGAAAGGTGTGATAAAGGATATGAATGATATGGATCAAGTATGGAAATATACTTTCTAGGAATTGCATAGCAACCCTAAAGAAGTAAGGTTTAATGAATTAATTAGTGTCCAATTTTATTGACTGAGCCATCATTTGCTAGTCAAATCTAGAAGATGGAGATAGCAAAGTAATTCTTTGAAAATTACAATTGTCCTGCTCTATTCTTTGCAGTATCTGGAATTGTTAGTTTATTTGCAAGTGGGAAAACTACTGGAGTGATTTTGGATGTTGGAGACACAGTATCGTAAAGTATCCCAATTTACGATGGATATTATATTTAACATAGTGCATAAAGAGTGGATTTGGCAGGACGAGATGTAACCGATAATTTGAACAATTTGTTAAGAAGATCAGGATACATATTCACAAAAACTGTAATATTCGAATTGATATTGTTAGGCAGAGTTGGAAATTATCAAGAAGATCAAAGAAAAGCGTTGTTTTTTGAGTCCAACAATGATTGCAGAGGAGAAGTTTTAGGAAGAGAGAAAGATAAAAGATCAATATATGCTACCTGACAACAATACGATTGAAATAAGTTATGAGAAACAGAGGGCTCCAGAAATCTTGATGTCTCCAGAAAAATACGGTCTGGAATTAAATTGTAAATGAGATTGTAATCTACCTAATGTTAGCCATTCCTGAAATACTTGCCAACTCTATATAGAAAGTGGATTTGGACTTGCGTAAGTCTTTATACAATGAGATTGTTTTGACTGGAGGAACCTCTTTGATGCAAGGTTTTCCAGAGAGATTGATAGGAGAAGTCAAAAGATTGATTCCAAAAGATGCAAAGGTATGTGTTTATTACCATGGAAGGTCAAAATTTGGGCTCCTCCAGAGAGAATTACTTTATGTTGGTAAGGTGGGTCTATTTTATCTCAATTGGCTTCATTCAAAAGTATGTGGATATTAAAAAAGGAATTTGAGGATGAAGGAGAAAGAATTTTAATAAAAAAATAATTGTGAGCTTTTTTAGAGATCTTCAATTTATATATTTAATGTATCTGTACTATCATTTTTCAACCTTGCCCAACCACAAAGCCAAAAGTGACTTTCCTTTAACAGCAATAATCTTGAATCTGACCCCTGGAATATCACCGACTGCATGTCCTTTTCTTCCGAATCCAGCTACTGTAACTTCGTCGTTTTCATTTAAAAAGTTCAAACAACCATCCTTTGGAACGAAGGCTGATATTTTTTTACCATTTTTCTTGAGCAATACTCTAACACACTTTCTGACGGCAGAGTTTGGCTGTTTGGATTCACTAAGATGATAGAATATTATAATTACACTCCGATTTTTTCAACAACCAATCCCTTAGCATGTGATGCACCCATAAATGGATTTTTATATCTTGATCCAATCATAGCCTTATTGTATTCCTTATCAGCCCATCTGTTAACTCTTCTGTGATCTTTGAGCTTTCTTCCAGCTCTCATACCTCTAGGTTTACCAACACCCATGATAAAAAATAAAAAAAAGATTTTATTTAATTTGTTTTTTCAAAAATATTCATTTTAAATATTATGAACCTCTTGGGTGCAATAATTAAGCACCCTTTATTACATTCTATTCATACGATGTAGTAGTTCCTCCTCCATGAGTGCCACTCTTTCTAACTTCAGTTTCCTTGGTGACAGTCACCTACCTCTTTTTAATAGCTTCTAATTATGTTTCAGCCATAGTCAACTTCTCTGCCAAATCTGAGTTCTACTCATTCACCTATTTGAACTTTTTCTTCCACAATTCCACTTCTCCTTAGAGACTGATTATTTGTGTTTCAGATTGGGAATAATTCTCACACATCATTTCCAATTCTCTGATACGAGCATCCAATTAATCCAACTCATTGTCTTTATCATGCAACAATTGCTTCAAATTCAAAATATCATTATCTCTCGATTAGATTTATTCATGACTGCCTGCTAGATCCTCGGTTAACTCATTTATCTTCTTCTTCAACTATCTTATCTCTTCATCCAAGCCTGAACTCTTTGAATTCGACTCCTAAAGCAACTTATACCTGGATTTCCAAGATTCCAAATCCTCTAACAATTATTTATTTTGTATTCTCATCTATTATTCTTGATTCCTTATCTCCTTATTTGCCTACATTAACTCATTAATCTAACTCTCTAAATATCTAAATTACTCTTGTGTCATCCTAGATGTATGTAATCTAGCCACCACTATTTTGCAATCTCAGTCTTTAAATCTCTACTTGTAATTCATATACATGCATTTCTAGTCTTACTATCATTCATAATTCTAAATAGATACAGCATTTCTCCTTCCACTTTTATTCAATATCCTCTTATGGCACTACTTACAGGGGTCTCTCAAAATGATGAACATCTGCTCTATTTCCTTGTCTGCTTTATTATCTTCCATATATATCAATTATTTACGTCTGCAATTATTGGTTTTGAGCTGTCTATTAGAACGAACTAATTTATATTACAATAAACTTACGGAATCGCAGCTTTTGGAGAGCCATACTACTACAATTACTATGGATATCCTTATGATCCATATTACTACATTTATCTCATTGATGGAGTTTAACTAGAGTAAGAATAACTAGAAATGTTTACTTCATTTACTGTTAAATATATTTTATATATTGAAATAAAAATAGTATAATTATGTGTTCATTCATTTTTTAATATCCAGCTTAATATTCCTAATTAGTGAATTATTTGCCATGCAAATTGCGATATCAGTCACAAATAAGAATTTACGTCTTCGTCTGTAGTTTAATCGAATTTGAATAAATTTAATTATAGAAGATATCATTTATTAAAATAAAAATGGATTAAAGTATACTATTTAAGCCTCTTAAAATGGGAGATGTCGAACTTCCTAATCGTATTTGTATGGCTGCTTTAACCAGATAGAGATGCGAATTAAAAGACCTTGTTCCCACCGACATGATTGTTCAATACTATGGACTCAGAGCAGAGGCTGGATTTATATTGACAGAATGTGTTCCGATTTCCTAAAGATCTTTGGCTTTTCCAGGAGAGCCAGGAATTTACACAAAGGAGTAAGTTGAAGGTTGGAAGAAGGTTGTGGATAATGTACACTCAAAGGGAGGCAGGATCTATGCTTAAGTTTGGCATGCTGGAAGAGCAAGTCTATCCACTTTATAGGATGGATTAGAAATATGGGGTCCCTCACCAATTAAGATAAGAGGCATCCATAGAAGAGGGTTGATCGAACATGAAGTACCTCACGAAATGACCATTGACGAAATTCATGAAGTCATTAAACAATTTAGACAGGCTGCTGAAAATTGCAAGGAAGCTGGATTTGATGGAGTTGAATTGCATGGGGCTCATGGATACATCATTGATTAATTTCTTAGAGACAGTTCAAATAAGAGAACTGATGAATATGGAGGTAGTGTTGAGAATAGAAGTAAATTATGTTTATAGGTGATTGATGAATTCATTAGTGTTTTTGGAAATGGAAGAGTAGGTATTAAGATATCACCAGTCGGTAGATTGAATGATTAATGTGATTCTGATCCTCTTAAGTTATATACACATTTGGTCAAAGAACTAGAAAAAAAGAAAATTGCTTTTATTGAGGTTAAAGATGACAATGATCCTGCCAATTTATTTGATTTTGGTTATCCTTCAAGTAAAGAGTAGATCCCTGATCTGTTCGAAGTCTTCAGACCATTATTTAGTGGCATATTACTAGCCAATAACCAATATACACCAGCTACTGCTATTGAGGGTATTGAGAAGGGAAGATTTGATGCTGTCACCTTTGGTAGATTATTTATCTCTAATCCTGATCTTGTTGAGAGAGTTCGAAATGGATATGAACTAAATACAAATTGGGATGTCGATACCTTCTATACTAAGGGAATTAAAGGGTATTTAGACTATCCATTATATTCATAAAAATAGAAATGATAAATATTATACATGTTATTGTGAAATGAATATCAAAATACATTTATAATAATCTCATAATTCTCTTGATAATTTTTTATAGTCAAAGGCATATACAATAAATAAAGTTTTTAAAAAGGAATAAAGAAGTTTAGTATCCACAGAACGAAAAATCCATTGGTAGCCTTGTTCTTGCATTAGTTAATGTTAAATTTATGCGTAGGATCTACACTCTATACTAGTCAGCTTTTAAATGGCCAAGATTTTGAATGGATTTGAGATTACTTCTGCAGTTAGAAAAGCAGAAAATAAATAAAACATAGAATATTCACCCTTTTTATTTTCTTCTTGAGTATTATAATTTTAGTAATTTTACAATGCAGGAAATGCTCCTAAACCTCCAAAAAAGCTTCCACACAAAAAAGACCAAAATCCATGATAAAAAACTAATGCACCATTTTATTTGACTTTATAAAATAAAAGCTCTTTTCCATCAGTATGTCCGTAAACTTGTTAAAAGTAATACAAAGAATTGAATGGTACAAAAGTCTACTGAATTGTAGCCGCCATCACAAAGGATAATAACAAGTTTATTGGATTTACATTATTTTGCGTAATGTTTGACCATGAATTCAAAGCTTCCAGAAGCACTATAAATTCTGCACTTTTACTAATATATCTATAAAAGAACCCTATGAAAATCACGCTGAATTACCACTATAAAATCGCTTGAGACCACCTTCTTTATAAATTAATTTCAATGAATCTTGCAAAAGTGTTCCATGCTTTTGTTAGAATCTAATAAGAGTTTTGATTGGGTAGCATAGGAAGATGGAGATGAATTTGTGCTATTTGAGAAAGTTCTCTCTTAAGTTTATATCTGTCATAAATAAATATATTTAAAATTAGAATATAAATAAATTAAAAAGAATAAAAAGGTCTTATTTGATCTATGAACATCGTCGACATGGAGAATCAAATAGTGATGAAAGAACGATAGTAGATGCAATTGGAGGAGATCAGATCAATTTTGGATCAAAAATTGAAACCGCAAAGACCTTTGATAATTCAACAGATTGATAAGGATCAAATATTCACCAACCCCACAGATAATACCTATCTTCAGTATCTGCGAAAACCACAGAAAATATAGAATAATCAAGATCTCTGTATTAGCAAAGGGTAGTTGAAGATACAAGAGAACGGGTAATAGGTGGAGATGTACGAATTGAGGAATCTTACTTTTGTTTAGTAATTAAAGAAGAATCGATTGCACCTAGTATTCCAAGGCTCTTAGAGTACTTACTTATAATTTGAAACGTAAAGAAAGCAACTAAAATTCTTTGAATCCTTGAACTTCGCGATAGAGAATAAATTATTTAAGTGAAATATATACTATTATAAATATTAATAAAATGTCCTTAGGTTTTATTTAATTAGGATAATGTGGTAACTAGATTGGACATGCGTTGTTTGATTTTATGATTTAAGAGTAATAACTTATTGGATTATAGAACTCAAATGTCTAGTCCAGGAGCTTAGGCTCTTCTGAATGAAATTTTCTTTTTTGAGCGGAAAAACAAATAGATTGCAAAATCATTGTTGATTGACATGGAGCCTAAAGTAGTGGATAGATGTCTCAAAGCTGAATATTATGATAAGGGTATAAGAGAATATTCATTCAGCATTTAGTTTGACAAAATAGGAGGGATCAGGAAACAATTGGGCATATGGATTTAACAATCATGGTCCTGCAAATAAGAATGCGATTCTTCAGATAATGGATAGTTTGTTGGAGGAGTGCGGATATTTGGAATCCTTGTTCTTCATATCTTCATTGGCAGGTGGGACTGGTTCTGGTTTAGGATCGTATATATTGGAATTGATGGCTGATCGATACCCTGAGATCGAATTGTTTAACATTTGCGTAATGCCTCATTTAACAGGAGAAGTGATATTGCAATCCTTAAACACAGTCTTGACCATAGGTTCAATCTATTAGCACAGCGAAGGGATAATTTTATTACAAAATGATGAAGCTCAAGCTTTATGCAATAATCTCTTAAATTTGAAGAGTCCAAGTTTGAATGATATCAATTAGGTGATGTCCACCAATTTGGCCAGTTTCTTTTGGCCTTGTCTAACAAATCAGGTGTACAGTACATTTCATAATAATCTGCAATATGTGCAGGAGTTATTGAATATAACTAACAATCAATACAAGTTACTTTAGTTAAATTAGATTCCGCAATTGCCTTAGCAATCCAAGGCTTTCCAGAATGACACTTGGTCTGCCTTGGAAAAGCGAATTTAGCAGATGGTGATGACTGGAACAAAGGAATACAATATCAATTGGCATAAGAAGGGATAATAGCCATTCAAGCAGTTGATGATTGCAAGAGGGAATGATGTGAAAAAGCATTAGTTCAATTGGAACACAGTGCAGGATGAACATCAGTTTAATAAGAATGAGAAATCAATAACAGTGCTGCATAATTCGAGCAACATAGTAGAATCATTAAATTAGATATCAGACAGAGCAAATTAAATGATTTAAGAGAGAGCCTATCTTTATCAATACGAGAAGTTTGGAGTTAAGATTCAACACTTTTAGGAGAGTATGGGAATAGTGGAAGGCATAATAAATGACTATGAATAATTAATTTAATGATGTATAAATATATAAACAATATACACAGGAAAAGATTTAGATTTAATCAGCTGCTACTTGAGCTGATGGTAAAAGTTACCATTCTTCCTTATCTGAAATTACTTGGATTTCTTAACTTATTTGTCATGATATTGGTTTGGGAGGTCGTATTCTCAATTCCCATTCTTCTTCTTCCTTTGAGGAAAATATTCTATTCCTCTAATTCAGGTTCCCTTCTGGAAAACATTCTCTTGACTTTGTAGAAGAACTTTTTAACGATGGCATATTCATTAATTAGGAAACCGACATGTTATTTGACATCGATGAATAGTTGGAAAATGATTAGACAGGAAGTTAAAGCAATCACAAACCAACCAATAGTGAGTTGTGAGTCTACACTAAGGGAATTTGATTATTCATTAATAGCATAACCTAAGATAAGCATTTCGGCAAGCCATATCAAAATTTCAGAGCCCACTTGCTTGTACTATTCATCTTTGTCTTACAAGGGCTGAACCTTTATGAGGTAAAGAGCCATCGCAATGTTCAGAAGAGATACTAATCCCACTTGTAAACAGGGAGATGAATAGAACATCACTAGACAAAGCATGAACAGTATTTTTTTAAAGAGTAGTACTATGTTGAAATAATAGGTGAATGGATTCTATTCTAATTTGATCCCTTCATAAATAGCTCCGAAGTTATCCAAACTCAATTTTTGTTTAAACACGAAGGCTGGTTTGGACATGAAGTTGATGGCCATAGAAATGAATGTCAATTCTACTGCTATGGCTAATAAACAAAAGAGAAAACTAGTGAATAGAATGGGATCACTCAATATGAAATCCTTCAGTTATAAAAAGAAGGCAAGGTTGTAATCAAAGGCTACAGCCATGAACGTTCTAATCAGACCTGATGAAATGGCTTTATTGAAACGCAACAATTGGATTTAGATGTTTCTTGTGATCCTGTAAACGAAGAAAGTGCAGATGCTCTATTCCTATGAATTGAGAGGCACATACACAAAGGAATGTGAAAACTTAGTTAACGTTGACAACAATGCAGTACAGACAACGTAAGTGAGAAGAGTAGTGACAAATACGGTAAGTACTGGAATGATATTCACATAAAATACAGTTGAATACCCTTGATCTCTGAACTTAGGATCTGCATCTGGAGTATTCACATATTGACTGATGAATGTCTCCAAATCCAAGTAATTCTTAATAAAGTCAAATTAAGCAAATCCAAAAATTGTGAAGTAATTATGCACATTATAAGGATACTAAACATTGAAGAACTGAAGGTATGATACCAATTATAAGGCATCCAACAGATTCCAGAAGATGTCCAGCCCTCCAAATAAGAATGCCAATATTGCCAATCCCAAAAGCAAATAAAGTACATACTTGCTCAGTTTCATCAATCCATCAGTGACCTACTCAGTTGAAGTGGAAGGTTTTTCAAATTCCTTTAATTCGATCATGTAGTTCTTCTCTCCAAATGTATGACCATCCTAATTGAACACAGCATTCTAGTTAACAATCTAACACACTAGTTCTGGATCTGGCACAGACTATTTGAATGTTATTGTCAATTCTAGGAATAATTTAGTGAATTTTTCTGAGTATTGAGTCAAGTCAACAAGGTTAAGATCGTAGTCATCACAATTGTTGATTTTGAATGCAAAAATAGAGCCTATGCTTCCACTGATAGAAACCAGAGAATCTGTTTTGATTCTCACCAGTCTTTGTTTGTCAAACTTCTTATCTGATGTGTTGACTTCTAATATAATATTGGGATAAGTAACTTTTTCACAATGAGATCCACATTCATAACCTGGTTCAATTTTACAGGCTTAATCACAGCCATCTCCAGGTGTTAAATTACCATCATCACATTCTTCTTATTCAACTTTAATGGCATCTCCACAAATGGGAACACATTCAGAATCAACTATCTGTAATCCCACATTTTGATCACATATCACACATCCAGATTAATCTTCTTTGTAGATGATGCAATCAGTGCAATTGTCTGCTCTTTCAACACAAGTCTTACAACTTGAATTGCATGGCAAACAAATGAATTCCTAAGTTAAATAGAATCCATCTATGCAACCTGTACATTGTCCGGCTAAACATCCAGTACAAGTGTAATCAAAACAAAATGAATTGCCATGTAAACATTTATAACAATTATCTCTATCAACATTATTACCATCATCACAATCTTCATTCCACTAAAGAATACCATCCCCACAATTTGAATAACAATAATGACTAATTGGCGGATTCAAAAAGTCTGCACAACTAGAACATTGTTATTCATTTATTTCATAATATCCTCTTCTGCATTTGCATTCAAATTAGTTTACACTACTACCACTATGATATTTAGGTTCTCTTGTAGTAGGACATCTCGTGCATGATTGCAAATTATTATTCTATTTGCACTCTAAGCAACTTGAGTGGCATTCTAAACATCAAATAAATTGCATACTTCCACAGGTAGTCTCAGGACTTTAATCAAAATAACCAGATTAGCAAGTGCAAGAAACATTATCTATACTTAATAGTCTGAATTAAGTTTCATCGCAAGTTAAACAAGTAGTTTCATTTAAACAAGTCTTGCATTTAGAAGGACATTCTATTGTTTATTAATGAATTCATACTTTTGCATACTAGATCTCCACTATCATAGAATCCATCCATGCAAATACATTGATCGACATTTAATCTTCTATTCTGACTGGAATAACATGCATTACATTAATCTTTTGTGAAATTACAATTCTAACATAAATTACTACATTTGGCACAAACCAAATCATTGTCTTCTTAAAAATAGCCATTCTGACATCGACATTACTCCTTATCTAACACTCTATTCTATCCAGGATGACAAGCTGTACAAACTCTAGCCTACTGATAACATTTCAAACAAGTCGGTAAGCATAAATAACAGCTGAATCCCTCCATGTAATATCCATCCAAACAACTACATTAATTTACATTAAGCCATAAACTTTTAGACTCATCACACGATAAACAACTCTTGGGATGCTATTATTTCCAAATTCCATAGCTTTCTTTTGTTGTGGTACAGGTTTTACAATTATGGAAACAATTCGTTTATTCACAATAGTCTATTCTTTCTTTTGCTAAACTACAAAAACAAGTATTGTATCTTAATTCGTATCCTGCTTTGCAAGCCTGACATTTATCTCTGCTAGTGCATAATGTACATCCTTAAATGCATTATATACATTCATCCTACTCTTAAAAATAGCCAGCTTTACAACCATTGATGTCTTGACTTATGGTATCGATTTCATTTAGACAATTTCCATGCTCATCACAATTTAGGCAATTATCTTGACATGTCGACACAATTATTCTAAAATCATAGATTCCACAATAAGCTTCAGTATCAATTCCTTGAATGCATTGCAAATGAAGTCTGAGTTCTTTAGTGGACTCAAAGCTTTTCACATATGAAACAATCTAAACTACTTCCACTTAGGTTTAACCAACTTGATTCCCAACTGAAGTGCTGCTTCCAAACATACTGTATTGTGGCAATTCATTATTGACACTAGTACGAAATAAGATCTAGTTATTAGTTGAATCGATGAACACCAAATTGAAGTACACTTTTACCTTATAAATTAATTTGTCATGGAGGATGTTAAGGTATATTTATTCATTTTTCCACATCCCATACCCTCCTAAAATGATACGATTCATAAAATACGATGATCTTATTTCTAATTGTGGTGGTATCGTATCTTAACGATAATAATTCATGTCATGATACATGTTTAATAGATATTTCTCGTTAAGCTAGGTAAGTTAGGAATCATCACAAGAGTTTCCATTAGTGACGGTGTAATTTGGACATTAAGATACACAATTACCATTAAATAATTTCAAAGTTCCTGAACAAGATAAACACACATTGAGTTTAGATTGATCACAAGTGTAACAATTGTTTGAGCATTAAATAGTATTTGATGTTATCTCATATTGAGAAATGTAGAAATCTCGAATTCCCCATGTTCTTGAGGGAGTATTTAATTAATATTTGGATTTGAACCGTATTTCTGTTACCAATTCATTCAGTTCTACTTGGAATGTGATTTCGTATTAAGTACAACTGACATAGGTTGAAATAGAGCAGGATTGTGGTTGAGCCACATTGGTAGATTCAGCAATTGGGGATGTGAGTAGAACTTAATTGTAAGCTAGTAATTCAGCAACAACATATTAATTAAAAAGTATTTAAATGGTATCAGGGAAGATCTTTGATATTTTGCCAGTAATATAAAGGTGGAATTTGATGATATATTTAAAAGCAGGTAGTAAATTGACATCGTCGTAAATAATTGAATCCGTATTAGAAAACATACCTGCAATTGACTTTGATCCGACGCTATTGATCATCAATTAATTTAGACTGTAATATTTATCAGCAACAAATTTAAATTTATAAGAAGTAAATGTATCTTCTCCAAGATCAGAGTAAAGTGCACTAACAATGGACGGTTAACATATTCGATTGTTATCGGATGCGTAATTGAGAGGACAGTGATCGACACATGTCAAATCAGGATTGAAGTAGGAAAATTGTAAAGTTTGATGACATACACATTTATTTCCGATCAATTGAAATCCCATTTTACATAAGACACACTCATTTTCATCACACTCCTCACATCTGTCGTCGCAAAAGTGTACTTGCAATACAAAATTGGCAATTCCATATTCACTGGTCGTTCCTGTCGAAGCTCTGTCATGGGCTATTTCAATATATAAATTTGGATCATTAAATGATATTTCCTAATCTATACGAGAGAATTATTCAGCGTAAGATCTCCCAAATGGCCTCGAAACGCAGAATCTTAGAGGGTAATCTAGATTACCCAGAGTCATCGGTTTATCATAATGAACCAATAAACTGTTGGCATAGACAGTAATAGATTCAGCTGCACTCCATATATTTATGTAATAGAGATCGAAACTTATTCTAATTTTGCTGAATGCTCGCGAGGTTGGCATTAAAATATTTCTACTCAAAAGCGTATCCCCTTGAAGAAGCTTGGAGTTCAAACTTGGTTGTAGGTCACAATATTGAACAAGATTTTAACCTGGCGAGTTGTTGGAGTTTTTCCAAAGGGAGAAGGTCGAACTATCCATTAGTTCTGATTTGAAGAGTTCCCAACCTTTATGGATATTCAATATCTTACCACAATGCACTATCTGCATAAGCATTCTCAAGACAAGTAACTACATCCATTTCATTATGTTATTTAAATAAATATTTCCATATTACATCAATGCACAGATATACTATAATTTATTTGATAAATTCTGTTAAGAATATAATAATTTATGTCATCATCGTTTCATTCCGTTAATTACCCTACAAGAATTCGGTCACATCCCTCAGAATTTATGTACTAAAATTATATTTAAAATTTTTATATTTTATACACTTACTCTGCATACCCCGAAAATTTTCAGATCTACAACCCTGTTATTTCCTTCCAAATTCCTTCATCATTTGACCTAGACCGATTGATTTCAACAAAACCATCACAAACATAAGTTTCATCTTAGATTTTATGTTAATTAATATACACGAATAAATTTATATTCCTTCATCAAATTAATTAAAGAAAATCTAATCTAATTACAAATCGGATGGCGTGTCTCTAACATTCATATTTACTCATCTAAACCAACAACTTTTGTTATTGTCAAGATATTCTTATATAATTTTATTTATTTCCTAGATTTTGCTAAAAATATAATTTTTTTATTATTGTTCACATTAATCTGAGTTGATAGAAATATTCCCAATTTCATTTAACGTATTCTCTTAATTGTGTTGATTTTTATATACAAATGCATGATTTACTTTTCATCTGTCATAGTCACAATTCCGTTTTCGAAAAACCATTCACCAATAATTTTTGGAGGAAAGTTTCAATTAGAATAAAGACAATTTGGACCACTCAAATTAAATCAAAATACTTTTAATGTCTATTCGTCATTGACATGATATATTATCACAACTATGGCCTTATTTACTCAAAAAGAAATATATACTAAATCTTATTATAATTTCTGTTGATTTATTATTATTATTAAATATGGTTTAATTATTTATTAAAAAATATCATTATCATTATTAATATCATTCACAAGTGCATCTTGATCCTTGCAAATGAAGATGACATCCTTTCTTGCATATTTGACACTGATATTTAGATATACATTCTGAGCAATCAGGTACCTCACATCTTTGGCAGAATCTATCGTCGCTTTCAAAGTAGCCAGCTTTGCATTATTTGGTTTTATAGTCAAATTCATATGAATTCCTTGTAAACTCCAAGCATTCGGATTTACTAGGTCCAGTACATGATTTACAATATGGTGTGCATTTATGTATAATTAAATAATAATCTTACAGAAAGCAAAATCCATTTGTGTTACACCCAATAGTTATCATAATATCATTATTTGTATGTTTGAAATACTTGCTATATTCAACAATAGAGTCTGGTTTATTAGCATCGCCATCAATTTAGATCAAGTCCTTTGGATTTATGAAATTGTATTCTCCACCATCTAATTAATAAAAGAATCCTGTCTGTTCATCCTCACCTGACAGATCAATGTAGCTAACTGTAAATGTGTAAGTCAATGCATAATGAGGTTAAAGGATCAGTATCTTAGTGTATTCTTACCTTCTCCATTTGCCACCGAAAAGCAAGTTAGTTTTGTTGAATCTAAATTAAAACAGACTATTTTGGTCTGACAAAGAAGTCTCTCCAGCCCAATTGCTTTGAGTGATATCAATATCCTTCAATATGAGTTAGCTGTTAGTTTATTTATTTAAGAAAGTTTTGCAATGGGGCCCTTCCTACACAGTTGCCTCTGGACATTAACTAAGACATTGGTTTTCAAATAAATAAAATCCTTCTTTACATTACTTGCACTCATCTTATTCGATGTATTTTAAGTCACAAATTTTACAATTTTCTTGGGAACATATAGATTCATCTATCTACAATTGGGTTAATTGGATATTTTAAATGATGATTTCAGAATCTTCAGATTTGGTTGGATCTCCTAAATCTTCAAAACGATTATATCTTTGTTTATGACCTTTGCTTTTGATGGGTCTAAACGCAATACTTACATTCAAGTTTGAGGAGTTCACATCGATTAAGGGAGTTTATAATTTGATTTGAGTGCAATTACGAGAATACTGACATTTAGTTTCTGATATATTGAATATTGAAAGGTATAAATTTGAATAGTAATTTGATATCAATCCTTGGTAAATATCGTTAATAATTATTTCTAATTATTAGAAAACCTAAAAATGTATTTGATTTTGAGTACTTTGAAATTAGATAGGATTAAATCAATATCCAATCTGATTTAGGAGGACTTCTTCAATTGCATTTATTATTCAAAATTCTTATTGATTTTGAGGTTTGTATTCTATCCAAAAGTGGAAGTCTCCAGATATTCTAATAAAATCAACCAAATGAAATACCAACTTTTGTACATCCATGGTATACGTTTGCTGAGTATCCTTCAGGACATTGTTACAAACATTGATTTTTAAATATGAAATTCTAACAAAAGCATACACCTTAATTTAATTGTAGAGTGAAATTCTGTTGGCAATCTAAACAAATAATACGATTATCAGTTTCTTCACAATTCTAACAGTGTTGAGGACACTGGACCTAGAACACATGAATTTATTTAATTCCAACATACCTTTTTTATTAATTTGATTTCTCATCCAAAAGTTAGATATTTATAGAAATTTCTGTATAATTTTTTCCTTCCAATTCATAATTAAATGATAACATCTTATAATCTGAAGTATTGAAACATTCATTTATCATAGAAAATCCATATCCCAATTCCTAAGTTTAGTAGCTATTGATTGTTTTATTTTAAATTTATATTGAATAATATGAATCCAGAGGAACTATAAATTCTACTAAAATTTTGGTCTTTGCAAAAGGTGACAAGTCTTTAAGTGAAATAACCTTTTGTAGACTACCTTATTAAGCTATGATTGGCAGATTGTATGCTTGACAATTTAATTGAATGTAATTATCCAACGTATTTTGGGTAAAAGATTTGTCATAGCCCTCATAATGCGTAATTGTCCATTGAGCAACTGATGCATTCACCAATAAAACAGCGATGATGTAATTCAAGTAAAACATTTACGAAATAAATTTTATAAAAACAAATAAACAATAATAAATTAAGAGGACATACTCAAAGATTCGGTTTACAAATAAACTCAGCCTCTCGTGTATCCTGACATTTGAGACACTTATTCAAATTCTAACATATTAAGCAACCTTGCGAACAGACTTGACACCCATTATCACTCAAGTAGTATCCATCCTAACACTAATTGTTCTGATAATCGAATTTTTCAATATTAGACTAATACACTTTACATTCCTATTAAGATGGCCCTGTACAACTCTAACAGAGTGGAGAACACTAGAGAAATATCTAAACACACTATTACTTTCATAGTCATAAAATAGTAATTTGAAATCACACATCTACCATTACTCGAGATTCTACATCCTAAATTTAAGTTTAAGATGTTTTTATTATGATTGATTGTATGATCAACGTAACTTGTATTTTTATAAACATTAAAAGTTCTACCATCAATTGAATAAATAAAACTGTCTGATTCTAAACTTGAATTCTCTATAGATATATTGAACATGATTCTAATTGCATAGTGTTTCCCCAAATTCATTTACTTCGAAAATGACGTACGTCGCCATTGGTCCAATAACCCTCCTCCTATAAACGTTGTTTCATTCTCATATCTAAAACTAATCTTCTCTGTCAAATCAAAAGATATTTAACCTAAGATCTCTTTTATATCCTGGAAAGGCGATACTAATCTCACTAACAAGTTTATGTCTACAGGTTACTTATTAATTTTACCCGTATGCTTTTCATCTAAATTTATGCAACTACTTTCATATTTTACTGTATAAAAAGGACATTTCTTTATGCATTCATTCTAATATACATAAAATCCTTCAGCACACTTTGCACATTAGTTATGATATGAACATTAACTACAATTCTTTATTTCACATTCGTAAGATCTCTGTCCTACATTATAAATCTTAAGACTCTCTATTTCCCAAAATCCAGTTTATTCTATCTTTTTTGAATAACTATTGATATTGATTTAATTTTATTTAAGAAAATCCATCTCAAATAACCCCCTCACTTACACACACTCCAATTCAAACTTAGACTTACAAAATTTTTGAGATTGTAAATTCCAATAAGTAAACAGAAATGGATACAATACTTGAGACTTACCATTCATCAAATCTATTTTTAGAAGCTGGTCCCAATTTGTTACTTATTTACTATAACAATTGAACACAATTTCCAAATGACCATTAAAATCAGTTTCAAAATTTAATTTGACTTATTTCTCCCCTCCAAATTTCTAAATTGTATTAAGTTCTTCCTACAAAAATGTTTTCGCTTATTCAATCTCTGTTAAACCTAAACCTTAGAGAAATATATTACTGGCTTGTACACACGAGTTATATTCAGCTATGGTACCCTCAGGGCATTCCTCTAAACATTAGTCCTTGTATCTCAGTTTATTACAGTTTTCAAATAACTCAAGATCACATGAGCCTGATAGACAATATTTACAACCCTTTTGGCATTCTTTAATAAACATATTAAAGTTTCGTATTTCTACCTTGGTTTATTTTTCAAATCTAATCTAAATCACTACATTTGGAGCTTGGTGTTAAAATTACAAATGAAATTAATTGTACTCTCCTTCTAACTAAATCACACCTCTTTTAACTCCATTTACTATTATTAATATATCACTTTGACTCTTATTTGTTTTAGCATCAAACACTAAGTATAATTCTCTATATCCTGGCAAACCTTGATAAGAGATAGAAAAGTTTCCTTCAGCAGTTATTAAATAATCATCTTAGATTATAATATTTTCATTATCAATTGGTTCTATTATTCTTGACAACAAAATGGGATGCCAACTATAGTAACCTCCTATCAAGAAGAACAAGAATAATAATTGCATTTTGAAAATATTATTTATTCAAACAAAATATCTTGTTTTATAACTGAGACTTATATACATTATTTTAACTGTTGATTTAACTATATCATTTTATAATAATACGTATTTTATCTAGATGCATTAAAATTATAACTATAAATTATAAGATTTTAATTAAAATCAATCTTTTTATTATATAATTAATTATAATATATTTTTTTTTATAATTTCTTTCTTTTTAATTCGCATCGATTCTACACTATCAATTGATCTATTATACTGAGGACAGTTCCATAATGGAAATATTTAAACTATATCTAATATATTATCTCCTTAATACAACTATAATCAAATACAATTATAGTAAATATAGATTATATAATATACTTTTTTAGAAATTAATTAGTATTTCAAATTAGACATAATTTAGATAATGTAAATATTGCAGACAATGCTTAGTTTATAAAATTATATAAGGATTAAATCGTTTAAATAAAACTTTTGTAAATAGAAAATATAAAAATAAAAGAAAAGTTCAAAAATAATAGGTATTGAGAACAAAAGTGAGCTCCTGATCTCTAATTGGCTTCACTAAATAATCAATCATTCCAATTTTCAAACAGTTCTCTTTTTCAAAATTGTCAATATAACCAGAACATGCAACAATAGTTTGATTAGGATTTAATTGCAGCAATTATTTAGCTGCATTCAAACCATTTAAAATTGGCATCTCGAGATCCATAAAAATGATTCTGTATCCTGTACAGAAAGTGGAACACTTCTTGTTTTTAACCTTTTAGATACACTCATTGCCATTAGAAGCAGAGTCAATATCTGTTATGTTTCTAAATGTTAATTAAAAAGAATACTTTTTGTTTAATATCTTTGTAAAAGTAAAAATATTAAAGACTTCATCATCAACTAGTAGCATGTGTTTACATCTTAAAAGTGGGGGTTCTACATCAATTTTCATATTGTCGTCGGCATGGAACGTCTACCCTTCATCAACTTCTTAAAATGATGCAGAGATCTCCTTAATCCTAAAGCTTGAGACTTTCTTTAATCTCGTGGTTTGAATATGCAAATCGAAATAAAAATATGTCCCTTGATTTTGCTTAGAATCTATTTGTAGACCTCCACAGCCAATGGATATGGCTATTTAATTGCTGATTACTAAGCCAAGTCCTACACCTTGTTCGTTGCGTTTAGCACTTTCTTCCGAATTGACCTTTGAAAATGATTTAAATAGCTTTTTTTGATCTTCTTCAGAAATTCCAATGCCATCATCTTGAACTCCAATTCTTAGAGAGGTAGAATCGATGGAAGTAACTGAGATGATTATTTTGCTAGAGGCAAATTTAAAACTATTGCTAACCAAATTAACTAAGATTTATTTGATTCTATTTCTATCAGAAACAATAACAGAGGAGACTGCATTATCAAATGACAAGGATAAATTGATGTTTGTTATTTTAGCTTTCAATTCAAATAGTTTCAATACTTCCTTTATTAGTTGGATCAAATTGAATTTAGATCTCTAAATAGCAAACTTACCATTTTTGATTTATGCCAAATCTAGTAGGTCATTAGATAGATTCAAAATATAGTTGGAATTATCCAAAGCAGCCTACAAGATTTCAATCAAATCATTTGACAATTGATTAGAATGAAGTGCGTCTTCTATCATTTAGATTATACAATTTAGAGGTGATCTATATTCATGACTGACATATGAGAGCATTTTAGATTTCTGAATATCGTATTCTTTCAAATATCTAATTTTCTGTTTGTGTGTAATATCTCTAATCAACATGAAATACAAATTCACATGTTTTTTGATGAGTGTTAATTCCAACAACTTTTCTACTTGTTTCTCACTCTAAGACATGGTCACACTATTAATGGGGAACAAGACATGAATGATAAAGGATTCATTAAAAGAATCAGATTGGAATTTATCAAATATATCTTTAAGATGAGGGACTGAATTTTTATCTGAATGTGCTTAAAACAAGTATATTACATCTTGGTTATGAGGTGATTGATTTATGTGATCACTCTTAAGAAAAGCCATACTTTTAGTACACATTTGTTTTGAATGCTTCAAATGAAGTTCGTAATCATCATGATTTTCATGGTATATATAATTTAAATTAGTAAAGGAATTTAGAATTTCTACCATCTCTTTCTATGAATTCACAGATAATAGTGCCCTTGAAGCTATATTAGAATAAATGATTTCCATATCCTAATTATTTTACTTCAATCGCAGCCCAATTAAACCTTCGTGGGAATATTACAGCTATACATCTAATATATTCGAATTTAAGAATTAATCAATAAAGGATTACTCTGGGATCAATCGAAAATGTGGAGATTCATTACTCTTTGGCGATATCTTTTCTGATTCAGCCAATGATAACGCTCTCTCTTTTCTTCTGATCATTTGAGTACAATTTATGTGCTAGAATGACTCGTTTGCTTTCCTTTGCTTCATTATTGGCTTTCTTATACAAATTGTGTAATTGATTACAAATGAAAGTAACAGGCTAATAATTCCTTAACAGTAACATAAATCAATTTCAGAAGTTTGAGAAATGTAAAGAATTTAAAAAAAAGTAGACTGTAGCAGTAGTAGGAACCAAATTAGTCGATACCTTAATTGACCTTATTACTATTGAAATCTCTTAAAATCCTGGAATAATTAAGTTGTTAAAAAATGAGCTATTATTACCTAGGCCTCACTGTTATATTAAATATTCCTCTGATTCGTTATGACTTACCAAAAAAGACTAAATTGAATTATTATAATATTTCCTATATATTAGATCCTCTGATTTTTGGTTTAAATATATAACAGGATCAAACCAAGAATAGATTGTAGAATCAAATAGGCCAAATTGCTATTTTCTGAACTTGTTGAATAGTAATAAATAGAAAATCCTAGTCCGTTGATCTAATATAGCATCACTACAAATCTTTAAATAACTTTCATTTATCAAATAATAAATATTATCAATAGTTCTTATAAATAGCTTGTATTATTAAAATATATCAAATAACGGAGTTTTACAAACCATTAAAACTACATCATCTCCTTAAAAGAAATTCCTCTGATCTTTCTGTTTTCCAGAACCCCATCTCTCCAATAATCTCCATTTAATATTATAAATTATAATTAAGTATACTAAACGATAATAATAATGAAAAAAAAGACTGAATGATCTAATGAATTAATCAGAACTTAAAATATTTCTCAAAATCTCTGCCTGTTTAAGGACAAATCGTATTACTTTTTATACAAGTGTGATGTGCTAATACAGAATTCGGATATACCACAAAAACCTATTTAATTAAGTATATACTTTTTCTCCTATTGTTTTACTGCAAACAGAACATTTCTTTTCACTTGTCATTCTTATATTCGATTATTTAGTTGTAGCAACTTGACATTATACGTACAACAAGTCCACCTAAGATAACTGATAAGCTGCTTTAGTTGACCTTTTCTAATGTAACGTATGACCTAAATCTCACCTTAAAGTTTACTTATTACACTCTTCAAAAATTAAAACAGTCCATCATCCTCACTTTAATCAGAAAGTATCCAATTATCAGGAATCAGATCTAAAACCTCCAAAACATTAAGCTAAGAGTGAGTTGCAAATTTTTTTAAGAAACTATTAATAGTTATCTTTTTTAATATAACACATTATTAATACTTTAATTTAATTAAATGCATTTTAAGCTTGTTAATCTGTTGGTCTTTCTTTTTATTTCCCTTCCAAATAAAAATAAAGTTCTTTATACTAGATTAAGACTTTATATTAGACTAAATACTTTTTTAAATAGTTTTGTCAATAGATTATCAGTATAATCACAACAATACTTTTCAGCCCATTCATAGAATCCAAGACTCAAAAGTTAATTAAGCGCTTCTTCATGTTTTTTCTCTCTTCCATACAATAGAATGACTTCGTTTATCATCCAAGAATCCTTCACTTTTTTTTCTAAAATACTAGAAGAGTTATATTTTGCATTTGGGTTTTTCAAATATCTTTTCAGGGCTTGATATTGATCACTAACAACTTAGTTTTTTCTTAAATCTATTTTTGAGAAATCCATTTCCTTAGGGTATTATTAAAACAAGGAATCAATATAAGAATATGCTAATTGAGTATGAAATCTTTCTTCATCAGTTTGTTTTTCTAATACTAAAATTTCTAAATATTTTTCTTTCAATTTCCTTTTTAATTCAGAGTCCAATTCTTATTCTTCTAGAAATTTCAACATCTGATCAGGTGTAATAATTTAGTCACTAATTTGAAATATTTGAACCCCAACCTTAAATTGTTTCTTAAACACCCATACTATAAATTTAAAGATTCTATTCTTTTCTGGATTCTGCTTTAGAATTCTTGTTGTCTCCTCACAGGCTTCCTGCTGTTCTTGTAGATGTATAGATTCTCTTCCAACTTTCTTCCAAATCTCAAGAGACTGATCAATTTTATTAAATGATTCATAGAACTTAGCTAAGATACCTTATTATTATTCGATTCCTCTATTATTTTAAATTAATCCTTATAATTGATTGTACATTTAGATGCAATAGATTTGATTGCTCGTAAAAAATGCTTTCAATTTAGGAAAATATTGTGAAGATTCTAGATATAATTTAATTAAAGCAAAATCTATTAATTCCAACAATTAGTCACAAGAAATAGGTTGCCATTAATTTTAATTAAAATTTAGAGTTGTAGTCAATAGGTTAATCTTATCTTTCATTGAGTATGCATATTAAGGTGAAGTAAGAACAGCTCTCTTTTTTTCTAGAATTTCAACTAAAAACTCTTTAGCTTGAAATTTGAGTTCTTAAATTCGCGTTGGATCTCCTCTGGATTCCTACACAAATTTATTTATAATTAATGAGATGGTTTATAATGATGGGTTTGGATTCACTGATTATAACTTTTCAGGTGCAGGATAATAGTCAGGAAACAAACAAATGAAATCCCTAGGGTCGAAATTAGTTTACACAATATAATTGAGAGAATTTGAAAATTGCATTTGTCTAACTAAAGACCATCCACAATCCAATTTCAATTGTTCCAATTGTTAATTTTTTGAAGGATCAGCAGCTTGATTATTTTATGAATAGACTTATAAAGCATCTTCTACTCTTCCATTTTTTAATAACTCGGATATTTATTATTCGGCAGGAGTTTGATACAAATAAATTATCTATGTTTAAATGAATAATATACTTCAGCAGCACTACCATAGAATAGATGGCTTGATGTCTAAGTGATACATCTGGCAGCCTATGATAATTGAATATCACTCATGTGTTTAGAGTCACTCAGATTAAATACTTGCAACAAATTATCAAAGATGACTATTAGATATTGCTTAAAGGTTGTGATAAGTGATATAGGTTTATTTTGGATTAAGATAGTACTTTTTTATTTCATTTATCCATCCTTACCTATAAATATGCCAACATTGTTTGTAGTAATAATGAGTATTTCATCGTTGTCTGTTGCTTTTAAAAATGGATTAGAACCAATATCCATTAATAAATTAGCTACTTACAATTACTTGTCATCGAGATTTATGACAGAGTAATTTTTCTTCTGAATTCCAAAGAAAAACAAATTACCTATGAAAGCAACTGTAATTGGAATGTCAGAAAGAATGAACTTTTCTCTCATTTATTCAAATCTTCCTGTCTTTAGATTATATTGCATAATATATCCTTCTTTCTTTTTAGTGATCATAACTAGTTCCAATTAATTACTTTTTGAAAATTCATTTAATGCAAAAATAACTACCTTTTCCTTATTTATCACTTCCCCTCTCAATGTTGCTGCTTCTATACAATATAGAGTCTAATCTGATAAAACTAAAAGATTGGCATTTGCATGAGGGAAGATTTTAATTTGATCAATCTTTGCTTTAGTGAATTATTGCTATTGAATTGAATTGGGTGCCAATACATTTACTGATTCCAAGGTCAAATTATACCTAATCTGATATTCTGCATTTTATTACCTGTAAATGTTTCCTTTTTCATCTCCAGCAAATAGGAAATTTTAGAAGGCATCCATTGCTGTTATCTTGTATGTCAAATCAAGAACACTTCTTGGATTAAAAATACTTCCGGTTTTCATTTATTTTTAATTATTCTATGTTTATAATATTAAATGAGTTTAATGTATTAATTACTACCAAAATTAATAATAAATAAATATATATATATCATATAACTCGATCAGCACTTCAATAAGTTTTGCTCAATCATCTTCAAGTGTTTAAGATGACAACTCTTCTATTAGATATTGGAATGATAGATATAACTAACGGCTTCATTCTTTAAAAATTTGTTCCTAAAAATATTTAACATAAGCTATACCCCAATATTCTGAACATGCTCAAGAAAGATTCCTTCTAGGTGTAGTTCTTTATGTGATTTATGTTCTTCAACTTATTTTTGAGTTAATTAATTATTTTTAAGAATTCGATTCCTTTCTTCTTTCCCAAAGTGTTTATAATTAGAACTCTCTATCCACAAGCATAAGAGACGATTGCCTTAGCATAGTTTTTTTAAATATTGGTAGATTTTTGTAAGAGATTAATCTTCTTTTTTCCAGATTTTTATTTCGGTTTATTTGATTCTGTATTAGTGTAATTTTCTTCATTATTTTCAACTGCAGTTTCATTTTTATTTTGTTTTATCAATTCAGAGTTTAAAAGATTGTTTGAATCAAAGTTTTGATTAGAAAAAGAACTTTAATCATTCGATTTTGAGATTATTTGATTGATTTCAGGTTCTTAAGAGCTTTGGTATTGAGGTTGTATCAAATAGTTGGGCATATACGACATGTAGTACATGGGATAATATTGGGGATACGCTCCAGGTTAAGAGTAAATAAGAACAGGCATGAAATTCTGATTTTACATTGCTATAATTATAATATTGAATCCTATAATGTTTTGGCTTTAAAAAATGAGTTTTCGGTTTATTTCCTTAATCAAGTATATTTTAATTAAATTTATTTTAAATTAAATTCTGTATTCCTTCAATAACACTTATAAGATCAATTAAATCCCCTTCTCACATCAAAAATCCATTCTTCCTTGTTCTATTATGTATAAATCCATATAAATTTCATGAATCCTCCAATTATCACTCGAATCAAGCCAAATCCCAATTTATATACTTCCATTCATTAAATTCAATCATTCAAATTAATTTTTAAACCATATGCTCTCTTTATATTATAAAAATACAAGAGATATTACATGAATTTTTATTTTTCTTCGAGAGTTTGATTTCTAGTGAAATTTTATCATAGCATATATTGCAGGATGTATTAATACTGAAAATCACTTAAATATATAAGAAAAAACTTATTTTATTGAAAATTACTGTAGTGTATTTTAATTTATTTTCTAAGCACAAGTTGATTAATATAAAGTTTATTAGTTGAATAAATAAATTAAACTGAACTGAATTATTAATATTATTGAATTTTATTAAAAATAGAAACTTTTAAAAAGAAATCTTTATTATTAATGTCAAGAATAAAAATCATATAAATAAACTAATACTAAGTTTAGGAGGAATTAATTTCAAATACTTCTTCAATGATTATTCTACAACTAACTATAATATATTAACATAATGCTGAATTATGATATATCTTGTTTAATAAAAAACTGGCTATATAGAAATTATTGCATTCATTATATATGAAATCCTGAAACTATCAAAACAATAATTTTATGGATTATTAATGAGCTATTAAGCTTGCGTTGGTTAGTCAATGAATGATATTCAAATTCTATCGAGAGATGTTTTATTCTTGATTTATTAGAATAATTTATTAGAGTTTATAAAATATTATTACTATGTAGTGTTTTACATCAAAAAAAAATAAAAATTAGGAAGATGAAGAAGAAGAATTAGATGTTGTAAAGTTGAGATATATGGAATTAGATCAAGAAGAGCAAAAGAAACGAAAACCAATTAGAGCATTTTTTAATGAATTTCAAGAATAATCAGTACTATAGTTGGATGGATAAGATTATTAATGGTTAAGAGTAAAGTTCTAGGATCTAAAGGATGCTTTAAAAACAAATGATGAGAGAATCTGGTAAAAGGAAATGCAAGAAAATAAACAAATATAGCATGAATAAAAGGTGGAATTGGATTAATTATTAGAAACCTTTACAGAATAGAGATATAAAATTAGAGAGATGGAAGCTTAGAAAGAAAAAAAGATAGAGGAACTTGACGAAATGAAGAAAACATATCTAAAGGTCTTGATTAAAACTTAAGCAATTAAAAAGGAGTTGATTAATCAACAAAATAAATTTGCTGATCAAGTGCATCTTGTGTTGAATCAAATACAAGAAGCTAATCTATATTATTGATTTATTATATATAAATTAAAAATACTGATGGGTGCAAATTGCTGCAGGCAATATAATGATAAACCATATGAGTTAACAAATCTCAATTAATATAATACATCAAATATCTCTTAAAAGAAAAGTAGCACAACAGCTAATATATTAAACAAAGAGAAATGTCATTAGCAGGATGAAAATTTTAAAGAAGAAGCATCTGTTACATATATCCATGAACCGCACAAACTCGAAGGAGACAATCAAGAAATAAAGGAGGTTAATGGAGATGTCGATGCAGTTGAATCTATACAACAGTCTCATTAATTCCTATAAGATTGCATTCCAAACAATGATGATTCATCCTCGGAATTAGCTGAATCACTTCACTGTGATGATACGAACACAAAAAAAACAATACTCAAACATGAACTAAGATATTGTCAAAAATAAGGTTCAGCCTAAAACAAAGAAGTAATTAAAAAAAAGGTGAGATTCGATCTAAAATTAAATGTTAAATGAAAGTTTATCGTTTGATGTTTCAATTTATTTATGTTTTTCCTATCTTTATAAATGATATTTTGATAATTTTAGTTATTTTAGTAAGATAAATAACTTATAAAGATTATTAAAACCAATAAAATAATTATTTTAAAAAATATTGAATATGACAAATTAAATTTGTAATTCAATAAATCCAAACCATAAATCCTATGTATTTTCATTATATAATCTGTTAAATGTTTTAAATGAGGAATAAAAATACATTATATAAAATTCAAAATGAACTAAAATTCGACTACCATATTCTCGAATAATCTTAAATTGACATTGAAACTGTTTAATTTACATCCTTCCTGCGTATGCTTGCTTTAAAATTGGATATTTAAGATAAGATTGTTTTTATATTATTTTTGGCTTGGATTGAGTAAATATGAATCTAAACATATATAATTAGCTTATTGATCAATAAACATTTTGATTCCGAAAACCTGGGTGTTCTTTACTGAAATGTTTCGGTATTTAATAATTAATGACTTGAATTTAATTATAAAAACAAAAGTTCACAAATAAATATAATTATTCATTAAATGGACAACTAAACTATTCTCACTTTATAAGTTTACAGTAAAAATATATTTTTTGATCACCCCTATGAATTAACATATGTCGGAGACAAAATTTTATTTTATAAGGTATGAGAATCATCTTCATTTATAAAGCTGAAGCAAGGAGTTTAAATATTCAGATTTCAACTTTTGATAAGAATCATGACTCAAATTAAGTGGATAACCAAAATTGAAGGTAATTTGCCTAAAATTATTGGGTTCACAATAAATATAAAGAAAAAATCCAAGAATTTCCTTTGTAAGGATGTGAATGGAATTCTAAAGTAAATTAAATGATCAAATGAATCTTAGACTGAAGAATTTTCTGAGCTGCAAATGTAGTTTTGCTAATTTTGATGAATTATTTAACGTCAAAAGTGAGATAAGTAGAGGGTCTTCAGGTAGTGTGAAAAAAATCTAATGTAAATAGACTGGAAAAGAATTGGCTGTTAAATTTATTAGCAAAAAGGATTTAACACCTTTAAATTATGTAAAAATATATATATTCAAACTAAAGTCAATCTTAGAGTAAGAAATAGCTGTGATGAATAAAGTAAAAGGATATGATTATTTTGTGAAAATCCAAGATTTATATCAAGATGATTAATACTACTTAATCATCATGAATTATTTGGAAGGATACTCATTGTCATATTATCTGGAAAACAATAGAAAAATGAATAAAACTTTTTCTTTGTTTTAAATATTCTCAATTATGAAACGGCTATTTGAAGCCTTAATCAAACTATCCTAATTAGAAGTATATAGGCAATTAAATATAGATCATACACAGAGATATCAAACCATAAAATTTAGTTCTAGCAGAAGAAGATGATTTCAATTCTCTTACTATAATTGATTTTGGATTTGCAACCTTCACCAATATTAACAGATATCTTTTATATAAATGTGGTACACCTGGATATGCAGCACCTGAAGTGCTTAATTCTTAATGCACATATTACTCATTTAGTTGTGATGTATTTAGTAGTGGTTGTCTGCTTTATCTATTGTAATTAAAAATTCATTCTTTAGGTTATTTAATGAATTGCCTTTTAAAGGTGACACAACGGAATAGCTAGTACATAATAACAGACTTTGTTAATTAGATTTTCAACAAGAAAAATGTAATGCTTTCTCTTTGAGTATTATTGTAAGATTTTTATTTATTTTTAATAGGCTCTTTTGAAATCTCTATTGGAAAAGAATATATCTGACAGAATCTCTTTGAAGGCTGCTTACGAATAATTTTCATCTTTGTATGAACTTTATAAGCAAAGATGCGAGACTGAGGATTGTCACGACTCATCTCCACTTGTAAATAGGCTACCTAATTTTGATATCCAAATTGGTAGAATATTTGAGTAGAGCTCAATAAAAGAACAGGTGAACAAAGTTGTTTAAAGTTGAATGCTAAATTAATTTTATTAATATATAGCATTCTCATTTTAAGAATATAAACATTATATATAATTTTATGATTATTAAAATCAATACTTTAGATGGATTATTAATTGATAAAACTAGAAATCTATGTAAAAATAGCGCTTAAGGAGAGAGTATTTAATAATATTAAATAGTCTAGAAACAAAATGGGGGTGCAACAAGTATAAAGAAAAAAAAAGAGGAGGTTAATTGATCTAATTTAATGATTTAAATCTTAAGGCAATCTGTTCACAATTTTAAATTTAAAGCGATTCAACTGAAATTCAATTTTGAAATAGAAATAATTATTAGTTACTGATTAAATTAATATTAATTTTATCCTAAGAAATAAAATATTTAAAATTGTTAATTAATAGAAACAGAGAGACTCATAAGATTAAAAATTCAAACCTTCCAAATGAAAAATATTCAATATAGAGGAATAATTACTTATTGTAATGAATTATCAATTTTAAAATGAGAATATTATAATAATAAAATTCATAAACATTTTAGATATTTTATTAAATTGCTCATTATTAAATAGATTAGTTTAAATTATGACACTATACTAAAATCATAGATAATTAATATTGTCTAGCCTAGAAATACACATAACAAAGTAAAGAATTGGTATCTGGAATTCATAATTTTAGAAATATTTATCTAAATTAAAAATATAAAATCAATTGTTTTTCATCACTCTAAAACTATTAGAAAACTTAAAGACTTAAGGTTTAATTGACTTACTTTTTGGTTTCTCTTTGTTAGCATTTCTGATCACTTAATTAGCATTGTTATGTGGCAAATAATCTACATAATTTTGCATTTTATCAAATCCTTCCAATACATAGAATTGTTATTTGACTTAAAATTGGTCTAATTATTTAAAAATTAAAGTTTCTCTATAAATTTATGTTCTTCTTTTCTCTTCTTCTGTAAAAGATAACTTTTTTTTAGCTAAAACTAGAGATTTCCTTTTTTCATTATTATCCAAAATTGGTGTATTCGAACCTCTTCTACCCATCCCGCTCTATTGAATTAACCCGTTCTACTGAATATTTCGATATATAGAATTCTATGATTTTTCTCGCAATTCTTCTACTTGTATAGTTTCAACTTAGCCACTGGTTTCAGATACCTAATAAGTTTGAACTTGAGTATTGTATTCTTCTAAAAATGATACGGATAGAAATTCTTGAAAGTCTTTAATACTTGCTTCAATCTATTATTGATCAAGTTAGGATTTTATTTTTTTTTTTTCGTTTCTTTTGAATTTTTCTCTCTCATTTAAATCAAATTTATTAAATTTTAAAATTTTCAGATATTTAGAAGGTTGATATGTTAAGTAAGGACACTCAATATCTTTGTGTGAAAATTTGTTACATAAATAACATTTAGCTAAAATGCTTGTGTAATTTTTGGTGTATAAAATTGAATCTTTGATTTTATGAAACTTCTCATAATCTTTTTGTGTTTACTTTATGATACTTATAAATTTATCTCTGTCTATCCGATATAATTATGTAAATCCCACACTTATAGTTGATTCTTTGGTATTTTATCCGGTGAAAAATTAATATTCACCAAAAACATCTCCTACTTTCAATCTTTTTATAATCTTTTAGCTTTGCTCTTCTAAAATTTGCACTTCCCCTTCAGAAATGAAATATCTAAAGAATAAAAATATTATATATACAAATTTTTATCCTTCATATCTTCTCTATGGTATATTATATCCTTAGGGGTGAATTTGACTGGAATCAGATTGTTTTTAACTTGGTTTTAAGTTTGTATTGAAAAATAATCAGTTATGAGTTTAATTTTTTAGATAGTTTTTTATTAAATATCTTCTTCTAATTCTAATCTTAAACCAACTGGCAAATCATTTAATATTTTAGTAGTTTCTTCTTTATTCTCCAAAACCTCATGTTCAATACTAAATTTAATGTAGTTCTTCACTCTGCTTTAGATCTAAGAATCTACTTCATTTTTGGACATGAATTTACTCATCAATATTAATGTTCTCCTACGATATATAAATAAGTGAATACTTAAATTTTGTTTGTTCATCATAAATATTTTTCACTATCACTCCTATCGAGTTCATTGAATAAGCAAACATGCAAGTAGAAGATATCATTACAATTGATGCAAATGTTACTTCAACTTAATTTTTAGGTGTAATATCTCCATATCCCACAGTAACCATTGTCATCGTAGCCCAATAATAAGAATAGTTGTATTATACCCAAATGTTTTCATTTGTGATCTGAGCATAGGTTAACCAGGAACCTTAATTCATTGTAATGTAACCAATATAATGCCATAAACAGGCTGTAAAATGAGCAAAGAAACAAATAATTATAATCAGACTTATTAAGTCTAAAAAGTGACTATTAAATCCTTTTAAATACAATTATTCAATTTGAATATTATATTTTCTTAATATTTATCTAACTGTTAAAATAATTTATGATATGGCCAAAATTTCATTGAGTACTAAAATTTCATTAAAATCAAAATAAATCAAAAACCAAATAATGAAACTGGTTAAGTCTTCTATCAATTGATTTTTTGAGTAAAGAATCCATATTTATTAATTTTCACTGACAATTTCCCCTTAGAGAATAATTGGTCTATAAATTGTAAGCACACTCTCAAATATGAGATAGATGTTAAAGAAAAATTCAATGCCCTTGAAAAATTTATCCTATTATCCAAAGGATGCAATCATAGTGCAAAAGAATAATCTCAGAAACAAAACAAATAAAGACATGAAATCCCATAAAATTGTTAGATTTTTTCCAGGCATCAGTAACATACTTAATTCCGATACTTTGCTTGCATACCCATTTTCTTTACTGACTTAATGATATAATTTAATTACTTAATCTCTATTTTGGTTTAATTTTCTTTTGTTTTTTTCTTTTATTCTTAGATGTAGGATTCGTTTTCCAAGATGTATTTCATTTAATTTGGAAGAACATAAGCTGAGGAAAATAGGTTATTTTTAAATTTATTGATGATGTTATTTTTGACGAGGGTTCTCATAAAGGAAGGTCCTTCCAATTTCTATATTTTAGGTTCCAGTAATTGTCTCTTGCTCCCCTTTATGAAATTACTTTATGATTATTAATTAGAATTGCCTTTATTCCTGAAGTTTTGCTTGGCTTTTAAAATTTAGAGATTTGTTGGTAAAATTTCGACATTTTAAGAGATATTATTAGATTCAATCTCTTTCTAGCTAATATCTGAAGTGATTGAATTCTTAGAAGGAGAATTCTTTTTATAGTTGTTTATATTGGCAGAATCAATTAAAACGCAAGGACCAAAATAACCATCTTGTAATAAACAATGATCAGTTCTATTTGTGTTCATTTATTTTATAATTTAAATTATTAATCGATAATTAATTATTAGAGATTATTATAGGAAAAGCCAAGTTTATAAATTTTCTACCGAGATTATATTTATAATATCTCGGCCAAATATTTCTTAAATATTCATATATAGTAGTAATTAATTTATAAGAAATTATTTTATTAAAATATAGTAGTATTGATCAATGTATTACTAGTTGGACTAAAAAGACAAATTCATAATGTAATTAATAGTACATTTTTACAAAGTTCAAAAATTTAACTTTGCCGAAAATACTCAGGGTTAAAATGGGAAACTAGAGTAATAAATTAGCTTTGAGAAATAGAAAATGATTAGAAAATCAAAACTTGTTATTTCTTGACCAAAAGTTTTTAGAATAAATATGAAATTTTTAAATTACGAGATCTGTTCATTTAGAAGATCCTAAAATCTATGATTAGATCATTTTATCACAAAATCCCTCTCATGTAGAAAAAGATGATAAAAAAAAGTAGCACTAATCCTCTCAATTCAAATAATAACTTAATTAATTAATTAATAAAAATTTTAAGGGACTTTTGGATTATAAGAATTAATATTTAAAATTGAAAGAATTATAACTTATAGATGACCACTAATAGCGTGTAAGGTATTAGATGATAGCTATATCAAATTATAGTAAAAAAAGCCTTACATTTCTTGTCTATATTAAAAAAGATATTTAGATAAAAAAACTATTGATAAAAATATACAGTCAAACCACAAAAGAATTTGAACAAACGATCTATTAAAAGTAGTGAATTAGTATGCAACATTAAATAGAAGACTATAAGAGTTTAATCAAAAAATAAAAAATAAAAATGTATAGTTAGGTTTTTTTGCAGGATCGACTAACATTATTGAGAAACAAAATATTCTGAATTTAATTAGCGAAATTTATTGAGTGATAATCACATTCAGCATATATTAATGAATATATTAAAATAATTTTGAGTAGAATTTTCAATAGGAAATATAGATTAACAAATCAGCATTATGGCTGATGATATAAGATAAAATTGATTGCTGAATGAAAACACATAATAAGATAAAAATAGATGAAAAATTGATAATACAATAAAAAAATTAATAAAAAGAAATTAAAAGGAAAATAAAAAGACAGTATGAAAATGATGAGAAAATGTATTAGGATGTTATTAGAGAGTAATTAGAAAATTCACAAAGTCTGGATAGAGCTATGAGAATAAAAGAATTGCGATTAAGAGTTTTCCAAGGATATAGACTAATCAAGAAATGAAGTTCTTTTGTAGAATGTAAAATATTTATTATTCATAACTATTATTATTAATATAATTATAAGAAATGGATGATATATATTCACAAATGACTGATAAATTTAATTGCGATTCTTCGAATAGAACGGACGATTACTTTATGCAAGTTTGCCAACCGTTATATTCAAATAGATGTTTATAGAGAGAAGAGATCGAATTCAAATTTAGATAATCAAAATAGGATTATGTGTTTCCTCGAATACCTTTTGAAGAAACACCTGATAAATATTAAACAATCGAATCTCCTCAACGTTTAAAAACAGAAGGAAATGAAAAATCAGAGGATTAATTGGATCTAAATTTCAATTTTAATAGTTCATCTGAGCGTTTATCAGATGATGCGGTTGTATTGTAGCCAAAACCTTATTAATAAAAATTAAAGCCTCCTCAACCTAAAAAAGCAAAACATGCAGCTACTTAATAAACATATAGAACCATCTTAAATGATTTAGAAAGGAAGTTGCATACAATAAATTGCAAAGATTTTGTTAAGAAAAAGTGCGAATAAAAAGGGGCCTCCAGAGCAAAGAGCAATTCCAATAGTACAACTCATTATAATAGTCATTATCAACGGAAGTATAAGTAAAAAAAATCAAAGACCCTTTGAAATAGATACCAAAACCTCCTCTGTGAAGAAGTCCATTCCAACTGAATCTAAAAAGTCTCTCAGCAAAACCAATCTAGCAGCCATCTTATCGAAATAGAAAAGTAAGAGCAATCCATCCAAGGCCAACAACATCTTTAATGTCAATAACAGTCATATCAATCTTAATGTTAATATTAATAGTTAAACTATGGATTTACAGCAATAAGCTTTAACCGTAGCTTAAATACTACAAAAAAAATAATTGTTAAATCGCTCATCTCTTTCCAGTTATCAGAGAAATTCGAATCGATGTTCTACTGAACCTTTGGAAGAGATGAAGGCCAGATTATCTAATAATAATTAAAAAAATAAAACTACAGTTACAAATCAATCTAGATGTAACACTGGAATGGATGTAAGAGCTTAAAGTACAATCCAATATCTAAATCAAATGAAATAGTAATAAAATAAAAAGCAATAAAAACAGCAATAATAACAATTCTAATAAAAGCAACAGCCCACTATGCAGATTAAGCCTTAGTTAAATATAAAATAGTAAAGATTTATAATTATGAATAGGAGATCCAGTACAAATACTTCAAAACCAAGAATTTCAACTAGTAAATATAAGAAATATAATTTATCTATAGAAATGAATTGAGTAAATAATTCATTATTTATTTTATTTCAATTACAATCATCTCATTTTTTATTTTTTAAACTAAATTTTTAAGACTGCTGTTATTGGATTTACTACTATTATTGTTATTAAGATTTGTCCTCTTAATCAGTTTGAACAACATTATCAGCCCAACCCTTATAAAAATAGTAAAACTTAAAATAGTAATCTGCATTCTCATCCTTTGTCTTAATAGTGTCAATCACTAATTTTTGATCTCTAAAAATATTAAATAATATTATACCTTGTTTTCAGTTTTACTCCAGCATTGGATAAAACTTCAAAGAACTTTGCCATTGGCAATATATATTCAGACTATTTATCCAACTTTTTAAATTCAAAAAGTAAATCAAACTTTGGTTTTGTTATTAAATATTATTTCAGAGTATCCAACAAGTCTGGGAATGTTTTAAAATATAACCCTGTTGATGGTTTTAATGTAGCATCTTTATCAAATAATTCTCTTGTTCCTCCTTATTACTTTAAAAATTGAATTTCTCTTTCTAATTATACTTTCTCCATTGACATTTAGTTAAACTATTACAGTTTTGCTTAAATATTTGTTACGGTTTAATCTTGCTCTTCTAATTTGCCACCTCCAGCTTGGATAATTGCTTTAAGTTCTGAGTTTTTCTTTTGTAGATCTGTCATTTATGCTCTATTTTGAATTTCCTTTTCTTAAAGTTATTCTAACTTTTTCTGTTTATCTTTGATTTCCTCCTTTAATAACTTCGTTTCATTAACCATTTTAGTTAATCTAATTTCAAGCTCAGTTGTATTATTATTTAATTTAGCTTCTTTAGTTTTGTATGCCTACTCCTTATTCATAGAATCTCCAGCAATTTTAAATTATTCTTCTTTTAAAGCAATAATAGTTTTCTTTTATGAAGCCAATAAACTATTTTTTTCATTCACCAAATTTTATAATTTCTCAATCTTTGATACATATTACATATTTTCATTCAATTTCTTTTCCCTCTCTAAATCTATTTCTAACTATTCCTTAAGTGCAATAGTTTTCATTAATTCTTCTTTTACTTTCTTCAAAGCATTTTTCTCTGCTTCAAACGATAATTCTAAATCTTTTATTTTCCTATCCTTTTCTGATAATTATTATTAATATTTCTCTATTAGTACTGGTTATAATTCAGACATCTAATTTTATTACAAATATGAGAAATTATTGAAATTTGTGTTATTACCCATTTTGTTTGCATCTTAAAGTGCTTAATCTCTTTTATGTAATAAATCAGTTAATCTTTAGATTTCTGAAACATCTTTTTTCTTATTAAATAAAGCCTCCTATCTCATAGCCTCTATCTATTACTCCTTTCTTTCTAATTCTCTATCCTTATCCTTAATTATTTCCTGCATTGCTTTTAACATTTATTAACCAGCAACAGAAACCTTTTCAGCCTCTTAAGCTAATAAAGTCTTCGTATAATCTTCTAATTGTTATTATTGGAATACAGTGGAACCACCTGCAACGATCTTTTATCTCTCAATATACCCTTCAATTTCTATACTTTTTGCCTTGACTTAAGCTTCTAATTCTTAGACTCTTTTCTATAATTGAGCGTTTTCCATTTACTATTATTCAGTGGGTTGAGTTGGTTATTCAGCTTGCTCTTTCTACTTTTTCTAAATAGCATCAATCAACATTTTGCTAGTATCTGTATTTTTTTAAGAAGATTCCTTCTTATCATCTTTTTCAATGAGTCCTAATTAGGCAAAAATAGTTTTTCTTTGTTCATAGAACCTCTTTCTCCAATCTTCTTCTCTTTTTCTCAAATCCAAATCCGCATGTGCTAATTCATACTCTAACTTCTTAATTGTATCAGTATATTATTTATTTAATCTTTAATAATATTCTTACTTCTCAGCACTAACTTACATTTCCCTTTTGACTCTAAGCAATTCTATTTTTTCATCTGATAATTTTTAACTAACTGCTATAATTTATTGACTGAGTTCATCAGGATTATTTTGTCTCAAGGTTCTCTCTAGAGTATCCAATTTCTCCTTGTAATTATCAAAGTAATCTGCCTTTAGTTGTAATTCATAAAATCTGTCTCTCAATTCTCTGTTTTATCTTTCAACCTCAGATTTCATATCTGACAATTCTTTGACTCTTTTTGCTTATTCTTCAACTCTTTATACAGTGACCGTTGGTAATATTTTTAATTTAAGTTCAGTTACTTATTATTCATAGGATCTAATTTGTTCAGAAAAGATAGTGTTTTATTAAATAATTTCTTATGATTATTTAAGAATCGTAGTATCATAAGATTCAGATTACAATTTGAGTTTTCTTAATTCATCCAAGACCTTCTCATATTTCTGATTAGTTTGTGCCTCGTGCCATCTGGCAACCATAAGATGATGATACAACTTACCAATCATCATATTCTAATCTGATATTGCTTATAATTCTTTTATTGTTTATTACATAGTGTCTGTATCATTTTTTATTTTTTCTATAGTTAATTTCATACTCTTAGTCTACATGACTGCCGTATCATACAATTATCTGTAAGTTGTGATTGCACTATTTTAATCAGAAATGGTTAATCTCTATTATTCAATTTGTTTAGTCAATTTTTCACTTTCTTCTCTTGATAATGCTCCCTTCAACCTTTCCAACAGCATAAGCTTCTCCTCTCTATCTTTATAGAATGTATCATTGGATCTTTCCATTTAATTTTAGAGTTCAAATAGAGTCTTCGTTGTTTCCTTTAGCTTTAATTCTGTATTGGTTAATTAGTTGAGTAGAACTTCGCATTTTTATTGTGCATTTCTCTCTCTCATTTCTAATATACTTATTTTCATTTTTAATCTATCTTCTAAAGTTTATCCTCTATTTTCTAATTTGGCTTTTTGAAGTGTGAGATCTGCTTCCTGTAAACTTTTCAATTGTTCTGTTCTCTACTATATAAATTACAATTTTTGATATTTCTCCTCTTCTGTTTTTGCTGTTCTTAAATAATTTAACATTTCGTTATAACTTATTTGACCATTGCGATCCAAATCCATTTAATCAAATAGTTGTCTAATCAAATCAGGTGCGATACCTCCCTCTAATTCTCTGAATAGTGCTTAAAATTCCATTAATGTAATAATTTGATCTCCATCTCTATCTATCATATTAAATACATCTAATAAAGTTAATCTCTAATCTTTAATTGACTGATCCAATTTACACATAATTTGATACTTAATATCTAAGGTTAGTTAGATTGACTTTCCTTAATTAATTAACTCACTTTTGACAATTTCATCAAACAATACATAAAATTCCTCATAGTTGATTTGATTATCTCCACTTGTGTCAGCCATTCTAAAGATATAATCAATAGCCTTTTGATCATGTTTAATATTCATCTAAAGAAGTGCTTCTTTCATGTCTGCTTTGGAAATAACATTATCACAATTAGTATCAAATGCTTAGAAAGCAGACCGTAAATCATAACCTGATTCCTTGATTGCATTATATAATTGATATAACAATTAATCTTCTGGTTTTCTAAGATTGATTCCTGATCTCTTAAGCTTTCTAATGAACTCTTAATATTCAATTTAGCCAGTTCCATCTAAGTCTACAAACATGAATACAATTTCCATATCGTCATTAGTGACAGGAACTCCAATATTACCAATTGCAGTAGTGAATTCATTTCTTGAAATCTTATTATCTCCATTCTCATCGAATAACTTGAATATTTCCATAACTGAAATATTTTTAATCTTAATAAACTCTACAATATGTTGATAGATCTTGACATATTTATCAAAAGCAGGATCAAAACTCTGCAACCTTTTCTTAATTACTTCTTCTTCCAATTGAATTTCCACTAATTCTTCTTCCAATTACCTTACTCTCTCTCCTCTTTCGAATGCTTCTCTTTCATGACTCTCAAGAGTTGCTATTCTCTTTTAGAACTCTGCCTCCTTCAATTAGGCATTAGCCAATTTATCTTAAGTGTATTCTAACTTTTATCTAAGATTGTTGAATTCATCAGCTGGTACTGAATGCTTTAACTCTTTGATCATAACTTTCATATGCTCCTCTGCTGATCTCTTCCAAGAAATCAAATTATATATTTTTTCTAACAATTCCTTTTCCTTTGCCATACTCTCACTCTCAACTATTGTATAACTGTTCTTCATTTATTTATATTCTTCAGTCAATGCATCATACTTTCTTGATAACTTAATCAAATTGACATCTAAAATTGCAGTTCTCTTAGCCATCTCACTCAACTTATCTTCCAAATCTTTCTTTGGCTTCTCTCTGTCCCTCATAAAGTCTTCATAATGTGCTAATTTAATCTTGGCTTCCACATTTAAATCCAATTAAGCCTTGTATTTCTCTTGGATTTCTCCATACATCACCTTAAATTTGTCTCTCTCTTCAATGTATTTCACAAACAATTGATCTTAAACCAACAAACACTTTCCCTTTATATCTTCCTTAATGGTAGTAACTTCTTATAATAAATTGGCATACTCAGCTTCCTTCTATTACAATAATCTCAAGGTCTCTATATTCTACATTTGCAATGATGCTAATTCGTATTTCAATTACATCTGATCCATACCTGAATCCCCATATGCTGAGGACATATCTACTGGAAATCTAACATTAAATCGCTAACTGTAACCTTCTTTAATATCATTATAATTTCCAAATGCTCCTGGAATTGGATTAGGAGGAACACTTAATTTATCCAATCCAGTTGTATCAACAACTTATTTTTATGAAATAATTGATTATTTGATTTATGTAGTCTCTTAGTAGTTTTACCCTTTCATAGTTTTGACTATCTCTTGAAGCTGTTCTTTTAGTTCCTGTTATTGTTTCTACATCATTTCTTACATCTGATCATTAGTAATCCTCATAATTCCTTATTATGTGCCCATGCCCATAGCTCCATAATCCTATTAATTTTAACGAATATGGGCATTTTCTTCCTCTAACATCTTTACTTTACTTCTCAATTCCTAATTTTCTTTTCTCAATTGATTATTTGATTAAGTATCGAATTCTTCCAAATTCACTTCTCCTCCAGCAACTTATTCTCTCAATTTTCTTCTCAATCTCGCTCTCTCTTCTTCCAATTCTTCTACTTCTCTCTCTAATTCGATCACTTGAGCTCTGTACTTCTCTACTTACAATTGCCCTTCTTAAATCACATCATCCAATTCAAATTAATAATCATCTGGAACTCCTGCCATCTTTCTCAATACTCTATTTTCAGCGCTCAATCTTTCAATGGCCTAATTCAAAGCATTTGTTTTTTCTACTAAATTCTTCAATTTTTCTCTGTTATCTTACACTTCATCTCTGTAATGGAATTCATCTTTTACTATATTTTCATCCTTGTATTTTAATGACAATTATGTCAATTACCACATCAGATTACCATTTTCAAGTTTCACCTTCTCCAATTAATCGATGTATTATTGAACAGCTGCCTTCTCTCGATCTAAATCATCCTTTGCTTTATCTAATTAATTCTTTAGGGTCTCTTTCGTATACGCATCATCTCTATTAACCATCTTCTCTAATTCTCTCATTCTGGTAAAGCAATCATTATATTTTGCTTTCTATTCCTCATATCTCCCCTAATGGAACTCTTATTCTGCCTCCAAAAATGCAATTCTTTAATCTTTCTAGCGACCGTCTTCTCGCAATTACTCAATTTGTTTTTTGAGCTGTATAATTTCTCTTCTTAATTTGAAATTTTCACTCTCAGACATTATATATATCAATCAATAAAATAATATAATAAGTAATTTAAAAACAATCCTTTTTTCGCTTATATTCAATCTAACTTTGCCATATAAACTATTTTCTTTAACTCCCTAGAATTAGAGTTCCAAAATGAAAGTATGTAATTTTTCATTCCTCTTTCTCTGTTAATGTAACAGTTTTTATATAATATTATACTCAACTACTTTTAAATAGACAAGCAGCCCTTAAACAAATAATTGTAATGTCATATAATAGAAAATTAAGAGCAGGTACCTTTTAGTATTATGAAATAAATAGGCAAGATTATGGCTATATCTCAATCCTTATTTTTATTTCCGCTCATAATTCTTTCTATTTTTAAGTTATTGTTTTATTTAAAAAGTCTTCATTTCTTTCTTCTCTTTTTTTCTTTTTCAAAAATATCTAAATTTCCAATAATGATCAATCTACTTTCAATTCTAAATAAGTTGATAATTAATTGTATTTTAAATTATAGTTATATAAATATAACAATCACTAAAATAAATGAAAAAGTTAGCTTAAAGTACTGATTTTGATGCAGTAATATAGAAACTCAATATTCAATGCAAATCCAAGGTGGATGATTGTAAACATTAAATTTATTCGAACTCTAGATTTAGATCCAATGCAAAAAATAAAAAATTCCTCTCCAATGATTTTTGGTGATTATGCCAGCTCCAACACACCAATTCAACTCTAACTATCTCCTATCGACACAAATCAAAAGAGTTACATTTCATTGCTATCAGATAACATTGAATTTTCGGTTAAAGATAAAAAATAGGGCAACAACTCGTAACAATCCTTGGAACAGACTAAATATACAACGTCGGAAGGAATCAGTTCTTTCATTCAATAAGAAAAAATTATTAATGAAGAATAAAGCTTTTTAAATAAACGACTGAAAGAAATTAGAAATATTTATGTTAAAAAATTGGAATAGTTAGATGAACGTATGTTAAGAATGATTTTAATAGAATACCTGCATGAGAGATTATAAATTTTAGAAGAATTTGAGAAACATTTGAGATAAAAGAGCCCAAAGAAATAGAAGGAATAGCCTTTAAAGAGTGCTCTTAAAAAGAAGGATTCGATATGCTCTTCTCGGTATTATACTCAAAATATTAATGATTCTTAAGAAGATGATTGGAAGTTCATTCGTGATGCTCAAAATATTCTGAGGAGATAGAAATCATCATAAGTAGAAGAATTCACTACTCCATCCAAAGTTAGATTTGTAAAATATTCATTTAACATACTTAGTAAAAGAAATCAAAGAAATCTTTACTAAAAAATGATTCATTTTAAGTATTATAATTTCGATATTGATGAGAGTAATCGTTTTTTATTATTTAATATAATGAATATATTTAAAGTATTATTGTTTGTGTTCTTGATACTTAGTGTGACAGCCCAACAACTGAGAGGAAACAATGATCAACCGGATACATCATCTGAAGTTAAGAAATGCTCTTGTGGATCTGGAAAGACTACAACAGGTGGACAAGGATAGAACAAAGTTTCATTGCTTCAATATCAGGAAGCTTTAAAGAAATTACATGAAGGAATCAAAGATGCCTCTACTGATTTTTAGGCAAAACACATATGATTTTCTATTCATAACCAAGAAAATTATATAAATAATTCATTTCTTAAGATTCCTCTCTTATTACAAGGAGGAAATACTATTTTCAAGTGTAATTGCAATATATTTTTATAATGAATTGCACTTCCAGAAAAGTTCAATTGGAAGTTGTTAGACCAATCTAAGTTATAGACATCAATGAGTATTTTGATCTTCAATGGGTAGAGGAGAGTATAATGGTTTTGTTTTGGTAATAAATTTAGTGATATGATTTTATTATTTATGGATATTGATTTATTGTATTGTATTGGAGTAATGGGAGAATAAGGAGAACAAAATTGAGAGTGGTTATGATTTAAAATGATTATTCTTATATATGAAAACTACAAGATAATACCTATTTCAGGTAGTCAATTTAATAAATGAAGGCAAGCGCTTCCATTTGACTTCTGTGTCTTCTAGGTTTTCATCAACTACGAATTTGAAGTTTGGGAAATAGGTGGATTCAAGGCTATTTTAAATGGATTATTGGTACATTTCAATTGCATTGAACTTTTCTTCCAAACTAATATTAATGAATAGATGATTTGGGTGCAATAAATCTATGAGTTCATTATAACTAATATTCTAAGGACGATTAGTCTTTGAAGAAGTTGACTAAACTTTTTTCTTTTTGCTGATCTGTCCCTCGATTGATTGGTTCGTTGACAGTGATCTCAGTGAGTCACTCATAATTAGCAGTTAGATATATAAAAAATAAAATATTAATATAGTTTATAAACTAAGTAGGATAATAAATTCATAGTTTTTACATATCTTAAATTGAATATACATAAGTATAAGGGGAATTTGGATTTGGTAGGAGTGTGAATTTATGTTGGGCATTTATTAAAATGAATAATTGCAATACCGTTTTTATTTAATATAATAATAAAGTTCAGAGGAAATGAACAAGATCATAATTTTGGCAATGATAGGTCTAATGAGTGTATCGGCATTCGATATTGATTTCTCTTTGTTGCTTCAAGTATCATTCGAGTTGATAAATTATTTAGACAGGTTCAGAATCAAATGATGCAGTTTAAGCAGTTTATGATTTATTGAATGATTTGAAAACAAGTAATATCGAAGCCCAAGGAGTGGCAGACGAAAAGAATATCTCAGATGAAGAGATTGGTTAGGCAAGAATTGCTGCATTATCAAAAGTCAATGAATTAAATCAAAAGGCTTGGGCCAGTGCTAAAGCAAGAAGAGAACAAATCGGAATTGAATACAGAGTAACTGATATCATCTAATCTAGGAAGCTACAGATTACATTGCCTGGGCAACTTAAAGATTAGCTGACATTGATAGAAGATCAGTCGAATTATAAGAGTTGAGATGCTTCTCCAATGGATTATTTGTAAGAGCAATCAAACAACACAATGATGCTCTCGGAGTCATAAGAGTCTTGAAAAACGATTTGAGTGGATATTTAACAGGATAGCCATCCTCTTTGGTTGAAATTAATGTTCAAAATGTCTCAGACAAATTAAAACAATATAGTCAATTATTCAATCAAGACGCAATGACCAAATTTGCTTAATTAGCTGCAGAATAAGCATCAGGAAATGCAGAATTACATGCATTAGGATAAGAAAATGGATCATCATCATCATCATCTGACAGATAACCAGGACTTAATGTTGGCTAATTGGTTTACAATGCTCTATCTGACCTTGAAGATTAATTAAAGTCATCATTAGCTAATTTGGAGGCCAATGAAATTGCTGCCTATTATCAATTGGCTGATTGGCTTGCTGATACTGAATCCGAGGTTGCCCATCTTAATGATGAAATTCAAAGAAAGACTCAATTGTAAGATAAATTGGTTGTGGTATGTTCATTCTCTCATATCTTTTAAGTAAGAATAAGCTGCTCTTGCTGTTTAAGCCAAAGCTAACAGTGTTTTGAAGGACTCTTAGAATGCCATCAATGCTGCCACTGCTTCCTTATAAGAGTTAAGAGACGTGTATGAAACAGAGTTGAATAGAAGAAACGGTATTAGTTCATTCTATTTCCTTAGAGGAAAATGCTATTATTGATGAAGTCATTCACATCTTCAAACAATAAGTTTTGGAAATGGCCAATCAAACCTCTTATGGAAAGAAATGAGTTTAAGACTTATATCAAACACAAACCAATTTAAAATTATATTCAAATGATGTAGAAATAATCAATGCATTAAAATCTTTTATTTTAATGTATATAAGGAGAAATTTTCATGTGTGCCTCTATTTGCTCCACCTTTTGAGTCTAAGACCTATACTTTATACTCTTCGTTGTGCCTTCTATAGTATTATACTTATGCAATTAGTAATCCATTGTCATTATTGGCTATCTCTCTGTAAGTTGTTCCTTATTTCTATTATTTTAAAATGGTTTTATTAAGAATTCCTCTGAAAATGGATTCTCTTGACTTTGTCGACTGGCATTCTTATAATTGTCAATCAACTGTGTATAACCTACTCCTCTCGATCTTCGAATAGATTTTATCTAATTTCTTTTCTAACTACTATAATAATATTGTCTATTTCCTAATGATTAATAATCAGCCATTATTGTTGAATCATTATATTTTTCAGAATTGTTGATGTTGATTGTTGGCAGCTACGATTGTAAATTTTTCATTTTATCTCCTTTTTTGGATACTTAAAACTTTAACGCTTTTTCGAACATAAATAAGGGAAAAGTTATTTTATTTGTCTAATTAAAATATTCTATCGTGGACTCCTGTTTTAAAATAATAATTCTATAATTTGCTTATAAAATAAATTAAATCATACAAATAGTTCCATTTAAGTACCTTTGATAACAAAAATTCCAGAAATTAAAAATAATTGAAATATCAAAATTAAAATTTCTTATTGGCTTTTTAAAAAATATAACATGATGTTATCTATCGATTGAATTCGTCTTACTCGATAAACTTGAGTATATGGATTTTAAACATGAAAAGGAATTGAAGAAAATTAAGTCTGTTCATTTAAAAGTGCATCAAAAGTTGGAATTGTAAAATATATGAATTTAGTTTATTGGATAAATAAATTAATTTTATTTATAATTCTTATGTCATATTATATCAGACCAAAGTTGAATCGTCCCTAAACTACTTCCAATCATAATAGACCATTAGATAATAGTGCAATCAGGGATAGTAGATTAGTGTATGTTCACAATTAATTTTAGAAAATAATACACTACTCCTAAAATGGGCAGAGAGAAAGAAAATCTATATGATGAGAATATAAAATTGAAGTCTCAGCTAAATGAATTAACTTAGCAGTTACTTTATGCGAGATCCAAAATTTAGCAATTAGAAGTACATTTTACTATTCTAAATTAGAGGGAATTGTAAAGATTCGAGAACTTAATCGAGGACTCTATTAAGCCTGAAACTTCACAGTAGAAGGTTTAAATTGAACGATATGGCTTAATTATGAAAATGAAAACTAAATAAAAATAATTGGTTTTAGAGTTATAGAATAAAACTAAAGAATTAATTGAATTAAAGAGAACTATGAGATTCACAAATTATTAGGAATTAGAAGTAAATGGCTTTATTACAATAAATTAGATAGAATTGAAGAATTACATAGATGAAACTTTAAGATTAAGATAAAAGTTAGAATACAATGAATAAATGATAGCGATATAATCATCAGCAGAGCCTTTAGAAAAGTAAATTCTACATTTGGAGAAGACAATTAAAGTACTCTAGAGGGACAATATAGAATTAAATTCAAAGCAGTTAAATAATGATGTTATCACTTCTAAGTTACAAGTACATGATTCGAATAAATTAGGTACAATTGGATGAGAGTATAAAGTAGAATGAGAAATAATTAAATGAAATCATTCGTTATGAATAGATGGTGAAAGAATTAAATGAATATAACAGATAATGCAATGACATCATATCCTAATTATAATTATAAAATAAGGTGTAGGTGTAGAGTCAATAGAACACAACATCTGAAGAGCTATTTAAGGTTCAATCCTAATTAGAGATATTATAGAATAAATATTAATAGGACATGGAGTAATTTGATATGAATATAACATAGTCTCAAAAATTAGGAAATTCGTTCATTAAAAACTGAAGTTCAGAGGTTGAATCTACATATTTAGGAGTTGGAGAAGATTATTGAGAATTAAGAGGATAAGATCAGAGAAATAGAGTGTTCAGTATACTCTCCAGTTTCACGCGCAGGAAATGCGGAATCTCCTTTATAAAATGGATTTAAAATAATGCAGATTGAAATGAAGTCTTAGGTTATGAAGAAAAAGCTGCCTCGAGTTCAATTCATAGATATTAGAGAAATTTGTATGAGGGTGAGGTTAAATCTTGTTAAACACAAAGTGTAATATTAGGATATAGAGAAATACTTTAATGATTCAGAAGAATTGAGTATCCATTAGGTGAAGAATATATTGCATAAGTAAAGCTATAATTTTAACAAGACCTCCTTTTGAGATTCATGATCATTAATAGATTAAATTGTTGAGTCGATATTTAGTAGAGGACAATTCTTAAGATTATTTGATTTATGATTAGGATAGAACAAATCAAACATCAATAATAAAGTCGGTTATGAAGAAGATAGTTGGAAAGTATGAAATATTGTAAAATGAAGAGGAAAAATCCATCTTATAATCTATTTAATAAGTTAATTATGATTACTATGATAGAAATTGAATCCTTCATTAATAGAAACTATTTAAATGATGTTAACGAAAAAGAAGAATCTTTAACCTGGAACTTGTGAATAAAGCGATTTGGATCAAGCCTTGAAATTCCATGAAATACAATTCACTCACAGGGAACAAGAAAGATTCAACTTGATTTGTTTTGAAGTTTCGAATTCTTTGGAAATCATTAATTATGAAGGATTACTTACTTATTTTTAATGATAATTCTGTATATTTATATTTTAAGTTAAAGTAAAATAAAATTCAATAAATTTTATTTCTATTTATCAAATGTACTCATATGCTCCTCTTGGGGTTTCCTTTGCCTCTCCAATTGCAACATCAGTAGTGAGACCAGCTCCAGGTATTGACTGAAATCACTTATTAAGTCTCCTATGTGTAGCCTGTCTCTTATGCACAACCAGTCTCATATGCTTAACCAATCACCTATGCTCAACCAGTCACCTATGCTCAACCAGCTCCAGCCACAATCAAGGGAGAATCAAGATACGAATACGTCCCTTATTAGAAATCCGTAGTGGAAATGGAAGAGGAATAAAGAGTTGTGAAAGTAGTTGCTTATATAAAATTGTAGGTGCCCAAATAAAAGTGGGTGACAGATTATTACCCAGTTGAATACCAAAAGGAATACGTCCCTTAGGTCACATACGAAAAATAGATTGATTATGTTCCAGTCGAAAAAACTGTTCCAAGAGTGGACTACTTAGAAAGAGAAGTAAGAAGAAGCTCATTTGTGGCTCCAATCAATACAGCTCCACAAATCCAATATGCCTCTCCTCTTTCCTATAGTGTTGCTGCTCCCATCGCCCCAGTCACTACCAGCTATGTGGCACCTGCGTATAGCACAGTCTATAGATATTGAATATTAAGAAATATAATATGCCTGCATTATAAATTAATTCTAATATTTCAAATCCATGTAAATGAATTAAATGGATGATGAGGACAAGGGCTTTGATAATTTCTTAAGGAAAATCAAATTTGCTATATTCGATGTATTGGCAATCTTAGACTAAGGCGAAGAAGACAGTGAAAGTCTATTGCTATTTTATTTGCAAACTGTGGCTGATTATGTTTAGATTCATAGTTTCCCTTTCAATTAGAAAATTGATTATATTTGGAAAGCATCCTCCTTTTTAGAGATAGTTTTTACAGCTTTCAATATTCTAAGTATTGGTAGCTACTTACCAACAATCAATTACCTCACATTTATACTGTCAGTATATTTTTTGTTACTCATCATATTTCTGATGGTCTTAGACATCATATATGTATCCTACTCATTTTCAAGACAACGATTTAGATGGATGTGGCCTGTGCATGTATTGAGATCAGGAGTGTCCATAGTTGTTACTCTATTTTTCCTGCCCATTACTGAGACTTTGATATCTTTGATAACATGTGAGACCAACCAGGATGGAGAATATGCCTTAACTTAATTTCCAACCGTCTTATGTTGGTCAGGTTGGCACATATTTCATGCCATATTAGCCAGTCTTTTCAATCTCATATTCACAATTATTTGCTCCATTGTTGCTTATGCTTTCTTTGAGCCTAAAATGAAGACTAAAAATCGCACATCAAGGTAAGATAGTAATGGTGAAGTAGTCTTCATCTTAAATAAAGTCATCTGCTAGGTTTTATATTCTTTCTTAGGACCTTAGGATAGCTGGATACTCATTATTGTCACCTTTCTCTTATCCTTATGGCTATTCAAAGTGTATAATATTGATGATCCCTACTATGATTGGGAAGTCGGTCTCTTTTACAATGTAATTTCAAGTTATTATTTATGGACAAACTCATGGTTGTTGATATGCAAGATATTGGAAAATACCACCTTTAATGGTGGATTGATTGCTTGGCTCTTGGGAATTCCATTCATCGTCTCTATAATGGCATCATCTAGAAAATCAAAGATTGATATGCTTATTAGATAATCCAATAAATTCAAATCAGGAGAGGAAATCAACAGTCATATTCGATATGTGCTGTAATTGATATAAAATTAGGAGAGGGATAAGAATTCTTATATGTTGCTTATTGGATATATTGAGAAACACAAGGAAACTTGCAATCCAGACGAGTGTTAATTGAAGGAGAAAAACAACAAAAAGATATCATAGAACAATTTTGAAGCCATTATATCTGGTCTATTGGCAGAATTGGATAAGTTGTTTCAACAGGGTTTAGAGAAATTCCCATAATCAACTCAATTGAGAATTTCTTATGCCTTCTTTTTGATTGAGAGATTGAACAATAAAAAGAAGGCTCATTAATAGTTTTTAGAAGCTCAAAAATTTGGAAGACCTGCCTTTGATTAGGAATTTATTATCTACAAAAACAGCAAAGCAATGAATAATAATCAAGAAAAAAAAGAACAAAATAATGATGTTATCAGCATGATAGAATTCGAAAACAATATGACTATATGTGAAGATATGATGAAATTATCAGCGAATCTTCATAAGGAGTTTTGGATTGAATTGAAAGAAGATTAGCCCGACTTAAGGAAGTTAAATGCTCTTGGATAAAGAATCAATAAGACTACGAATATGATCAATGAAAGTTATGTCAAGATGCAAAAAATAAATCCGAATATTTTTTAAACTATAAGAGTGTATGGTTTGTTTTTAATTTTTGTTACCAATGATAAATTAAAGGGAAGACAGTTTTTGCGATTGGCCAAATAAGTTTAATAATCATTAGCTTAAGTAGAAGATGAAGAATCATTCTCTTTAGAAAACAATCTGAAACCTGCTATAAGTGTGAGTATGATCAAACATGGAGTGATAGTGGGAATGAATCAATTAGTGGTTAATCATCTAGGATACTCAAAATAGGAATTGATTGGGAAATCCATTAATTAATTAATGCCTAAAATGTATGGAGAACAGCATAATGCTTATCTCCAATAGTATTTAGAGAATGTCAAAAATAATCACATTGATAGTGATTACATCAACTATGACTAAACCAATTACTTCAAACATAAAAATGGGTACATAGCTCCTATGAAATATAAGGTTATGTTGAATCTAGAATATTTGCAATACTTTGTTACTTTTGAATCTAATTTAGAATTACAAAATCTGATTCATTTCATTGTAGATGAAGACACCAAGATCTATGAGTTGTCAACTGGAGCTATAAATATATTTGGTCTGGATAACAAGGCAGTTTTGAATAGGGATATTAAATTGAATGATTTGATCCCTGACGTTATGCATAAGGACAAGTATGACATTCATTTTAGATCCAACATCAAAAACGAAGAAAGTATTTTATCAAATTATTTTAGGACTTCACTTTTTGAGATGCACCATTAAATTCATACAAATAAGAATAGCAGCTGATGTAGATGAAAATCAGCAGTAATAACAACAATACTATTAAATTACCTTTTAAAACATAGATAAAGCTGAAGCCATGCAATCTAATAAGAAGAGTATTAATCGATAGAGCATCGATATACTTAAGTTGAATCCAACATTTTAGATTTATTCTGCCCATCAAAGTTCCTCATTCATGTATGCAACTCAAACTAATTAATAAAATTTAGATACTAATTTAGTGTATTCAATGATGGCCAATTTCTAATAAGGTCCCAGACCAGAAGAAATTGAATAAATTAACAACTATTTGATAAGAGAAGAGAAACAAACTATTACCATTGAATAAACTATTGGAATAGATGATGTTATAAAAACAAGAAGATTAATCAATGGTTAAATTGTACCTATTGATGAGGAATTTGAAGAACAGATCCTTAAAGAATTAGAGGAACAAGAACAAGATGATTCAATATTTAAAAATAGAAATGATTTCTAAATTAACAATAGAGAATACAAGAATTTCTCAAAACAAAAATAATAATCTACTATTGTGAATGCTTTAAACACTAATCATAAACATAAACAAATAACCAAACTCAAACAATATACATTATTTTATCTCATCTACTTTATGGGATTTGCCATCTATTAATTTAGCGATAAACAAAGTTTTTATGAAATACAAACTGAATCTTTAACCACCATGCATTATTGCTATTAACTCAATTTTGAATTACTCAGATTGTTTACAAGGTCAGTTGATCATATTTTGCTTTTGAAGAACTTCACTCAATATACTGCCGATGACATCATATTAGATATTAATAAAACAGTCATCAACTTAAATGACATTACTTTGAGATCTGTCAAATATGATATTTTTAATGATTTACTAATGACCGATGAAATAGATTTTGTCACAATCTAAAGTAATTGGATCCCTATTACTAGAAAAACTAGATTTGATCAGGCTATTGTGCTTATGGAAACGTATGCTCAAATATGGATATCCAAAAATTCTTCTGCATTAAATGATATCGAAATAGTAAATATTCTAACTAATTTTCATCCTACTATGACTTCCAAATTAGTGTAAATTAATTCTCTTCTTTACTAAAGTGGATATGACAAAGTTAAAGGATTATAAACTTCTTAGATTATTTAAATCATACTCACATTAATCATAAGCACATTCATCATTATTAGAGTAATCATATTCATGATTTAAGTAAAATAATAAAGAGAAAACATTATGTTCTTGTTTTTGGCCATTCCAGATTCTCATTTAAGTCATTTTTAAAAGAACTGTGAGTAATTCTTGAAATAGTTTGTGAGTATTAAAGAATTGATAGCTTAAACCTATGATTTAGAGGCATCTTCAGATGAAGAATAAGAAAATGAAATCAATGATCAAGTCCAAGAAGTCAAAAAGTAATAGGAAGATGATTTTGCCAATGAACACAATAGGAAACAGGCTTAAAAGTATAAAAAGGTGCTTCAAAAATATTAAAGTAACATCTTGAAGGGATAATTGAATCTTGTCTTGAGTGTGATATTGATAGGCTGGATTATTTTAGGAAACACCCTTTTCCAATTCTTTGATTTAGTTGATAAATAATCATTCCTTAAATTAATATGGCCCTAAAATTATCTATATTAATAATTCACCATGAATTACCTTGATCATTTAAACATATATACTCTCATGCTTTTGAATAGTAGCATAGAAGCAAATGGAGAAAGCATCAAAGTAACTGCAAATAAACATCTAAGTGTTTTCAAGAATAATTAGGAGAATCTTAGAGAGTTTAGTGTTTAGGTATTCGACTAGTTTGAAGAGTTTACTGAATTATATAACACGATCTAATATTTCATGATATGTGATCCAATTAAAGATATCATAGGAGAAGATGAATACAATAAATGTTCTACATATATTAACACCACTAATCTACTAGGTATTATTGCTATTGAGTAGTATATGTATTAATTTTTTGAAAGAAGACAAAGACCGTACCTTAACCTTACGGAAGAAATTTTAGATTCTCCTCAGTTAAATGATTCACTTCTATTCGAAATCAACTATTGTTTATTTAATTATATTGGCTATTCAATTGATTACATGATTGAATAGGAGAATATCATGATTGAAAATTTGTTTCAATCTTCCGTTAACTTGTCACTACTATTGACTATCATATATGTGATTGTTATGTTTTTCTTCTACATTATTGTGGCTCTGCGTTATTTCAATTAGATCAATAAAGAAGTAAATATTACATTATTATCTTTAGACAAACTAAACCATACAAATGTTGAATATGATTCCTATTGAAGTGATTAAGTAAAATAAAAATCTAAGAGAATTTGTTATAGGATTAATAAAAATGATGGATGAACAATAATATAAATGAAGTTTGTTCTATTTGGCTACTTGTTATCATTATTATATTTTATTATATTTATTTATTACTTATAATGTATCTATAAATAAAAATTGGTAATTTGATTGCATACACAAATTTATACATCAGTATATGAGATTTGGATTTTAATTCAAGGATCAAACTTCAAATTCAAAAGACAAATGTATCATCTCTTTTGTCTTAAGACTGAAATGCTTTTCTCTAAATCCTTCCCATAATAAAAATTTGTTTAAATATATTGATAGTAACTAATTTTTCTCTTGAGTCTCTATCTTCTTATTTGCTATTATTTTCTAGAGATGCTTCAAAATAATCTTTTAATTTTGTGTAAATGACTAGCTTAAATTTAAGTTTTGTTTCAGTAACTTTTGAAAGGACAGAGCATCATTCATCCTTCCTATCAAAGTTAATTTGACTCTCTAAACATCAAGGACTTATTTTCCTTTAATTTTCATGTGATGAAATTCATCGAAGATTTATGAGATACTCATTAATATACTGAATAGATAAACTTAGTTAGTTACAAACCCTTGCAAATCTTTCTTTATTGAAACTTTGACTTTCTTAGAAAATATTATGTTCATCTAATTCCTTATTAAGGATGTCGAAACCCAACTTTACATAGATTTAAGATTTTCATTATTATTATTAAGTAATAAACGAATTTGTTAAAAGTTGATCATAGAGTAGAGAATTTTTAACCTAGTACTTGCAGTTTTCATTTATTAAAAGAATTACTTTAATAAAAATTAAAAGATATTTTCTTTACATCTGACTTCTAATTGGAGTTTGTGAGTTTCATTTTTTAAATTTTATTCAAAAATTGCAATTACACAGTATTCGTCCTATAACACTTATTGTATCAACTTCACTTTATATTCCTTATTCAAAACATTCGATTGAACATCTACTTAATGGGTAATGAATCTATATTGATCATTTTTTATAATGAGATCTCTAATCTCTTGTTCCAAGTTTTTCTATTTGATCTCCTCTCTCTCCATATGTGTATTCTCTATAATCATCTAAAGAATAATCATCATCATACATTTCTAAGCATCTCCCTTAATTCGATATTATTTTAAATTTTCAATCTTTTTTTTGATATATCATTTATTTGTTAAAGTATTAATTAATCTTACTTATGATCAAACTTAATAACAACAATAGATTACTCTAACACTTAATCTATAATCTTAATCCATCTATTCTATTCTCTACTATCTCTAAATTACAGTCGCTTTATGTTTTCATTAGTGTACTTCATTACTAACAGCCCAATAAATACCAAAAATATAGTCAAGCACATTGCTGAATATTCCAAAGTCTCTGTAGGATAATAAGAGACATATTATGTGTATATAACAATCAGTGCAACAGCTTAGGGCCATATTTAATAGCCAAGTTGCAGTATTGCTTTAATACTTTTTATTATTAATTACCAAAATGAAAGTAGAATGCCTGAAATCCATAGTACCAGTTGTACTCATAGCTGGTGTCGTAATCATAATTTGGATCTTCGGTAGTTGTTGGAAAAAAGTTGTCTAAATTCCATATATAAGCTATATAAATTTATAATATCGGCAATAAGTATTCGTTCCAAGCAGGATGAGAATTTATTATGAATCTCACCATTATTATAGATAACATAAACGCCAAAATATTTACTACGATTATCCAGTTAAATGTATATTCTTCAAAGTAGTATAATATATAAGCAGAAAAAAACAACTAGAATCAAATTTATTATTACAATTGTGTGTATTGAAAATAGAGTGAATTCCTATTTGATATAGCTTTATTACTATTTTCTATAATCGTTTTCTATGCTTCTCGAATTGAAATTTAGTGTGAATTTGTTAATTATCATTTGTGGCTTATTTATTTTATTTATTGTATTTATAGAGTTACTTTTAAATGCCCTAATTTACAAAAACAGAAGAACAAAATTTCAAGTCAGACAAAATTTAAATCAATTTTTACTATAATATCTTGTTAAATATTAATCGAACTTCATTGATAATCTAGATATATATAATAAATAAATAAATTTTAATTTAAGTTGGTTTATTTTTTAGAATATTGGAATTGAGCTAACTTTCAAAGTTTTGGATTTTTTTTATTAACATTAAATATACCTAGATATAATTAAAAATTTATTGCTTGTTTGATTAATTCAAATTTTAATCATTTATTCAAAGAACTCAAGAACAATAATAGCATTTTTTAAATTATATATTGGTTTTCATAACAAACTACTTTAATCTTTATAATTAATATAATCAATATTATATATAATGTACAAAGAATTAGAAATTGCAATTAATAGTATTGATGAGTAAACGGAAAAGTAATTAAAATCTACGATTTCCAAATTGGTTAAAGGATTTTCATAATGTGTGGAAAATGATAAAGCAGATTGTAAAAAATATTCGACCATTTTTGATCCTTTAAAAAACAGCCTTGATTAAGAGAAATAGGGACTCTATAAATGCGTAGATGAAAATCAGACCAAATATCAATAATGCATTCAAACCTTTTAGAAAAAGTCATTATAAATAATTTTTTAATAATTGACAAAAATAGAAAAAGAGATTAAGTGATGAGGGTTGAAAAATATTATGTTTTATATGTGTTCTTAAAAATTGTTTATTTTGATCAAGAATATTATTCTTTATTGCTTTAAGTTTTCAATATTAATTATTAGTGTAATACTACACAATATTAAAATAAAAACTTTAATTAAAGGAATTAATTATTTTAATATATACAAAATAATTAATATTCTCAATAAAATCTATATTAATTATAATTTCTATGGCAGTATATTCCTTCTATGAATTTCCAACTTCTTCGTTTCTTATTCTGCAAAAACAGTTAGCCACAACTACAAGATAAGTTTTTACATTATTTTCAGTTTTCTATTCATAATGCTTTGTTATATTTCTGTAATATTGCTGATAATACTGATTTCAAATAAGAATACAATATTCTTTATCTTAGCTTAAAATAAAGATAAATTATAATCAATAAATTTCAAATTATATTACATCTTAAATTAAATAGATCAAAATAGTGAATTTTATAAGATTCTAATAAAATAAGCCAATATAGAACTTATGCTGTTTGACTTTTTTATTTCTTTTGTAGTTTATTACAAAAAAGATCTTAAATGAATTTCAATAATTTAATCTATTATTTATAAGATATGAAATGAGTAAATCAAAAACAAAGAACTTTCTTAATATTAAAGAGATTAAGAAAATATTGAGTAGTAACATCGAATTCAGGGTATTAAACTATTTCAATGCTATCATATTTCAATTTTGCATGTTAAATTTAATCATCTTTATCATAAAGTCCTTTTATTTTTTATTCTAATAATGCAAAGTGTTATTGTATTTGTTATATTCTTTTTTCAATATCAGTTGAGTAATATTCTAATTCAAAATTATTATTTAGAGAGGCTAGTAAGATGAGACTACTTTCAGAATTTGATAATGTAGTAATCTTTTTCATAAAGGCCTAAAAAACGTCTCTAACTTCTAGTTTAATGTTTTGATATAATTTTTCTAAGGTGGCAACAATATATTTGTATTGCTAAAAATAATTTTCTTTGAAAATTTGATCTCTCAAATATTCACATTCACAAAGCCATAATTATTGAGTATTCCAGTTCTAATATGAAGTTTTAACTCCATCAATATAACTATACACTTATTTTATTCTAATTCTCGATACTCCATCAACCTAAACTTGAAATCCTTTGTTTGTTTTTTTAATACTTCTAATTTAAACTAAATCCCCATTTATCAAATCATTTGATACAACAAAATTACCAGAACCTGAACCAACCATTTTTATCATTTCTTAGTATCTAAATTCTAGAAATTGAAAATCTGTTTATCCATATATAATAACCGATTAATCAAAGTGGAAAACTGGAATACCAAATATGCTGTCGTTTTATAAAACTTAAGCAATTTCTTATTCCTCCTCGATTTTAAATTCCTTCAAGTACCAGTCAATGAGATCTTTATATTTCTTATTTGTATTGACTTTGATATTAAAACAATAATCTGAACAAGCAGGACATAATAATTCTTCTTTTAAACTTTCTTCGATGCATTTTTGACAAAACATATGTTAGCAAGGAAGCACCACAGGATTGATAGGAGTTAAAGCACAACAAAGACATATTATTAAGGAAGGAAATTCATTTAATAAACCTAATTTAAAGATCGATTATACTTTAAGTTCCTTCTTATTCGTAAATTTATTGGACAATAGGTAATAATTCATCAGTTTTATTGTTACTAAGCAGGGCGGGTTAACGACATAAGGGACATGCACAAAATTCTTAAGTTTCAAAAGAATTTTATATGCAATTTTAGCAAAAAGTGTGCCCACAACTCAAAGACACTGGATTTTTTAAATTCTACAGGCATATTGAGCATTACAAGATGAATTTCATTAATAAAAATATCAAATAAATTCTTGAATAATCATGGCTTATTTATAAGAATTTTTAAGAATTTTATAATTCTCAAGAATGATATTGTTTTAAGATCCTATCAATTTGTGTTGATATAAATCAAAGAATTGATTAATACACAACGATATTCTTGACAAATCACTACTTTATTTTTTCTATTTCTAATTATATATTCTGAGTTCAAATAATTGCTTAAAATGTAAAAAGTGTCAAGGTGCAGAAGAATATTCTTGTTGAATGAGTTTAAATTATTTATAGTATATTTTTTTATCAAAGAACAGTATTAAATGAACTTATCTTATTTATTTACTATTTAGGTTCAGAACTAATACTTTTATTAATTACCCTGTGGATCATCAAAATAGCAACGGATATCCTCAAAATTAGCTGTCTATATCAACTTTTTAAAATAAATAATATTTGATTATTTATTCTAAAATTAAAATTAAGTAAAAAAGTTGAAAAACATTATAAATATGGGAATTGTTTTTCTTAATCATTTATTTAATTAATTTCAGGCAAGGCAATATATTTTGGATTTCTTCCTATTCCTTACTTTGTGAAGGAAATATAAATATATTTTAAATTAATTCAACGATTGTATTATATTTTTAATTTAAAATTTGAAGTAGTGTATATGCCTCATTATCCAGAGGAGATAGAATATTCTGACAAATATTTTGATGATCATTATGAATACAGACATGTTATCTTGCCCAAACACATATTCAAAAAAATTACTAAAGGTACTTTAATCTGTAAAATTTAGGAAAATTGTTAAATGAAATGGAATGGAGAGCAATAGGCGTACAATAATCTAGAGGATGGGTTCATTATGAAACTCATAGACCTGAACCTCACATCTTATTATTTAGACGACCTAAAAATACTGACCCAAATACTGGTTTACCACCCCCCGGATTTAGTGCGCCATATTGATAGTTAAATAATGAATATTTAAAATTAACAAAAGAACTCCAAATTAGAATGCAAGAAGATAATGAGTTCTAATTAATGGTTCATTTTTTCTCTAAATTTGTTTCCAATCCATCCTTCATAATAAAGATGTCATTTAAACTCACAAACTATTTTTATCAATTTTATTCATTAAATTTAACAATAAATCAAAAATCACTTCAATTTTAATATTTGTGCTAGTATATAGAATGACGGTACTAAAAATAAATCAGGCTTTATTGTAAATATCTAATCACAACACAGTGTTTAGTTTCTTTAGTCTATAGTTTAATATATATATCAAATAATTTATATTATGAACACTAAATTATTTGTTTGATTTCTTTAGCAATGAACTAATATATTTGGTTTGTAAGTTTATTTTTTATATATCGAATGTAAATTTATATAAAACGGACAGTTGTTCTGTATTTGTATTTATTAACAGTAAATATACAATGTCTACCTGGAATGCTGAACGAGTCGTAAGATATCGCAAGCAAATTGCAATGTTAAATATCAAAAGAAGTTAATGAAGTATTGCAAATAGAAAATATTAATCAAAATGAATATGGAATATTCAGAACTAAAAAAGGACACCTTCTAAAATTTGATGAATTCAATGACTATACTCTTGATTAAGATGTTTTAGTCTACATTGATAAAAAAGTGAAAAGTTAATATGTTGTAAGATTCATCAATAATCATTTTAGATGTAACTTGAATACGAAAAGAATTATGATATTGAGTAATATGTTATAGAGGGCAGAAATTATGTCTACATTAGAACAAAATTAGTGAATATGTAGAATAAATAAGAGATAATAAATTTGCATTTATTAAATATATATCAGCAAGGGTCTATTAAATAACTAATACAGGAAACTCTGAATGGACTTTAGTTTAGCTTTAAATTTAAGGATCAATAAGATTATTTTGTATAGATCATATTTGCTACTTTGTTTGAGAATGATTTTAAGGGAACTGAATCATAAGTGACTAATTTAATTTAACAAATATAAAAACACTACATCTCATGCAAAGTAAATGAGTGTAAAAGGGATAAGGAACTATTTCATTCGCTTTAAAGTGTCTAATTATAACAAATTGCTCCAAAATTTATAAAATAATGTAAATATATTTATAGATATAATTAGGCTCATTAAAGACATCTTAATCTATCTAGTACTACACATTAATCAACTCAATTTATGCTGCCAATGTTGAATTGGAGAAGAATGAAATTAACTTTAATATTGAGTTTACATTAGAATGCATAAAATTGATAAGCTACTCTGAAGAGAGAAATCAAATCAAGATGGAATTTGATTAATACTTTTGCATTGACAATCTGATATATCATTTTAGATTTAGTTCAAGTAGAAATTATTGATTAATTTAAGTTAGTTCAAAATTAATAAAGATTTAACTATTATGTAATACTCATTTAAGTCAATAATGATATCAACCAAAACAAATTGATAGAAGAATTGTTTTTTATTATAGAGAACTTAAAATGTTAAAAGGCTATCTCATAAAGTAATCGCAGTATAGAAAAAATGATTTAAATGAATTCCTCATTTATTTAATAGTAATATAATGAAGGCAAAGAATAAATAAAAACTGAAGATAATACTTAGAAAAGTAGATTTATTGAAGAAAAAGTAGACATTAAGATAAATGAAGAAATTCAGTAGATCAATACATAATCAAAATTATTGTATTCTAATAATAATAATGAAAAATATGAAGGAGTTTAATTTATATAAATCAACTAATCATAAGGAAGCATACCATAAATAGAAATTAATGAAGACCTACCATTAGAAGGAGATTAAGAACCTAAGGAAGTATAACAAGAAATTGATATTTAACACGTAAATAATGATGATATCTTTGATTAACCATTACAGGTTGAAGAATAATAGCATTAATAAAGGTTAAATTAGATAGATTAATATGAAAAAAAGACTTAAGAAATCCAAGAATCTATCAATTTTAATGATTCTAATAACTAAAAATAGCAAGAATAGAAAATTGAAAGCATAGTGTTTGATGAATATAATTAATCAAGAAGATAATAGGAGAATCTAGTAAACTAAAGTACATAAAACAATAATCAGGAAGAACATTTTTAGAACAAAGGTCATAATCATTAATAATAATAATTGGATGATGATCAATATGGATAAAATGATCATTATGATTAATATTAAACTCATCATTCTCATCACCACCATCATCATAATCATCATCATAGTGACTAATTTAGAAGTACTTAATATGAAGATGAATAATCTTACTCTGAATACGAAAGACCAATCCACCATCACCATCATCATCATCATTCATTCCATCATCATAATCATTAATTTGATAATTCAATTTAAGAAGATTAAGACTTCAATCTTAGAGGCTAAGAAGTTGTTTCTAAAAGAAATAATTTAAGAGGTAAAAATTTTAGAAATAATTCTTTGTATAATAATAATGATCCAGAAATAATTGATAGAATAATTATAGAGTATAATTTTTCTTAACAGGAAAATCAAGAATCATAAAATCAATAGGGAGGTTAATCAAAAAAGGATCATAAAAAAGAAAATCCTATCCCAGGCCCTAAAAAATAATAAATCTAATATGGAGAGGATGAATCATAATCATAATAAAACAATTCTTAAAATAATTAAAGTACTAACAATAATAAAGACAAAGATAAAAATAAGTAGAGTTCTGGAAATTCAAATAATAAATAAAAAAGTTAAAGTTAAAGTTCATCAAATGATTAAGAAGAAGGGGGTAATAATGAATAAGGTAATGATGATTAAACATAAAGTAATAAATAAGATGGATAAAATAAACCAAAAACATCATCCACTTAAAAATAAAATAATAAAGATAAGGATGATAAGTAATAATAAAAAGCATCTTCAAATAAAGCTGCAAAAGCTAATAAAAGTGGAACCAATCAGGAGGAGGAAGAAGCGAGCAATTAAAATAATAATGAGGATGATTAAAATAACAAAGAAAAGCCAGTATAATCAAAAAATAAGAGTAATAAAGAAAAGTAAAAAGAAAAGGAAAAGGAAAAGGAAAATTAGGAAGAAAATGAAAATTAGAACAATGATGAAACGGCTAATTAATAAGAACAAGATTAGGAAGAACCGGCAAAAGAACAAGAAGATGAAGAGCCTGCAAAAGAACAAGAGGATGAAGAGCCTCCAAAAGAGCAAGAAGATGAAGAACCTCCAAAAGAGCAAGAGGACGAAGAGCCTGCAAAAGAGCAAGAGGATGAAGAACCAAAAGAAGAATAATAATAGGAAGAAAATTAAGAAGAATAAGAAGAGAATGCTTAAAATAAATAAAAGTCAAAAACAAAAAAAAAATAATCATAAGAAAAAGATAAAAAAAAGAAAAAAAAAAATCAAGAAAAAGCAGAAGATTAAGAAGAAGAAAATATAGAAAATTAAAATGAAGAGGGGTTATATGATTTTAATGGCAGATACATACCGAATGATCCATTTTATGAACATAGGTAATCAAAAAGAGGAAGAGTTCCTTTTAATTATCCAACAAGATATCCATTTCAAGATGTATTTGAAGATGAACGATTTTGGAGATATGAAACTATGAGAAGATAATAAGTAAGATATCCGTTTAATGGATATCCTTATAGACATCGAAAATAATCAGTTGATCATTCACCCTTTCCACATGTTAACTCTTATTATAAAATGCATCCATATCAGCAATAGACTTATCATTGTTCACCATGGGTTGGAAGAGACTTTTATCCTGATACTGGTTATGGAATGAGTAGAGTAACTGCTGCTTATAAGGGTAGATACACAGATCCTGATTAAGTCTTAAGAGATTTAACAATTAGACAATAATAATAAAAACAATGGAAAAAATCGATGTAATAATATAGAGATTAAGTCGGATATAAGTAAGGAGATTATGATCTTGATTTTTAACCAAATTATTCTTAATCATATGAGGATATTGTATAATAATATCCTGATTATGATTCAACAATTTAGGACCCAAGTTAATTTCAACCTTATCAGGAGGATTAAAAAAAGACCCATGATTATTTGAATGATCCTTAATATAAATTTAGATAGGGAAGAAAACCATTAGTAAAAAATGATAGAATAAAAACATTTAATCGTTAATAAGAAGATGTGAATGATTGTTTTGTGGTTTATGATTAATGCAATTTCTAAGGAAATAGATTAGATTTATGTGGAGAATATCCAGACATTCCATAATATATAGATGGATTTAAGATTTTCTCATTTATTGTCCCTGATAATCTATAAATAAGATTTTTTCAATCAACAGATTTTGAAAGTACTATTATTCTTAAATTAATTAGACAATTTTTAAAATGTTGAAGGAACATCAGATTGTTTAAAAGTTCCATATGAATTAGTTCCAAATTTAAAATAATGAATAAGAATTTAATATAATAATCAAAATTTGCATCTGTATTTATATTTTTCATCTATTTAATCATCAAAATTCTTATTAAAAATTTAAGAATTGAGTAATAAATTTTTTGACAATTCGTACCTATATATTTATTCGTAGTTGGTTTAACTAGCTCTCTAATAAAATGTGGAAGATCTTTTCCATGAATTCTAATTTTATTTTTATTATTTCGGAGCATAAGTATTATTATCTTAAGGAACTTAAACGGATTAAAGTAAACTCTTGGTTCTGTACTTTCCACTTGAAATTAGCGATGAGATAACTTGTTTTTATTAAAATTTGGAATTCCAAAGAATCTTTTCCTCTATTTCAAAAGTTGTTAACACTCCCAAAGGACACTTAGGATTTAAACATCTGATTTCTCCACCCAATGCCTCACCAATTCGAATTACTACATTTTAATTACAACATTTCGAGATTGGACAATAATCAGTATCTGAAAAATAGATATAAAAAAGTTTAGAAATTGGATGTTGACAAATCAATATGTTTTGTATCTCAAATTAAAGTTCTTAAAAAAGTTCACGCATTATTTTGTATATTACTAAATTTCGTTTGTCTGATGGATGAAGAGATTTAATATCCTTTTCGAACTTAACTAAAAATTATGAATTAATTACTTTCTTTCAATAACTGACGGTAGGAGACTTATTTGTTAATCACTAATAATTACTTTTTTAAAAATTGATCAATGGGTAAAAGTTACTTCCAAATTGGTTTTCATTTTCATTTTCTCTTTATTTATTTTATTCATTTATTGGTTAAATTTCTACTTTCTCTCTTTGTTCACTTTTTGGACTAGTCTTGAATGGCAAATCATCTAATTGTATTTTGTAAAACTTCTAATTTGGTCTTGTTGATTATCTAGCAGTGGATCCCTTTGATAAATTTCCAGTTTATCTATTTCTATATTTTTTATTATCATTCATCATACCTTCTACTTTGGCAAGAGTGAATTGAAAATGTCGAAATTACATCAAGCATATTTAACATTGATAAAACAATTTTATTAATATTAATTATAAAAACAAAAACAAATAAATTTAAGTTAATAAGCTTTAAGTCATACAATATTTATTATTCTTTTGTTCTCGCTTAGGGGATTCAAAATTCAATGAATAAATCTTCAATTTCTCAATTACTTAAAGAAAAACACCTATTTTCTATAGAAACACTTAATAGTATGTTGTTAATCTCATCATTTTAACAAAAATTGAATAATAATTGAGATTCAACTTAAATTTACAATATTTTATATTCTTGATCTTGGGGCATACTATAATAATCATTTTCAGTAAGGTTTATGTATGAAAGTTACAATTCTATATTTGCTTAATTGTTATTTACTTTTAGTATTCATTTTCTTTTGTTATTACTGGATGTAATTCATTGGTGTTTATATATTTATTTTAGAAGATTTTTCTGTATAAATATATTTATATAACTTAATTGTATAAATGAATATAACCTATCTAAGTTGGAGGAACTAACATGAATTCTCAATTTGTGATACTGATATTAGCGATAATGAGGAAAACACTTTTGAGATAGAGTAAAATAATTCTTTATATTATTGCAGTGTTAAACCTTCTAAAAAACACTTCATAACTATTCAAGAAAAAAAATAATATATAGAGGAGTATACTAAAAAGAAAAAAACAGAACTCTGCAAGAATTTTGTGTTGACTGGGAAATGTAAATATGGTTATGAAGTATTTTTTTATTTAAATTTAAGTGTTCTTTTGCTCATGGGATCTCTGAATTATAGCCTAAAACTCATTTGCATTCCAAATATAAAACTAAACCATGCAAGAGATTCTTCCAATAAGGGTATTGTCCATATGGGATAAGATGTCAATATATTCATGATGAGTTAATTAATAAAACTGAATTTGATGGATTTCTACAAAATTCTTATAAAGAACTTGGCCTCAAAGCTCCAATTTCGTCAAGTATTAATATGAATTTAATTTAGAATAATTAAAACCTGATTTAAGAAACGATATTCAAAGATTTATTATAGCAATGAATAATAAAAATATCGATTTGGAATTATTTGTATATAATAAACCTAGACTGTCCTTTTTTAAATAAATCACAGATCCTTAATATAATTTCTTGTCGGATGATTCTCAAAAAAAGCTTGAGGGCTAAGGCAAAAATTGTGATTATTGATTTTTATATTTAATTAAAACATTTAATGGCGGAGCAGCCTCTTTTTATAACTGAAAATAAACAAATATTGCCTACTCTAGAAAAGATCCACCCTGATCAAGCCAAGAATATGTAGGAACTTTGCAAAGAGATGGAAGGTTTAATAGATTAAACTAACACAAATGTAAACCATATGTTGAAGTCTTAACAAAACAGCATCCTCAATGCTTTTAAGCAAGTCTTGGAAAACATGAAGAAAGACATAGATAGAATTAATGAAAAGTTTCATTAATACGTTGCATTTCATGAATAAGAATCCCAAGTAAATGAATCATATATAACCATAAAAGGTAGTAAACGCTTAAAACAAAATGGTATTCTTTAGACAAGAATGTCATACTTTAAATGAATAATGTAAATAATTGAAGCATAATGTCTAAACACTTGCAAAAGCAAATTAATTTTTAGAAAATGTATTTTATTAAGCTTACTTTTTAGGAATTGATGTTCACTAAAGAAGCCTTATTAAAATAGGTTTAGAAAAATGAAAAACTCAAACAAATTATTAAAAAGTTCAAAGAATAAATGAATGAATATTCAGATTTGAGAAACTAAAATCTTAAACTATAACCGACCGAGTCTAAGATGTTATAAGACTACCAGTAGCATATCTAGACTAGTGTGAAAAGGGGCAGATATGATTCTTCTCATAATAAGAACACTTCAATTAACTCAATACCTAATTCAGAAACTAAATCGAAATTTATTTTTTCTTAATAGACCAGAGCTTAAAGTCTATAAAAAAGTATTTTGGCTAAAAGATCAGGAATATTTGAAACTGGTGTTTTAGATAAATCTTAGCAATAAAACCAAACATTTGAATACTCCAGATATCATTCTATAAAATATGATAATGAAAATCATCAGTGATATTTTTTAGTGCAATTTTTTCCTTTTTTTTAAAAAATTCAAAATATATTCTTTTATTAATCCTCAATATGAATTTGAAATAATCTATCTGTAATTTGCTAATGATTATATTTTTTTTGTGAAAAAAATAAATTCTCATCTAAATTATTTCCTTCTAATTTTGAAATTTCTCTTGAAAAATTTTGCAAGTCCTTAAAAATCGTAAATTGTATCTTAGTTTAATAAAGTGCGGAACTGTATTATAGATTCAAGATATCATTCTCAATAAGAGCCTATTTGAAGTTAATTTTATTAAAAGGACCTAATTGACTGATAAAATATTTTGCCATAATAAATCCTAAAGTATTAAATTATTTCTATTAATTATGTTGATGAGTTTTATTCTGTTATCCGCTATTTTATAATCCAGCTCCTATAGATGCAAGAGATTAAATATCATTTTTATAGTGATCAATCATTTTAGAAAGTGTATGATTCAAATTGGAGATCATATCATAATAGTTTTTATTGTTCCAATTTCTTTTTTTATCGTCAATTGAAATTGCCTAAATATTTTAGATTAAATTAATAATTGAATTAGTAATGTTTAAATTAGGATGAGTCAAAGTTATTTAAATGGAATCATTTTGCAATTTGGATTGTTTTATAGATAATGAAAAAGGTTTCTTCAATGGATGAATCTGAAAAATAATGCTCTCATCTGTATAGATAATAGAGAGTAGAATCTTCATAAATTCCATTAAGTTCATAATAATGGATATTAATTTATTTTTATCTGTTCTGATTGCCTCCTTTTTAATTGAAAAATTTGTAATGTCAATCCTCCTCTACTGATAATTAATAAGCAAATTATCACAAATAGTCTTAAAAAATTATTCAGTCTATAAATCTTAAAGTTCATATTTGATCTATCTGTGAGATATTTTGTAGAGATTCAACAAATTATTATTAAGATTGTATAAATAATAACATTGCTGCATTAATTTTTACAAATTTTATTGAATAGCACTAGATTAGTCTTTTTTAATAAAGGGTGACATTTGGGTTTGAGCATGAACTTATTAAATGAGTTACATTTGTTAATAAATTGATGATAGGCTTACTTTAGAATTGTGCTTAAGCATAATTTATATTAATACATGTTGCTGAATATCTCTTTATTCAATCTAATTTAGGAATTAATCGTATTTGTCTTCTTTAATCTCTTCAAATAATAGAATGACTTAAGGTTCGAAAGCTTTGAAATAAACCTAAGTAATTTTAAATTTGTGTTATTTTGAATGGACCTCCTTTTCCAAATTTCCAAAGTATCTTTGCACTGGGTGATCTTCACTTTTTGATTTTAATATCTAAATTATTTCATGTTCTATTTTTATATTCTATGATTAAGCAGTTATTTCGAAATCATATAAGGTTATTTTTCTCAAAAAGTCTCTTAATGCTTCATTACTTTGAAGATTGAATTTTTCTTTAAGATTTTTATTGATCTTCTCTATTTAGAGTTGGGAAGCTAATTTGTTATATTTAAGCACCACTACCCATGATGGTAATAGATCTTCTATCACGTTTTCATATTGTTCCTTAGAAAGTCCAGTTAGGAAGTTCTTTCTATTTATAATTTCGTATTGATAACGAAGCATGACTAGAATTAAAGTGATAAGGCAGTGAGAAATGATTGCAGATATATCAGATTAACTTAAGTCATAAATTGCTACAGCTTAGGAGCAACAGAAAATGAAGGATTAAATTAAAAACTAACTTCCCTATAAATAAATAACTAAATTAATCTTTATGTTGTACTTAATTTAAGAGAGGAGGAATGTTAGCCCTAATACCAAAGAAAATCTTTAGACTCAAACAATCTCAAAAATTCGCAGATTGTGGCCATTAAAATCAGATTCAGCGTGATAAGGATTTCTTTGTTTTGCCAATATTTCTTCATAAAGAAAAACAATGCCAGTTCTAATGCTATTCCAACTCCTGCAAATATTTATGGTAGCAAAACCTCTTACAAATTATATTTTATTATTATTAATCCTAAATATATACTTAATATTCCATAAGTATATTCGCGTCTGTATTTAATGCCAGTCAATAGAGATTACCTATACATTTCTTCTATCTCTTGAGAAGCAAATTATAAGGTATATGTTTTGATCATTTGATTTCAATTAATTTTATATTTTTTTAAATTAATTAACCCTAAGAATGATAAGGATTTATACTTCTCAACTTAATCCAAATGATCAAATATGATAGATATTTGAATCTCAATTAAATTATAATCACAATCAACAAAATTTCATAGTTTCTCTATTAAATTCTTTGGTAAAATCCGAAATACTTAAGTGAACATTTAATGAAATTAGAAAAATTATATTAAATTAAATTAAACAAATACTTACATAAAAAATGAACAGATAAATAAATTGAACTTAAATAGTTTAAATCAGGTTGGTTTTTATATTCATTGAAATGAAATTATTTAATTGCTAATTTTCGTGATAATTCAGAAATTATATAGACAATTGAAGGAATATAATTGTAAACTTTTTTCAGTTTCTTTTGGTAATCTTAAATGTGGCAAAATGTTTGTCTCAAATAATTAAAATTTATTATGACTTATGAAACTAAGATAATTATGAATTATTCATATAATACATGCGACATTATAGGCAAAGGCTTTAGTTCTGTCGTTTACAAAGGAATAAATACAAATACAAAGGATTATGTGGCAATCAAGGTAGACAAAATTTAATTATCTGAATTAGGTGATCAATAGAAAATTTTCAGAATAACTCCCAGCAATTTAGAATGAAATACATATTCTGAGAAGTCTCTAAGGACGACATATTCTGAAATTTTATGATCATTTTGCTTCCAAAAATAACATTTATATTATTACTGAATACTGTAAGTAAGGAGATTTAGGTTAGAGACTAAAATAGTAGGGGTATTTCAAATAGGACTAAGCTGTAGCTATGGTTAAATAAATAATAGATGGTATTTATGTGATGGCTTAATAAAGTATTGAAACATTATCATATGAGATATAATACATCGAGACTTGAAACCATAGAACATTTTACTGAATGAGTAGGATGTTAGAATTGCAGACTTTGGGTTCGCCAAACCACTAAATAAATTGAAAAATGAAATGAATGTCGGCACTCCTATTTATATGAGTCCTGAAACCTTGATTAAATCACAATATACTAGCAAGACTGATATCTGGAGTCTCGGCGTTGTATTTTATGAATTGCTCTATGGAAAACCTCCATGGGTAGCTCAAACAGAGTAGGAATTGATATTCAAGGTACTCAATAAAAGTGTTGTTTTCCCTGATTTTCCATTCGTATCAGATAGCGTAAAGGATTTAATCAAATAATGTCTAATAATAGACCCTTATATGAGATTAAGTCTGAATGATTTGATATAGCATCCAGTTATCAAACGAAGTAGTAAATAAATAGTCAAACCTAATGAGACAGAAAGCACTGATCAAACTATTAAATCAGAAGTTCCAAATGCTTCTGATCCTTGGACTTATAAGAATAGTGATAAAAAATTAGTCTAGATAAACTACAAAAATCCATAAATAAATACAATTATGTCGAAATATTTGAATCCAAATACTACGAATCAAAAGGATAACAAATAAATTAAAGATAATTAATCCAATTTTGATGAAATCACATCCATTTTACAAAGCCAGTTTAATTTATGTCTCTTTCTTAATATAATGATATCAAAAGTAAGAGATCAGAAATTATAAACTCCATTATTAAATGAGAAATGCAGAATCATATTTTCAAAGCACTTGCAAAATGTTAAGGAGAATATCTATAAATAATTGATTGAAGGTGAAAACAACTTCAAATTCAAAGAGTGGTCACTTTATTGTAAGGAAAATACTTACAATAAATTTAGTGCAAAATTTATTCTTGAAAATGCTTAATTTAATAAGACAATCAAAGATTATAATGAAATGATAAAATCTAATAAATCATTGATTATTGAATATTAAAAATATGATTCTGAGTTTTATTAGATTTTGTTTGGATTGGAATGGAAAATAATCAGGAAAATTATTAAAAATTTGATTTTAGAATTTAATCATATGATAATTCAGAGTGTAGATTTTTTCAATCAAAGTTATTAGATTACTAAAAATTAGGCTACAGAAATCATTTTATTATAATAATTGTGTTGCTATCTTGAAATGATTGATAAATTCTTTCTTAAAAATTTTGATCAAGAAAAGTTTGCCAAAGAATCTAAGATACAATCTTATTTAAAGGCTAAAGATATGAAGATGTCTGATTATTTGGAAATCAGATTCCAAATCAAAAATCTAATGAGGAATTGATTTATTTATATTGATATGGGGAACTATTTATAATTGGAGTAAATTCAATTTAATATAAGTAATTCATTTTTAGGCTGAGTTTTTATAATCTGAGTATTTCTTTTGGTTTCGCAAACTTCCTAATAATTATGAAACTATGTCTTCCTTATTAGACTTAACAGGGGTTTATAATTGATCAGGTTTTGCATTCAAAATCAATTTAAATTGCTTATTACTCTCTACTCTTCTATGATTTGCTAAAAGATCAGATTTCTTATTGACCAGACTACTTACACTATCACTATAATAATTAATAAGGTTGTATACGTTAGTTTAATTAATTTAGTACTATCTGGTTTATCAGTAGTGGATTATGATTGATGTTCAGGAACATAATAATTGTTATTATTTAATTTTACAGTTTTTTGATATATGTCCTACATACCTGTAGAGGCTGATTTAAATTGTGATCTTTGAGGTGTTTTCATAGTTTCAATCTCATTATTGTTTGATTTAAAATAATTCTTAAGGGGATTCATTTTATTGAAATTTGGTTCAAATTTGAGTTCATTACGATCAGTAATAGATATGGTTCCCTCTCTAACTGATTAAATTTCAGATGGCCTAGGTTTATAATCACTTGATCTAAAATTTTCTGGTTTTACTAAAAGTTTCTAGGTAGATTTGGCATTTGATTTTTAATGAACTCTCTCCATAATCCTGGATGCCATTTCAGCCGCCTCCTTTTCTAGATTGACTTCGGGGTATCTATCACCTGAAGTTAAACGGCCATTAATTTACATAAATTTTATATGTTATTTTAATATCTAATGAAATCTAGTTCATAATACTATCTATTCGTTTGATATAATCATTTATTTTATTGTAATCTAATAATAAATAATATAATTAGAGTCATATACGTAAACAAAATTTTATTTAGAATAAATACTGCTGCTCCTAATAAGCCTATGACAATTAATTATGCTAAGAATTTCGAATAGTCATAGTTCTAATCATATCTTAGAATTTCACAACTAAATTACTCCTCAAGATAATAAATTTTTAATAGAAATCCCCAATTTTATTATTTTTTTTAAAGAAACTCTGATAAATTTATTGAATATATTTCGATCAAATATTCTTCAATAAATGATACACAATTACAATTTGAAGTTATATGTTTTAGAATTTTAATAGCAAATTCTTATTTTAGAAACAAATTTTTATGATGTTTATAGATTTATTACAGTAAGATTTATGTAAAATTATTATGAAATCTAATTTATATTTATATCATTCTTGTTATCCTTGATCATCTTTCTATTAATCTGAATCTTGTTTAGGCTCAGTGTCTAAGTCTTGGATAACTGCAAAATCTTTCTCTGGAGTTGGTAACCATCTTGGAATTTCAGCACTTTTATTGGTTTTGATATTATTAGAGTTGTCTTCTTCTTCTTTGATCATCTGATTAAATTCATCATGAGGCAAATTCTTTGCTTTTTCCAATTTAATGGTTAATTTCTTTTATACTTCTTATGATCTCATTAGTTTCTACATCATATATGATTCTTCCATTTCCATCTTTTCTTAATACGCTTTGTTTTATTCACAAGCTTTTTTATTTTCTTGTTTGGCTCTATCAAATAGGATTAGAAATAAATACTTTTCATTTTCTTTTTAAATGTGAGAAAGCTTTTCATTCCAATAGAGAGAAATATTGGATTTAGATTTTTGCATGATCTCTTTGATGTGTTCTCTTTTTTCCCTATTCTAAACCATGAAATCTTATTTTTGTTTATTGATCATTTCAGCATTTCTTATTGATAACTCTCTAATGCATAATTTGGGAATGTTACTTAATTTTTTTATATTCCTCTACTTTAATTTATTCCATTGCTTTTTTAATCATTTCCAGTTATTCTTCTTATTGTTTTTTTTGATCATAATTTAATTACTATTTCTCCTTTAATTATGCTTCATCATTTTTTTGATTTAACTTTTTCTAATGAAAAGGATATAAAGTTTCTTACTTGTTCAATCTACTGATGATGATTCATCTTTAAGTCAATCATAGATTAAGTTTTCTTTTTGGTTTCATCAATTCTCTTAGATAACTGTGCATCCCCTCTCTTTAATAATTTAAGACGATTCTTCATTAATTGAATATCCTTCTCAGTCTCTTGTCTCAATTTTCTGGTGTGCCAAACTGTTTCTTCATTTTCCCTTTAAAATGATTAAGGAGATGTTTTCATTTTTTTATTTATTTAATGAATTTAGATTTTATATGTTTGAGAAAGCATTTATTCAAAGATTCTATATATCAAATAGATATCCAAAATGAATAACTTAGGTTAATTGATGCTGTATTAAATAATCCTAGATAATTTAGACTTCGGGGAAACCTAAATATATTATCAAACTAGATTGGTCGGTTGAAATTACTTGGAATTTAACAGGTCAAGAGCAAGCTTTTGGATTGAAAGCGAATCAGAAGTTTAAATGGTTTCATGCAAAGCCTCAAGTCATTTTAAATTTGAAGAAGTAACTACAAAAACATGTGACATCGACCGATTTTAATCTGTTCTACACTTTAACTACTCATTAATCTAAAGAATAAAATAATGAATTCGAAGTTCTGAAAAAGAATGATAACACTGCCAATTTAATAGCCAGATGTGTTTAGAAGGATTAGGTGGATGATCAAAATATCATCTATAGGGAACTTAATATTCTCAAACTCTTAAACCATTAAGGACTCCCTAATTTCGAAGAATTCTATTGCACCTAAGGAATGTACTATATCATTATGGAAAAAATGTATGGAGAAAAGTTAAGTACTATAATTAACACTTCCAAACTATAATTCAACTTTCGATTAATTTAATCAATAATTGTGGAATGCTTGCAGATATTGCAATATCTGGAATCAATCAATGTTATGCATAGAGACATCTCACCAGAAAATATACTTTATGAGTAATAAAACAAGAAAAAAGTTGTTAAATTAATTAATTTCAGTAACTCAGCAAAGGTCGGAACTGAACCCCAGAAATGCGGTACTCCAGGTTATATAGCTCCTGAGATCTTTTTAGATCAATAATATGGATGTGAATGCGATATGTTTTCTTTAGGATGCGTATTCTATAAATTGTAAGATTCCAAAATATTATTAGATTAGCGAAAAAGGATTTATTTTAAGGATCTAGTGTTGCAGAAGTAATATCATAAAATAAAAAATGCTCATTTAACCTTAAGTCTTTATAATTAATTCGAGTCCCTTCAAGTGCTTAGGACTTATTGACTTAAATGCTTGAGACAAATCCTAAACTAAGGATCTCCGTTCAAGATGCTTTAAAACATCCATTCATTAATGATCCTTTGAAACCTAACTCCAATTAGAATAGTCAAAATTTCAGCCAAGTCAGATCGGAAAGATACTTAATTTAAAAAGAACTTATAAGTTTACAAAGTTAGAAAAAGAAATTAGATGATGATCTAGACGTAGAATACTTTAACAATGAATTGCCTCCCAAGTGTTAAATTCCAGTCATGGATTCCGTTAAAGGAGGTCAAAGATTTAGCTCTGATTCCGTTCAAGAAAATGATACAAAATTCAGAAGAGTCAGTTCTAAATCAACTGGCTGATTTATCATTATAATGTATTTAATATTCTCTTAATTTTTGCTATTGACATTTTTTATAATTTCATAGATTATTAAATAATTTACTCGAACTTTCAAGGAAGCAATTGACTCAAATATCTTGTTTATGATTTTGATTCAATCGAAGAAATTAATTTTTCTGATTCTCATATAGTAATTTTTAAAGAATAATGCTGGAGTATTTTATTAATTCATAGAAGATTTGAAGATTAAAACATAGGATTCAAGACACTTTTTTGATTGATTCCTTAATTGTTGTGGTAATTATATTTATCAAAATTTAATCATTTTTAGCATTTCAGACAATTCACAGAATAATTAGTGGGATACATTACAAGATAGATTTCAAGACATTTCATACAGTACCTATAGCTAGGCACTTGAATTCTTGCAGGATGAGCAATATTTCCATGGCATTTAGCACATGGATAAGCTTTGTTACAACATCCAAAGATGGGAATGGTATTACATTAAACTCTGTGACCACATTCTTCTGTGTATATTTTATATGGAAATGTCAAAAGTAGTTTCTCTCTTTCTCTCTATTTTTCTTTCTCCTTTTCACGTTATTTGATTTCTTTTTATTGTTTTAAGAATTATTCAGCCTTGGTGACTTTGTCCTTTTCCTTCTTAATTTCTTCGTCTTTTAAATTAAAATCTGAATTCTATAGACTCATTATCTTTTTCAAGGTCTCCTATTAATATTACTCTTCCTCCTTGATTACTTCTAATTATGTAAAATAGGGCTATCGCATTTCTTTAACTTTCTTTTCCTTTTATTCATAAAAATTTAGTTTGTATTCTAGGAATTCTTTGCTTTGTGGATCTAAGAATACTAATTTATTATTTTCATCTAAGAGATGGCTGAGATCTACTTCTAATTATTTTTTATATTCATTCCATGCTTTTTCAACTTAACTTATTTTTTAACCCAAATAATGGTTTGTCTCTTATTTCATCTATTCCAATTCTTGAAGGTGTTTTCCTTGGATAAAATCCAAACTCTCCTTTAATTCATCCTAAGACATTTCATATATATTCTTAGAACCTAAACTAATTATTTGATTTAATAATTCTTTTTCTAGTTGATTCCATTCTAATTACTAGTTCATTGATTGTAAAACATTCTTTTCTATAAAAAATAAGCGATCTAACAGATATTGTTTTAGTTAATCAAAATAAAATTTGATTTCTGGTGTTTTATCAGGTGGTTTGAGGATTGATTCACTTAAATTCATAAACTAAGGAAATTCACTATACTTTTACTTGTTTTTTTTTATCATCGAATAATTTACAGAATGTCTACACTTCCATTATCTATGTAGAATGATCACTATGTTATTCTACTAAACAATATGAACAACCTATTCGACTATCAGCCTTGCAATCTGGGTATTGACAAAAGTATAACATCTTATTATTTTCATGATTTCTCCTATGACAAATAGCCTCCATATTCAGACCCATCACTTTTATTATTGAACGTTCATGCATATTTTACATTCTCTATTTTGATAGGATCTGCATTTATTTTTTTTAGTTATTTTGCATCAGAGTCTTTGCAGAGTATGTTGCCTTAGAACTTAAGAAGATTATCAAATGGTTTACCTTAGAGATGAATTTTAAGCCTATGGACTTGCGGAACTGCGAAACGATTATTATGTTTTTAGGAAGTCATAGTTAATTTGGCTTTGTGTCAATTAATCCTCAGTCTTAAGATTGATTATTGGACTTGTGGGTGTTTTATTAGACTTGCGAATTGAAGGCTCAGTCTTAGAATGATGTGAAGATTACTTTTTCATTTTATTTTATTATTTTTATAAGCAAAGATTGCATTATTGCGACTAAGCTATCTTAGGGAATTTAACAATTAATAATAAATTTTAGAAAATTTAATTCATTATCTTTTCAATAATAACCCTTTCTTTGAGAAAGTGATTTTTTACCAAGAGCCCAACCTTGATTTGTTTTAAAATTAGATACGAAATACTTCCCTCTTGAATTAATACTTCCTGGTAATTCATAATCACCAGGACCGGGTGTTACAATTGACTTTTTAAAGAATTCACAGTACTTGTTTAGCATTACTGTTTTTCAGCGGACTAAAGAGAGTTGCGCAAGCATTTTTAAATTTGGAATTAGAATAATATCCATATTTATCCAAACCTTTGATTTCATAAGTTCCCAAAGGAGGAGCCTCAAATTTATGAACTAATGCAATGTTATTACAATTACCTTTCTGATTGAGTCTTACGCCCATACTGTAACTGATGGGAGTTTCAGGCTATTAAGTTATATAATGACCTGGCCCTGGAGTTTCTAATTGCTTCTCCATAGGCTAGGATGTACAAGAAATAAAGTTACATATCTTCCCAAACCAAAAGTATAGCCTTTGCTTTTTAAATGAGAGTATTTTAGTATTCTAGCCCTTTTCTGGAGTTCCTATTGCTTACGCTCATTAAAGAATTCTAATTTCTAATCCAAGTTATCTGGAATTCCTTATAATTGCGAATTCATTATAATGAAATAATTAATTTAAGTTGACGATAAAAAAATAATATCACATACAGCTAATTTAGATTTATTGAGAACAGCAAAAAAGTATAATGTTGGCAATAAACAGTGAACATAAGAGAATTATCTAGTAATTTAATACCTGCAATCAATGAAGTCTTGATTTAATTCTAGCACTTTTGTAATCAATTAATGGGAGTTAAGAAGAAATGGACAGATACCTCTACCTCATCTAAATATTTTACCATAATTCCTTTAAATTCTTATGCCATCTTTTTTTTACTATGATTATAAAATTTTTATTTCAACAAAATTCCTCATTTTCTTACTAAAATTTATGCAAAGTTCACTTCAATAATGAGTTTCTCTTACTCATAATATGAGAAGCTAGGTTCAAATATTCTATTATATTCTTATAGTTGTTTATATCTGGAGTCAATAAAATTAGGTATTTCTCAAAAACAATCCTATTGCTTTATGTAATCAGAGTTAAATTGGGTATTAGTTGATTTTAAATCAAGCTTTGACAGTTCCTTTTCATGAATGGAAATTATCTAATGATTGATATAAAAGGTGTTATTATAATTTATGAGCTTTCTAAAATAATCTTTGCAATATGATTTATTTAATTTAGACAGCTTTAAAAATATAGATTTGATCAATAGAAATGATGACAGAATATGATTTTATAAAATTTATTTCTCTCTTAATTTAATTATTATAAATAAGTAGCCTTAAGTATATTTAAAATTCTGATTAAAAATATATTTATATTTCATGTTTAAAAGGATTGTTATTTATTTATTTGAGTATCGTTTGCCTAATGATCATAATTATATATTATACCAAATTAGTTATTTATTCTTGAGTTAATTGGATAGTTCTAAAACAAAGATATTCTAAGTATTCTTCGTGAGATCCTTTCGCTGCTATGAATGTGTGATTTGGTATTTAGAAAGAGAATGGTTATCCCTTAGGCGATCCACAAGCAACCTAATGGCCTCTGTATGTTCGGAATCCAAGTTAATTGATTGAAGTACCTGCAAATCCAAAGATTTCTTTTATACAATCATCTAATAATATTTATTGATTTACTTTTATCTATTTTAAACTTCTAAAAATGCACTCCAAATAGTTTCAGTTTTCTACTACTTTAGCCAACAATGGTTTTTCCATCCATTCCTCTGTATTTTATTTTGATCCCTAAAATTCTCTCATGTGTAAATTAAATTTTAATCATCAAAATTGTTATGGGCTGAGCTAGAAGACTCATTTTGTCGAGATCATCAAATAATTTATGATTTCCCCTTTCTATACCTATATGGATTTCATTATTTTACATTTTAAAGATACTTAATATTAATGTTTATATATATTGAATAATGGCTAAATAAATTCAATGATGATGACCGTGCTTTTTCACCACTACAACATTGGGACCATGATGATGATGGTGGTGATCGTTTGCCAAAGCAGCACCAATCAAAGCACCTCCAATAAGTGCTCCAGCTACGGCACCGCCTCCACCACTATGTTATTGAGGGGGTGGAGGACCTTACTACTCGATAATAACAGTAGTATTTTATGGTGGAGGGTATTATCCAGGAGGAGGATACTGTCCAGGGGGATACTACCCAGGGGGATATTATCCAGGAGGAGGATACTATCCAGGTGGTGGATATTATCCAGGAGGAGGGTACTACCCAGGTGGTGGATATTGTCCAGGGGGAGGATATTACCCAGGTGGTGGTTGTTGTCCTGGATATCCTGGAGGAGGGTATTGCCCAGGAGGAGGTTGTTATCCAGGTGGTGGATATTGTCCAGGGGGTGGGTATTGTCCAGGAGGTGGATACTATCCAGGAGGTGGGTATTATCCAGGGGGAGGATACTATCCTGGTGGAGGGTACTATCCAGGCTATTGGAGCTATGGTTGAGGAGGAGGAGGTTGAGTGACTTATGTAACAACAACATTAACATTGCCTTAGCCCAATCCCTTCGAATATTGCTATATCTATTACCAATTTTTTCAATTAATCAGGAGTAAGAGGCACTACTCTAAAGGCTATAAAGTCCAAGAACTTATCGTAGGAGCCCCTTGCTGAGGAGAATGTATGAAGTGGAAAGTGATGAGAAAACGACACTCCTTTTGCTATACCGCACCTGTGACTAACTCCTTTGTAAGTTGTAAATCCAAATTGATTGATTTCTGTGCCAACATATCCATGTATTTCTTTGATGTAATCATCTGAATCATAATATTAAATTATTACCGTCAGCTATATTGTATTTTTCTTTTTTTGTTCCAGAGAGCAAGCCTCCGAGCAATTTGAACTTCATTGAGCAAGTTCCTTTAGCTACTCTTCCATCAATTGCTTTGTATTTAAGCTTGACTCCTGTGACATGCTCTTTGTTATATTGGATTTTAATCATGGAGATCTTAACAGGGTTTGCTAGTTTTTAGGTTTCGTAGATGTCATCGAAGTGTTTATGATTGGCTCTTTCAATACCGATTACTACATCTGGAATGTGAAGCATCACAATTAATTATTGATTTAAATGATTTATTTTGTTTCCGAAATATCAATTGCTTTTATATTCCATAAACATAGTGTATATAATTAATACATTATGGAATATTGATTCTCAGAATCTTTAAGAAGATTTCAACTAAAAAAACTCGATATTTTATAAATTTATTCATAACCATAAAAATATATTATTACGCAATTTTAGTAATTTCTTAATGGGAAATTGTATTTTTAAGTTTTCAGTTGACAATTAAGGTATGGACATCAAATAATTTTAGCTTAGGATATTATTAAATAGGAGGATTAAATTATTGATTAAGCAATCAAAGAGGAGAATGGATTAAAATAAACAACTTCTATATAACCAAAAATAAATTACAAATAAATTAGTGGCCTCAATTAGGAAAGCTCTGAAAGTCAAACCCCCAATGTCTTTAATTCTTAATGTTCGAATCCTCAAATAAAATATCAAAAAGATCTACAATTATCTCCAGATCTATTGATCAGAAAATAGAAGGAAGGCGAGAAATTCTTATTCCATTATGAAATAATAAGGAAATTAGGCTAAGGAGGCTTTGGATAAGTGTACTAAGTTAGACATTTAAAAACCAAATTGATAAGGGCTGCAAAGGTTGTGGTCAGATAATCAGTCGAGAATGAATCTCTATTATTATAAGAAACTGAAATACTAAAAACCTTAGATCATCCAAATATAGTGAAAATTCTTGAAATTTTCAGTGATCACCAACATTTCTATATAATCACTGAATGTTTAGATGGAGGGGAACTCTTAGACAGAGTCAGGACAATTACTAATTATTCAGAAGAAATGGCAAAAATATATATGAAATAAATATTGTCTGCCATGATATATTGTCATGAGAGAAAGATTGTCCATAGAGACCTTAAAGTATGATAAATATGATATTTTCCAGCCTGAAAACATAATATTTGATACCTTAGACATCAATTCGAATTTAAGAGTTATCGACTTCGGAGCAAGCGAAAAGATGATGTCCAAAAAGCTCACAACTAAAATTGGCACTCCTTATTATTTAGCCCCTGAAATTCTTAAATCCAATGGATACGATGAGAAAGTGGATGTTTGGTCATGTGGTGTGATTCTTTATGTATTATTAATTGGAAAGGCTCCATTTAGAGGAAAAAACCAATATGAAACTTTGCAACTAGCCTAATAAGCAAAAATTGAATTTAATGGTACTATATAATAAAGCATTAAAAAGCATAGATTACTGAAAGGATAAGCCAAGATGCTCTTGATTTGATTAAACTCATGATTGAAAAAGATCCAAACAAAAGAATTTCTATGAAGGAGGCAATGAATCATAGTTGGATTTAAAAGGAATCTTAAAAGAGTTTCAATTTTGACCAAACCTTTTTCAGAAATATCACTTAATTTAAAGGGTATAATAATTTAAGAGTGGCAATCTATCAATTTATTACAGTATAAACAGTTAAAAAAGACGAATGTGAAAAATGTTTAGAGGCTTTTAAAAGACTTGATAAAAACGGAGATGGTGTATTATCTGAAGAAGAAATACTTCAAGGAATGCTCATGGTCAATATAAATTAAATATCTTCCTAAAATATGATAAAAGAGATTATGAGTTAAATGGATACCAATGATTCTGGAAAAATTGATTTTACTGAGTTTATAACTGCTTCAGTTATGTAAGAGAAAAGTATATTGAAAGAAAGTCTGAGAGCTGCATTTAGGCTATTTGATTTAGATGGTAATGGTACTATTTCAAGATCAGAAATACAAGAGATTTTTGGTGGAATTTAAATTGATAATAATGCTTGGTAAGAAATTTTAACTTCTTGTGATGATAATAAGGATGGCTTAATTGAAGAGAATGAATTTCTTGCTTTATTAGAGAATTTATAATGATAAATAATTAATCGTTTTATATATAAATCTTAATGAATTATTAATGGTCATCTCCTTTTTTATGGTTATTTTGGAGGAATCTTTGACTTTTAAGCACAAAAAGGAATGTGTCTTTCAGCTGCTTATTAATTGAAGCTTCTTCCACAATAGTTGCATTAGGTTAAATTTGATTTGCTAGCCTCTTGCATTGCATTCTATATTATTATTAAATTTCAGACCTTTTAATCGTTAGTCAGCTTTCCACCCTTTGCAGCAATAATGGCAGCTCTAAAGGCTTCGGATTGTTTTTTCCAGTTTTGTTTCTTAGCTAAAATTATATACTAAATATAAACATAAGGCTTTTTCATATTTCTATTCAATCTTATCCTAGTTTTTAATGTGACTGATTTGTTCATTACTAATAATTCTGTGCTTTTATGCATCAAATTGTTTTCTTTATTTTTGAAATACTTTCACGCAAATCTTTTCATGTTTTTATAAAGCAAGTTTAGCAAAAGATCTGCCACACCCCTTTGAACATTCATATAATGGTTCAGGATTTTGAATATTTACATTAGGAATATTATCACTTTTTTTAATTGGGATGTCATCGATTGGATTGTAGTACTATTATTATGGTTGGTAAGTGGGTTATTAATTATTTCTAAGATTACTTTGTTATTTATTGTTTGTCGGTTGTTTATTTGATTGAACAGGTGGTTTAATCGATTAATTTGAAGGCTTTTTATATCCATTTGATTAATCATAAGTACCTGAGGGTGGTCTGTATTATTATTATTTTTAAACTGGTGTAGGCTATTTAGCATTATATGGTTATTATTATTATTGTTTAGGTTGTCCATATTATCTATTTTAATAATCATAGTCATCTTCAATTTTACCGTATTATTATCTACTCTGTTATCCTTAATTCATTTAAGGCTTAGCTTAAACAACTTATTGAACTCTTCTTTATCCTTCCTAACTAGGTGGTTTATTATTTGAAAATTAATTGTTTTAATTATATCCATACTTATCATAAGAGGGCTAGGGTTGTTGCTTTCCTAAGGATGATTGCCGGTTAGGCTAAACATTTTGAAAACCAATATCATTCATTTAAAATTACTACTGACCATATTATTGTTATCGTACGTTATTATTACCAAAATCAGATTAATACTATTATTTTTAAGAATTCTAGCTTGGAGGTTTATCGTAATCTTTGGATACTCAATATAAGTACCATAATTTGGTTTATTACCTAAAGCCATTTCTCCAGTTGCAGCTAATTTTCGTTCTGCTCTCATCTGAGCAGCCTTTTCCATTTGCTCCTTCTTTTTCAAAGCCCACTGATTTGCTTATTGAGAAGCATTAGAGGATGGCTTCATGAAATTTCTTTTATTATTTTTTAATAATTTTTAACCGATAATGAGTGGATCAATTTCATCTTCAGATTCAGAAGAAACATCGTTTGTTTTAACAGAATAAGAGAGAATTTTAAAGAGTTCAAACATATTCAAACAGAAAGAACAAAGTAATAACTAATGTGCCAAGCATCCAAATAAAAAAGTAAATGTTATAAATTAACTTAGGCAAAATACTATGTATAATGTGATAAATCTAAATAATTTTGTTCTAAATGCGCATTAACTTTAGCATTAAAAGGATTAAAAATTGAGGAGACATAAGAGAATTAGCATGAAGTTCTGAGGTAGCAACGGATACATCGCTTTTAAGAACTATTGCAACAAATAATGGAATAATGTATATATAAATCCTAGGAGTTTAATAACATAGAGGCAATATCAAGTAAATAACTTCTGGAACATCAAGAAAGTTGTTAATAATTCTTTGATTCTGTTATATAGACTGCAAATTAATTAAAATAAACTTACTTATAGAAGTTCCAAAATGATCATCATATGTTACTAAACTCTATTCAATTAAAAGCTAATTAAATTAAGTAGATTGATGCACAAATAAAGTAATTCTAGATAGATATTGAAAAAAATCATGATAATATTGTTAAGAAAATGGATATGAAACCTTTTGAAGATATCATGAGTCGATATGAAAAGAGAGTTCTTCAGACAAAAGAATAATTGCAGGAATGCACTTAGGAATTTTTAGCAAAACCTATTAAATTTGAACAAAGTCAGATTTTGGCAGATATGAATAAAATGTGTTACAATCTGTTATTACTAAAGAGTGATGATTCATCTACCTCTGATAGTCGTTCTCTATAAATCAAGTTGGACAATAGTCCAAAGATCAGATAGAATACTAATAATTCTCCTGTAGATATGAAAGTATTTGAGATGTTAGAGGGAGAAGATATATATTAGAGTACCTATTCTAATCCAATCAAGGATCATACACAATCTCCAATTAGAATTCTGCAATAGCAATAATAGCAATCATAAATGTAGAAGTCCAAATCAAATACTTTTTCTAATCCAACTTCTACTATCTAAAACTCTAGAAGAGAAAGTAGAACAAATACTCCAGAGAGCTGGCAATAAGCAACTTACATCTAAAAAAATAATCCTTTAATTACTCCAAATGAAAGAGAAAGCTATAAACATAACATTAGTGTTGGAGAATAATTGAATTCATAAAAATGCTTAAATAAATAATTGGAAATAAATGAAAAATATTATGTGTAAAAAAACGAAAAATAAAAAACCTCTTCTGAATTAGATAAAAATAATGAATAATCTAATTAGCAGCTAATAAATAATTTAAGTTAGTTGTACATGCAAAAAAATAACAAGGATACAGATAGGAAAAGTTTTGAAGATGGATAATAATTAACACCTAAACATTAGAAAAATATGACCGCTGCAGGTCCTCAAACCTTTAAGCTCATTACTAATCATGCTAGTCAGAGATGTAAAACTATTTTATTATATCTAAGCTTAATACTAATACCCTTAAGTGAACAATAATTTATTTGAACAAAAAAGTTAAAAAGAATTTTCCAAAACCAATTATGATTCTTTGCCTAACCAAAAATCATTAACTCCGCTTCACTAGGAACCTTAATCGAGAAATAATTAATAATTAAATTAAAAAATTGATAACCATTTAAATAGGAGATCCAATTCTAAATAAGCAAAATAGCCTTCTTTTGATTAAATAGAGGGTAAAAGGTAGTTCATCATGGCTAATATTAATTCTTAACAATATACTTCATAACCTAGTTAACATGTTGCAAATGAAGACACTTTAAAGGATAGAATTCTTAAAGAATTATGCAGCCACCCTGGTGAATCTATATATAGTTAGGTTTTAAAATTGAATAGTTAACAAAAATTAAAAAATCAAAAGTTAATCTCAAAAGAGAATGCTGAACAATCAACAACAGTTAGAAATAAAAACAACAATGGATTTTTATGTGTTAAAAAATAATCTTATCAATAATGAATATAAATATATTATTGGCTTTAAGCATTTAAAATTTATTTAATATTTATTACATAACTCAAAGTAAATAGAACTGAATACTTGAAAAATAATCGATTTAGAATATTATTGTAAATTAATAAAATTGAAAGACCATCTAGAATAAATAGCAATAAGATATTATTTATTTTAAATCATACTTCTGTTTAACAGATGGGACATTTCTTTTAAGAAAGAAGCCATTTTTTAATGCATTTAGAATGGTATTAATGTCTACACTTTAATTCTCGGATCTTCTCAAATTTTTCGATATCGTTATAACAAATAGTGCATCTAAAGAATTATGGTAATATTACGGGTCTTTTTATTTTTGGTTGACCTATCTCTTTGGAATTTTTTTGATTTCCTATTTGGTAAGACCTTTTGAAACATGCCCAACCTACTCTTATAATTCTAATAATTATTCATAAGTCATTCCATCTGTCTAGAATTATTGTTGAGGCATCATTGCTTCTTAAATAAATTCATAGTATTAGTAATGCCTTAGATGCCTTTACAATTCATGAGCCATCAGCATCTCTTAAGTTGGTCCTCTTATCTATTATTATTATAGATTTTGATATTTAGATTATAATTTTTTATATTCCTCTTGTAAAATTTTGTATTATTCCTTAGTTGCTAAAAGCTCAGATTTTAGTAACTCATTTTCCTAATCAATAATGATGATCTATAATAACCTTTCTCAATTTATCATCATTACTAACAACTATTTTTTACATTTATTGTTATTGCAATGGTTTTAGACTGTCATCTCTTAACTGTCTTGGTACTAATGTTTGGGCTTTCTAGGCGGGATTAGAAATTCTAAATAGTTTTTATCTTTATTCGGTCTTATTATCCATTTTTTACAACAAAAAATAATTAATCAAATTTCAATGAAAGCTTTTTATCAGTGATATTCTTACAATTCAAAGGATTAGAAACATCAGATCTAGTAACATTAGATACTCTAGGATAGTAGAAGGTTTTTCTTTTAATTCCAAGATTTTAATGTCTGTGGGTTGGTTCAATAATCATCCTCTTTCAATATAGCTGATTGTCTAGTCACTTTTAACTAAGACCTTCAAAGTATTCTGATTGGTTTGAAATCTGTAAGAGCATTAGGAGATTTTTGAAATAACTATTATTATATATTATTAGATTGCATAAGTTTAGAGATTAAACTTTTTGCATACATCATTTATAAATCTTAAGACTTCGATTTAATATTATTTTTTTTTGTAGATGAATGGCAAAAATACGTTTAAGATGTAAATGGATGCAGTTCCACTTGATTTGGGTATATTTTCGTTATTTAATTTTTTAGATTCTTTAAAGCTTAAAAATTTCACTATCAATACTAATAGCTTTTATACTTTGATTTAATCATTAACTTAATAAATTTATTTGAGAAACTCCTTTTTTGTTTGTCCATTTATTCAAGGATCTTGATATCAGGAGGTATAGCCCTTTGATTGATTAAAAAATCCTCACATTAGTTGATCTATTTTCCTCAAATGAGAATTGATTAGATCTTTAGCAATCCAAGTTCCATATTAAAATTTGTAATTTTTCCAAATACATCATTTCCTTAGTTCGTACAACACACCCAAAGTTAAACTAAAGGTTTCATGTAAAATGTTGTTCACAAAAACGAATTTTCAATATTCATAAAAATATATATTTTAAGTACATTAACATTTATATAAATTTATATAGAATTTTATGGGAAGCTAAATTAAAGAACTTGCCATTCATTTTCAAAACACTTATAATAAATTGATAAAAATGATTAGATCATAAATGAGAGCTAAATAACTAATAATAACTAATTGTTAAAGTATATATCGAAGTACTTATGAATCACAAACAATATTACTAAATTTTTAAGAATTATGCGTTCATTTAACCAATTAGTTCCAACGTTCTCAACTTATGAAAATTATCAGCTCTTTTGATTGCATAATATTTTATAAAAAATTATTAATTGCTCAAAGTAGTAATCAATTATGTAAGATTTCACATTTTAGATATGAAACTAAACAGAAATGTACAAATTTCTCGACCTCCTTTATCTTTTTAGACATTTCTTAATGGTTTGTTACCAACTAGATTAGAGGGTCAAAAATTGATTTACCCAATTATATCATTATCAAATTTTGATTTTAGTTTGTAATTGGCTTATGATTACTTAGCTTTTTAGATTATGTAATTCAGATATATATCTAATAAGTAGGAGTCCAATTTGATGAATTAATTTTCAAGATCTCCTTTCATCATGTGAAAACTTTAATTTTGGATGAATGATGAAAACTACTATCGTTTCTAATTCGGTTTAATGTAATTATTTTTAATTTCTGACTATAACTTGAAAAAGGAAATAGATAAAGATATAAATTTCAAGGCTATGTAAAATAAAAATTAATTTTCTATATAGATTAAGAAAAAATAGTATTTAATAACTCTATATACAATAGAAATATAGATTTAAGTGATATATAAGTTCTTTTGTGATATAGTTATATATATTGAATTTATATCTAAAATGATTTACATCACGTTATTGTGTTGTATTCTTAAGAGCATAGCCAAAGATTGCTCTTTGCTCCCAAGTGACTATACGAAGATAGTTGGAAAGGAAAATGAAATAATCGCTTAGGATATATCGGAGTATTTTAGTTAAGTTAAATACGACGACATCATCACCTTAACTGACTAAAATAGCAAGGTTAGTTTGATACCGCCAATTTATTTAAAGGCTACAAAAGAAACGATTCCTAATGGTATAATATCAAATTTTAATGTTTTAGTGAATAAATTGTTATCTTAATCAGTGTTGACTACTAATCAAGGCTAATGGATTAATAAATTTTAACTACTGGCTATAAGAAATGAAAATGAACAAATTTTAGCATGGACAGAGAAAATTGTTGCAGGTACTTAATAGAGATACCCATCCTTTGATAAAACAATTTTACTTGGAAAGACTGAAGAAGTTATTTGCCAATCTTCAACTATTTTAGATGTATCTCATCTACTAGTAGATTGCTATTAGGTTAATGATTTAGAGCCATAAACATATTTTTATATGATTAGCGAAAAAGATGATTAATAATTATCTAAAATAGAAAATGTGTATCCTTATGAAAAAGATTAATAAAGATACATTGTAAGCACTCAGAACTACATATATAGAATTACTTTGAAAACTAATAATAATCCAGCAATTATTGAATTGTTTACTTATGATTTAGTCAATAAGGACATAAAGCTCCAAAAGACTATTAACTAAGAGTTAATACAAAAATATGTCAAAATTACTTAATATTCCTTTGATATGGTTGATGCCAAAATAAGTCCAACTGATTAAATAGCTATTTTAGACAAGACTGGAAATGTATTTTTACTCCAATACTACTCTTCCAATGATACTTTCCAATTTAATTAAAAGGGATCCCTCTTAGGAGAATCTATTTCGTTTGATTATTAATTTAAGAATCAAGAATTTGCAATAGTATAAAAACACTTTGTCATTCAAAGTAATAGAAATTATGTTTCAACAGATGACTTATCTAATTCGAAAATTCATTACAGCAATAATTTTATATTCTTAACTTCCCCCACTCAAATTATATAATTTGATAAAAATTTATAGTTAATTCAAAAAGTATTAGGTGATTTCAGCAATGTAATTACAGATTAGATTTAAAATGACTTCTTAACCTTCACCAATACAAATATTTAATATTATTTAAGTCGCTCTAAACATCGTATCTAGTATCACAATAATGATCAAGGTATAACTGGAAATGCAAAACTAATTCTAAATGCATGTTAAGTCACCATAGAATATTAGACAGTTTCAATGAACTCTGTAGATTTGGTACTAGTATCAAAGGGAAATATTCAAGATTCTCCATTTTATACAGAACGAATATTTTTCAATGATTACGCTATTCGTCCTAGATAATTAGTTTCTGGCCCTAAAAAATAAGTCAGTTTTCAAAAGAAAACGAAAGAAAATGTCCTTGGAGGTGGAAATCTTACATATATTGCAGTTACAGGAGATATTTCAGAAAAGTATACGAATAAGAATTTGAGTTTAACCGACTTAATCTTCCTTTAAACTATTTCTATGGCATAATCTTTTGATTAACCCTTTTCAATAATCACTTAGAATAAGCAAAAAGAATTGACTATATATTTTTGCTAGAATCTTTAGGCTGAGATATGTTAATAGTAATATAAGACTAAGCTGGATTTTGAAATTACTAAGGAAAATACTGTTATCCAATTTTAGAATTATTAATTTACATTCATCACTATTTTAAATCAGAAAACATTGTTCCATTATAAATTTTTGTCTAACAATTATATCAACAAAACTATTACACTTAAAGATGATGACTAAATCAAATCTGTAGATAGCATCTATTTGAGTTATTAATATTTACTAATATTTTCAAAAGCAGCAAATGCTATTGGAGTGTATAATTATTAGATTTTTGATTTTCTTTACATTATAAACTCTGAAAAATTGAGTCAATTAGGATTTGTCAATTGGGATCCTTAAAAATTGTTTTCAACTGATTTCAGCTAACTTTTGTTTGTCGTTAATGGGTAATAATAGAATCAACTTCTGATCTTGAATTTAACTAGAACAGATTTCTCTTTTGGATATTAAATGGCCATTTCATAATCTTAAGATATTCGTGTTATTAATTTTTATGAGAGATTCGCTATACTTTAATAGTAAGCTTAAGGAAAATTTACATTCTAAATTTACAATAGATAAGATCCTACAAATATTTATCTTGAGAAAACTCCTACTTTTTATAACTATTAGATTGAAAGTATTGAATCCTTCTTTTGGGTGCCATACAATAATTTGTTGCATGTCAAAGCAAAATCAGAATTCAAATCTGTTATCTTATCTTATTTTGTTGAGTTGACTGATCACAATTCATTATATTGTGTACAAGATTGGGACCCAGCCAATCAATTTGTGACGGCAACTCAGGACAATGTATTCTAATTTAATAAAGAAAATGTTTGGATATATTACATATAAAAATACCCTTAATTGTAATATTCAGTTAGTTTTGATGACAATACATTTATTTAAGATTAAGACTATAATATAGTTTACTCAAATGAATAACTGTTATTGGTTAATAGAAAGTTCAGATTGGTTAACAACCAACTTAGTTTGAAAATTAAGAAGGATAAATTAAACATAACAACTAATTTAACATCCAACTAGTAACACAATTATATTCAAGATATGGGCACTGATTGGTTTTCAGGTGAAGTCACCAAATTTGAACTGATGATACCTCAACTCAAAGACCGAAAAGCAGAAATAATAAATCCTATTGAAATTGTAAAACCGTATTATCATAATTATACTATGAATGTTGTTGATTTCAGTACAAACTATATTTTTGCTCTTAACCATGACTCCTATGTTCTAATTAGTAAAAAGACAAATGAAGTTGTTTTCACTGAAAATATAACCGCAGATTATATATGTCAGGATATCTTAGCAAGTTATGATTCTTAAGTCTTGATTTAATGTGTTAAGGATAAATTGTAGTATGTTGGTGGAATATAATGTGAAAATACTAATTGCAAAATAAGTAGTTCTTGGCTATAAATAAGTGATAATATCTTTTCAGGATATATAGATACTGAAAATATGTTCATTATTTTAAAAAAGGAGATTTTGGCATACTCTAAAAATATTCAAGATTTATCCAAAGCTTAAAATTACGGTAAAATAAGTGTTGCTGATTTGTATAATTCCTAGTATGGATTAACTATTTAAAAAATTAAGAATAATCACTATCACGTGTATTACACTGATAATAATTATGCATTTATTGTACTTGAATATAGCATAAAGCAGAATCAAATCTAAAAAACTAACAAAATTACTTTAAGTTTATTCGATTTTATCAACCAAGACTTCTTTGTACCTAAAGATACCATTTACTCTTGCATCAAAACTATTAATGTGGTGACTACTGATACATCATACAAAGCAGATTTTATTCTATTTGCCACTTAAGGTCCTCATTATGGAATACACATTGAGTTTTCTTGTTCTGTTGATTAATGCAATTTGGAATAGAAAAAGATTGTTTTTATTTTGCAAGGCTATGGATCTTTCGTACTCTTGGGATACACATCCTCATCTGTTAAAATTGTTAATAATTTCATATAGGTCTCCTATACTGATTAAATCAATTTGAATTTAGTTTAGACAATCTATTAATTACCTAAGGTCTAAAGTACCAATTCAGCAGTAACCTTTTTTGCAGCCTTAAAACCAACATTCTATTTTGATTCGTATTAGGTGTAACAGGAATTGTACTTATACGAAAACTAAGTAATATTGTATATTTATAGTTAGTTGTATTACATTACCAATTCAGAGCATATAGAATCATTAGCTTTGTATAAGATTAATTCATCTCCACAACTATTGCTAGACGGAAAATTTGATATAGCAGCCGGCCATCTTGTAGTTAGTAACTATTTCTCAACAGATTCAACACCTATAACTATTTTAGGACCTGGTGGTAATGATGACGATCATGATAATACTACTAGTAGCCATACAGGAGTTTGGGTTACTTTGGGTATTTTGGGAGGCTGTCTAATTTTGGGAACAGGATATTACTGTTACAAAAGAAACAGAACTAAAGTAGACACTTTAATTTGATAAATATTTAAGTTATTAATAAATTAATTATGAACTCAAATTTCTACTTTTTTTTTCTAAATTTTGAGAATAACATAAAAATGAATTTTAATAATTGTAATTTACACTTATTTTTTTGAAACAAGTGTTTTGAATTCTTTTGTATAATGGTCGTTATCTCTTGTTTTCTGGAGTTTTTTATTTATTAGTAAGAAGGGCAGATAATATTTTAATATTCTTAACAAGTTTTGATGTGTTGAAGAAAAGAGTTTCATCATATCATATTTTGATTATTTTCAATAATAATAATATCGATTTATAAATCTTCAATGAAGATATGAATTACCAAAACTTTATCTTAATAAAATTATAAAATAACTATATAAATAAAGAGAATTAATCAATTTTATTGTTTAGAAAAGTGGTTGGTTACTTTATTGTCAATCCAATTATAAAACTCTTAATTTTCAAGATATTTTGGATACCATGGGCTTTTGGCGAAATTCTAGGTAATTTTTTACATTTTTTCAAACAAGGTGCTTGCCATCTAAGATATACATTATTAATACTTTTCTAGCTACTAGAGCTACCAAGGCTTTTGGAATGTATCTACATTAAGGATCTGAATTAGTAACAGCCCTTACTCTACATTTATTATCACTAAGTGGTGTGAGTTCAAAAACATAATAATTAAGTATCAAGTTAACAAACTTTCCTTTATCCTTTGATAAATCTATATTATGTAATTTAAGAAATTCAGGATTATTATCAACAGATTTACATAAAAAAACAATGGTTCCATTTATGTTGAGTCTATCGATGCCTTCCCCAACAAAGACAGCTTTTCTATCCGAGATCAAGGGAAAGTAAACTTGAATATCACAAATCTTGCAACATTTTCCAATCCTTTTAGGCATGGAAGATCTGACACAAAAAGGTACATAATTTTGATAGAGTTCAATTTCATTAATTAAAGCCATTAATTTAGTGATGTTGGCTTCAAAGACTGAATCCATAAAAAGAGTTACTGTTGAATTTTTGGAGTCAATTTTATATTTGATTACTAATTATTTAGTGTTTTTTTCAATGACCCATCCATCTGAATCTAACTCATTCAGATTATGCTACATGGTGGCATACTTGTCCTGTATCATATCAATGAAATCTCCATAGTTTTCTTAGAACCAAGCTTCTAATGGTTGATTGTTCTAAATCTCAGCCTTAGCCTATTGAATTACATAGTATGCCTATAATTAAGGGGGTATAGTTACGTCATCCAATTAAGCTTCATTGAAATAGTAGTTTTGGGACTGTTCCATTCTTTATTCAATGACAGATTTCAAATCACTTTGAGGACTTCTTTCAAAATTAATTTAGGAAATGTAACTCTTCTCATCGAATTCTCTAATCACATTTAGTTTTAATTCTTCGTCTAATTCGGAAATACTACGGACTCTGTCCTTATTTTAATTAACCATCATTGATTAGGAGCCGGTCATTATGAATTCATGCTTGATGGGTTATTCGTCTAGGATGCAACTGGCTGCTTTTTTGTCACATTGTGGTTTTTTTTATTTTTATTTTATTAATTTAGGTAGAGCTTGGATTTTAATGGGATGAATGACTAAGATAGTTTAATTTAGGGAATACATTCATCATATTCGAATAACATCTCTTGGATTGTGGAATCTTCCGTGGCTTTTTTCTAAAGATTTTTAAATGATTCATAAACCTAAATAGATAGAGAAAGTACTTCATCTTGATTTGATAATGATCTCATTTGTTGGTTTAATTAGACTTAAAACGTTTGATAAAGAGGATATATAAATTAAGAGTGGTTAAACGATGTATATTCTGAAACAATAGTTTCGAACTAGTTTAATAACAAAAATGGAGGTACATAAAATTACAATATCTCTAGTCTCTATTATGAATTTAATTGCTCGTAATCTCTGGGAATTTCAATCATTTTTGGGTAAAATATTATTGATTTTAAAATTAATCCTAAATTCCTTTAAAAATTGAGTTAGAATTTCCGATATTCTTTAAATTTCAATTTATAAATCATTAATTTAATATACACATAATATGTTATTCAGAAGGCTCTACAATGTCTTAATTGTTTTCGCATAAGAGATATGTGCCTATATTAATTTTATACTGGCAAATTTCTTCTTCATATATTGATAGAAACCTCATTAAATCCCCTGGGTAACACCGTAATTGCACAATGCTCTTTCGAGTAGAGTTGATAGGTTTGCAATAACTTCCCTGATCATAGCTTTCAAAATATTGCCCTTATCCTTATCCAGTGTAATTTAGAGGATGGTAGGTCCCATTCAAGAAATTGCTTTCAAAATTTTGAAAATTTTTTAAAGGTAAAAGCATAATATCCAATACCTTAACTTCATTTGATTTTTTGGTGAAATCGAAAATGATTGGCGAAGTTGTGTTTTTGATTCTCAGTAATTGAAATTCGATCATTCTATTGAAGAGATCAATTTCATAATCTTTTCCAATATATAATTTGTCAGTCTGAGTATCAATGATAATCCAAAATTGTTCGCTCATGATTGAGCTGTTCATGTATCTTGGTTCCATTTGCTTATACGGTCTGCTCTTGCTTTTGATAAAAATGGTATGTTAAGGAACTGTAAGAAAGGATATATGGGTTTCTTCGTACATCTGACTTCTGATGTTGATAAATAAAGATGGAGCCTGGGCAGATTTTAAAGGACTGACATGAAAAGTGATTCCATTGAATTTTTGATGTTCCTATTTGATCTTTATCCCCTATTAAGAGTTATTAAATAAGTAGAGTTGGATTTGGTCATGTTCAATTTTATAGAAATCCAAGTAATCTTCGTCTGTACCCTCAGAGGAGTTCTATTGAAAGAGAGTTATGTTTTCAGCATAGTTGAATTGGCCATTCCTTTTAATAAAGGCTTTGCCCGAATATCTGAGGCCTTTAGTTAGTTACTTATCCAAAGTGGCCATGCCATTTTGATAGCCAACTATTTTGAAGGTTTCGACATAACTGAAAACTGAAGTTGAGTTCTCGAATATAGTTACATAATCATTGATATCCATTTAATCTACCCATTCGAAAAATAGAATATTTTCTATAATCAAAACAGGTCTCTTCATTTCCACATAGACAGCATTAGTGTCCATCAAAATTAGGTTCTTAATTTGGAAGATGGGTTTTGGTTTTTTTCTAAAGGCATTGCCAGAAACAAGAATGGCACAGAAATCGATAATTTTCTCCACTTACACTATGTGGACATGCTCAGTAAAGACAACACCGAGACTTTGTTGGGGATGGAACATTTCTTAGGCTCTGAGATTCATGCCAAATATGATGTTTTTATATTGGTAATATTGATTGGGTAGGATCTTCTCTTGAATTTCATCGAATGGTTAAAATTCAAAGGAATCAGAGATTATGGTTTGATCTGAACACTGTTTAAGCAGCAATAATTGGCTGTGAATAACAAGGGCAATTTCAAAATGGTATGTAGCTGTGATTGTATTGACAGTTAGCTTGTATCCATAGTTTTTTAACAAAATTTTGGTGTAATTTCTCAATTTAGCAATGCATTCAGAAATGATGATCAATTAATCAACTTAATTGATAATTTGATGGTAATTAGTATCAAGTGTATAAAGGGCATGATCAGGTTAATGAATACCATTAGTTTCATCAGTAGCTCTAAGATAGGATTTGGAAATTCCAAGACTGAAATCCTCTTTATACTATCTTAGTAAAAAAGAAGTACTTGTTTTCTCATGTTGAGCATGGTATTCAGATCGTCAAATTGACGGATGTACTTTTTGAAGCAATATTCATAGACGAATTCTTTGGTATAATGTTATACACATTGATCTTCTAATGGAAAAAGTATATGGTTGACTTCCTCATCTGTGAGATTTCTAACGATTGTCAATTTGTCGATCTGAAATGGCTTGGTTATCTGGGGTATGGGGATTTGACAGAGGACTTTCCTGCCATCTGAGAATTAGAATAAAAGTTTACTTTTTAGAGTTATTTATTTAGAGACTGAATCATAAATATTTTGAACTGCAAAGAGTTCAGGGTACCTTGTGTAATTGTTTTCTATGGCTTTATCAAATACATGAGTGACATATGTGTTGTCAGCTTAAAAGCAATGAGCTATTGTATATATTAGTATAATTAACATATTAATGAGTATTGGATAAGTTCATCCAAGTAGCTCAATTCCTATTGACCTCAAAGAATACAAAACTGAAATTGAGTAATAGTCCATTTTTAATATTGTAGTTCACTAAAACTATTTTACACAATACGGTAAAGTAAGCAGACCTCCAAAGAAACTTCTCTCATCATTCAATCTCCAAAAAAGTTCACATTCATTTAAATTTTTAGTGCTAATAGCAATAGACAATTCTTGAGTCCTAAACACAGCTTATTTATGTTATAGGATTACACCAATCAAGACGAAGTCATTAATTGCTTTTAAGAAAAATCAATCAAAATGAAATTTGGGAGTGCTGTTAGAAAATTAACCATTCTCCAACAATTCTTTAGGTATGTGGGCAAACAAAAAAAACAAGAAAATTTATTTCAATCAAAATAGATCCAAAGGAAACGGTAAAAGTTACCCTTTTACCCAGACCAGTTATATTTGTGGAAACAATTCATGTCGCTTTAAACAGCAGCCACATTAATGCTTTATCCAATCTACATTAGTCTTTCTGATTTCAATGAATTTGTATAGATAAATCTTATATTCACTTTAGGATTCATTAACAATAATTACATTTTTGTTGGATGGACTTTATTTAATTGATATAATCTTAAAATAAATAACTTGCCAGATAGATAATAATTACAATTTAATCAACAACTTTATTGACATCTTCCTATTCAACCTGCAAAGATGGCTCATCCTCGACATCATTAGTATCATCCCCTACAAATTATTTGCTCCTACATTCTTCGATTTAATGGGATTAAATCTACTCAAATTATTGAGATTCATAAAATACTTCTGCTATAACGAAAGATAAATTTATCAAGAATCTCATAATTCTTTGGAAAAGTCCGAATATTTTGAAAAACTTTTTTAATTGGATGGCAAAATATTAAGTATTTTGAAAATATTCAAAAACATGCTCATTTTCATTAGTTTATTTGGTTGTCTCTTTCATTCAGTTTTACTTTATGAAGGACTGGCACAGAAGGAAAATAACTATTCCATCTACATCCAAGGATTGTACTGGGCTATTTAAACAGTAACAGTCATTGGATATGGAGACATACCTTTGACTACTTCAATGCAATACAATTTAACTATCATCTGGATATTCATAGGGGTTGGATTCTATTCATTGACAATAGGCAATTTAGCAGATATCTTAGAATAACAATCTTCGACAGATGGCTTTGAAGAGGATTTAGAGGCCTTGGAAACCTTAATGCAGAAAATCATAATTCCAGAAGAGTTGAGTAATCAGTTATTTTCTTACTTTTAATATAACATTGAGAATAATCCTTTTTGGAATTACAGAAAGTAAATAATATTTATAAATAAGAATCATAGGATAATAGAAACATTGCCATCTTAACTAAAGATCTTTGCAATAGCCTTTTGCCAAAAGCAATTGATTGAGAATGTCAATATGTTTGCTTTCAACATTAATTTTGCTGCAGCCATACTACCCTACTTTACAATGTACAATTTCAAATAATTTGATACTATCTACTACAATGGATCTCCAAGTTTGGATGTCTACTTCTTAGTCTCAGGAGAAGTAAGACTATGTGACGAGCAAGGGAACACATTATTAAACATATAAGAAGGCTATATATTTGGAGAAATCGAAATATTAGAGGATTGCTATAGAAAACAGTCAGCAGTTGCCTGTAGAGATTCTTTGGTAATAATATGTCCTATTTCACAATTCTTATAATTAATTTAAGAAGATGAATCTCTACTTTTTGAAATTGAGTAATTAGGGTTAAGAAGGAAACTTTTACTCTAAGAGAATCTTTCTCGGATAAAAAGTATTTTAATTTATTTAAATAGAAAATGCAAAGTAACTGAAAAGAATAAATGTAATTGAAGGAGATCCAATGACTCAATATGTTTATAAGAAGTATTTGCTAGAAAAATAATTCAAAGCTAATGTCATTAAAGAAAGTTATTAATAAATTCATAAAAGGCTATTGCGAAATATATTTGGCCATTAATAAGAAAAAAAGTGGAAACATAGAGCAATGTTCAAAATGGCTGTGAGAAAGATCATAGATCATTTGAAATAAAGTAAAAGTTAGTAGAAAAAGACAAGTGGTGTCATAGGCAAACAAATGTTGCAAAACTTTGCTCAGGTTAAATAATAGGAATTGAAAATCTAAAATTAAATCTACAAAAACAAAAAGAATGGGAAATGTCAATAAAGAGTTAAAGTGAAAGACATCTTAAAACATTTTAGTTAAAAAGATTCTGCTCCGATGCTTATCACTCCTTATCCTTATTATGAGGAAATCTTAAAGGAAAGAAAAGAAGAGAAGCAGTAGTTTAAATAAAAATAAAACAAAATCTTAGAATTGTCTAATAGATTGATCAAGATCAACCTTATTGGATAATTCCAAATCTGTAACACTCTTTACGAGGACTTAATTGAATAAATAGACATCCTATATGATGCCCAATACTAAACACATGAATCGCAAGACCAAGTGGAATCTGTCTATTATTAAATATATTCATTAGTTTCATCAATTGATTGATACCCATTTTTTATTTGTAATTAATTCATATAAAAATCAAATAGTACTCTGATCAGAAAAATATTCTCTGCTGATCTTAAGCAATTCCTAAAATTCCTTCACATTTAAGTTTGTCACTCCACGAACTGCAATCAGCCAATCTTTTATTTTACAATAGCTTCCTTAAATAGGAGCAATTAATTAGTTAGTTAATTTTGAGATAATAAATCCTTCAGACAGAACATACGCCATATCTGGAGTTGCTGCTAATAGGATTTCATGAACAGTTTGTCGCTTCACTTCACCTGTTCTTCTGCTTTCATTTATTTTCTTGGGTTCATAAATATATTCCAAAAATATATTTGCCTTGTATTACACTCTTGGTTAAGTTTAAGTTTGTATTAAAATCCTTTTTTTGACTTGTGATTTATAACATACAGCGATTAACCATTCAGACAACTAACTATTAGGTATTCATTATTACAAGTATCAATGTGAATTTGATCTTCTCTATGTACTTTGGGTCTTTTGAGTAAAGTTCTCCATAGTTTAGTTGATCATTCCAAATTTTGAATTGTCTGTATATTTCTTGATTCCTATCCAAAAATACTTCAAGTTCTCCTTAGGTTTCAGCTATTGTTCTGAATACTTGATCGCACTTATCATAATTTTTAATGTAATCCAATGTGATTGTTTACTTTTTAGTATTCTATTACGGGATGCTTTCTTTGACTTCTTCGAATGGCTGTTCTTATTCCATGACAAAATTGAATTGAATTTCACCTGGTTCTTCATAAATATTTTAATCTACATCTCCATAAACAGAATAGATGTCGATGAGATCTATTCCTTTATCAAGTTCTGATGAGTTCAATTGCTGATAAATGGAGGGTTAACTGTTTAATAGTTCAATGACTTTTTGTAAGAGCTCTTAATTTATGATTGACATTGAAGTTAATTTTTTTAATGATTATTAATTATTATAATTTATATTTAAAATGAGTTCATATAATATCAAATTAATTGTTCTATTTTCATTTATTAAGGTTTTAATTATAATTTGTATTCTCTCGAAGCCGCTTGGATTGCCTTGACTTACCAATGAATCAGATTGTTAACTTTATATCTACTAGTCTATGGTTTTGGAGTCAACAATTGAATAAAGCTGGGATTGCCACTTTGATTCCTGGAAGTCAGAGAAGATTAATTATTATTTTAAACTGCATTTAGATTGAGAACAGGCACATTCTTCTTCACTCTTTCTGTCTTCGCAGACTTCTCAGATTTGTAGATCATTAATTTCTTAAGATCGAGTGCTTTAACTAATTATTACTATTTTTCAAGTGACTTTTTTGTTTGTTGAGCATGGATCTCATTAGTTTTTGAACTCACAAATTTATTTCTTGGAGTGTAAACCTTCTACATAGCAATTTTATTATGAGCAATCTTAATAGATTGATTAGAAGTGCTCTTGAAGGAATCCACTTATTGGATATGCCTTTAAGATAGAGGTTAATTGAATTTGCTAAGTATTTAATGAAGGGCCTTGCTATCTAAAGAGACCATTTTTTGTGTATTTTTATTTTTCTCTATTTCCTAGAGGGATTTAATTATTTTTAACTCTAATTGCTTTATTTCAGGTATCTATTTTTTTTAATCAAGTTGTATAGTTCGTGAACTGCTTTTATTTTCTACTTTGATTTTCTTGGTCGTTGGACATTTGTTAAATAGTTACAATAAATTATCTTTTATTAAATGAGTATCAGCCGTCTTCTCTTTTGAGAGTGATTAATGTTTGTGGTTGAGTCTGCTCAATGAATATGAAGGATATCGAGCTGAGAGAGGCATTTTGGCTTCTTGTGGGTTCTATTGAATTCGTGATGATAATGATAGTCCCAACTCGTCAAGTTTCAACTGCTTCTTGAAATTGGCTTTAGATTTCTTGAATACCTAATAATTCTTGATTTGGGGGGTACTAATCATATTGATTATTTTAAGGATCTCACTCTGCTATTCCTCTTAGACCTAAGTTATCTTACTGATCTCAATTTATTGCTTTGATTCCTATCTGGTTATGTCTTTGAGGATATTTTCAACGTTAGCATTCAGATTTGAGGTCGAACTGCTTTCTGATTTGGGAGTGCTTTGAGACTCGATTGGCTTGTCTCCAACTATTCCTTTTTAGGGTAATTGGGGATTTTATTTATTTTCAAACTCTATTTATCTCTAGATTCTATAATAATCTAATTTTCTACGCTTATCGTAATAGTAGTTTAGAGTTTAGAGTATTTGTTTAGTCAATGCAAATCTTGGGAGATCCTTGTGAAATTTATAAAACTCTTTCAGCAATTTCATTTTATTATCATATACCTCATAAATATAAAATCTTTTAAGATATTCATCCTCATCATCAAAATGCAAATAATCCTATTATTAGATCGCTTTGATACTTAGAACAATATTACAGATGAAGTTCGTTGCTTACTTAAAATCTCGTTAATTTCTCTTGTGTAATAATAGTTTTGAGAGGATGCATATTTATGATAAAGAGTGTGGTTAATGATATTGTTTGATATCGAATCCGATTAATAGTTTTTTACGAAACCCAAGGTCCGTAATTAACAACTATGTATTTTTTTCATATTAAAAATATATTTGATTTGGTGAATTGAAAATTTATATATTAAAATGTAGGAGGACTTAAATTCCAGCTTAGACTCTTTGGAATTGGATCTATACCATAGACCTAATCCCTAAATCAAAGCAATCCTAAACTTTCTAAGATCAAAAAATCTACAATTCTGTACAGACCCTCGGAAAAAAGAGGAAGATTACTATTCCAAAATGGATAATACGCAAGATAATAAAGATCTGGGGTTGGTGAGAAACAAGTTTTTTATGAGAAATAACAAACATTTCGTAAGTGAAACTAAATAATGATTATAACATGTTCATTCTTCCTTCATAACTATCAATAACATATTTAAAATATTTTCAATCTTCATACAATATATATTTAAATCTTACGCAATAATTAATGATAAAAATTCGATTAATTTTCTTGTTCGAATTATTTTATGATACTTTTGACAAATACTTCAGCGATATTAATAATTGATTATTTTTAAACATCAATATTATTAAATACAATAATTTTATGAACATAAATGAAATCCTAATTCCTTATATATATATTATTAAATTAAACATTAAACCAATGTTAATTATCTTAAACTCATCGTTATCTCATAACAGGTAATTTCTACCAAATGTTTAACACTCTCCCAAACCATACAAATATGAAGTACAAGTGATTCTAAATACTTATGGCTAGTTCCACTTGTAATGTATTACAATAATCAATTTATAAATTGCGACTAATTATTTTTTTTAAGATATATTATAAAATTCTGCATTGGATTCTGAAAGCAATATTGATAACATATTTCAATCTAGTTAATATTGTCTGATGAGTTGGTTTTCATGTATAAAAATGTTGGTATTATTAAATTTAAGAGAGATTCAAAAAATACTAATTCACTGTTCTTTATTATATTCGATAAGAATAAAATAGGTGGATATTATTTTTGTTAATTTTTATATAGAAATATTTTGAATACACAGATCACTTGAAATTTATATATGTAATTTTATAAATACTTTTTAAAGATTAAAATGAAAATGTGTTTACTTTGTTTATAGATATTTTATATGACTACATATTAACCATTTAGAGATCTGGAACAAATCAGTAATGTATGTAATAAAAAATAAGATTATATTCAATCGAAATTCTAACAATGGGTCAATAATATTAGTCTAAGTTTAATATTCATAAAATAATATCTAATTAAAGGGGATTTAAGAATATTTTATAGATATTCAACAAAGTTTTTCTCCTTGTAAGTTTTTAATTATTAAAATAATTATGTACTAATAATCAATTACATAGGCATTTTAGCGGTAACCAGGTTTGGGTCAAACATAATATATTGGTAAGTAATAGATTCCAAGGGTACTTTAACAAAGATCAATAACTCCTGTGTTACATAAACCAAATGCTTATACGGTTTCATTTACTTAGAGGGATGATTTTAGTCAAAGAGGATAGCAATTACCCAAGAATATGATTAGTGATGATTCGCAATTTATGAAGGCATTGATTGAAGAAAATTAACTATTAAAATAGTAGGTTATGTTGAAAAGAGCTGAACTATAAAAAATAATAGAATATTATCATCAGTGCTCATGAGTATTAATAAGCTATTTATTTCTTAATTTATTATATATTTAAAATGAATGAGAATAAATCTTTGCATGCCAAAAGATAGTCAGCATTATCATTATGTAAGAATATTTAATAAAATGTAGTGAATCCTCCATAAACTACTGCTTTGTCTTGGTGCATTGTTACATTAATCGGAGATGAACTAGCCAGCAAATCTCCTTCCTTGAAGTTAGAAGTTGCAAGTCTTACCAAAATAATGACTGCCTATACAGCAATACAATTATGTGAAGAATTAAATCTTGATTATGTAATTCAAGCCGATATAATCTAATTTTAGAATGAAACCTTTATTCGTATTCCTAGAATTGCTACATAGATAGGAGGGACATCCGCCTTTTTAAGAAGGGATGACATATTGTCTTTAGAAGAATTGTTATATGCACTCATGTTACCCTCCGGAAATGATGCTGCGATATCTATTGCACTGCATTTTGGATCAATACTAAATACTCATCGAAAATAAAAGATTGCCAGTTATATCACATGTGACACCATCTAAGGGTTTTAAGATGATACCCAGATGAGTAATATGAATAGATTTGTAAGATAGATGAACGAGAATGCAATGAAATTAGGCATGAGAGATTCTTAATTTTCAAATCCACATGGTCTCAGTTCAAAAGTATATATTTAGTACTAGATTAAATATAGGCTAATAAATCAACAGCATTAGACATGTGTAGAATGAGTTCAGCTTATTTGAAGATCCCCATTTTAAAATAAATTTGCAATAGCAAATCCTATACTTGCAGAAATTATGAGTGGTTTAATACAAATTAGTTGTTACACTTTGAAAATTATTCTGGAATCAAAACTGGAATAACACCTAATGCTGGTGCTTGTCTTGCCGTATCTTATGAGAGCTTGTTGGGATCTATAATAGTAGTTTTGATAGGAGCAAAGGATTAAAAAAGGCGATTTGAAGAAACTGACAAACTCATCAGCTGGGTATCTAGAGAATATACATTGTATTTTAATAAAACTATGTATGTTCCGCCTAGGACTGCATAAAGCAAGGGCAGATCATTTATAATAAAAAAACAAGTATGATAAACTAGATTGCATCATATATTCTCTTTCATAACATATATATTTTATCTCATTCTTTATTAACTCTCATTATTAACTCTATACTTTCTTTAACCATCATAAAATAATTTAATTGAGTTTTTTACTGAATCTATTTGCTAATGTGGATTCCTTAAAACTATTAAAAATTAAAGGTTTTCTGAAATATTCTGAAGCGATTACATCCGTAAATCTTTATAAAAATTTGATATTAATATTATATAGATGAAACTAAAAAATAAATAATTTATTTTACTATGGGAATTTGTAAATCAAAAAAACAAAACCATTCACCTCCAATGGTGAAAAACCGAAATGTAAAAACAGCTAATACTGCTGATATTGTAAAAGAGAGTAGTCCCAATAATGTTGCAGCAGGTTCTCAACTAGTATTTTCTCAATAAGACTTCTTTTTAAGAAGTCAGGAACTAATGACTCCAGATAGATTGAACACTGCAAATAAAGGAAAGTTTTTTAATACTTACACCTTGTTGAATAACTTAAAAAGTCCCAACGAACAAATACGACAAGTTTGTACTGTATAACATAATTAAACCGGAGTTACGAAAATTGGAATTATATAAACCCATCATTATAAACAAGCAGACTTAATAAAGGTTCAAAACAAAATACAATAGCTTAAAAAATTAGTATGAAATATATATATATTAGGATCATCCAAATATCATGTCCATTTATGAATTTTTTGTTGATTCCAAATAATTGTATATAGTGACTGAAAATTATGACGGTGGATCCCTATTTTCAAGATTAAAATCTGAGAACAAGGAAGAATTAGTAACTAAAAACTAATTGATTTAAATCTACTTCTAGTAAATTTTTGCAGGTTTACAATACTTACATAGTAATGGCATAAATCACAAGTATTTGAAATATTCTATATAGAAATCTCAAACCTGAGAACATTCTATTTTAAAGCTAACAAAGTTAACTGATTAAATTAGTTGATTATAGTAATACAAGAGTGAATAAAAAGGATGACGACATCCTTGATCTTACTTATCTAGCACCTGAGGTCATTTAAAAATAGGAATACTCTCAGGCCTCAGATATCTGGTCTTGTGGAGTATTACTGTATGAAATTTGGACAAGATCCTAGCCTTTCAAGGGGGATAACTACAAAGAGAAAAAGGAGAACATCTTAAAATGCAGAATAACTAAAGATGAAAATTGGAATAATATTCCACTTTAAGCTTAAAAGTTGATTAATTCAATGCTGAAAATTGATCCATGTAAGACTATCATCTATATTTATTAGCTAAACGTTTAACTGCTGCTCAATGCCTGTAGAATGAATATCTCAAAAATATTGTAAGCTATACTGATAAAACTTTTGTTGAAGATGTATTTTAGAGAATTTAACAATACCAGTCAAAATCTGAATTTCAAAAAATATTGTTGTCAATAATGATTAATAAATTGATGGATGAAAAGGAGAAGGAGAAACTAATGGTTGCATTTGAAGCAATAGATGATAATAAAGATGGAAAGATCACTAAAAGTGAACTCAAAAAGTTTTTAGCTTCAGAGAAATAGAAGTCACTCACTGAGAAAATATTCTAAATTTTAGATTCCAATTAAAATGGATATATAGAGTTTAACGAGTTTTTACTAGCCTCATGCAATACTGATAAACTTATCAATTAAGAAAACCTCGAATTACTATTTAAATTCATTGATAAAAATTAAAGCTAATAAATAACCATCAAAGAATTAAAATCCTTATTCATCGAAGCCAGATTAACTGATTAAGAATGGGAACTGATATTTAATCAAGGAGATTTGAATTAAAATGGAAAACTTTCATTTTAAGAATTTTCTCAACTTTTATAATAAACTTCAAACTGAATTTGAATATCACTAAATTTTATTATAGTAAATGATTTGCTTAATATTTTTCTTATTTTCCTTGTTTCTTAAATAGGTGATTCATTTTCTTTCAAACCTTTCAATTACAGATTAATTATCTAATGATTTTATAGCTAACAATTAATAGTCCAATCCCAATATTTCCTTATTAAAAAATGTCAATGATGGAGTCCATGTGATATTTGATTTTTTGTAATTTGATAATAAGAAATATCTGATGAATGATCTATAAATTAAATTTTAATTCGATATATTAATAACTCATTCATGTCCTCTATAAGGCGTTATTATAGGATTGAGTTGGTGCATATACATACAAAACCATAAGAGCCAAAATTAAATAGTACCAGAAAAAACTGAAACATACATTAGCCTAACTTTAAGATTGATGTTTTACAATAAATTATCATTCAGATCGCTTAAATTTTTTGTTGCTTTAGTAACAACTCCTTTGAGCCATACTGTAACTCCAATTCCAATACCGATAAATATGATTGTGCCAATAAAGATTCCAGCAGACATTTTATTATTAATATTTTATAAATAATTATAATAAAAATTTGAGTTCATTCACTATTCACTAATTCTTCCCATAAATTATAAGCTCCTTCTCCTTCTTTTAAAACATCCTGTTTCCCATTCTTCTTCGCTAAGTCACCATTTTTCCTTAATACAGTCACTGTGGGAATTCCTTTGATTTCATATTTATCAACCAGTTACTAGATTCGCTTATCATTATGAGGAATGGCTGGCCAAGGCATCTTTAAACTATATAATGCATACACCTCTTCTAAGTATTTTTTGAATTAACTTTCTGATTCCTCGTATGATACCCATATAATTTCGAGCTATTTAGTTTCCAAATTAACATCATTATAAAACTCAACGAGAGTTGGTGTAAAATTTACACAAGGAGGACACCAACCTTAAATTATCAACTGCATTTACTTGCACAAAAGTACAGTACAACCACCTTCATATCAGACAATTTGATTTTGCATGGTCCATTTTTATTTACAAAAGTGTCTCCAAAAAAATTGTTATCCATTATATATAAATATATTTATATAATAATAATTAAAACTACTATTCATTCTATTAGATAAAAGTAATTGTCTTCAGCAATCTAAGGATACTTAAATACATTTATCTAAATAATATAGATCAAATTTCAATGATTTAGTTCCATCTAAAGTAGAAAATGTTGCTTATAATTATCTTTATGTGGTGATATATTTATGTTATAGAAAGAGATAATATTTTTTTATTATTTTATTTTATAATACTGTCCTTTGCTTATTCTAAAGGACTTTTATATCTAATGATCATGTTTAATATAGAATGTATAAATACACGTGATCTTTAATCGTTAGTTAACGAAATTACTATCAAAATAAAATATCAAATAATTTTAATCATTAAATTTTTGCTTGATGGCTGAATTTTAACTTTGGCTCCAGGAGAATCGCAAACAGATATCAATAGACTTGGCTGCTGGAACAGTTAGTGGAATGTATCTTTATATATGGACGAAGCTTTAATTGTTTATTTGGGCATCCAATGGATACTTTGAAAGTGAGAATGCAAATGTCAAAAGAAAACTTTTGGAGGTCAATCATAAAAATAATAAAACATGAGGGAATACTAGCATTTTATAAGGGGATGACTTTTCCTTTGTTATCTGTTCCTTTTTTGAATGCAATAGTATTTGCTGTTTATGAATATTCACGACGGTAGTTTACAGGTTATAATGATAATGGGAAACCCATGACTTACTTCTAGACGTAAATAAGAAATATCAATTATTATAGTGCAATATGTGGAGGTATATCTGGGAGTTGTGCAGCTATGTTGGCATGCTCCATTGATTTGACAAAATGTAGATTGCAGATGCAAATAGACAATGCTCATAAACTATATAAGAATCCTTTTGATTGCTTATGGAAGGTATAATGATATGGATAAATCTCTAGATTGCAAAACAAGAAGGCTTTAGATATATATTTAGGGGAATGAATGCAACATAGCAAAGAGAAATCTTGGGATATAGTGCACAATTCGCAACATATGAATTCGTTAGAGATTAACTGATGTGGCTACAAGACAAGGGGGAACCCTCTTCTCATGATTTGCTGATTTCTGGAGGGTTAGCTGGAATGGCATGTTGGATTGTTGGATATCCTTAAGATGTAAGTTTGATTTGTATTAAAATAGACGATTAAGACTATATTGTAATGTGAAATGGGTACTAAAACAAGAAGATTCAAGCCTAAATTTCTTGATGGAGGTTTTATTGAGTGTCTAAAGTATAGGGTATAAAGTGATGGAGTTCCGTCTTTGTGGAGAGGGTTCTCAGCATGTATGTTAAGAGCCTTTTATGCAAATGCAATTGGATTCTATGCTTATGAAATCTCTAAAAATTAGATTTAAAAGTTTTATGCATGAATATTCAATTAATTACTCATTAATTTTCATAAAACATGGGTTGTCTGTAACCTAAAAAGAGAAATAGAATTGTAGCCATGTAAACCATGAACAAAGACTAAGTTTTCACTTCGACTGCTGATATCCATCAATTGTACAACTTTGGGAAGGTGTTGGGAGTAGGCTCATTTGGGAAAGTATTATTAGCGAAAATGAAACAGAACTCTGAAAAACAATATGCTATTAAAGTAATTGATAAGAGGAGAGTAAAAGGCAAAGAGGCATTGCTTGCTAATGAAATATTCGTCTTACAATAACTTGATCACCCTAATATCATTAAATTTTATGAGGTTTATTAGAGTCCTCTATATTTCTATATTTGCATGGATTATTGTTAAGGAGGCGAACTCGTAGAGAGAATAGCCAAACAATAATCAACTCTATCTGAAGGTTAAGTATAGACTATCATACAAAAAGTATTTAGTTTTTCATTTATAGATTTGTTCAGCCATTGTTTACATCCATGATTTAGGTTTGGTACATCGCGATATAAAGCCTGAGAACATCATGTTTAGTGAAAAGGATATATATTCGGAACCAAAGTTGATAGATTTTGGATTGGCAAACAAGTATGACACTACTCACATAAAGTATTTGAATCAAGAATATTCTAAGACGATTGAAAACATTTGTGGGAACACCTCTCTACTTACCACCTGAAGTGATTGATGGTGAATATGATGAAAAATGTGATGTATGGAGTTTAGGAGTTATGCTATTTAGTTTGTTATGTGGCTATCCACCTTTCTATGGCAAAAACAGAGCCTAATTATATGAAAATATCAAAACACAAAATGTAATTTAGATAAATATTAGTACAGCTTGTATTTGATAGACGTCATTGGAGAAATATCAGTGAATAAGCCAAAGATTTAATTTAAAAAATGCTAATGAAAACACCAAAAAAACGATTGTCTGCCAGGGAATGTCTTAAACATGCATGGTTCGAAATGCAATTTTAGAATGTAAAAGTTCATAGAGAAAAGAGTTAATAACTATTAACTTAGACTCAAGAAGATAATAGGACTATTTATTAAATGCTCAAAATGTTTAGAGGAGGAGCCAAATTTAAAAAAGAAGTTACTAAAGTTCTCGTTAATTAAATGAATGAGAAGGAATTACACCATCTCAAGCAAGTCTTCTAAAAAATAGATGTTGACAATTCTGGAACCATCACCATTGAAGAATTAAGGGAAGCACTCTAATAAGAGGTACTTATCTTTAATTGAAATAGGGATCTCCTGCTTCCTTGGAGGAAATAGAATAGATCATCTAAACCATAGTTTTGGAGGAAGATGAAGAGGAGAGCAGCAACTTGGAAATGGACAAAGAACCTTCCCCTCTTGTTATCAAATACACCGACTTTTTGGCTGCTTGCATTGATGAAAGGAAGGTCTTGACCAGAGAAAAAGTATTCTAGTGTTTTCATTTAGTTATGGTCACTCTTTAAGTATTTTGATACTTTAAATGTCAACTACATAACCAAAGAGGATATTAAGGAGGCCTTGGCTCGACATGGAAGACAGATGTCAGATGAGAAAATCGATTAGATGATTCAGGAGATTGATCCTAATCATGATAATAAGATTAGCTTTGATGAGTTCTTATAAATGATGGGGGTTGCAGGCATTGAGCAAACTATGAATATTAGAGATGAAGTAAAAGAAATTGAGATATAAAGTTGATTATATAAATCATATATTATTAGCATCTCATTATTCAAGCTTATTATCTTTGTAATGGTATCTTTTTCAACTTATCGACGTATAACTAAATATGCTTCAAAATCAATTAATTTTTCTGATTATTTATGAATGATTTATTACATAATGCTTTTTGAAATTTAAGCAAATCTAAAATCTTAGATTTACAATATAATAAATAAATAATGGGTTGTTTTTAACCTAAAGGCATGAATAAAATTGTTGCAATGCAAACTACAAATAGGGATTACATTTTTACATCAACAGCTGACATTCATAAAATATTTTCGTTTGGGAAGGTTTTGGGAATTGGTGCCTTTGGCAAAGTTCTCAGTGCTAGAAGAAGAAATAACAACGATAAATAATTTGCTATCAAAATGATCGATAAAAAAACAGTCAAAGGCAGAGAAGCCATGTTGGCAAATGAAATTTATGTATTATAAAGACTGGATCATCCCAACATTATAAAATTCCATGAAGTATATTAAAGCGAGCTGTATTTCTACATATGCATGGACAAGTGTAGGGGTGGTGAACTAATGGAGTCTATTCCCAAAAATTAAAAATCATATACTGAATGCTAAATTAGAGGGATTATGGTTAAAGTATTATTCATTTTTAAATATTAGATTTTTTCAGCTATCGCTTACATACATGACTAAGGTATTATACACAGAGACATTAAACCGGAAAATATTTTATTTTCAGATTGCGATATAAATTCAGAGCCTAAATTGATAGATTTCGGCCTCTCTGTTAAATATGATGCATTTAGCTACAAGTATCTATCATTAACAATCATTCTCTAGTAAACTTAAGTCAGGAGTAGGTACTCCAGTGTATTTGGCACCAGAAGTAATTGAGGGGACATATAATGAAAAATGTGATGTTTGGAGTCTAGGTGTCTTATTGTTTAATATGTTGGTTGGATATCCACCGTTTTATGGCAAAAATCGATAAGACCTTTACGATAGCATTCGATATTAAAATGTATGAAATTTCAATTAATTCTTAGCTAATATTTGATAAAAAACATTGGAGGAATATAAGTGATGAAGTCAAAGATCTACTTAAACGAATGCTAAACAAAAACCCAATTGCTCGAATATCATCTAAGGAATGTCTTCAACATCCCTGGTTCTAATTGCCTTTTAATGAAGGAATGCAGAGAGCTTCCAGGAGGAGCACTGGCTTCTCAAATACTGCATCAGAGGATGATTAGAGAACCTTATATTAGATGCTTAAGACTTATAGACTCGGAGCGAAGTTTAAAAGAGAAGTAATGAAGGTTCTGGTCAATCAAATGAATGAAAAAGATTTAGCCAAACTTCAATTCATTTTTAAAAAGATCGATTTAAATAATTCTGGAACCATTACTGTGCAAGAATTACATCACGCTTTACAATAAGAGGTATAAAATATAAACCTATATTTTATAGGGTTCTCAAGCTACTTTAGAAGAGATTGAGGAGATTATGGAAAAAATTGGTTATGACGTTGATGATATGGATGATATCACCTTGTCAAATTCACATAGGTCCAATCTAAAGCCTGCTACTATTAAATATAGTAATTTCTTGACTGCATGTATTGATGAGAGGAGAGTATTTACGAGAGAAAAGTTATGGTCTATTTTCAAGTATTTTGATACTAGAAATGAAAATCATCTATCTAGAGAAGCCATAAGGGAATCCTTTGCTAGACACGGTCGTTCAGTACCAAATGAAATAATCGATTAAATGATTGCTGAAGTCGATCCACTAAATGAGAATAGGATTCATTTCGATACTTTCTGTTAGATGATGGGTCTAGCTGGAGTATAAGAAACCTTAGAATTCAAAGACGAACTCAAAGATCCTTCATCTTTAGCTCATTCAATATAATGATCTTATTCATTCTTTGAAACTTTCATGTAATAATATTTTTGTATGCATTATTATTATATTAAATAATTCTTTATAAAATCTATGACATTATATTTTTTACAATCAAAACAAATCAAATACTTTTTTCAAATCCTATTAAATTATTTAAAATGGGATGTGTTTCAGGAGCTGAAATCAAACAGAATCCAATAGTTTAAATGAGAACTAGAAACTAGGATCTAGTCTTCACCTCTACAGAAGATATTTCTAGAATTTATTAGTTTGGCAAAGTACTTGGAGTGGGTTCATTTGGAAAAGTCGTTACCGCTAGAATGATAAAAAATTTGGAAAAACAATTCGCTATCAAAATCATAGAAAAAGCAAAGGTCAAAGGTCGTGAAGATATACTGGCTAATGAGATTTACATGCTCTAGAAACTAGATCATCCTAATATAATTAAATTTCATGAAGTTTACTAAAACAAATAAAATTTTTACATCTGTATGGATTATTGTAAAGGGGGAGAATTAGTTGAATGGATTCCTAAAAAGTACAAAAGCTTTCATGAACAGCATATTCAAGAGATAATGAAAAAGGTTAAAAAACATTATCATTATTAATTAGATTGTCTCTGCTGTTTCCTATATCCATGATCAAGGCATAGTGCATAGAGATATCAAAGCTGAAAACATTATGATTACGTCCAAAAAAGATGATGGAGAACCTAAATTGATTGATTTCGGACTGGCAAATAAGTTTGATACTTCTCATTTAAAGTATCATTTATAAAACATTTAATTCAGGCGACTGAAATCTTTTGCAGGAACCCCTATGTACATGGCACCTGAAGTAATAAAGGGATCATATGATGAAAAATGTGATATTTGGTCATTGGGAGTTCTACTGTTTACATTACTTTCTGGTCATTTGCCATTTCATGGAGAAACAAAGGAGGAATTATATGACAATATTTAAAAAGCCAATGTATGACTTATATCATATATAATAGATTTCATTTACTTCAACCATTTGGTCCCACATAAGTAATGAGGCTAAGGACATCATTAAAAAAATGCTTTCCAAATAACCTGGGTTAAGACCCAACTCTAAGGAACTTCTAAAGCACAGTTGGTTCAAAAAATAATTCAAGTCGGAAGATAAAAATTCATCAATATTAAATAATTCTCTCACTTCAAGCATAACTGAAAATAGATCGATTTATTCATTATTAAAATAAAATTAAGGAGGAGCTAAATTTAAAAAAGAAGTAAAAACTCTTTTAATCAATTAATTAAGTGAGGCAGAATTAAATTCATTAAAAGAAATATTTAAGAAAATAGATGTTGATAATTCTGGGACTATTACTTTTTAAGAGTTGAAGTAGGCTTTACAAGCTGAAGTATGATTTCTTTGTATTATCTCTTTAGGGTTCTCCAGCAACCTTTGAAGATATAGAGAAGTTAATAACTAATGGTGGTCCTCCGATATCACATGAGGAAGTTGGAAAAAAGAAAAAGGAGTTTATCATTAAATATAGTGAATTTTTGGCTTCTTGTATAGATGAACGGAAGTTCATTACTAAAGAGAAAGTAATACGCAATCTTATTCATAGTTATCTTCCTTATTTAAAATATTTGATACTGATAATTCAAATTTTATTACTAAATAAAATATTAAAGAAGCATTTGCAAGAAATGGAAAGTAAATTTCTGATAAACAAATTGATGAAATGATTGCTGAAATCGATCCTAATCATGACAACAAAATTAGCTTTGAAGAATTTTGTTAGATGTTTGACAATTCAGGTGTAAATAAAAACTTCACTGAGGATGGAAGTATGTATGCATGAAATCTAAAAATAAAAATTATTTATTTTAAATTTAAGTTCAATTATTTATAAATAAACTATTTATAATTATTACATACAACACACATTCATGAATTAGGATTAATCAGCTTTTGATAAAGTTACCCTATTTGCAGTTGTTTCCCTATCATTAGTAAGCTTTTTATTCTACGAATTCACATCAAAACCAGAACTTTATGGGGGGGAAGGGTGTGTTGCATTAAGGGAATGCGCATATTGTTTGGTTTGGCTATACATAATATATGTCATCTTAATATGGTACGTTTCTTATTGAATGTAAAACTAGCATATTGATTTAATGGAAACCCTAATCTGATTCCAAGGTTAAGCTCTACATATATGGAATTTTGCTAATTGGATTTGTCATTAGCAACATATTTTTAATTATTGAATATCAAAAAAATGAACCTTGCAATTTATTGAGATATGTCATTTTTTGGTATTTGATTCTAATGTCCATCACATTTGTTTTATTTATGAGTATAGTTGGAGCAATAATTTGTATGATGTGATTATATTGATTAATAATATTATTTATAAACAATGCAACAATTTATTAACTGAGAGAGATCATCTATTATTAAACTAACAACTTACGAATAGATAATATTGAAAGAAAATACTACATAATTTGTCATTAAGAAAATAGCTATAAAATAAGGAAGTTTCAACTAAAGATAAACAACTATAAATAAATAATTAGTAAAAGATATGAAAAATTATAATTGATGTTATTTAGTCAAAATCAACACCTAAATTCTATGTGAAATAAAGATGAAAAACAGCACATTTTTGAAAATCTAAATGAAAAATTAATTTTTTTCAGATGAAACACATTTAAATATGTCTTTTATTAATTTACAATTAAAATAAAGATCCATCAATTTTATGAAGAAAAAGTAGATCTGAAGTAGAGACACTACAAGCACACAAGGTCCTATGTTATGATAATTTTATAATTTAAAATAATTTTGACTCATAGACTTTCATATTTTTTCTGTCGACCAAGCAGAATTTCAGGATTAAGTTATTGAAGCAAAGGCGGAACTATTATAGCCATATTGGATTAAGGATATAAAGTTTTATTTAGAAAATTTGGATATTAAAGAGTTGGGGCTGTTCTCCCAGGATAACGAGAGTCATGAATGAAGTTGCAATTATCTCCTCTTGTACAACCTAAGGAAGAATGAAAATTGTGACAATGCTTGGTTTTGTAAGCTCTTAATCGAAGAGCTTAAACAGGATTGATAGTCTATAGCTACTCAAGTCTAAGTCTCTGTTAATCTTGCTAAGCTTTTACACGGTCAACTTCACTCATTATTGTTTATTTGTCATTCAATTTCACTTCAAGGATAGATTTAAAATTTTTAATATATTTTTCCTCACCAATATCCTTTAATTTTTATATAATATCATGTAATAAAGTTACTTAAATAATGAAATATAAATACGAATGCTTTCTTGGCTATGTTAATGTTTCTACTCAACCATTTAAACCAATTATTGCATTTTGGGTTGTAAATCTTGCTTAGCTTGATTGAGTACATCCTTTTGTTTCATTTATTCATCAGGAGGCTTTTTAAGAATTCCTTTAACTTGTTTCTTATTGGCATTTTTGTTCTTTTCTTCTATTTCTTTAAGCCCTCTGTTACAAATAACCGAGACCATATATATGAGATCCTCTCTTTTCGGTGGATCTAAATGGATTGTTTTTGGTTGCACGCCCGATTGAGTATTAGAAATCTCGTTATATCCTGGTTGATCTGGAATACTCTAAAGGTAATTAATATCTATATACATCTCTATTGTAGAATGCAGACATTTTAGATTCTGTTCTTTTCTATTAGATTGCCGTCTCAATGTAGTTGGTGTCATAGTTTATTTATTATTATAAAAACAATTCTAAAGATTAGGAGGTATATATAACTTGCAGGTTTGATAAATGGTATTTATTCTAACATCTATTGAATGTTATCTTGTTGTAATTTATGTTCTTATCCTTCCATTAATGATTCTCGATGCTTGATATTATATGCTCCATTTATTTAATTAAATCTCCTTAATTCACCAGCATATTGTTTCTGAAATTATGCAACTTCTTCCATGGTCATTCCTCTTTGATTAGGTTCGTCATCTCGCTTAAAATATTTAAAATTAAGTAGAAGTTCGTCTCTTTGAAATCTATTCAATTATGCACTCAATAATATTACCTAACAAACTTCTTCTTGCTCTTCTTTTTTTTATTAGATGATTCGCTTGAACTTGATGATTAATTTCTTTTTCCTTTCTTTTTACGATCTTCTTATTTATCCTTCTAATTATTGTTTCTTTTCCATTCTTCAAGCAATGGCTTGAATTTAATATAGCATCTAGACCATTACTATTATATTTGTTCAATCATATGAGATCTTATGTTATCAAAAAGTTTTTTATCTTTGATTTTTAATAAAGGTTTAGCAATTTCAGATTCCCTAAGTATTTCTTCGCTTAAATTCATCCTCAATATTAAAGTGAAAATTTTATCTATCAAATCTTCATTCAATTAGATAGATTTCAAGGCGTCTTTTAAGTACTGCGTTATTATTTTCATTGAATTAGATTATGCAAACCTCAAATTAATAATAAGGAATACAGATCTAAAAAATCAGATGTTTGTTAAATCAAATAATTCAGCCATTGAATTTTAGATTAGAGAGTCACAGCAGACTTCAACTACAAATGGAGCCTTTTCAAGTGTTCCTTAATTTGTATTTGATAATCCATCGAATTTTATATTTATTTATATTATCATTATTATTCTTATTCTTGAATGTATTAAATCAATTCTCTATTTTTCAGCAACTGTTCAATCTCCATCAATTCATTGACTTCTTCTATTAAAAAGGCTTCCTTCTAATTAAATAGCTCATTCTCCAATCTTAAGTCTTCATCAAGAATAACAAGTTCCTACTCAATACGCTTCTTAGATTCTGTGATTGCACTAATGTCCCTATTCTCTATTTGCAACTTCTATGTTGATTCTAGTAATTGACTTTTCAATTTGAGAGTGTCATTCTTTAATTCATTGATACTCATTTCAAGCTCATCAATCTTGTCAGTATTTAGACTATTAAGTTCTCCAACTAACTTATTTCTTAAAGAAATCAAGAGTTCTTGCACCTAATTTGTGATTCCCAATGCTTACTTATTTATAAGTTGATTTGTCTGCAAAATTGCTTTTTATGCCAATTTGTGCTATTTGTTTTAGCATAGGTAAATCTAACTTGATATGCTTAATAGTAGATTTTCCAAAATTCTCAATTATCTCATTAACCTTCCCTCTTTTTTAGAAGAATTTAATGCCCACCTTCTCTTCATCATATACAATAGAATCAATTGTCTGTAGCATTTGATCTATTTAGCTGATGTTCAAATCATATTCATCAATCAAAGAACTTAAACTAAAATTATCAATGTGCATGCAATACCTGTTCTGCATTTTAATCAATTGAACCTCCTTTTAATCAATCGTTTTATAATTTTGATTGATCAGTTGATTTAGTCGTGTTATTTTTTATTCATGGAACTCCCTTTCTTTCTCTTAAGGCCCATCAATAAAGGATGACTATAGCAAATCTAAATCTAAGAGTTGTGCTTTCAATTACTGCATAGATTAATATATTTATGTCTTCCTACTAATATGAAAATCTTGCAAATTTGAATATTCTGATTCAAAATCTTCTATGGATTATTCAATCAATTAATTTATCTGTGGCTAATCTAGTTATAGCATAGAAATAATCAAAGATCCAATTTATCGTTTTTCAATGCGATTTACATATTATTAATATTTTTGAGTTTCCCTCTTGCTAAGATTCATAGCATGGTTAGAGGTCACTAAAATAATAACTACAATTTAGGATAGTAAACTTACGTACATAAGAATATTGCCAACATTAATATTAATAATAATAATTATAAAATAGAAAAATAATAACGATAAAATTATAGCGATTATTAGTAATTTAAGAAATGCAATAAAACACAAACCTTTAAAATAGGAAATAGATAACATGCTTCAGACGAAGGTAGGTATAATTAAAAAGGGAGCAATATATCTTTTGGTTTGAATTCATTGGAAATTTCATGTGTCTTTTAGTATTTATGCTAGCAAATACATATGTCTTTCTATAAAGCTAAGTTAATAATCCCTTTGTTTTTGCTTGTGTTTATGGAATGTTAATTTTGGTGGCTTAAAATAAAAAATGTACTTTCAATCTTGCAATTATAACTGTGTTATCAGGACAAGATAACGGATTATGGGTATCAGTGGCAATTGGTAGTTAATTTGGAGGAGCATTTTTGGCAAGTTTGTTTAGATTTCTGTGTTTTAAGAATTAGTAAAATATTTATAGACTACGAACATTAGTGTGAATGATGTTTCATACATAGCCTAAACAAATATTGATGCACATTTTGTAGTGATCTTTGGGGAAATATTCGGTTCTTTATTTCTTTACGCAGGATTCATATTTTAATATGATGATATAATGGGTTTGTCATCAGATAGGTTAGAACATAGCATAATAATCTGAATACTTAACGATGTAGCTAAGAGTAGTTTGAATCCAGCCATCGCATTGGGATAGGTGATGTTTTGTAGATGACTAGCTTAGTGTTGTTTGAATGTTGTAAGGATGGATACTGGTTAGATTTTGGAACTTATGGATTTACTTGGTTTTGCCATTTTTTGGGGCATTTTTCTCTTTGGCTCTCATTAGGGCAAATTACAAAGACTGCTATGAATAATAATTTAAGACTATGAATAGATAAAAATCTTTATAGAAATACATATATATAAATTATCATTGTTATTATAGTTATTTGTAATATGCTACTGATTAATTATATAACAATGTATATTATTGAATTTCATCTGCAGTTCTTTCTTATGAGTTAATTATGGCTCTAATCTAATCACAGGCTGATACCAAATTTCCTTATCTCACTAATTCAATAGCATACCTTATCTTTTATAGTAAATCCTAAATATTATTTTATTAACATACTTCCTAAGCGAAAATTTACTACATTTCCATCAAGATATATGTTAAGGTGATAGCCATAGGATCCATGGACTATTAGGTTTAAAGAAGTTATTGCTATTGTTATTATTGCTATTATTGCTATTATTGTTATTATTATTATTATTGTTATTGTTATTATTATTGTTATAATAATTAGATTTATTATTATTATTACTGTTGCTGTTATTACTATGTTGTTTAGATTTGTACATCAGAATCTATTTGGTATAATTAATAAATGCATACCGTGCACGTATTGACAACCTGCCCCATTCTTACAAAAGTTGAGTTGATGATATTTACAAGGTACTTTTTTATTTCTTATTCATACTTTTAAACAGAGGTGATTAATTTTTTTATTGTTGTTCAATTGTTGTTGATTAGGGTGCAGTAGTGATTGATGAAAGTGCTGAAGCAGGCAAAGGATCTTTGGATTATGTTAAAATCTTTTACCATTCATTTGCCTTTATTCTTCTATCCCATGAGCAAATTAGCATTTCGAACCTATGGCACATTATTTGGTTGCTATTTTTATAGATTGAGCGTACATACCTTAATAGTGTCGGCAGAGGATAGTTTTATACTTTGCATTTGGAACTGTTGTGCTCTATAGTTGATTGATCCCAAATTAATATGACATTAATAATTAAAAAAAATTATAAGCGGAAAACCATGTCTTCAAAAGAATCTCGTAGAAGGTCAAACAGAAGATCCCATAGAAAACCCAAATGGTATTCCTGAAAATTCAACCATAGTTCAACAAGTACATCAAGTATCACGGATGAAGGATCAAATGGAAGCTCCTCAACTGATGATGATAAGCATTACAGATTTCGAAAGGGCGAATATATTAAAGATTATAAAGTAAGAAGACACATTTCTGATGGAACTTTTGGAAGAGTCTTGAAAGTCAGGAGAAAAAGTTCAAAATCCTATGCAATGAAAATTGTGAGAAGTAATCATGCAGAAAGTGCTTAGTAAGAGGCAGATATACTCTTTTATTTGAAAAAAAAAGATTTAAATAGATACTTTGTTGAAATAATTGATAGTTTTTATCATAGAGGATATTATTGTATGGTCTTTGAAAGAGTATTGTTTGATAAATATTGATTTTTTAGCTTGGACCTAGTTTATATGATATGCTAAGAATGAATTAAAATCGTGGAATCCCAATGAATTTGATTAGATGCATAAGCAGATAATTATTAAAATGCATTGGGCATTTGCATGATCTAAGATTGACTCACACGGACTTAAAACCAGAGAATATTCTTTTTAGTAGAATACGTTAGTTATAAAAAGGGCAAAATGATATGTAAGAAATACATTAAATTATACTAGGTATTTACCAGCAGATCACAAGATCAAGATTATTGACCTCGGTGGAGCGGAGTTCGATGATGAAGACCATAATTGTATAATTAATACACGTCAATATAGAGCTCCTGAGGTTCAGTTGTAGTGTTGTAAATGGGATTACAAAAGTGATGTTTGGGGAATAGCTTGTATTATCTTTGAACTGTACACAGGTAGGAATGAGATTTAAAATATTAGGTCATTTACTATTTTAAACGAGAAAAAATGAATACGAACATATGGCGTTGGTTGAGAAGATTACAGAATAGAACTTTCCTTATTGGATGGCAAGCAATGTGAAAGGTAGTTTAAAGTATTGTTTCAATACAAAGAATGTCACCAATGGAAAATACTATCAATGGCCTTAAGGAACGACTGCAAAGGATAGCATACTCAAGGTCCAGAATCAAAAAACTCTAAGGGAAATGATACTTGATCCATTACTAAGAGATTTGTTATAAAAGATGTTAGAGATAGATCCTAATAAAAGAATTAGTTGCTTCCAAGCATTAGATCACAAATTCTTTTGTAATTGATTTGAACAATTATTTTGTTCTAATAATATTAAATATTATTTTAAGAAATATTTAAAATATATTTTTAAGCAATATAGATTCATATTTATGAATTTAGAATGAAACAAATCAAGTAGATAAAAAAAATGGAAATTATAAATACACATGGATATGAAGACTCATTCTAATAATAAACTTAAACTATGTTTAATTTAAAGAACTAAATGCTTAGAGACAAAAGTAGTTACGCATTGATTGAAATGCAAGAACAGAGAACAAAATCACTAATGAAAAGTTTTGGTATAGTTAAGCATAATTCCTACAGAATATCTTGAAGATAGAAGTGAAAAAAAAGGGAAACAAACGTAAAACATATGTTAATTTTTCATTTGATGTGAATAAAATTGAATATTAGTTATTAGGAAGAGTTAGTTTAACACTAAAACTTCAATTGTATAAACATCTATAACAAAATTTATAAATCTTAATCTGGATTTTGCAAACTTGAAGACAAAAGACAAAAATATGAAAACTTTGAGTTTTCTGTTATTACAAGCATAATTAATTTATTGAGAAATCATTTAGAAATAAAAAAGGGAGTAGCAATTAGAGGATTGTGATTAATATAATATATCATTAATATCAAAAATTATAAATATTTCAATATTTTACTTTTCATTAGTCTTTTCATTTTCTTTGAAATTATGATTGATTCCTGTCCACCAACTTCATTATAAATATTGTTTAAAATTTAAATTGATCCAAATCATTTTCCCTTATTTGATCATAGTAATCATCTTATTCATCTTCGTTTTTTTAAATCAATGCTTTTTCAGAAACTACTTCTTTTGAACATATTTCTTTTAGAAAATCTTCAGAGTGCTTTTGTTTCCAATGTACTTTGCATGAATCTTCATTTTATTTATACTACACGAAAAAGCTATCTAATTAATTATATAAAACTGTGGGGCATTCGAATCTTGCAAGTTCCTTTCGGTTGAGATGTCTTAAACAGATTCGTTGTCGTGATTTGGTCTTATCTTCTGTATTCCTTCGTCTAATTTAAAATTCAGTCCTAATTTTTTTGTGAACACTGGAATTTTCACTGCCCGAGTTTAATTTTATTATTCTTCATTTTATATTTCTGCCTTTTCTTCATTTGAGATTTCTTATTTAACTGCACAGGAATTGCCCATGATAATATTTTTATATTAAAATTATTCTGATTTAATACTAAAAAGCAATATTGATATTTAAATTTTGTAAGAATGCAAATAATATCCTATTTAACTTTAACAGGTTTAAATTTCTTTGTTGAAAAATAAAAATTAATATATTCCAGAATGACATAATAAAAAATAAAAATTTAATAAATATAAGTATAATATATATAATTGATTAATTTGAAGAATCAATAAAATTTGTTATGGGGCATCTGAGTTTGAGAATAAAATTGAATGTCTCTCCAAATAAAAATTAATCTCTCATTTGAACAGTTTATTGATGTTCTTCTAATTATAAATTTACTGATTTAAGAACATATTAATAATATAAATAGATAGAAATATATTTGAATTTAGTAAGTAAATTGATGAAATAAATAATTTTTATTTATAAAACATTTATATTATCAGTTATTAATTTAAATAATGAATAATTAGTCTTCAAAATCTGTACGGTTCAATGAAGGTCATAAAGTATTACAACCTGTCAATACTAATACCACAAGTTCAGGATCAAGCAAATTGTCTAAAGTGACCTCAGCTATTCAAGAGTTGAGAACATCTTTTAATAATTAAGCACAAAAGCTTACATCTTCAAGAGTGTCAGATCAATTAAATGAATCAGTGGCTACCGTAACAAGAAGTCCAGGACATTCATGTGCTCCAAGCATATGTTAGCCCTGTTAACCAATGTGTCAACCAATGTATTCATCTGTCTGTTAACCATAATTTATTTGTTAACAACAACCTGTTTGTGCCCCTTAAGCATATGTAGTTTAGGGAGGGAATAACTAGAGACACCTAGAGAAAGAGATCAAGAAATTGAAAAAATAGAATAAGAAGTTGAAAGAAAGCAAGGAAGAAATAATAGTGTCTACCATAGCCGAGACTCCAAAAAAACATAGACCATAATAACATGCGTAAGATCCTGAAATAGATACAATCAAAAGAGAAATTCAAGAAATGGAGAGAATAATACGATAGATGGAATAATAGCCAAAACAATAAAGCAATTCGGAGATAGAATTGTATATAGAGGACAATAAGAAATGTCTGAAAAAGATGTGCAAAAAGATTAAATCACTCGAAAAGGAACTTTACGAAGTAGGTCGACAAAGGGATGAAGCCTTAATAATAAAACAATAGTTGGAAAGAGAAAACCAAGAAATGTTTGATAGGATAGGGGAATTAGAATCATTACTCAAAGTGGCTGATAAAAAGTAATTGTCATTATTAATTTAAGAGTCTTTGACTTAACAGTTTAATTAGAAAGATAAAATGGTTACGTTAAGTAATTAGAAGATGAAGTAGAGAGGTTGAGAAAGAAAAAGAAGAAGAAGCAAATTGAAATTCAAGAAAGAGTTGTTGAAAAGATAGTCGAGAAACCAGTTGAGGTAGTTAAAACAGTACATGTTAATCAACCTCAACAAGTGCATGATGTGAAACCAGTTGAGATCATCAAGGAAGTCATTAAAGAAGTGCCCTCTGAACCTAAAATTGTGGAAAAGATAGTTGAAATACCTAAAATTGAATATGTTTATCAGCAAGTTCCTTAGTACATTGAAGTTCCAAAAGTGCAAACTGTTGAGGTTCCAGTAGTTTAAAGAATTGAAGTTCCTTATGAGGTTCCTTATTATCGAGATGTTCCTTATGAAGTGATCAAGGAAGTTCCTTATGAAGTTATTAAAGAAGTGATCAAGGAAGTGCCTTATGAAGTGGTTAAACAAGTCATCAAGGAAGTGCCCTATGAGGTGATTAAGGAAGTTCCTGTTTATATTGAAGTACCTGTGGATAGAGTAGTGGAAAAAAGAGTTGAAGTGCCTGTTGAAAGAATAGTTGAAGTTCCTGTTGACAGAGTTGTAGAAGTACCTGTGCCATATGAAGTTCCTTATCCTTATGAAAGAGTTGTTGAAGTCCCATATGAGAGAATAGTGGAGGTTCCATATGAAAAAATAGTGGAAGTTCCCAGAGATAGATATGTTGATAGATATATGGACAGATACATTGATAGACCAGTAGATAGATATGTGGAAGTACCAGTTGAAAAAAGAGTTGAAGTTCCTTATGAGAAAATTGTTGAAGTGCCAGTCGAAAAGATAGTTCATGTGCCTGTAGAGAAGATTGTTGAAGTGCCTGTCGAAAAAATAGTGGAAGTTCCTGTTGACAGATATGTAGATAGATATGTGAGGGATGATCAAGAATTAGAAATGTTGAATATCGAGAATAGGGAATTACAAAGAATCATAGGTATTTGGGAGGATAGAGCCAACAAATTAGAAAATGAAATTATTAAAGAAAGAAGAATTTCTGATAAATTAAGATTTGACATAGAAGAACTAGAATATATGGTAGAAGAAGGCAGAGCATTCAACAATTAATAATAAGAATAATTTAGACACTATTTGAAGGAATTAAAATCAAAATATGAAGGCAAAATCATAGAGGCTAGAAAAGGAGTCGTCATTAAACACCATGTTATTCCATCAGAAGTTCAATAGACAGTTCCAACTTTTATTTAATAACCTATATAAACAGGCATTTCTTAAAACTTGCCTCAATTTGGTGGATAAGTGCTTAACTAATGATTTATTAAACATATATAAATTTTATTATACTTTAATCTTAATAACTAGTTAACAAAATTAATAATTATCTCAAATCTTCTAATAATATTGATGTACTTATCTTATTTCAATTAATTATATATTTGTATTTAAATATTAAAAAAAAGTGATTATTATCATTATTGTAACCAATTTTCTGGAATGATTTGAAAATTATCATCTTCAGTATAATTTATCAATTTCCCATATTACCAAATTCCGACTTTTTTTTTTCCATCTGGATATATCATCATTCCTTTCCCATGTTACTTTCCGTCTTTCCATGGGCCTTAATATTATTTACAATCTGGCCAATAAAATATTCCGAAACCTTATTTTTTATCATTCTAATATTCACCGTCATAGCATTTCCCGTCCTTCCAAATGTACTTTCCTCTACCATGCATTTGATTATAGGCCCAACTACCGGAGTAAGACTGGAATTATTATCTATCAACATACCCTTCCATCAGGCCAATCATATCTTCCAAACCCATGAATTTTGTTATCCTTCCATTCTCCAACATAAACACAACCTTAATACCACTTGTAACATCCTTTACCACATTTTTTACCTTCTTTAAAGTGGCCTTCATAAATAGAACCATCTGGCCAAGATTCAACACCGAATCCATCAGGTTTGTTAAATAAAAACTAACCTTCAAAAATAGGCCCATTTTTATTGTTATAGATTCCTTTGCCATGCATTAAATTATCTTAGAAATCACCTTCATAATAGTCTCCATTTTTTAACCATAATTTTCCATTTCCATTAGCCTAACCATCTTTGATTTATCCGAAAAACTTGGAATCATCGTCCATTTATAATTCTTCTAATTTTTGATATTCAGATGGTATTGTATGTTAACTTTCTTTTTACATCTTAGAAAATTGAATGCTTTTTTCTTCCATAGTTTTATTTATTGTTGTAGAAGGTGGATAATCTATAAATAATTGAATACTGTTTCTACTTGGATCACTTTCAAAACTATCCTCAAGATCTTCCAATTAAAAGTTGTGTTTGCGTTCTGGAACTATATTAGCAAGAATGAATTCATTTTCATCATTGATTTGACATTTAGAACACTAGTGACCCATAAAAAATTATTTTAATTTACTAAAAAAATATATTCACTGGTTGAAGGATTCAACAATCAAAAAATAATTAAATGAATCAATATCATAAAATAATTCATAAATATGGAAGTTAGAATTCTGATTGCTTAAAATGAGGCTAATTAAATAATAAATAAGATTTACAGTTTAATATTTGATATCTTACTATGAATATGTTCTCCTTTTAGGATGTGTAGGCATATCATTAGAGTTTAGAGAATCTGTGTTAGTATGAGTTTGGTGAATCATTCTTTGATAGTAGATTGGAGTCAACTTCCCGGATTATTTGGATTATTGACTGGAAAGAATTGATTTGTCCAACAAAATTTGAGTAGAGTCTCTAGTAACATTTTTATATTGCTGAAGTTTTCTTAGAATAGATTTTGGTAAATGATCTCCAGATTAATCTAATATTTCATCTCTGTCATTCTTATCATTTTTTATTGTCGAAATATTAGTGAAATTGCACAAATTACCTTATTATTGTTATTATTAGAATAAACTTAATATTCCTTCTTCAAAACTTCTGCCACCTGTATAATCTATTGATTATTGATTCTCATCAATAAAATCAAATTGAATATCAAATTATTATTTTGCTTTTTTTATGTATTTCGATTATTGGCTTTTCAATTATACTAAATCTTTTTGTTTTTTTGTTCTTGGGGAAATTAATTAATTTATTTTGTTACTCTTAGTTTATATTTCACTAAATATTTTTTATCTGACTTAATTATCTATCAAACTCAAGTTCTTGTGCCATTTAATATGATTTTGCTCTATCTTAGGCAAAGTCATTATGGAACTATGATGAGGTAAAGATTTCCTTTTGACTCTCTTTTTTAACAACAGAGAATCCTCATCCCCTTTGTTCTTTGTATCTTCTAATTTCTAATTCATTTAAGTGATAAACTCTGATGTTTCTGGGTCAATCTTTTAAACTCCTTCGTAATCCTACTTTAATTCACTCAATTTTCTCCTTGCTTGTTAAACTTATAAGTTATTGTCCTATTATTCGATGTCATCATAGGGTAATTTCATTATTTCTTTTATTTTATCAAACCTCTCTATCTTACTTTTACTTTAATCATTAATTTATTATATCAGCTCTTCTCGATTTGAGACAAAGCTTAAATGCGAAATTAAACTCTTATAATATATAGGTAGATATCCTTCTTCTAAGTTCTTCCTCACTTTCATTGCAACTTAGGTAAATTCTAAAAATTTAATACAGATTTACATTCTCCTACTTCCTAATCAAGAACCGATTTTTAAAACTCTTCCAAATCAATCCATTCTATTTTAATAATACATTTATACTGCTCTTATCTTCATCAATCTTTTCAAACAGCATTCTTACTTAATTTCTATTTATGCTCATTCCACTCTTCACACAAATATCATATAATTTATCAATTGCTAATTTATCTATTAATATTTCTAATTTATAATACTTTCTTTCTTCTTATCCAAATTCTCAAATATAACTTATGCTCTCTCTTACTGTTTGATTTCCTCTGGTAAATACAAATAATTTCGTTTTACTTTTTGAGGAAATCTATATTAAAAACCAGAGTTTACCTCTTTTTATACCAATCTAAGATGTCTGATGTTTATAATTTAGATCTTTTCATTATATTTTTTTTATTATTTTTTATTAATTATATATTAATATCAAAATTTAAGTATATTTTTCATAATTGCAATTATTCCTGCTTTTTTCACATAATTTTTCTCATATGATTATATTCTGACCTTAACATTTGACTAAATACTTCTCTTTTTATTGTTTCATCTATTCTCTTAAGACCTATGGCTCTGATGTAAATTGTTAATAATTTTAAGATTCTATATATGAAGGCTTTTAAATTTGAATCAATTAAAAAAAATTATACTTATTGCATAAAATAATTATGAATAAATTTGAAGACGATTTGAAATATGCTCAAAAAGCCAATGGAAATGAGTTTTTAAACTGGCTTTAAAATCTCAGCTTTGAACTCATAACATAAAAAGAATATTCATACGGTTAAGAGTTCTTGAAATTTTAGCATCAAGTCTATGAATTAATATTCAAATAAGATGGGATATTAAATAGTAGTTTTCGAACAACTCAAATGCGATTTGGATCTATAGAGGATACCCTGTTTTTTATCAAAATTCTTAATGTCCTTTCACCAAATGAGTAATCATTTTATCAATCACTGCCTTCTGAATATCCTTTTAATCCAGTTCAAATTGATATATTGCCTGCTCATTTGTAGCTGTTTTTGAAGGATCCATCTATCGTTAACATGAATTCATCATTTCAAACATTCTAAGAAATTTTCCAAGAAAATATTTTGGTTGAAAAAACTCAACTAAAATTTTGTGTTAGCGCTAAAATGATGTTTTGGATTTATTTATTAAATGGTGCTGTAAATTTTAAAGAAAGTGCTTTACATGCCACTGAAAATAGTCAAAAAATACTTGATTGTGCATTTAGCAAATGCAAAAAGAAATTCAACACCAAAGACTTTTTATTAAAATAGCTTACTTTCAATCCATATTTAATTTTGATAAGAAGAATTATTGAATATATGGTTTTGTAGATCAAGCCTGGAAATCCAATTTAACATAATTAGAATAAGCAAGTTACTATTTTCACATTCCAATAGATGATAATACTATTATAAGAATATTCTATGTATGAACATTTATATGTATCAAAATTGCTTGATTTAAATCTAACAAATGAATAATAAAAGTTATTCTATAAAATCAAACCAAGCAGTGTCATATTAGATACTCAAATGATGTTAATATTCTTAACCATCTTCTTTAATAATAGATATGGATAAGACTTAGAAGCTACATACTCATAATTTAAACATTTTATCAAGAGTACAGATATCCTCAACAAACAAAGTCAAATCTATTATTAAAATAGAGGGTTCTTTTTTGAATGCGGAAGACAAAAACAGCAAGTTACTTACTAATAAGGATTATATAAATTTTTATAGAATTCATTTGAATCCTATCATAACGAAAGATAATGCAATTAAATTTCCTTGCTTTCCCATTTATCGACTTATGTATTATTCTTGAGATAGTAATTTGCTGTCTATGAGATTTCGATATATAATTAGGTCTTGATATTCGATTAAGCACTATTGTCTTGTTTAATATCACAAAATACTATACTAAATTAGCTTTCCAAACAATAAAATTTCTAATACAAAAGTAACAATCCAATTGCTCGATTTATCTTAAGTGAATTGTAACCGATTTATTAATTATGCAAAAACAAATTCGGATATTGTCCTCAAGCAATATTGTTTAAGGAATTTAGACCTTCAAATTTATTATAATGTATAGATTCAAAATTTAATTCACATGAATATGAAATTAATTTCCATTTTAGAGAATTGGATTAATATCGAAATCAAATGAAAAATCTATTAAGAGTACATTATCCATTTTACACTAAATTATTAATTACAATTTTTAAATGCATTAATAATCTAAGCTATTTAAGTGATACAGAATATTAAGGAATAATGCATTTGCTTACATTTATATATTCTTAGGATCAAAATTCATTTTTTTGTGACCTATTGAAGTGTTAATAAAATCAGCCTTATTAAAATCCTGCATATTTCGAAGTAAAAAATTTCTGTGATATATATATCAAAGACAGCAAAGAGGAAGACTTTTTGATAAAATAAAATGAAAACACTCAAAAATGGATATAGCAAATCATTATCTAGCTTATGCAATATCAACAGCAGAAGAACATAAAAAATGATAAAATTGTAAAATATTTAGGAGAATAATTTAACATTCAAATGTCTGCTATCAAAGTAGTACCCATGAGGAATTTAAGTCCTTCCAAAAGCACAGGGAGGTTGTCAAGAGCTAAAATGTAAATTTATTCATTATATATAGTCAAATTAATTAATGGAAAGCACCTTTGAGGGATTATGAGTTTTATTTCCTCTTTGTCTTGATGTGGTATTTGAGCTACTGTTTAGACAAGCTTAGAGGTTAGCAAATAGATGAATTTCCATTAACTCAGTGGCCAAGAAAATTTGCTTCGCCTGTGAATCTTTTCATTGTGTCAATTCTTACATACATCGTGATAACTTTAGTCTTTATGCTCTTTTGACATATATTTGTTTATCATTTATAATTTTAAATTCATTCTCATTTTAATTTCATGAGTGAATAAACTGTCAGTTCAACAGCAAAAAATATATAAAACAATATTGAAACAAAATAATCCACTTATGTCACTTAAGTTTTAAACCACTTTGTTTCTGTAACTACAGCTTAAATGTATTTACAATCTTTGACATGCTGTCAATCATACTCATAATTTAATGGCACTAGTCCAGTTTTTTCATTATTTCTATAAATTCTTTCTCTGAAAGGGGTCCATCTCGGTTTTTACTCTTTTTTCTTAACTTTTTGGCCTTTAGAAGCTTCTTAGAACATTAGATTTCTTCCTCATCATCTGAAGAGAGTTTTCTTTGGTGATTGAGATAGTTGAAATCAGCAAAATCGACCTCAAAAGATTTTTCATTTTCATTCTAGAAGCAGTCATCCTGAATAGAAGGTTCAGGACTCTGCATTCTAAATAAAGTTTTATTGAAATTCAATTTAGAAAGGTATTGATGGCATTCTTCTTGTATCAAATAATTGTTCTCTTAAGGTTGAGGTAAGTTGTCATATAAGAAAGGGCTGATATCCATTGAGAGATTTTATAAAATATCTAAATTATTAATTGAAAGATATTCAAAATCGCCTTTATGATGACTTGAGTTGATTAATTATTAAATCTTGATTTTGAACTATTTAATATAATTGATGCGTATTAATTCAAACTGCATAATTAATATACTGAAAATCCTGTATATATAACTCTATGTATTCTTTATTAGAATTGCTCTACCATTTTGAATCTATCAACATCAATTCTACCATGAGTTCTAGATCTATACAACTTTTAATTTCATTATTTATTTTTTATATATTGTCATAATTTAAAAATAAGATATTATTTTTTTTTTACCTGTTATAAAATCAATTATGTACAAATAGTTTTCTTTCTATATTGACTTAAAATTTCTTTTTTTATAGAGAGCAATAGATTCTAAAATTTCAAGCACTCATCTCAATTTTTTTAAATTATGTATTTATTTTTACTTTTTCATTAAAATAAATAAAATTAGTAAATTTTTCGAAGATTTGTTCAAAGAGTATGCTATTAGTATTATGATATGTTTTTTAAATAATATTGATTTTCAAATCTTCTTATAACTCAAGTGTTTTTGTATTTTTCTTTACTGTACTAATACTTTGAGGATGATATTATGTACAGTAGATTATAGGAAGTATTTAGAGATGCTTGATAAATTTGTTGGATATGATGAAAGAAAAGGTATTGATGGAATGTATAGAATTTATGAAAGGAATTGATCAAAAAGCTTAGATTTAAGGGAAAATGGAACTTGATAAAAATAAAAAAAATTGAGTTTTTTCATTCAAAGAAGAAGAAAGGGTTATTTTTAATCCATAATTATCTTTTTTTTCACCCAATTCTTCAACTAATTGTCAACTTTGAAGATGGATTTTAATTTATTGTAAGATCTGGAAAAATAAATATTACTGATATCAATTTTTATCTTTGAGTAAAAAAATTGTACTTCTTTCCCTTGAATTAAAGGCCTTGATTAATTTCTTTCATAATTTCTATACATGCCATCAATACCTTGTCTTTCATCATATCCAACAAATTTATCAAGCATCTCTAAATACTTACTATAAATTAATAAAATATTAAAATATCTTTTATATTTTCTCATCATATAAATAGCATATTTTTACTCTGCTTATGCGAAATTAAAAAAAAAGTAAGATCCTTCATTTCGTCTTTTCCTAATCGGTTAAAAACTGTTTTTGATTAAAGGTTAATAGAATTTTGTCTTTTTATAATTAAAAACAATTTAGAATCCAAATAAACCTACAATATGATTACATTTAGTATTAGTGATCTAAAAATTGCAAAATAAGTGGAATAGATGAATTCTTAGTGAAAATATTATTATACAAACTTATAAATAAAAGTCAAGATATAAAATCATTATGATGTCAATAGAATTTTTCTATAATCCAATTATATACATGAAATTCATTCAAGTTATATGGTATTATTTTTTTTAATTACTTTAATTATGAAACAAGAGCAGTAATTAAATATTAAAATAGTAACATACAACTATTGAATTTAAGAAACAAATAAAATTTAAGGTTGCCCCTTCTTAAAAAAAGTGATAATAGGTTAATAAAATTATGTTTTATTTATTTTAAGTCAAAATATATTTCTATCATTGGAAATTGAATTTTATTTTATAAAACATATTACTTCCAAAAACTTTATAAATGTAAAGAAATAAAATAACAAAAGGATTGCATCTAAGACTTTCAGTCAAATTAGAAGTAGACCCTAATCAGGCATCATCTATGATACTAAAAAACTTGATAAGGTGTCTCCAAAGGGTTTAAAGGTGGTTATTCTTGGAGCAGGTGAATAAAATGATTTAGACAAATTTGTATTGAAACCATCCCCTAATAAGTTTAGAACACTATCTACTAGAAAAACTAATGTTATCAATGATAGTTCTGTCACATAAAGTAAATCCACTCATACAGAAATTTTAAAGTACTTATTTCAAACTAATGAATTAGAAATTCACCTGTTGTGCAAGACCTCAGTAAAAAAATACCTGTTAACATGGCTAAGGATAAAGTAATTACAGTATTTTTTAAGACTAGGATGACTTATATGCAGAAACTGTTTATTTGAAAGATATGATAAACAAGTTAACTTAAGAAAACTATGATCTTAAAGCAAAAATGAGATTTTTGAATAAAAATACAGAGCGAATGTAAACTGTTGTGCAAAATGTAGGTGGGTATTTGCAGCAGAAATACGTTGCCGATAAGTAGGATTTAGCTTTGATGACTAAATTGGGAATAAGTGAAGTATTAATCTAAAAATTATTTCATTTAGAATTTATTGACAATAACTTTAAAGAAACAAATCAAAGAGTTAAGAACAATGATAAAATAATAGAATGAGGAAATATCAAATTTGAAGCACGATATCAAATACACTAAAATTTAAGAATTGGAAAAAGAAATTAATGTATTTTAGGAAGAAACCCTCAGATTGAAGACACTATTAGAATAATCTTAAAGAAATGAATAGATCATTTAAATGACTCATGATTTTAATTAATTTGAGCATAAATTCTACCTTTAAATGCAAATCATAAATTCCTTAAAGCAGGAAAACTCATTTTATTAAGGCCAAATCACAATTGAATAGGAAGAGAAGTTTAAGCTCCAAAATCATATGGAAACTAATTAAAAACTTCTAAACAAATAAAATTAAGTGATTGATGATCTTCAATAAACTCTAAAAGATAAATCGACTTACATTGAGGGACTCTAGCAGGAATTAGATTCTTATAAAGATATAAATTAAAATTTAATCTCAAAAGCGAATAAATTAGATAATAACCAATTAAGAATAATAGGATTGATAAAAATTGAATAAGAATTAAGAAAAGAGTTATAGTAGAAAACAAGGGATATAGAATATTTAGATAAAACAACAACTGAGTTGAAATAAAAGTTAAATGAGAAATCTACAATAGAAGCTAAAATAAAGGATCAATTATAGGATGAATTGAAAAAGCTTAAGTTGGCTTATGAGGAACTAGATGAAAAGTATAAACATTTATTATTAATAAATGCTTAATCTAAATTAAAAGAGACTGCTCCCTCTATATAATAGAAGTAGGCTCAAACAGCAGCAACTGTAAATTTAAAGACTTAGAGACCATTAAATTAATATTATACTCCGGATAGTATCAATTAGGATAAAAATTAATAGTAATAAAAATTTAAGGTTATCAAAAAAGATGATGTAGATCATTTAGGATTTGAATTAAACTATAGATTGAGAACTAAAAAAATAACGCTAGCAGATGCAATTGAAAAATATTTATTTGACAATAAAAACAAGAAGACAGGAGAAATTAAATTAAAAGAGGTTTCAGAAAGAATGTAGAAGGAGCCTTTCTTATTAATAGATGAAGACTCAGCTTTATTGGTAGCCAGATATCTTACAGAGGATAATTCTTAGGAATTTGTTGTTTATAATGATTAGTTGACTTAATCTACAACTATTGTTAGAAGTATATTGTAAAAACTGATTGGCAATTATGAAATTTTAACAAATGAGATTGAAATCTAAAAAACAAAGGAGATAACACAAGTATATTATTAATATTGATTATTAGATTATTGGTAAGTATAAAAATAGTTTGAAATAATATTTTGATTAATTGACAAGCAAATATGAAGGATTATTAGAACGAAAACAAATTATTGAAACTTTTGAATATATGGGTATCGATTTAACTCAGGATTAATATGATTTCTTATTTTTGAGATTATTCTCATATTCGAATAATACGTAGATATTCCCTTACATAAGAATATTTGAGATCTTCCAAGAGGTTTAAATAGAAAGAAGTAAATATTTAATGATAAGGATATAGTTGATAGTGATAAAAAGAAGAAGTCAAGGAAGAAAGAATTTAAAGATTAAGGGGATAATAAAAATAGGAAGGTGGAGATATTTACAAGAAGACAATCTATGGAATTAGCGAATTGAGTAAATTTGTATTAATTTTTAATTTATTGTTATCAAAAAGAAATCAAATTATTTCTGACAACTATTCCACGAGTTTATCAAAATACAAGCATCTTTCATTCTCATTGATATATTCCCATTCCTACCAAAAGTTATCAAAATAAATTCTAACAAACCCTATTTTACTATCTAATTCAAATTAACCCAAATCTTTAAAATATTCATTCATCTGTAATGGAGTAATTTACTGACTATTTTTATAAATTTAATAATGATAGGACAAAGAGTTCTCATGTTTACACATGGAATCTAGTCTATTGGTGGGTAATTTGAAGTAAACCAAAGAAATAGTAATATTTCTACAAAAACAAAACTCTTCAATATCCTTGCTGAGGATACTCACTAATTCTTTGGCAGCATTTTGAGATAACTTAAAATCATTATCTTCAATTTTGATTTAAAATTTCTCATCAAATAGCTTTTCAGCAATAAATAATCTAAATTATCCTTTTTCTAAGCTTAATTATATCCAGCCAAAGACATCCTGTTAGATTAATTAATCTTATTCCACTTGAATATTGAAATGATTAAGTTATAAGGGATAGTTTATTTTTATTTAATTTAACTTTAATACGACGTTAATGTATCTATCTTCTTCAATTTAGATGGTATACAGTCCCAATATTGCAGGCAACAAAGTGTTACCATTTTTTTGCCTACTATATTCGGTTTGATAGCGTTTACAAATATTCATTAACCCTCCACCCTTTGTTAAAAGCAGTTTGTGTTATTTAGAAATGATTTCAATAGAAAAGTAATTGTCATAAGTTAAGAAGATGGGTCCATAAGACTAAGGTAATTTGGTATTGACTATTGTTTTTGTATTCTATTCGATTCTTAAACTTGTTTTGAGTTGATTTAAATCAATATTTAACACTTAACTAAAGAGATGGATCAGAGTCTTGCTTGCATAACTGTAACAATTGATAACTCTCTTATAGCAAATGTTATTGACATAATCCTTTAAACAGAGATTCTAAATGTAATCAAATAATAATACATTATAATTTTTGTATTTCTAATCCAAATCTTTAAAGTCATCCTGCAAGTATAATGAGTATTTAGTGATGTGAGTAAAATTAAATGGTTTTAAAGTTTTCAGTAACGATTACTTCTCTTCAATACAATGATTCATGGCATTTTTAATGGAAAGTAATACAATGAATAATTCTTAGTTATTCTTAATCAGTTTAATTTGGCTTCCGAAAACAGAGGAGAGAGCGGTGTCTGGTTATAATTATTTCTCACTGGTCACTGCTCTTACTGTGTATCTGAGTTTTTTGTTGTTGCACACACTAATTTCGAGTCCAGAATCCATGCTCATCTATTCTATACCATTGAACTATATTAGGATATACTATTTTTGTTACATCATCCTTTTATAAAAGCTTATCCTTTAATTTACAATTTTGATTTTTCTTTTTCTTTCCCATTATAATTGTATAGATGTACTTTTTGACAATCGGATCATTTATTCGTATCAAGAAAAGCAGTATACCTCCCAAGGGATAGATGATTGGAAAAGAATAGAAGTGAGTATCATCATTATAGAGTAATTAACTCCAAAATATCAGACATGAGGGAATCATATAAGTGCCTAAAAATACTGATGTGTAGAGTGTATTAACTATGATGAACTCTTTATGGTATTTCTAATGGAATTTTTCTGAATCTTTATTATAAAGAGTCGTTTTGAATGATGATTTTTCGTTGATTATGAAAACTAGCAATATTAAAATGCATAATGTTATGATTACCAAGATAACACTGAAAGTGGTGGAGAAATCAACCATCTTTAGACCGCATACGCCGACAACACTAATTATATGTTATTGATACTTTATTTTAACATCTTTAACGAAGAACATAGTCAAAGTGAATAGAAATGAGAATATTAGTGAGGAAATCTCCATCAACTTAAAGTATTTATTAAAGTTATAGTCCTGTGTTTTAAGTGAGCAATATAGATTTATGGGGAAATAGATATTATAGAGCGAGTATTACGAGGAAAAAAATATCTCAATGAACCCTAGGAATGAGCAAAATTATGAGGATATTACAAAGGCACCGCCGGTTGGAATATCATCAGAACTAATATAAAATTGTGCAAACAACATCAGAAAAGTAATAATCTAATAAAATACTGTTCAATACAATCTATGCTATGGTCATTCTTTAAATAATACTCCCTGGGTTTTTGTTTAATCTGGGTGTTCTGAAGAATGTCCACAAAATTAGAGAACAGCCTGTCATTGACAAGAGGCATAAAATTATGACAAATACTCTCGCAATCAAGTTTTCTGATAATTACATTTATTCATATTTGATTTGAATATAGAATATTTCAATATAAGAATCAAAATTAGAAATTGTAAAAATTACATATTATCATAATATATAATGTTTGTCAGATCTGCAAGATATGCCTTTTCGACATTCCCTTCGCCTTTAGTCTCAGTGCAATATTTGAAATAAAATCTCAATAAAGTCAAAGTCTTAGGTAAAGCAAAGGCTGAAAATAGATTGTTCATGGTACCTTCCTCAAATGAATCGCAATGCAGAGTTAGAATACAAAAAATCACACATTCCTGGAGCAATCCGTTTTGATATAGATGCAAACAGCCTCTAAGAAACTAGTTTACCTCACATGCTTCCAAAAACAGAGGATTTTGAAAGGTACATGATAGGTCTAAGAAAAGGTCTGTATCTGACATGGGAATTAGTAATAACGATCGAATAGTAGTTTATGATGGAATGAATATCTTTTCGTCTGCAAGAGTATATTGGTAATTCAAATACTTTGGACACAAAGATATAGCAGTCTTAGATGGTGGATTTCCTGCTTGGGTTCGAGAGAATTGTGCAGTTTCTGATGCTCCACCCTTGATAAGGGAAGCAAAGTATAAAGCCACTCCTTAAGTTCATATGTTGAGATAGCTTGATTTCATATTAAAAAATATAGAGAATCAAAATAAAGGGAAGAGAGGAGATCAGGTTTTGGATGCTAGACCTGCTCCGAGATTCAATGGAGAGGTGCCTGAACCTAGACCAGGATTGTCTAGTGGTCATATGCCTTATTCAACTTCATTACCTTTCAGTCAATTAATTGATTAAAAAACAGGATTGATGAAGACAGTATCATAATTTGATTAATGTGTTAGCCTGAGGAAATCAAGGAGATTCTCAATAGTCTCAATGTCGATGTGAATAGAAACATAGTGTGTTCGTGTGGATCTGGTGTCACAGCATCAGTGATTTATGTGGCATTGGAAAGAATAGGGTTGAAGAATATCTCATTGTATGATGGGAGTTGGAGTGAGTATGCTGCTACCAAGGATGTGGAGATAAAAAAGAAGTGAATTTATAATATATTTAATAAATTTAATGAGAATATTTAAATAGGCATTTGAGAGTATTCAGGGGAAGAAAGGGGAAGAGGAGAACAAATCTGGTTCAAAGGGAGCCTTTTATGTAGATGAATAATTCATGACTCCAGAGTTTCTGTACAAATAGAACAACAAAGAGGTGCAATAAGGAATATAAAAGAAAATAAATTTAACGAAACAATTTTTTTTAACTATGTCCACGATGGAGAACAAATTCAATTTGTCTCCAATCAAACAAATAAATATGGTGGATTAATTGGTTGGAATGTATTAGGAATGTGTTTAATAATATGATACTCTTATGGATCCCATTAAATATTATTTCTTAGACAAAATCAAGAATATAGTTTAACAGGCTGACAAGTTCACTTAAAGAGAACCAAGATCGTTATAATCTTCGGAAAGGAAAATGTAAACTATGAATATTAATGAATAGTCAATAACCTGTTTAAATAATGAGTAGTGAAGTTAGTTACTTCAAGGATTTCGAAGATTTTAACGATAGGATTGATAAACCAACTGAGTATGCTACTCCAAAGAACGAAGATCAATACTAATAAATCGACAATAAGAAACTTGTCATTCAACTTCAAAACTTGATCGAAGAAGGCAAAAAGAACAAAGAGAATCCAGATATCATCATGAAGAATCACGAATCTCCTTAACCTTAATTTAATGAAACGAAATTAGCATAAAAAATAGATGAATCATCTTCTAAGAAGAGATCGCCAAAAATAGAATTCAGAAATGAGAATAATGAAACACCCATTCCAAAATTGTTGCTGAAAGAGGAACATCAAGTCAAATAGAATGTGGTGGAATCATAATTGCAAAATCAATCAAAGTCTATCTAGGATAGATTAATGGCCAGATAAAAAAGTCAGAAGAAAAAAGAAACTTGATAATTTATATTATATATCGAAATGGTACGCTAATTTAAGCGCCATAATATATAAATTAATGAAAAAGAAAAGACAAACACCTTAAGATGATTTATAAAGTAACAAGAAACAGCCCAACGCTTATGAAGATTTAGAAAACACTCAAAGCAATGTGTCTGAACTCATTAAAAAAATGAAATTCAGAGAGCTGGAGGAATTCGAGATCCAATAGTTTATAGCATCTCATGACGAATAAAAGTTTCTGATGATTACTGGTCAACCTGGATGCGGCAAAACTATGCTCCTCACTAAATGTCTCAAGCAATGGCAGAATAATTACACCACTATCTATATAAATGCAATGCAATGTAAAAATTATACAGAGTTTTTAAACATTTGTAAAAAGCAATTGAATGTTAAAAGCTCCACTGCCAAATAATAAACACGTAAAGTCATTATGGATAGACTCAAAGAGTTGAACACGTATTTATATTTAATAAACAATAGTATCATCACAATTGATGAGTTTGACAATTTATTTAAGGTGAGTGAAAAAGAAGCCTTTGATTTATTTTCCCTCTCCAAACATGCCATCATTATTGGCATTAGTAATGACATCGAGTTCCTCTAAACCTAATCAGTGAGATATAAATTTTAGCTCCCTCAATTCAAAAATCTTATTTTGAAGCCTTACACCATCCAATAGTTACAAGAACTGGTTTTAGATATCTTAAAATAAATAGAAATTTAGTAAATATGTGTATCTATATAGAAAATATGATGAAAAAGCCATCAAAATACTAACAACCAGAGCCTATAATGACAAGGGAGGAGATATGAGAAATATAATAGATATTGTGAAAAGGACCTTAAGAGACAAAGAAGAAATAACAACAGATGCTGTCAATTAAGAAATAGGAATGAGTGTGTTTGATAACAAAATGAAGAGTGTTGTCACCACCCTGACTTTGCATTAGTAATTAATACTATTAGGAATCACTGCTTTATTAAAGAAGGACTCTATTCAACTTGAAATAGATTTACCAGATCTCATAAGAAAGGTTAACGAAATTAAGTATAAGCTGAGTTTGCCCTTGAGTGTGGATGTAGAGGAGGAAATTAATTTATTAAAAGATTATAACCTACTTACTACAAAAGAAGCGAAACAATAAAAAATGGGATTTAAAATCACAGTAAAAAAGATTCTATGTAAATTTACAGCAGAGGAATTGAAATATTAATTATCTGATCTAGATGCATTTAAAAACATTTTACAATAATTATGAATATATTTGATAATAAATCCTCCGAAAAGAATCTCGATGTCTTTTGCAAACCAAAGTATAGGAAAAGAACATACAAACAAGAAAGCAAATACAAAGTCTATTGTTTATCGAAAACCTAAAAAAAACTAAAGCCGAGTCATTCGTTTCAGCAATTAAAATAAGTCTTATTTGAAGAAAGATCAATGAATCTCAGTTGCCATTGTCATGAATGTGGAGGCAATATTCGTAAGAAACTATTGCTGAAAAATGAAAACGATGGCAACCCAATCTAGAAGCCTATATAAATAAAATTACTTGAATTGGATAAAACTCCAAAAAACCAAGAAAACTTACTCAAATCAAGTGGAACTGCATCCATGTACATCTTAAATGTAATTTTAGCCATTCATCTACCAACAATGTTATTAAATCGAAATTCAAACCAATGTCCTAAATTTTATAAATGGTGTATGTCAAAAGTGCAATCTCTAAACTCATGCAATCTAATAATATACAATAGTAGTTATTTCAATCATCTCCCAATACTCTTACAGATTTGACACCGATGTAGAACACTCTGAAGACCCTAGATCAAAAGGGACTGGATAATCAACTATTTGGATAGAGGATTAAAACTGAACCAGTCCTTGGACATTAACAAATTGGAATAAAAAGAAAAACCTTCTACTATCCTCGAGTGTCTAATATTACTAGATTGGGAGTTTCAAATCCTTTGAATTTTCAAGACATCTTCGATAAGAAGCTTTCATTGAAACTAGTTGCCCCTCTTACTAGTAGATACAGATCTCCAGAAAACAAGAAATAAAGAACTTTATCCCAAAGAATTCAGAACACTTATTTCAAAAATATTGATTAAAAATTGAAAAACAGTACCAAGAAATGATATATTTAATACAAGTGTAAATTAAAATTTATTAAATTCCATTTCAATTTAATGTTATTCACAATTTTAGAAAAAGAGTATAAATTTGAGTTCATAATTAATTTATTAATAACTTAAAAATATTTATCAAATTAAAGTGTCCACCTTAGTTTTCTTCCTTTTGTAACAGTAATATCCTGTTCCCAAAATTAAACAACCTCCAAATATACCCAAAGCCACCCAAACTCCTGTATGGCCACTAGAAGTAGTATTATCGTGATCGTCATCATCAGAACCACCTGGTCCTTGAATAGTAATGGGTATTTAATCAAATGAAAAATCATTTTTAACTCTAATATACCCAGAGGATTTATCAAATTTTCCGTTGAGCAATAGTTGTGGAGATGAATTAATTTTATATAAACCTAATTAATCAATATGTTCTGAATTGGTAATGTAATACAACTAATTATAAATATATAAAATTACTTAGTTTTCGTAAGAGTAAAATTCCTCTTAGATGAAATTCCTGTTATAATAGTATGTCGGTCTTAAGGCTGCAAAAAAGATTACAGCTGAATTTGTAGTTTAAACCTTAGGTAATTAATAGATTGTCTAAACCAATTTGATTCTGCCAGAATCTGTATAGGAAACTTATACGAAATTATTAACAATTCTAACATTTGAGAATATGTATCCTAAGAGTTCGAATGATCCATAGCCTTGCAACACAAAAGCAATCTTTTTCTATTCCAAACTACATTGGTCAGCAGTACATGAAAACTCAATGTGTACTCCATAATGAGGACCAGCAGTGGCAAATAGAATAAAGTCTGCTTTGTATGATGTATCAGTAATCACAACATTAATTGTTCTGATGCAAGAGTAAATGGTTCCTGTAAGTTAATAGAAGTTTTGATTTATAAAATCGTATAAATTGAAAGTAATTTTGTTGGTTCTTTATATTTGATTCTCTTTTATGCTATATTCAAGTACAATAAATGCATAATTATGATCAGTGCAATACACGTGATAGTGATTCTTCTTAATTTTTTTAATAGTTAATCCATACTAGAAATTATCCAAATCATTAACACTTACCTTACCATAATTTTAAGCTTTGGATAAATCTAGAATATTTTTTGAGTAAGCCAAGATCTCCTGTCTTTCAATAATAAAGATATTTTCATTATCTATGTATCCTGATATTATTTCTTCACTTATTTATAACCAAGAACTACCTATTTTACAATTAGTATTTTCACATTGTATTCCACCAACATACTATAATTCTTCTTTAATACATTATATCAAGACCTAGGAATCAAAACTTGCTATGACATCTTGACATAAATAACCTTTAGTTATTTTTTCAGTGACTACAACTTCATTTGTCTTCTTACTAATAAGAACATAGGAGTCATTTTTAAGAACAAAAATATAGTTTGTACTGAAATCAACAACATTCATAGTATTATTTTGATAATATGGTTTTACAACTTCAATAGGATTTATTATTTCTGCTTTTTGATCATTAAATTGAGGTAAATACAATTCAAATTAGGTGACTTCTCCTGAAAACCAATCAGTACCCATATCTTAAATGTAATTGTGTTCTTGATTTGATGTTAAATTAGTGGTTATGTTCAATTTATCCTAACTAATCTTCAAATCAATATAGATGTTAACCAATCTGAAATTTTTATTAACCAATAAAAGTTATTCATTTGAGTAAACTATGTTATAGTCCTAATTTGAAATAAAAGTACTGTCATCAAAACTAACTGAATATGACACGTAAGGGTACCTTTAGATATAATATACCCAAACATTGTCCTTATTAAATTAGAATACTGTATTCTAGGTTGCTGCCACAAATTGATTGACTGGGTCCCAATCTTGTACACAATATAATGAATTATGATCAGTCAAATCAACAATATACGATAAGATAACAGATTTGAATTCTGATTTTGCTTTGACGTGCAACAAACCATTATAAGAAACCCAAAAGAATGAGTCAAAACTTTCAATTTAATAATCATAAAAAGATGGAGTTTTCTCAAGATAGATATTTGTAGGATCCTATCTATTGTAAATTTAGAATGTAAATTTTCCTTAGGCTTACTATTAAAGTATAGCAAATCTCTCATAAAAACTAATAATCCTAATATCCTAAGATTGTGAAATAGCCATTTGATAACCAAAAGAGAAATCTGTTTTTGTTAAATTCAAGATCAGAAGTTGATTCTATGCTTCTCCATTTACAACAAATAATTGTTGGTCAAAATCATTTGAATATAATCTTTATGGATCCCAATCGGCAAATCCTAATTTGCTCAATTTCTCAGGGTTTATAATATAAAGTAAATCGACATACTCAAAATTATACACTCCGATAGTTTTGGCTGCTTTAGAAAATAGGAGCAAATACGAATAACTCAAGTAAATGCTATCTATGCTTTTGATTTCGTCCTCATCTTTAAGCGTAATAGTTCTATTGAGATAGCTGTTTGAATAATATTTATAAAAGAACAGTGTTTTCTCATTTAGTAGTGTAATGAATGTAAATTAATAAAAATAATATTGGATAACAGTATTTTCCTTAGTAATTTCAAAATCCAACTTTGACTAATAGGACAATTAACATATTTCAGCTGTACGAGATTAGCAATTATATATAGCCAATTCTTTTTGTTTATTCTAAGTGATTATTGAAAAAGGTTAATCAAAAGATTAAGCCATAGAAACAGTTTAAAGGAAGATTAAGTCAGTTAAACTCAAATTTTTATTAGTATACTTATCAAACGTATCTCCCTAAACTGCAATATAAGTCAAATTTCCACCACTATTTTGATCATTTTTAGTATTCTTTTAAAAACTAATATTTTGTTTTGGACCTGAGACCAATTATCTCGGACGGACATTGAAATCATTAAAAAATATTTTTTATGTGAAAAATGGAGAATCTTAAATATTTCCCTTTGATACTAGTACCAAATCGACTGACTTCGCTGAAACTGTCTGATATTCTATAGTGACTTAACAGTCGTTGAGTTTGAGTATTGAATTTCCAGTAATGCCTTGCTCATTATTATGATACTAGATTCTATAGTGAGGATTACGTAAATAATGTTTAATATTTGTATTGGTGAAGACTAAGAAGTCATTTTAAGTTTAATCTGCAATTACATTGCTGAAATCGCCTTATGCAATTTCACTTACCTCCAAATATTTATCAAATGCTATAATTTGAGTGGGGGAAGTTAAAAATATAAAATCATTGCTGTAATGAATTTTCGAATTTGATAGGTCTTCTAATGAATCGTAACTTCTATGGCTTTTTTAGACAGAGTTTTTTTATACAATTACAAACTCTTAATGATTAAATTAATAATCAAAAGCAAAAGATTCTCCTAAGAGATATCCCTCCTGATTAAATTTGATTGTATCATTTGAGGAGTAGTATTGGAGTAAAAATACATTTCCAGTCTTATCTAAAATAGCAATTTAATCAGTTGGACTGATCTTGGCATCAACCATATCAAAGGAATATTCGGTAATATTCACGTATTATTGAATTAACTCTTAGTTAATAGTCTTTTGGAGCTTTATGTCCTTATTGACTAAATCATAAGTAAACAATTCAATAATTGCTGGATTATTATTAGTTTTCAAAGTAATTCTATATATGTAGTTCTGAGTGCTTACAATGTATCTTTATTAATTTTTTTGATATGGATACGCATTTTCTATTTTTAATTATTATTAAGCATCTTTTTCGCTAATCATATAAAAATAAGTTTATGGCTCTTAATCATTAACCTAGTAGCAATCTATTAGTAGATGATTTATATCTAAAATAGTTGAAGATTGGCAAATAACTTCGTCAGTCCTTCCAAGGGAAATTGTTTTATCAAAGGTTGGGTATCTCTATTAAGTACCTGCAACAATTTTTTCTGTCCATGCTAAAATTTATTCATCTTGATTTCTGATAGCTAGTAGCTGAAATTTATTCATCCATTAACTTTTAGTTGTCAACACTGAGTAAGATAAAACCTTATTGACTAAAATATATTTTAGTTAATATAATACCATTGGGAACCAATTCGTTATTAGTTTTTAAATAAATCGGTGGTAGCAAAGTAAGCTTGTTATTTTAATCAGTTAATGTGACGGTGTCGTTGTATTTAACTTAAATAAAATACTCCTATATATCCTAAACGATTATTTCGTTTTCCTTTCCGACTATCTTTGTGTAATCACTTGGAAATAAAGAGCAATCTTTGGCTATGCTCTGAAGAATACAACTCAATAATGTGATGTAAATCATTTTAGATTTAAAATTCAATATATATAACTATATTCACAAGAGCACTTATATATCACTTTAAATCCATATTTCCATTGTATATAGAGTTAATGAATATTATTTTTGCTTAATCCATATGGAAAATTAATTTATTTTACATAACCTTGAATGTGTATCTGTATTTCTATTTTCAAAATTATAGTCACAAATTAAAAATAATCACATTAAACCAAAGAAGAAACGATCGTGGTTCTCATGATCCATCCAAAATCAAGTTGTCATGATGATAGGAGGTCTTGAAAATTAATTCTTCAAATTTAGACACCTATTTTTTTATATATATGTGAATTACATCATCTAAAAAGTTAAGTAGTAACATTTATAATCTCAAGCAACATACAAACATAAATCAACTCGTATTGATTATTTCCACAATTTGGATGATGGTATAATCGGATAAATCAGTTTTTGACCTTCTAATCCAGTTGGTAAAAGTACCAAAAAAATAAGTCTAAAAAAAAAATGAAAAATGTCATTTTTAACACCAAATTTGTACAATTCTGTTTAGTTTCATATCTAAAATGTGATATCAAACATAATTGATTAATACTTTGAGAGATTAATTATTTTTAGAAAATATTATGCAATCAAAGGAGCTGATCATATTAGGAGTTGAGAACACTGAAATTAATTGGTCAAATGAACAATAATTCTTAATAATTTAGTAATATTTATTGTGATTCATAAATGCTTCAATTTGTAATTTAACAATTAGTTATTATTTATTATTTATTTATTTAACTCTTATTTATGATGTAATCGTATATCTCAATATCGGATAAGACTTTTTGAAAATGAATGGCAAGTTGTTTATTACAGTTTCTCATAAAACTCTATATAAATTAGTATAAATGTTAATATATGTTAAATAAATAATTTTAGATGAATATTGAGAATTCGTTTTTGTGAATATTATTTTAAATGAAAGCTTTGATTTTATTAGTTTTGGCTTTGGGTGCCTTTGCATTCACCGAGTAAATGATGTCTTTGGAAGAATTAGCAAATTTTAATGTTAAAACAATGGATTGCTCAAGATCTGATCAATTCTCATTTATTGAAACATAAATGAAGTAATGGGAAGATTTGTTAATCCATCAAAAAGCTATTTCTCATGATATCAAGATCCTTGAGTAGATGGAAAAAATGATATCAACAAAGCATCATTCTTTCTTAGAAGCACAAGTCTCTGTTTCAGGAAAGAAATTGCTTAAGAAATTACACAAATTAGAATTACCACTTACAAAAAGCAAAATTGGTCTAAGTCAAGTCAAGGCCTTAAGAGAATAATGCCATGCCTTAGATTCTGAAAGTATATAAATAAAATAAATATAATAGATCATGAAGATAGAGCAGCTGCTAAAAAAGAATTATGCAAATTGTTGAGAGAATACATTAGCAGTCTTAATAATTGCAAATAATAATGCAGAAGCACACCAATTACAGTCATCAAGATCAAAGGATAAATTAAAGATCTCGAAATCATAAGAGGAGGATGTACAAGCAATGGATCTGAAACTGGTGTTAAGGTAACATCTTAAGATGATGAAACTCATGAAATCACCATTCATCATCATCACCAAGGTAAAACAACAACTGAAACTACTTCAGCTGCTGGTGCAAGCAAATAAGAATCAGAAAGTACTTCCGATGCTGGCTAAAGTCATACAGAAGCAGGAAGTGGTCCAGCTGCAAGTTCAAGCCATTCAGGATCAGGAAAATCTTCATCTTCTAGCTCAAGTCATTCAGAATCAGATTAATAAGCAGATTCACATGAAAGTTCATCAAGCTCAGACTAATCTGCAAATGAATAAACATAAACCACAGAAGAGGGAGAGGAAGTGACAGAAGAAACCACTGAAACTGGAGAAGAAACAACTTAAACAGGAGAAGAAACAACAGAAACAGGAGAGGAAACAAATTAAACTGGAGAGGAAACAACTGAAACTGGTGAAGAAACTACAGAGGAAACTACAGAGGAGACTACAGAAACCACAGAAGAGACCACAGAAGAACCACCAGTTTAAGAATGATTAAGTAATCAAAATATTAAAATAATATATATCATCGTTATTATAATTGTAATACCAACAATTCTAAGTTCTCAAGCTTTTAAGATTATTTATTTAATATTCCAATCTAAATTAGCATGATTATTATTAAAAGAAATATGGATAATAAATAAAGTAATTCTGACTTTCTGCCTTAATAGAATTAAGTTTGAGAAATAGTTTACTTTGCTTATTGAGACTGACTAGTTTACATTATTTTGCTTAAAATATTATCATCTAACTTTTTAGAACTAAAAAATAAAATAGAATAACTACTCTTCATATTCATGATTGATATTGGATGTCTACGACTTTTAAGATTTCGCCATGGCTTCTAATTTAATTTTAACATTGTTTATCCATTTTTCATAATCATCCTTTAACCCAGACATTGTTTTACTCATAATTGTGCCTTTCATCATTGTGGATTTTGTAAATACAACTGAAGCAAATATCTTCAATAAACATTTATTATCTTCCAACTATGAGACCTCCCACCTTTCTTCTGCCTAAAAACAATTTCCATAAGGAACATCTAAAGTATGAGTAGTACAAGTATAAATTAATTTATCAGCCTCTTTCTTATAGGTAAAAAGTTTATGCATCCTACTTTTATCTTTAAAAGGAACTCCAGTTAACTTGATAACATTTTTCATTTCTCTCTAAAACATTTATGGATTATCTTCCACAGGCGTCCACTTGGTTAATTAAATATCAGTATCCTTTTCTGATTATCTGTGATCTGCAATTGAATAAACAAGTGCATCGTCTGCAAGAAAGAATTCAAAAAATTTATCTTGACTAAAGGAAAATGTGAATTTACACATCTCTTAATCCATTGATGCTCCTGATTAGAGAAATTAGATTTCTACCTCTGCATTTTCAATTTAAGATTCATCTTCTCTAGCACTATCTGTAGTAGATTAGAATGTCTATTAATTTGACAATGGCTAACCAGATATTAATGCATTCATTAGATTATATACCTATTCTTTGTCATGAAAACCATTGAAACAGAAGGCTCTGCCATCCTTCAAGATTATATCAATATCACTCTTATTTTTACTATCCAACTTAGCAATATCATCCAATTTAATCACCAAATTCGTTTTGCTTCCTGCAAGATTGGCGTAAAAGCAAATGTGATTTTCAGCTATAAATATTCTTCCATATTTTGAAATTAATCCTTTTAAAGCGCAAGAGTAATCTTAAAATATTATTTCTCCTTTGGGCAATCCAAATAATTAAATCAACAAATCCTTAGCAGACATCTTGAAAAAATTAATAAAAAATAATATTATTGTAAATCATGATTCGCTATTTCTTATATAGATATTAAGAAATATAGAAAATTGTTGTATATTAAATATGTCTTTTATTATGAATAATTAATTGCTTAGCATATTTAGTATTTCTATATTATTACATAATCATTCCTTTTCTAAAATAATTAACTACTCTCCAGTTGAATCATTGAAGATCTCCTAAATTAACATGTCTTTTTTATCGAATAAAGAGAGCTTAGGAAAATTTTAGATTAAATCAACATCTGCCTTTGGGTTAAGAAAGAGCTAATCATCTTGACACATTACAAAATCAAAAATAAACTAAATTAATATTTTAATTACCTATATCTTATCAGTGAAATTAAAGTTCCTAGTAATGACCTTATCAAAAAATCTAAATTAAATGGTTATACAATTTTCTTTTGGTTCTTAAGGTAAACCTGAGAGTAATGTAGCCTTTAAAAATTAGCGTTGTTCCTAAATATACTATTTTTGTAATACTTCTTCTTCTTATTGTTCTTATATTAGTTATTCCTATTTTAATTTTTCATCATTAATTTTCTTCTTTTTTTCATCTGCTTATTGTAAGGCCATCATATATTCAAAATCCTACTTTTATAATAATTCCTCCCTTTCCCTTTATTCGATTTCTTATTATCTTCTTATTTCCATATCCAATTGTTTCTGTCTAAATCTATCAATTTAACTTTAATGAATCTATTCAGGACTATCAACCAATCTTTTCGCTAATTTCTCCTATGCACTAATCTTACTAATAGCAGATCTTATTGATTTTATATCTACAGCCAGTTCCTCGAAATTGGATTAAGGAAATAACTTGATTTATTTGACTAAACTAACTTCATCAATAAAATTTATTCTATATATTAGAATAGATGGAATTTCAATATTTTAAGTAGGTAACTACGCTAAGGTATCCTTATTAGCGATAAAAGCGTAGCTGAGGAAGTATCTATTCACTATTGATACAAAAGATTTGCATTAAAACATAGTTTGCAAGATTTTCAAGCATGAAACATCATGGACATATACAAAAAGTGGATGCATTTTGTCTGAGGCTATTTTAATGTTATCTTAAAATGAACCCATTTCGAATTTGATTTCTATTTTTACCTTTTTTGATTGTATGTGTTTCTAAAAATCTTCGCCATAATTTTAATTTTTAGTAACTATCAAAATAAGAAACGATTAATACATAGAGCCTTAGCTATTTTCCAAACTCCAGAGACTAATCCAGGATCTTCGTCAAGTTTACTCTCTTTATAATTCTTATATTTTTAAACTAATTCTTAAGTTGTTTAAGACTATTCTAGCTCAAAGTTCCCTTAGATTTATCTTCTTTAACTCTGTGAAGGTTGTGGCTCCTATTAGTTCACCTTTTGAATGGGAGCTACAAATTATTATGATTGTATTTCTATCTCAAAAAATAATTAAATTGCACTCTTATAAATAAATAAAACCACGTTTTTACTTCTAACTCAAAATTAGCCATTTGTAAATAATTTAAGCATTTCTCCTGATCCAAGCATCCTGTAATACTAGAAAAATTTCTCATTAATTGTTCATGTTATTACATGTGTTTATATTCTTTTTTATTAATAATTAATTAAAAAATGGCATAATAGCTGCCAAAAATATAGGAAAGATTAAATTAGACTATAGAAAACCCATTTTATGTTCCCGATGAATACGAAATCTTCAAGATGAAGGAAAAAGAAAAATAAATCAAAATGGAGGAAAGGATCAAGTTTCAAAATCTTAGAGTTCATGAAAAAGGAATAAAATCTATCGGAAAATTGAGTATAAGGGAAATCAATGAAATTGGCAAAGAAGAAGATAAGAATGACAAGGAATACAATGCCAAGATGTATTAATATGATTGATTTAAGAAACATTATTGATGCTGCTGACAATGCTGTTAAGAATAGAGTTCGATAAAAAGAACCTATGTATCAATTCATAGATAAGAAGAGAGAAATGTTGTTGTTTTAGATGTTGATTGATCATAAAAGAGGTATGATTGATGAATTTGAGAAATTGACTAAGTTACATAGATTAGGTTTAGAAAAAAGTGAGTCACTCATAGAAGAAGATGTGGAATTATTCAATAAATTTTTGGAGCAAAATAAGATGAGTTCAAGAGAAGCTATTAAGGAAGCAGAAAAGGAGACTAAATCGAAATAAGAAAAAAACAATGAAATCAAATCCTTATAAGAACATAGAACAGATTTAATGACTAAAATCCAATAGAAAATAGATAATTTAGAAGACCTCTTAAAGTACAAAAAGTTTTTAGATAAGATTACTCCTAAGGAATTTCAAATGAAGTAAAAACAACCAAAATAACAATAATAGTAATAATAAGTTTTGTTATCAAGAAACAATTAAAATAACTAAATTAATAATGAATTACAATAATTATTGAATGATTCAGATGATGAATAAGTGACATATTTCACTTAACCAAAATAATTGGAAGAAATATTCTAATAATTAGAAGAAAAGAACTTGTTTCTTATTGGAAATACAAAGGAAAGAGAGTAAATGGTAGAAGATCTGAGAAATAAATATTAATAAAAGATTAAAACCTTGGAAGAAAAGTTAAAAACTGCTTTACAAACAAAAAATGACTTTCTAAAATAAATTGATTAAGTTAATGACTAAATCAAAGTACTCAAAGCTATTAGAAGTGATAGTGAAGTTTTTGAACCATTAAAGAATCTAGAAAACTAAATAGCTAAAATATATAGAACTGATGTTAATGTTGAACCAAGAAAAGATATTACCGGAATAGAAATGCTTAAAGAGACTGAAAAACTATTAGAATAGAGAATAAATGATTTGAAGATGTTTAGATAAATAGCTCCTGAGTTAGTATTAGAAAAAGAAAAGAATTGCATAAAGGCTAGAAAGGATATCGTTAAGTAAATGAAATAAGAACAAGACTTGTTAGATCAGTAGAAAAAGTAAAAAGAGCAATAAAAAGAACAAATTGTTCATAAAAGAACCGGAAGACCCATAATGGTTAGATCATGGCCAGCTCAAGTTTAAGTAGAGGAATAAGTAGTTGATGATATTACGGAAGAGGAAAAAGAGAGAATAAAATATTTTGAATGAATATTATTAAGATAATTAATTTTAGATATTTTAATATTTATAATGTTCTCATTCTTCTATGTAATTTGCTAATTTATCGATTTGATGATTCCATTTTATATGACGTTTTAGGGATTTCATATGATGATACTTTTTATCGCACTGTTGACAATTATATATATTATTATCTTTTGACGCCTTAACAACTTTATTAGAATTACACTAAATTTATGGTTTGAAATAATGTGTTCCTTATCTAGTTTGACTTAAATTGTTTTGCTTTTACTTTTTTTGATCCTAATTAGAATTTTTTAATTCCAGTTATTTCTTCACATTACTTTCAGATTTGTTAAGGAATGACTTAGGTGAATCTACCTCAAAAGGTGATTTTAATTGGCTTGGGGATTGAGATTCTGAATGACATTTGGCTTATTTTAATAATTCTTATTTTTCCAATGACAATTTATAACAAATTGTAACCAACTTGCTTACATCTGCAAAATATCTAACAAGTGAGACTTAGTCTTCCATCTTTAAATTGTTTTTAATACATAATTCTATATTTAATTTGCTATTCAAGATTCTTGAAATCCTTTGAATATTTAGAACTAATTGAATTCTTTCATCGATTACCTAATCAAAAACTTAAATTAGATTTCACCCTAATAGTAATTAATTCTTTTAATGTTTTAAATTCTCATTCTTTAAATTCATAATTAATTACGCATTTTCAGGATTATTAAGTAGGTGAATGAGTATTTCAGAACTTAGAAATTATAAACAATATTATTAAATTTTGTGTGTATATATAATATATTTATATATTTCAAAATGGCTATGGCAGAAAAGTTCCCGAAAGAATAGGAATTATATAGAGTTATCAATTTATGCGCATACAGAAATCAGTAGAATTAATTTATAATCTATAAAATAGTTCTTAGGTTGCTACTGATGCTGCAAATATTTTATACAATTACCCAAAATTATTCAATCCCCAAATCACATAGACAAGTAAATAATTATTTAAAATTAAAGGTGAAAATGGCATAATCAAACATTTATTGGAACTTAAAGGAGAGCGTATAAATTCATTTCATCATTAGTGCCCATTAAATATAAAGGATAAACTTACTCTATTATTACATCCATCTAGTTTCCTTTTATCTATTCGGATGCTCCAGCTGTGATCAGAATTTATAATCCTGATATATCCAAATTTTCTGTGAATCAATATTTCATCCAAGGTGCTTCCTAAGATCAATCTGTGGTCAATATTCACAACACCGAATTACAAAGTTGGTATCAACATAGATTAATTGTAAATGTCATTCTTTATAATAAGTCAAGAGTGATGCTCGCCTTAGTTAGAGATTTAGAAGCGCATTTCCCTTTTTTCAACCGAACATAATCAAATTCATAGTATTTTTACACACAATTCATTAGGGTTATTTAATAACAGCCAAATGCATAAGCCCCATATTAATACTAAAATCAGCAGCAATAATTCTACTAAAATTCAACCCAAGGCTACAATTATTAATATTAAAACAACAACCCTCCTAATTAATATTACAATAATCAAACCCAACCTTATAATCCATATGCTACTCAATAACAATAGCAGTAGGCTCCAGGATATTATTAACAGAGCAACTTATATTCTCAAGTTGAATTCAAACTCAAGGAAAAATGCAATTAAAGTAAAATTTTAGTTCATACATTTTAGTATTAAGTGATGATTTAAATTAGATTTAAAATGATTTCAAAATTTTGCATTAACATCATGATAGATTAATCGATGAAGTTACAAAATAGGAAACCAAAAAAATGTACTTATAAAATCTAGAAAATTAAATCGAATAATCTATATAGTAATTAGAAAACGAAAATAAAAAATTGAGTGAGTTTGTTGAAAAAAATGACGTATTAGAGTATAAATTGTATGCATCTTAGGTTAAACGAAGAAACTCTTTTTTAGAATATTAGAGAAAATGATCAATTCTCAACCTCAATCTTAGAATTGTATTCAGATATTCAAGCATGCAGAGAAACCTTGCATTTTATAGTAACCAAATTTAAGAATTTCAATCTACCATTTGAAACAGTTATTAAAGTATATCAATATAACTAGTATCTATTAGATGACTCGTAAATATTCAGAAGAGTAATTCAATAATATTTTATTATTAAAGAAGTATACATCACCAACAAAAAAATTATGATAATTATAAATTAGTAATAAATCTATAAGAATATTTATTTGAATGATAAAGATATACTCTAATCACAAAACATACAATAATTTATATTACATTTTTTCTTCGATAACATAAGATTCAACTATTTATCATCGAAACCATATAGCTGAATTTAATTTTTTTAACCTATTGTGATTGATACAAAGGAAGCGCATTCAATAAAAATTTATAATATTATTCTGCTCTAGATTTTATACTTAAATTTGATTGTCTATTTAGAGCAAATTATAAGCTATATATTTAATACAAATAGATTATTTACACTGTCATATAAGGAATAAATCATTTTGAAATTAAAAGATATAATATTAGAATGTCCTAAATATACATGTATTACAATTATGATATTTTTTTTTAATGTTTGTAACCCTTGCCTTGATCATTCATTTGGAATGTTTGTAGAAATTATAAAAGGAATAATCAAGTAAATAATAACAAATTTTTAATGTTATATGAAATTTATGAAATTTTTCTTTTTCGATGATTAGGTTTTTCTTCCCTTCTATAAACTATTAAGTAAGATAGAAAAACGAGCAAATTACTTTTATTCTTATTTATATTATTCTAATCCAAATAGTTTGAGAATATGTTAATAATTATTTATTCTCACATTAACCAAATGTAGAATCATCTTAAGGTTGATTCAAGACAAGTTGAAGAGTAAGAATGCCAATAATGCAAACTTGTAATTTATTATTAAATCTATTGAATTTATTATAATTCATTAAAAATGTAAATAGCATTGAATCAAGAATTTCATTACAAATAATTTTCACACGTTATCCTTGAATAAATAAAATTATTTGATTGTCATAATGGTGAATAATTCTAAAATGAAAAAATATCATATAAAAAAATCATAATAAAACTGAATTGAATACGTAAAATGTAAATAAAGTACTTATTATGAAGTTCATTGTTTAATTTATCAAATTTTAAAATCAAAAGATTGATGGGTCTGGCTTGTTCAAATAAAAGAAAAATCAATCTAGAGCTTCAAGAATAAGGAAAGCAAGAGGATTCAAAACTACAAATCCCCACATCTTTTAAATAAGAAATTTTACATCAACGGGACTCTGATATCGAAAATCTACTCAAACAAATTGAATTAATTGATACACAACATGCTTTTTCTAAGGTTTTATTATAAAATTTGAATGAGTTAATAATAAGGCGGTCAAACATTTTATTTTTGAGTCATAAATAAACATCAACTATTAATGATCATCTCAGTTATATTGTTTTGATAATCAGAGGACTTTAGGGGAATGAAGAATTTGAACATTACTTTCCAATTCTATCATATTCTTTTTATGATATGTGTTCGAGATTGGAGGTTTATCTAAGGAAATAATAAAATGAATCAACCAGATATTGTTCTTTATAGAGAATAACGTGATGCTGAAATTTATATATTTAATATTTAGTTAATAAATTAATATTAAAAAAAGTGAAAAAAAGTTTTAGATATGAATTAACCTTTAATAAGCAAATAGAACTTTGATGGACTATTATAGAAGGCTTCGTAGCTGATTGGCTAGGCGAAGGAATTAAATGATGAGATTCAGTCCTCAGATTAGACTTAATTTGAGAAGATGAAGGAAATCATTGAAAATGCAAGAGTGGCTTAATTAAATTTGGGTGAACAACTGGAACAAGTTATGGAACAATTAGATAAGATTGCAAAGGTAAATGAGTGAATTTAAATAGATATCCGAATAAAAGAAAAAAATAAAGTAATTAAGGGATATTTATGGAAAAGAAATAAATAGATACAAATAGATATAGAAAAATTTAATAGAAGAAGGGTATGAAATTAGAAGGTAAACTCTTCACAGAAGATCTACATAAACATAACAATATAAACCAAATGTTGTGTAATCTACAGTCACTCTTAAATAATCTTAAATCGAACAGAAACAATTTGAAGATTTAGTTGAGATATCATAATTGGAAATTGATAATGCAGTTATTAAAGAAAAGTAAATAAATTTATATAATCTACAGACAAGAGGAAATAGATACTATTGAAAAGGATGCTTTGCTTCTCAACCGGATAGTTAATGATATGAGCACAGAAGTAAATAAATAAGGTGAATAACTTAATGAAGTCGAGATGAATATGACAACTGTGCAAGATAATTTGAAAGTGACTGTCAAAGAATTGGATATAGCTAAATAAGAACAAAGTAAGACATGTAAGAAATACCTTTGGTTGGGTCTAATAGTTTTAATTCTCTTAGGAATAGTTGGTGGACTCCTTACATGGTTGATACTTCATATTAAACATGAACGTGAGGCTAATAAGAATGAAGATGATGATAACAATGTAGTTAATGCTACAATGAGTTTATTTATCAAACTTATCAATTTGTGATGCATTTCGTAATTATCATTAAATTAATAATTATCTCATCATTTAATTGAACTCCAATAAAGACAAACTTCCATCTTGATTACTATCAACTTCAGTCATGATTTCCGACCATGGGTTCTCTGTTTCAGCATTGCAAACCTTAAATGTATCTTAAAGTTCTTCAACCGAAATGTTACCTGACCCATTCTAAAATAATTTAGTTATATCTTTATACTCGATCTATCAATTTAAAAGCAGTTTCTATCTTACTTTTTTGCAACATTGTTTATCTATCAACACTTCTGGTCAAAAACGTAGAGTATGTTAGTGGATGCTAACATATTTTATTTATTTGTTAATGAACAAAACTTTAATCATAATATTTCAGCATAACTGCCTATAACTCATCTTAATCCAATACTCCATCTAATTTAGTATCTATATGCATGAAGACTACTCTCAATTCAGAAAGCTCTTCTCTTGTAGCTAAAAATTGCACCATCAATTTTAGAGTAGCTTCCTATAATCTTGAAGAAGCTTAAAATGTAGCCAAATTTGTCACCACTCTCTTAATCAATCCATCAAAAACCTTTAATTCATAATTTTTTAATATCCATATATCGTTTAATGCCATCTCCGCAGTCATTCTCCTATTGGGATCCTTTTATAACAATTTTACAATCAGATTTTTAGCCTCCTCTGAAGTATTATCCCATTCAGGGTCATCAAACTCCACTTCTTGTCTTATAACACTCTTTATAATCAGTTCATCAGTCTTTCCTCGGAATGGAGGATACCCACATAAAAGCAGATACAAAATTACTCCTATTGCCCATATATCAACACCACTATGATAATTCCCTAATATTAATTCTGGAGCTTGGAAATATGGATGATTAGGTTAACTAGTCATTTTGTGATCCATTTTACTGCAACTTCCAAAATCAATCAAAATAGGCAGAGAATCCTCTGAATTTCTATCAAATAGTATGTTCTCTAACTTTATTTCCCTGTGACAAATTTACTTTTTATGACAATAATTTATAGTGTAAAGTAGAACATATATAATTTTTGCAGCTTAAGCTTCAGTGAATACCCTTTATTTATCAATATGGTCAATAAGTTCTCCTCCAGAATAATATTCTGTTATTATATAATGAAATCTGTCATCAGAAAAATACTCATTCACTCTGACAATATTAGGATGATCCAACATTTCTAAAGTATTTATTTCATTTATGATCTTTCCTTCTACTTTATTTGATACATTTTTCTAGATTATTTTCACTGCTCTCATAATTCCTGTCTTCTTATTTATAATTTTTCTAATTTCACTATATTTCCCTTTACCAATGGGAGGTGTTAGAAAAGAGTATTCTTTGCTCACCCTTCCAGCTTTTCTGATTAATACTTCAATTTGATTTCTATTTTCAATTACTAAAATAAATTAAGGTGTTACTTAGACAATCTAACATCTTTTCATTATGTTCTTTGTTATATTAATTTTCAGTTTATTTATTGCCCATAAAATATAGATAAAAATAATGAAATGTAAAACAATTCTTCCTCATCCTCTTCTAACCTAAAATAACCTATTACATTTAAATGGGGTGTACTCACAATGAATAGAGGATTTAGGTATTAGAAATACAGAAATATCTCAGATATATTTTGATTAATTAAACCATGTTAATTTCATATTACATTAAAATTAATATACTTAAAAATAGTTAAGATAAAAATATAAGAATAACATTTATTTATAAAAATCTATATTCTAAATATTATTAAATTAGAAATATTGTTGAATGAAGAAATATGTTGAAACATGGAAATATCTATTAATGAGATGATTAATTTGATATGATGATACAGCTCAGTTAAGTTTGTAAGAAACAAACTTCAGGTTCAATTTTATGTATTATTTGCAATTGGGATATATTTGTCAGGTCTAAATGAGTTTTTAGCGTATTATGATGTTGGGTCAATATTGCAAAAAGTGGCCATGAATTAATGATAAAAATGCAATCTGGATGTGATCAAAAGATTATTATAAAAATAAGTGATAAAAAACAATAATAAAAACTAAAATCTTCAAAATAAAATTATTTGATCATTTTATAAGTCATATATGTTTATTTGCGGAAAATGCTTTAGTTTTCAGTTTTTTTTATATTGTATTATTTATCTAGTTTTTTATTTGATGATCTTTATGCCAGGGGAACCCTCAACAGATCCTAGAAACTGAGGTATTGTTTTTTTTTATTTTTCGCTAGTGTAAAACATATTCAATACTAATATTCAAACTCTTTTTTTCTTGGATCTGTTTTAAATGCCAGGTTTAATTATTTGAGATATTGAATTATCTTCTCCTCTATAATACATAATGGGCTTTGTTTTTAATGAATTTTGGGGAGGAGGTCTTCTAAAGATTCAACTGATCCATCACTCAGTTATTCTGTGGAGCTTATGTCGTCATCAAAACCATCTTCTACAGGACTTCTTAAGTCTAAGGTGATGTTTTAGGATAATTAAAAATGCATAAGAAATAAATATATATACATTTTATAAAATCATCTAAATGTTGTATCATTTTAGTTTTAAATTTGTAACTATTATATAACAATAAAAATCATCAAAATTGCACTTTCTTAGGCTTAACGCTATCCAGCCATGTGGATTTTTTAATTAGTCTTCTGGACTTTTTAGTTTTGAGCTTTAAATAGTTCTTATTGACTTCGATATTTCTCTGTAAAACATTCGTGATATTATCCTGCGGGTTAAAATGTTCAAATTCTTTTTGTTTATCTAGATAGGATACAACATCAGGTTTGATGATATTTAAATATTCATTATAAAGTATTTAATCTGGATAATTTTTGAATTCAATTTATTCTGATGACCTATACGAGAGTATTTTGAACATCTAGATGAGATTCTGAGAATCACTATCCGATGACTCATTACTTTCAGCAATAACCTATCTGATCGAGGCTCTGACACCGTTTCTTCTTTTAATTATTTTTGGCTCTTCTTTGGAGGACTACGCAATTTTAACTGATCTATTTTCCATATTCAATTCAGCATTTCGCAATCGAACGAAATCATATTTCTATACGAATTCTTCATTAATTGATTCCTTTTAGAAATAGTTTTCATCAACTGCAAATGATAGTACACCCTCTTGGATACTTAATTTGTCATTAAAGGTTTGCTATTATAAGGTAAATGATAAAATAATACATATTATATTCTGTTTTCTCTGATAAAATTGGAGCGATCCTACTTTACTTAATAAATCTTCTTGATTATCTACTTAGAATTGGGAGTATAAAATAAGACATTGCATTTCTCTAATTAGTGAGTCTATTTGCAAATATCGCATTCTATCAAAGGACATTCATTCAATCTCATGCTCTATTGTAACTTTTTAAATTTCTGCCAATCTTTGGGATAACCCACTAGTAATTACTGAAGTTCTTATAAATTGATTTAGACTATTCTAGTGAATGTTTTTGATTTAATTGTATAGGGGATCGGCGATTAAGTGAAGAAATAATTCATAGCAATGCTTTAAGATGAATCTAATCTGCGAATCTGAGAAAGCTTATTTTGTTTATTTTTATTAAACTCAATAATGATGTCGGCGTAACCTTCTATGATGAATGATAGTTCATTCACTTGATCGCCTTTAAACAGAAACCTTTCTTCTGGGATCAAGAGACGTTCATGCATTATTAAGCAAATCTTATTTATAAACTCTTCACTAAAGGTTTTAAAAATTAAAGGTTGCTTCATTAAGTATTTCTTATAGAAGTCTATTTTAACTTCTTTCCTTAAATCCTCAGTTAATTACTGCATCAGAACTTCACATTCTTGATCTCTGTTTTCCTCGATTTAAAAATAATACTCAAAGAACTTCCTGACTCTGATCTCTAATTCCTTATTCAAACCTCTCTTCTAGATAAACGAAGTTATCATACTCATCCGATGTCTCTGAGTCTTCTTCAATTCAGTTATATTATTAAAAATCTATCCTATGTTTGAAATTGTGAATCCAAATACTATCGAACTTAATAAGGCCACTAGAATGACATAAGCCCTCTCTATATTAGTGGTAGGCAGAATGTCTCCGTAGCCTATTGTTAAAGTAGTCACTGAACCCCAATACAGTGCAGTGACATATTATTATTCCCAAGATACATCTTGTATATGGTTGATCTATATCCAAGTGTTCTAGACTCCATCACTTATTTCAGTTTTGGCTATTAAGAAAAAGAGACAGGCAAAGATGTGGGACGAATATAGAAATATACTCATTAATTTAATCACATCGATGTAAGTCCCATAGTTCTTACGCATATTGTAATTTTCCTCAAAAAATAGTAATATGTCCACCAATGCATTTAATCTGAGTAATATGAAGAAATTCAAAAAGTAACTTTAGTCAAAATTGAAAATCAGAGGGACCATACTCAGACAATCTAAAATGCAACTATTTTTTAAGTAATGTTTTGCTATTTCTTTTCTTTAAGACTTCAATACTCCAGAGTCGTAATAGGCTGTGTTGAATTGAAGTATTATATGAATGAGAAATAAATAATCTGGTAACATCAATAATATTACTTCTGCTTCTGGCCATTCAATATTGAAACTCATATTCATAGGCAAATACGTCACATTGATGATTAGCATTATTGAAAGGATGAAATCAAAAATTAGCTTGAAACTGTTATTAGGATTTATTGTGTGACTAAATAATGTATATTTGTAGCCTGTCTTTATTTTATTTAGAAAGTTATTAGCATTGAACCAGTATCTTATTTTGTCCTTATATTATCAAATTAATACCATATATGTCAAGTTACTATTAACATAATTCTGATTTGCGTAGAATCGATAATATGCAGATTGATCATTCAAGGCTTTAAAATTTTGATGAGTGAGCTTTCTAAATTGATATGAATGTAGATTCGACAACATCTTTCTTATAAATGTAAATATTCTTATGGTGATGATTAGTCCCTTTTTCTTCCATATCATATTCTTAAAACTCTGCATTTCATACATTGAGTATTTATTTTTAAATTAAAAAAATGAAATAATGGGTACAAAATATGGTAAAGACATATAAACAAATGAATAAGCCAGATGACAAATTGAACATCAAAAAGTTTTCGAGTCTTCAATATCCACAATGTCCTTTTGGAGGTGATCATAGTGGAGAAGCTATGAGTTTGATTTGTTTGGAAAAAGATTGTTTACAAAGCCAAATTTTATGTTGTTGTATTTGTTAAGAGGAATTTCATAAGGGACATCAATTAAAACCATTAAAACTCTTGTTGTGTGAATATGATTAATAATTGAGGTATTTTCTTTTATAACATTTAGAGAGTATTAAAATATTTCTTTAAAATAAAGCGAGAAGGATATCCTAATCAAGAAGATTAATGAATAAGAAGAAAAACAATTGATATACATTTAAGAGTTTAAAGAACAAATAAACAATAAACTGTCTAAAATTGTCACCTTAGAAAAAGAATTCTTCGAAAACTTACGCAAATTTGTGAAAATGAGAGAATTCAGCACTGGCAATCAATGTAATTATCCACATTAATGAGATCCAGATGCAGTCATTGAGACAATCATTTAAAATCAAACTAATGTTGAAATGCTTAGTAGCTCAGTCAAGAATTTGCTTGATGCTTTAGTTGTTTAGGAAATTCCAGAAAAAGATCTCAATTATGAAGAAATCAATAGGATTTTCGATTTTCACATAAAAGATCAAAAGGATCACTTATCCTAATTGGAAAAACAATTTAATTAAGGCATAGAGTAGCAGATTGATCTCCTGTAATCAAAGACATAAAAAACAATATTCTAGAAATCTTATCAATTCTAATTTCTACCAAACAACAAACATCCTTAGGTTGATATAATACAACCAAAGATTGTAAAAGGTATATTCTATATATAATTGTGTTTAAAGCAAGCAACTCAAATCATGGATACAAGTTTGCAGTGATGACTCCATCATTAGACAAAAATCAGACAACTGTTTTTGGGTTCAAATTGAATGTAAAATTATGATTTCTAAGCAATATCTAGTTTGTTCATTAAAGCAATTGGATTGCAGTTGGAGTATGTGATTTATCGATAGTGTAAAGCAAGCAATTCGGATTTGCATTTCAATCACTGGGACATGGTGCATATATGGTGTCATCAAATGGCGGTGCTTGGTCTAGTACTACTTCTAATCAGAATAATGTGGTTAAATGCTTCAAGTTTGGAAAGGGGGATATCATTGTCTGCACTTATGACCCAAAGAACGAAACTATTATATTCCATAAACAAAAGGTTAAATGTTATTCTATGTCAGTCTAGCACCACATTCAAACTTGACATTCCAAAATCCGATCATGATTTGTACCCATGTGTTTTATTTTATTATGCTCTGGATGAAGTGGAATTCATACCCCCAGAAGGAATAAATAAATAATGAGTATTTATTTAGATTTTATTATTTATATTTAAAAATTATGGATAATCTTTACACTTAAGAAATTCGATAGAGATATTATTCCTCCATGACTTACTAGGAATATTTGGATGCTTATGATAAACCACCTCCTAAACCTCATATTAAGTATTTGTTTTAAAAATACAAAGACCAAAAGAGTCTCCTTTAATTCTTGATCCCTTGAGCCTTGAGCCTCCAAAAGGGCCAAAAATACAATAATAAAAACTGACTGTTTACTCTCCAGAGGATGTCATTTTCGAAGAATCAGAAACTGATGAGAAACCAAGAGCTGCTAATCATATTCCTTGTTAAAAAGCACTCATAGAGCATGTATACAAAAAACTAATATTAAGGATATTAGAATCAGGAGTTAGAGCGAGAACCTCGGATTTTCCGTATTTAGATTTTTGTCATCAAAGAAGAATAAAGTCCCATGATCCATTTATTTTCATATAATAATTTTTTTCTTTTAACACTTTCCCTGTAATGATGATATGCCTTCCTTTAAATATTTTTTGTAGAAATTCTTAATGCTTAAATATTAACAAATCATTTGATTTGTAATACTTAATGCAAGTGAATTTTAATTGAAAAATAGAATGCAGAACCAAATCATGGCTAGAATTGCTAGTCAGTCAACAATATTAATGTTTTAGTTTTGGGACTTGATTTCTTAGTTTCATCACATTTATAAATTATTTATCTTACATTCACTTTTACTAATTAACTAATAACTAAGTAATTATTAAGTTTTATGGATAAGGGATTATCAAATATGTCTATCGAAACTATAAGCTAATCCGAAAGACTAGAAGGAATACCCTAAAAGACTCTTGTGGATAAAGCAACCCAGACAGATGAAGTGAAATATGTGAAGGTTTAGAAGATTAATTTCGGGTCATTAATATTTTTATTGATGGGGATCGTCATTTCATTTGTCATCTATGTGGATATACAAGGCAAACTCAACATCCAGTAACAGCAACTGGAGTAGAAGCGAAAAGTTCATAAATCATTTTATTTAGGGATGTATTTTAGATTATGAGAAATAGAAATGTTTTTTACAATTACCAGCATAAAAGATCTTTTGCAGAGAATTGGAATTGTGTATAAATGTGGATTGGGAATTGCAACGAGGAATCGAATTGAGCGGGATCATTGCTGATATGTTAAACAATTTTATAGATCGGATAAATCTAAGAGTAAATGTGTCTATACTATTTTAAGACTTATTTTCTATTGATAATTCCATTTATAGCTATATCCTTAGGAATAATAAAAATAATCTTTAAATGATTAATGAATATAACTATTGTACTTTGGCAAATATTATATGTCTTCATTTTTTACCTTATTTTTAATTCTAAATTAAATTTGTAATTTAAATTGTTCACATTCTTGTTTTAAATTCTTAAGAAATATATTGATATCTTAGACACATAAAATATTATACAAAATGCCATATTGGTTAAATTTTTGTGTAAAATTTATTTTTTTTCAATGGTGATTTAATTTATTTTATTAATTAAATGGGAGATAAATAATCGTCATTCATTACCCTTCTGATCACTGCCATGATTCTCTCAGGAGCAGCAAATACAATAGGTACTAGTTTGATGATGTATATCTTTAGTCTATAAATTATAAAATACAAGTAAAGTTACTGTTGATGGATGGGCTGCATCAAATTTCAACCATCCGTTTATGCAAGCAGTCACTATGTTTTTGGGTGAGTCTTTGTGCATATTACTATTTTTGAATATCAAGAAGAAGCCAGATTATAAATAAGGATGTATTGAAGCAGCAGCTAAAGGGTATATATAGAAATTTTATATATAATAGGTTAAAAACAAAAGTCAATTATGGTTGGGTGGCAATTCCAGCCATGTGCGATTTAACTGCCTCGACATTGGCTTATATATCCTTGAATTACATCCCCCCATCCATTTATCAGATGTTGAGAGGAGGAGCAATCATCTCAACTGCAATTATGTCCACATGTTTCTTAAAGAGACATATTAAAAAGTACTAATGGTTTGGATGCTTTTTCGTCTTGGTGGGTATTACTTTAGTGGGAATGAGTTCCTTTTTATTTCCACCCAAGAAAGACAACAATGATGATTCGGATTCAGGATCTGAGATTGGAGCTGCTTACTTTATATCTGTTGGATTATTGTTATTATCAGTTGTGATGAACGGACTCTAATTTGTGTCTGAGGAGAAACTCTTTGATGTTTATTATTTGCATCCTTTTGAAATCGTAGGCATTGAAGGATTGTGGGGTTTTTCAGTCTACGTAGTGTTGGCAATAGCATTGACTTTTATCTAATGTCCAAGTTCAATGGAAAATAGCTGCATCTAAAAAAGAATGACGGACATGTTTTACTTTGAAAGAGCGGATTTGTATTTCTTGCAAATCTTTGGCAACGGCTTATTACTCTTTTGGGTTATTTTGGGCATATTCACAATAGCAACATTCAATATCTGTGGTGTTTCAGTTACTAAATATGTGTCTTCCTTGGCCAGGTAAAGATTCTTTTGATTAATTAGATCTCTTGTCGATGTTTCAAGAACATTAATTATTTGGGCTGTTTCATTGGCTATCACTTGGATAGATCCAGAGGCCAAATGGGAAAACACAAGATGGGAGGCTATTGTTCTAGAATTGCTTGGGTTCTGTATTTTAGTTACTGGAAATCTAATCTACAATGGAACCATCAAGTTGAAGTTTCTGGATGAAGGCTCTTAAGGTAAAATATCTCGTCTATATATTTAAGTCGATCCATTAAATGATGCCACTTAACAATTTCTGGATAGTAAGAATGGTCAATCATTATAGCCTCAATGAAGTATTATTTAATATTGTATAATTATTTATCATTTATTAATTTGCAGCATTTTATTCTCAAAGAATACATATTAAAACAACTAAATTTATTTCACTATTAATTTTTTTAATTCCTTTTTGTCAAGAAATGCATTAATTGGTCAAAACAGGGAAATCCAAAAGCTTTAAAGATTATTCCATCTTAAAAAAAGCCTCTTCCACTTCTAAAATTATTGAATAAGGTCAAAGTGCATTTCTCAAACAACAAAGTTTCGAAGTTAGAACATCAAGGAAAAAAAGTTCAATACTTTTGAAGGATATTATTGATTAATCGATATTAATTGAAAATATTAAAAGTATTCAAAAGTAATTACTGTACTTTATATATAAATAGTCCAAATTTACACTTAGGAATGAATTTATTATAATAAAAAATTTGGGAAAGAATCTAAAAATGTACCTAATAATAAATAGTATACTTATATTTGTCTACCTTTAGGATGAATACAGTAACGTAGCAATCATAGTTTTGAAGCCAGATTACGAATATGAGTTCAATTTTTCAATTTCTAAGTTCTCATGTTTCAATACTATCAAACAATTATCCGACTCTTTGGCAAAGTAATTTCATGATCTTACAAACAATAGTAAAACATATTTATATATCAATATAAGATTTAGATGAACCTTACCTATCCATGCTTATTGGAAAAATAAAAACTCAAAGGTTAGATGGAGATATGAGATTATTCGAATTACTTAACATCATTATGAATGGTAGAAAACTATTAGTTCTTTAAAGTTAAACCTAATGAAATTTCAAATTATTTGATTTATTCACATTTCCTAATTTATGGAAAATTTCAATTATTATTTATTACATTTAAGTACATTCTCAAAGAACTCTAAAGTGTTTAGAAATGTGTTTCATTTTATAATGTTTATAGTATTTGTTTCACACACATAAGTACATTTTTAATTTGTTTTTAATTCTAAGAAAATATCACTGTAACTAAATTTTGGTTAACTATTTTTGGAATCTCTTAGCTCAATCGTATTTTCTCACTTCTTTAATCGTCCACTTATTTTTTCAATTTGAAAACTTGATTGCATAAGATAATCTTCTCGAGAAGTAATTTATAAAATATACATTATTTATAATAACTAAAATCAAAAGTGTTAATAAGATTCATCAAAATAATGCAAACTATTTTTTCTGTGGCTTGTTTCCATTTAGTCATAAAATGAATGATCACTGTATTATATTACAGTTTCTATTTGACTATTAGTGCTGATTGATCCATGTACAAAAGTCTCTTATTTATCTGCAATTTATCTCATTCTATCCAAATGAGTTTGATGTTTTGAGTTACATGGTGTTTTAAGCTGATTAAGAGTAAATTCTATAAGCTAAGGGTCATATGATGATTGAGCTAAGGCAATAATTGATTTAGGACAAAGTGATAAATTACTAAATGGATTATAGTTTTCTTTTTAAGATAATTCATATTGTTGTCCTCTTTTTGAAATTTTGACTTTGGTTGACATTTGCAAATATGGATATTTTGCTTTAATTAACAGATTAATTTTATTAATAAATTTTTATTTTAGTACCTCTAAATTAGAAATGATTTTTTCACAAGATTTTGATTTTAAGCCAAGTGCTTCGATAAAATGGGGATCTCAAGTACATTATATGAATTTATATAAAACTTTAATATTTGTTGGCGATTTCAAATCTTTGTCATTTTGTTAATGGTTTGACATAAAAATCAATCTGATTAGTTTACTGAAATCAGGATTTTAAGCTTATGGACATTTATTTTGTTTAATGAATGGAGTTTAATTTAGAATTCTTTGATGAATAAATAAAGCATGGTTCATTTTTGTTGAGTTTTCTAGAGATTAATTAATTAATAAAATCAGTAATATACAGCATTTTCATACGTATAGAATTATAAGTATTGAATAGGTGAGGCAGATTTGATTGAGTTAATCTAATAAAGTGGGATTGCAAAGGAAAGCGTATCTTTAAACTACTATAATTTTTGATTAATTAATTTTATTGCTAAAATGTATAATAAATTGATTTAGGTTACCACAAAAACAAATTGGGATGATATCAGGAAGGAATAGATGCGATAAATGTTGGAGCAAGGTATTTCCATATGAATGATATTATATAAAGGTTCAAATATGACAGATGATGATGTTGTTTATATAAAGCATTGTATTAAGAATTTTAGTGGACCACCTGCATATATGTGGTTGGAGAGCAACCTTAAAGGGGATCAAATTAATGAAGTTCATAATTTATAATAACATTAGATCATCAAACATATAAAAATAGCAACAAGTAATGATGGATCGAATCCAATATACTTTGTTTAAGAAGGTATTGTATCGATTGATTGTCAGGTGAATTAACATCAAAGACAAGAGTATACAAAAAGGGCGAGGTAGTATCAAATGAAGAAGTCGAATTTGGATAAGGAGCCATTGCTTTTTAGGTGGATAGATAATTATTCAACTCTTTTAAAAATGTATCCAATTACACAAATTAAATAGAGTGCCGAAATGTAAGAATTGGAAATAAAGTCTCAAAATTTGCAACGTTGTATTCCGATTAGATCTCTAGATATTTAAAAAAAATAGGCTCTGTTGCCATTATTTAAGGAAACCAAAAAAAAGTTTGGTAGCATAATGACAGTTCCAGAAGGAGGAACAGCAAGTTTATACTTTTAGACAAAAGGCACAACCTTAATTTTTACTTCCACAAAAAGTCATAACTTCATTATAGTTGGATGTATTCAAAATGTCGGAGTGTTCAATGAATAAAAATTATTATTTGATTAAGGATCAGAGTATGGAAGTATATCTATTTGTGAATCAACTGTAAAAAATACATAATGAATATTAGCTTTATTAATTATAAGCAGAGGATGTAACTAAATTGCCAGATGATTGTATACAATCTTTGAGAGCAGGCTTTTAGGCTAAGAAAATTATATACAAATCCATAGTGGACAAAGTTCAATAGATGAAAGAAGATGATGAATTTGTAGAATTCTAAGATAAAATATGTAAGAAGTATTCAATTGAATATGGAAACATTTTAAATGTTATCTAAAAAAATACAAAAAATGGAAAGATTGAATCAACAGATAAACAGGAATAGATTGAAAAAAATAAGTAAATGTTCGAAAAAACTATTGGTGGAAATAGAATGAACAATGTCTTAAGTTAAATGAGTGATAAAGAAAGGACTTTATGTTTAGGAACTCCCAGAATTGTTAATAAATAAGCTAACTTCTTGGGTTTGACTTAAGAACAAGAAACTTCATTATTTGCTTTGAGACAACTTGGTATTTCATTTATTTACTATAACTTAAGCCACTGATCTAAGAAAAGGAAATTCAAATACCAATTCAATTATTCCAATGTCCAAAGAGTCTGTCAACAAAGCCAAATAAGCCTTGCTTCAAGAAGAGAAAATAAATATTGGGGAAGTGTTATAGAGAAAGACTATCTCTACAAAACTACAAGAGGATCCGTCGGTGCTTGGAAAAATGAAGAAAGATAATTATGAATTGCTCTCTTAATACCCTCAAGAAGAAGAGAAGGTTCTAAAAATACATTCGGAAGATACCAACAAGGAATCCAAACCAACAGAAACAGAAGGAAATACTGATCAAAGTGAATTCAAAGGGAGACCAATGGGTAGATAAAGTTCTATAAAAGGACAACAAACTGCACAACAAATTTAAATTGATAAAAAAAATAAATTGCTTTAAAGTTTAGTTTGATGTAAGATTGACATCAATATTTATGTATATCTTTAATAAAAAATTTCAAATTTCAAATTTTGAATTCTTTAAATTTTAATTCCAAAGATGAGAAATGTTTTTAGATTGATTTCAACGAAATTCTATATCTTCCAATATTAATTTATTGATTTAGAGAATCGTATTCAATACATTTTTCAACACATAATTAATCCTCTTGCAAATGTTAATATAAATATTCTATAAACTATATTATAATTAATTACCTTTAAATTTCCTTTATGCATCCAACTTTTCATTATTTTAGAGATTATTTTGTGGATTGTAATTCTTCAATTCATAAAGAATCTAATCCAACTCTCTTTTGTCATCTTAGGTTTAAGTATTTAACTCATTTTTCTACGCTCTTATTTCCTCTAATCTCTTAACTGCATTCAGATAGGTCTCATTTTTTTCCTTCTTTTATTATTGTAAGTGATCAATTTCTTTTTACAAATTATTTTTTTCCTTTTCTTTTTATTCTCTTTAGCTCTAAAATCTAATATATTTTTATTGAATTTCTTCAATGTAATTTTTTTATATTTCAGGGTGGAAATTCAAACCATTGAGAAATACCTCAGTCGTTTTATACTATTTCATGTTCTGATCTAAGACATTAAGAATTCCTCCTAATTTTTCATCATGAATTTCTACTGACTTTTTTGTTTCGGTAGGTTTAAATAATCTGCTCATATTCTTAGCTAGTTCCTAATCTCTTTAATACTCCTTAGTTAAATCCTCTTTATTCCCTTATTCCTATAATTGCTATTAAATTAATAGGTTCAATTCAACTATTTAAGAGTCCAGATTATTTATATCTTAAGCACACTTGTCAAATTGTTTAATTTTACTTTCCAGTGTGATAGTTTCTAATTTGCTCAACTCATATTGAGTGCATTCCTATTTCAATTATTTTTCTTCAGCAGTCAACCTGTCCAATTACGTTTTTTTGTAAAATATTGCCTCATTTAATTGTATTTTTTTTTCAAAAAGAGCATTATAATTCAATAGAGCATCTTAATTAATAGTATTATTTATTGAGCTCGAATTAATATCATTCAAATATTTTTCTAATTCTTCATTCAATTGTAAGTCTAAACATTTATTTACTTACTCCTCCAGACCAATATGTTTATCTAATATTTTGTCCAAATTTAAGCGCGAAAAATACTCTAATGCCAAATTCAATTGTGCTAATTCCGATTAAATAGGTAACCAATCTTGTATTGTCTGAATCCCAAATTAATCACTAGAGTTAAAGTTGATATCATTTTCTAAATAATATTGAATTTCTGATTCTGTCACTTCGGGTTCAAAGCGCTCTGAAATTGTTTTATCCTCCGATGATTGTCTTCCAAAGATGGCAATCAAAACACATAATCCTAAAAAAGCAATTAAAATGCTTGTTCTATTGGCCAAAACATCAGTTCTTTACATTAAATATTATTTGATTTTAAATTATATTACTTAAAATTTAAATTGTTTAAAATAACAATAAATTAATAAATATTATATGACTATTTTATGTTCATCAAATTTATGAATATATGTGGTAGTAACATAATTATAAAATAGTCGTTGCAGTTTTATAAATTCAAAACCATTTTAATTTAGAACATTAACTTTATTATAATACCCAATAGATTAACATAGATGCATTAATATAATAGAATGAATAACTCTTAATTTATATATAATAATAATGCTTAACTTTTGTAACAAGATACTTCCTTAAACTGTTAACTTTATAAACTTTTATACTTAATTAAGATTTTACCATAAATGTCATCTAAATTTCAGTAAGGAAATTCCTCATTTGTACTTAGCAACTTGACAACAAATGTAATCTTTACTAATAATGATTTTAGTTTCTAAAATGAAGTAAAATTTCTATATATAGTATCTTATCAATGTATTATTCATTTCTCTTTCCATATTCCTGGAAGAGCTATTTTTGAATAATCAATTAATTACGTCAATTTTTAACATCTTTTTTTATCATTAAAGAAAACTCATTATATAACTTTGTCTTTTCAATATTAATCAATAAAATTTGAAATAAGTTCCTCTATAAATTTACAAATTTTAAAAAAGTGTTTCCTTATAAATACTACACTATTAATTGAATATTTTTCAGCCGGAACGAGTGTCTAAATGAATAATATACCTAAGAAGTTGATATAAATCAATAAAGGAAAGTGGTCTATTGGATAATTAGTCATAAATTTATATATATATATATATATTAATAAATTGATAATATAATAATTATTATATTCGTTGAACAGATAATAATTCACCTTAGTTTCTCAAACTTTTAGAGCACCTTTTTCTAGAGGGCTTCCATTTCTAATAAATTGTCATTTTCATAATATTATTTAAAATTAAATTGCTAGTTCGTAAGTCTGTCATCAAATTAGAAGGTTTCCTCTAATCGAATGCAGTCCAAAACTCTATCAGCATGAATCCATTATTATCGATTCTTAAATAAATATTGTAAATTACTTGATCTTAAGGCTTAGTTTTTTTAAGAGTTTCAATCAATAACTTTGAATAATCCTGCAAGCATTTGACTAATATTTATTGATTGTTCTATTTAAAGTTGTTGTTTATAGCTTATTTGATGGCCTCATCCATTTTTGGTCTCTATTGAATTTGAATGCTAATTTTTTCATAGATTGAATCAAAGTAAGATTTAAAAACATCAAATTCCTTTGAAATGTATGTGTGAATGTCTTTATAATCCTTACTTTAGGTGAACTATTCCCAAAACCTAGGATGTAAATAACATTAATTATATACTCCAATTGATAATAATTTTATTTGTCTTGTAGAATTGTTTTAAGGAAATCAATTAATTGCAACAACTTTTTGACTAACAAGAATCCTGTGACGTCATAGTTTTGAATAGTCATATTGTTCATGGCTTCTTCGGCAACAGATGCAAGAAAAACATATATATTTCTTTCATGTAAAATCCTATTAGCATTTCGTTTTTTGGCCTTGATTTCTTTTTCTCTTTATGTTTCCTTATCAGTGACTTCCTCATTTCCAATATCTTAAACAGGTCCTTGAGTACTCTAAACACTTTTGGCTGAATCCTATCTGGCAAGATTATTCTCTTCTTAGGGTTTCTTTAATAATGGTCCAACATATTGTTGTTATTAATTCTAAGGACCCTTTTGAGCTACTTACATAGCGAAATTATTTAGATCCTCCTTTTTCTTGATTTCAGCTGGGTGATCAATGACCATGTTATTTTTGATGTAAAATTTACTCATATTCATCATTAATTCTCCTCCCTTAAGTGTAGTTTCCAGATCTTTCTTTAACTTTTCTTCCTGATAGAAATTGATTTCGTGCTTAAAAAGATCTTCCCAAGATATTCTATTTTTAGGATTTACTACAAGCATTTTTCTTAAGAGATCCTCTGCAGTAGGAGTTATGTTGTTAACCTTCCTATTGATAACAAACTATTTAGTTTATATGTTCTTGAGCAACTCAACCATGTTTGTGGCTGTAAATGGCGATTTTCCGAATAATAGTTCATAAAAACAGGTACCAATTGACCAAATATCTGCTTTGCTGTCATATTCTTGATTATTCAACACCTCTGGAGCCATGTTAAGTGGAGATCCGAGCATGGTGGTGGCTAAACCTTGGTTGTCATTCAAAAGTTTGGAGAATCCAAAATCAGCTATTTTAATATTGCCATCATGTTTTAGGATATTTGCCAATTTGAAGTCTCTGTGCATAATCTTATTCTTAACGAGTGTTTTAAATCCGTTTAGAATTTAAAGCAAGTAATCAACTGCTTCTTCTTCCAGTAAAAATTTCTTTTGTTTAATGTACTCTACATTTAAATGACAATTATTAATACATGAAAGATCACCTTCATTACAGTATTCCATTATTAGATATATGTTGTTGGCAGTCTTCTTTATATCATATAGTTTTATGATGTTATCATTATTGCAAGTCCTCAGTACTTTTATTTCATTTTCTAACAACTCCGTAAACTTCCCTTTCAGCAGTTCCCTAATATTTGAAATACTCAACACCTCTTTACGCATTTCACCGCTATGTCCACATTTGTTTGCTTATTATATCCTTTGAACACTTCTCCAAATTGTCCTTTTCCTATACTTCTCTCAAGCACATAGCTATCAACTACTTTTGGCATTTAATTTAAAATATTATTAATGAACCTTAAAATCACAATTAATTAACAAGCCTCAATAAGTGATTCACTAATTATAGCTAATTTAAACTTAATATAATTCTTTAGAGATAATACATTCAATAAGATTGAATGTGATTCATTATTAACACTCAAGGATGCTGTTCAGATCTCATAGATATTAAAAGATCGTAAATTATTATACATATAAATAAGAGGGAGTTTTAATATATGAAGGAGAGATCAATGAGTCGATTATAACATACTTTTAAGCCAGTGGATTATATAATTAAGGTCAAGGGAAATTTATAAAATAAGTATTATAAATTAAGAAACTGAATATTCCACAACAAGAATTCAATAATTGTTATGGAAAATATGATTATATTGAGTAAAAATTCTAAAATCAAATCAATTTTTTCAAATAAGTAGATATCAATGGCAAATAAGAAATAATTGATGAGAACGAATTACTAGATGATGGTGTTTAAGTAAAATAGGTAGAAAGTTGTGCATCTAAACCTAGAGCATGTGCTAATTGCACCTGTGGAAGAAAAGAAATGGAGTATGCATAAATATGATATTAATTTTAGAGAGAAATAAGATAAAGAATAGTTACTAGAATAATTAAAAAATAATTCAGTCAAAGGTTGTGGTAGTTGTTATCTCGGCGATGCGTTTAGATGTGCAAATTGTCCATTCAGAGGTATTAATAATATAACTATTTCAGGATTACCTGCATTCAAAGATGGAGAATAAGTGAAAGTGTTGTAAGATGATGTATTTTTATAAGAACAAGAAGAGAAAGATTAAGTAAAATTGGAGAATGGAAAAGTCAAATTAAAGATTTGATTTATTTTTATTAAGAATCAATAATTCTATTTTGAATTCGTAAATTATTCAGTATATTATTTATGAACTCTATAATAAATCAGCTTATAGATATATCATAGTATATGATATATCTATAAGTAAAATAAGTTAATCTAGAATTCAAATTTAGTACCTAATTTAATCTAAGTTGTTTATAAGTGATTTTGATGCACAAATGCTAAATATTAATTATATCTTCATATATCAATGTATTATTCTCATGCATTTAATTCAAAGTAGCAATGATTGAGTTTGGTATAACTAAGATTTGTAAATTTCTATCTTTATTTTAATAAATTTTCTTATCTTACTCTTTTTAGCATATGTTGCGCATCTACTTAGATTCAATATTCTAGTGTTTACTTAGTGTGTTCTGATTGATTTATGCAAAATTTCTTTGCCATCTGATTTTAAGTTTGATCCTATTGCCTCATTGATTTATGATTAATATTTAATGCGCTAACAACAACAACTACCACGGTTGTCAGAAGATGAGCAATTTCCAGGTCGTTTGCATACCTAATCTAGAAAACTGAAGTTTGGAAGTACATTCCTCTATCAAATATGAATTAGCAACTGAAAACTTCAATAAGAAATCCAAGAAACAGAGTCCAATGGCTGAGTCTTAATTCATTAAACAAATTGACACCAAATTAGAGCAATACAATAAGGACATCGAACTACGCAATGACATGATTGTTACCATAGAAAAAGGGTTCGAATCTGTCAAGCAAGAATTGATTAAAGAGAAATTATTAAATGAAGAAAAAACTAAACAATTATAAGACCTGGGATCACAATATCAAGCAGCTCAATCCAAACTCAAGTCCATCCATGAATCCAATAAAAATGCAGGACAATAAGGAACTGATAAAGACAAAGACAAAATCCACTAATTGGAAACCGTTTAAAAAGCTATTCTAACAAAAGAACATTAATTGAATTAAACGATAGACTCACTCAATACCTAATTGAATGACATTACTCACAAAATTAAAACCAAGGAAGAAATGCCAGATGATTCCAAAAAATTGAAGGAATCAATTAGGAAGAGCGAAGTATTATAATACTTATATTGCCAAGGAGAAAAAGTACAAATCATAAGCTATAATGGATGAATTAAAAAAGAATTTAGAATCTATTTAAGCTGAGAAGTTATTAATCAAAAATCAAATGGATTAATACAAAAAAGAATACCTTGCTAAAGAGGAATGTTTGTCATCTGAATTCAATAATATTTAGAATAAGATTAAAGAATTGTAAAAGGAAAAAAATCAATTGCAAGAGTAAGTTAAGAAGTAGCCTGTCAATTCTTAGGATTAGAATAATAAATTATAAGAGGCTATCAATTAATTTAAATAACAATTGACTGAACAAAACAAATTAAAAGATGTATTTATTATTCCTTTTACCTTAGAAAGAAATAAATTAATGGAAGGCAAATCTTGATATTTCAATCAAAAATTTTGATCAATTGTCGCAATAAATCGAAGATTATAAATTAAAAATTGAAGCATCCTCTAAGAATTTAAATGAAAAAACTAATTCTGTAGAATAAATCCATAAATCCATAGGAGAACAAGAAAAAACACTTAAAAATCAATAAGCAGAAATCAAGTTGTTAAATTAAAAAATAGATGAATGCAATAAGAAATTAGGTGATTCAAAACCCAAAAACATGTCATAAGTCATCGAGACTATTTCAATTTTAGAAAAAACTCATGTATTCCTTAATCTCTAAACTTTTAGAAAGAAATTTAAAAAGGCCTGGCTTGTACTTTCTGCAATAAATTCATTAAATAGCCAGTTACAATTATACCTTGTGGTCATTCCTACTGTTTTGACTGCAAAAAAGGATATTAAAAGGAATGTTTTAAATGTGGACCTAAATTGAAAATTGAAGCAATGTATAGAAATGAATTGTTGGATGATATTATTGAAATGGTGAAATTAGTTGAGTAAAGCATTTTGAACATGAAATAAATTACTTAAAATTAATGAAATACTTTCAAATAAATGGATCCAACTTTTCCAAACTCTGCCCAGTATGTATTAATCTGTGGTCGAATTTAAAATCCTTTTATTAACCAATACATAGTGTATACTTATGATTTTATTCAATCTAAAAAAGTATTTCAATCGTGTTTGATTAAAGAGTAAAGAGTTAAGTATAGAATTTAAACTAATCAAAATATCATAATGTCTTAATCTATTTTGATGGCCTTTCTTAAATTATCAGGATGTGTTGCCTTCTCATCATAACAACTTAACAAGATTTAATACTGTATTATTGATTTAAGATTGTAAAAATTAAGTTCTGATTCTTATCATTATAAATAAAACTCAAAAATTCATTTTCTTGCTTTTTAGTAAATTATTTTCTAAACAATTTCTTCGATTTAATTATTCATTTCCTTTTCGAATTTTAAAAATTTGAAGGCTGTTTATTTAAATCTTTCCTAATTTGGTTCGTCATTTCTTTCCAACATTCCATAATAAACTTTAAATTCGTTTTGTAGATCCTAATATTTTTATTCTCTAATTTACTTTAACAGCATTAACATACGAATCCAAGCGCCTTTGAATTTCTAGTTTTTATTACTATTGTTATTATCGCTATTAATTTAGTGACATTTAATTAATTAAATAAATATTGAAATGTAGATTAAATATTAAAAGAAATACTAATATTATTGATTATCTAAATTAACTTTCTCATAAGATAAAAATGACAGGGAATTCACTATTATGGTTATGGATGTTATATTTCATTCCTGATTTTACCTGACCCTTTTTTATGCTCTTCATAACTCCATTTAAAACTCTATCCTAATTATTTATCGCATTATTCTAAAAATTTTTTGACTTCTGCCTCCCTTTTCAATTCAATTAATGAATCCACTAAATAAATAAGAAGGAAGTACATTTGTAGTATGCTAAATACTTATTAGGTTCTGTTATCAGATCATATAATTAAATGCATTCCTCATACTCTTTATTTTCAGTCTTCAATTTAGCTCTAAACAATAGAACTGTTTCATCATTCTAATTAATTTAAAAAGCATATTCATTTAATTTCTTCGCCTCCTCAATCTAATTTTAATTTGCTAGACATGTACACTAAAAATTAAAAAAGTGATACTTTGAGAGAAAGTAAACTGCAATTAGTTGGATATTATTTTAAGGCTTTATTTAATTCTGTAATGGCATCTGTATAATCAGTAGGTTTTTCTAGTTGTTTTTTCTCATTCAACATTTTAATTACTTTCAGCTTAACCTTATTAATATCTTCTTCATTGAATATAAATTTAAAATCTTAAGTAAATTTAGTAATTTTATCTGTTCTTTGTCGTATTTTTTCTAATTGTTATTGCATATATGGAGCAAAATGATCGTTCTCTAAAACGAAATAATTGTCTATGGTTTCAATTTTTAACAGTTCTCCTGGAGAAGAATACTGTTTACCCTTATTAATAAGAGCTTCAACAGATTCTTCATATTTATATATAAAGCTCTGGAAATTTTTTATTGAATCTTATAAAATTTGCTTTAATTTAAAAAGGTTCTCTAATCTTAATTGAACTTTTTATTTAAACTCCTCAATAGTCAATCCTTGATGATTTTAATGATATTCTTTATCTTAAAAGCAACGAAAACAAACGATTTTTTTTTTTTTGCAGTTATTATCGATGCAAATATATTTACATGGCATTTCATTATGCCTAGCATATTAACATCTAATTTCTGGCCAATTTTATTAACATGATGAATTCATAAATTTAATTTAATTAATGTGAATTTTAATCAAGAAAGAAACCCTAAAAGAATAATAATAAGTTATCTGATATATGCAAAAAGCAAGTTTCTAATTATTAATATTAATATTACCGAAAAATGAATTAGAAATCGTAAATTCAATTGGATTTCGATTCAGAAGACACAGAAGGATCTGACATCTCTTTCGAAAGTTCGTTCGATGAGTAGTTAGAATAGGAGTTTGAATAGAGTATATTAGACATTACTATTTAAAAGCCTTGCAATAGAAGGGGATAGTTTAATTCAAGGATCAAATGGAGAGAATGATGCAATTGAATTAAGAAATAGGAACAATCAAATTGGAAAAAGCAAATTTCGAGGACGAGGAGGAATTAAAGAAGTTATTCCCACCGAAATAATAAGAAAATTTGATCTCTCGCAAATCAATATCCAACATATAAATGTAAGAATCGATTAAAGAGCTAGTATGTCCCCAAGACAAAAGAGTTAGAGTGAAAATAAGAACAACTCTTAATGGTATTAGGTCTCGAAGAACATTTTGAACAGTTCCAAAAAGGTAGCATCTCAACCGACTTTGGAAGAATTCCAATAGAGGTTGAATCTGTTTCGGATAAATAATACAAAGAGTGACATCGTAGATTTAATAATAGAAGAGTAGGATAAATTATTGAAAGACATTCAACAATAAGAAAAAAAGAATAAGGCTATTGAAAATGCTGTTCATGAATCGATTGAGGCTAAGGTTAGGAAAGAAACTGGAGATGTGGGATATGTTTCATTTAGAAAGAAGATCTAGTTTCAATTTCGTATAAGAAAGGCTGAGGAATTGGCTTAGGAGAAAGTGTTAAAGCAGAAAGAGAAAAAAGAAACTGACATGCATAGATCCCTTTAAATATTTGATCAATTGTTTTTGAATAGAAATTATGATGAAGAGGGTGAAGTCAAAAGTTTGGCTGCTGAGGAGTTATACAAGAAAGTAAAGAGGTGCTAAGATGACATCGATGTCAAAAACACCATCATATAATTCATCATCTTGCATAGGAAGAAATAGATAGATGAATATAAGAACAAGCCAACAATCTTGAAACCTACTAAATTTATATCAGAGGACAGTAGAGAATTCTCATTACTTTAACCTAATATGCAATTTCGATAGTAGATGATGCAATAGCAATTGAATAAGGAAGTGTTAGACAAGAGAGACGATTTAGAAGGAGAAAACATTTATTTATTAACCAAGATAAATTAAATATTGGAAGGAAATCTCATGAAATTATGGAAACATAAATTAGGATCTAAAATGTGAACTTATCATTTCTACAATTTAATAAATATTTACATATTATATAAAATTAAATTAATTCTTATGAGTGAATACTTTCTGCAGTTTTAAAAATTACAAAAAAGGATCTAACTCAGAGAAAAGGCTTCAGATGAAGCTTGGTAAGTACTCTAAGGAGAAGAAAGACAAAATTTATTGAATGGAATTAATTTTTATAATTATAGATTCTTTGCTCTTAGAACATTTCCTATTGCCATCATCGGCATTTTATTGATGACACCTGTATTGCAAACTAAGAGCAGATTCTTCGTTAAGGAGTTGTCTTTGATTTTTGGATTCAGTGGTGGCATTATCTACGGAGATTATTAAAATAGTGAATATTTTTGGAATAATTATGGTAAAATTATAATGGAAAATACAAATTACAATGATTCTGGATTGACTTAAGATTAAATGGAGAAAATGAGAAAACTCTATGAAAAAAGCAAGAACTACAGACCTGAAAATAAAACTGATAAAATGTATGAATGATTGCATATCTAAAATATTGAATAATATTAATTTGTTATCAACTTATATACTCCATCAACTAGATTCATCATGAGATACATTTGGCTATGTAGAACTAAACATTTGAACCCCAATCTTATTTGATCCTTCATATTCATCTTCCTCTTCAAGTGATATCCCCATATTTTCACCTTGTCTTATTCTTTTGTATTTTTAAGCATAAACATCCCCTCCAAATATAAAGAGTATTGACACAATAGCCTATAGACCTGCCATAGTATATGAGGATCTTTAGAAACTATCCAATTGGGCTTCATTTGATGAATTTACTAAAAATGCATCATATACAATTCCTCCTATAACAGGTCCTACAAATGTTCCGAGAGAGTAAAAGGAAATGAATAAACCACTTGACAAATCAGAAATTGGTAATCTCAATGAAGGATCACTGTTGAACAGTTGATTTAGATAATCTATAAATTAAGGAATGGCAGGCAATACACAAAAAGCATTCGCAACACCAATAAATGGTAGTCCTATCATAGTCATAAACCATTTATTAGGGAAGATCCCTAAGGGGGCAATAATCAAATCACCTATGCAAGAGCAAAATAACCCAAAGGTTAATATTACTTTTTTGTCTATGCACTGTAACAATTTTGGAACTATATTAATACATATGATATAGGAGATGGTTAACCATCCTAATAATAAGCTAGCCACATCCTCTTCCATATTATAACATTTCATATGAATTGAAAAGATAGGATTTATGAATGTAGTACCTGCTGACATCATTGTCAATAATAAACCCAAACTCCATATTTATCGATTTCTAATTACTCTTTTCGAATTTAGTTATGGTTTCTTATTTATTGAATGATCATCCTCAGGTAAGAATATTGCTGTTGGTATTAAAGCCAAGAAAAATATGCCTCCCAATACATAAAATATCATCTAATATCCAAATAATGCATCCAAGGCTGCTCCAATAAAGGGACCACTCATCAAACCTAAGCTTTTGGTTATTCCATTAAAAATACCCTGTTAATGTCTCTAAAATAGAAATCTTTTTTTAAATAGAATCTGGCCATAATATTGGAATGTATGCAAATGATATACTACTATAAGCTGCTCGACTTGCTCCCTGCAAAAATCTAGTTACACAAGAGACAGTGACAAACAACTCTTTGTTAAATGTCATAAAATCTAACAAACCAAATGCAACCACTACTGCTGATTGAATAACCTATTTCTCATCAATTTATTACTAAACCAAGTAGCATACATCTTCTTCTTCCCCAATGAGACATTTTCTTACCCATAACCAAAGAAAAAAAAAATGCTCCTATTGGATTCAACCCAAAGATATATCCAATTGTAGATACTGAGACATGTGCTTTTTCCTTAGCTAAAGGAGGGTAGAATGGTGCTATCACTGAGACAGCGGCATTAAGGAAAAAGTTTAATACACAAAAGCATATTAAAGGCTTATCAATCTTATTTCTATTAATTCTACCCTTCAACTTTAGTAAGAAATTTTAAATACCAGAGAATCATCAGAGATGTCATAATCTGAATATTCTGTTGCTGCTTTGGCCATAGAATTCTTAATTTAATTTATCTAATCAAAATTTATTAAATATAATTATAGCATTTTTGTTTACTATTTTTAAAAATCTTAACATCAATCCATTTTATCCAATAGCCTATTAAATCCCCCTCTTCTATGCATATATTATCTGTATTTTCGTTTCTGATTTGCTGCCTTAAAAACACCCTCCACTGCACTTGCCTTAAATAATATTTTGAATTTACTGTGTGATCCTTTCCTTTTGATGAACCGAAACTTGTAAATCCAAATTTTTTCAATAATTCTTAATTTACCTTTTTCATTTTCTCCTCATAATCTTCTTCATCTTCTCCCTCTTCTTCAGGTTAAACTTCTTAATTGCCTATTTTATTTTATTCTTCTACCATTATATTCTGATTTTGTTCATTACTTTTTACTTATACTTAATTTATTTCAGCCTCCGAATTTTCAATTTTCTTCTAATCTATAATTTATTTTTCTTGATCACCCTTATTTACAACACTATTCTACACAACATTTTCCACTTACTATTTATTCACAATTTCCTGAACTATAGTCTAATTGTCATTATTATTCTAATTCTTATTATCATTGATCTATTTTTATGGCTATGTGACCTATTTCTCTTTCTCCTTATCCTTCTTTAATGATCTTGAACGAGATTATCTTTTTTGTTTTTTTTATTTCTTCTTTCTTTCCGAACTAGATGACGAGTAAGAATAAGATGAACTAGACGAATGTTTTCTTTTTTTGTCCTTTCTATGACTCTTATCCTTCTTTTTATCTTTCTTTTTTTCCTTCTTCTTATCCTTGCCCATATTTTATTTTTATTAGTTTATTTTAATATTAAAAAATGCTATTTTGATAAATTAAAGCAATCCTATCTTTTGGATTAAGCATATATCCATGAACTGATAGCTCTTTAAATTTGCAAATAATTAGTATGCATTTTATAAAGACTTTTAATAATAATTATATACTTACTTAAAATTTATATAAAATAGCATTTTATTAGGAAGATTCAAGATCATAGAATAATTATTTTATTTCTTCTAACTTTCTCTTCACTATAAATTAAAAAATAATGCATCTAATTATTTATGTATTAATTTTAATTAGATTTTTAAGACCAGATTCAAACCTTTTTAGTCTTAATTATTTTGTAATTAGAATATAACATACAAAACAAAATTTATCTTTAAAAAATAAATATTTAATGTAATCTTATTCACGAATTAAAAAATTGGGGCCAACATTAAAAAAAATAATGACCTTATAGCAATAAAACAATATAGAATCAGATTATTTATTATGGTTTAAGAAGGAGGAAAAATATATCATAACTGAATAAGGCATTAAAATAGAGACATTTCAATTTTTAAGATTTTCTCTCAATTAATCTGATGATAAAAATATTGAGGAATTGAAATGCTTCAATGATAAATACGGATAATTCAAGGAAATTAAAGCATTTAAAGGTTAAAATGAGCCAATCATTTTGCAAATCAAACATAATAATTTTATCATTATACATATAAGAGATAAGTATTAATATATTTATCACATTTCACTTGATAAAGAAAAGAATCCTAAATTGGTTTTTTAAGGAAAACATAATGTCAAAGCAAAAGTATTAGTAGATAAATACTTAGAACTATTTTATGTGGTTTTCTAAAGTGTAGACCAATTCCTAATATCTATCTATCATATTAATGATCTCATGTAAAAAGTAGAAAAACTAAAACAATCTCAGTATCAACTTAATAACAATAACTTTATCAACCAAATTGATTACATCACTCTTTATAACAGAGAGATTTTATTATTATTTAGGTAAAGGACTGCAGTCATATTTTACTAAAACTTGAGTACCTATTAAGTTGTTAATCTTCAAAAACAAAAGAAGTTATTTTATTACACTCAATTCCCATATACTGATACTGTATTATTGATGATTGAAACAGAAAACAATGAGCTAATATTATTTTAGAATAAGCAAAATGTTATTCAAAATTTAAACATCAACTTTTAAATTAGCTTAAATAAAATTAAAATGCTCTCTTTAGAATCAATTCAAAAAATGTTTCTCCTTGATTTGATATAGGATTTACCTAATCTCTAAGAGTTTTGTTTTTGGGATTCAAATGATTATGAAGTAGTAAAATTGCTAATCATTGGATCTCAACAAACGGAGGAAGCTACATCATCTATAATATTTTGTCTAAAATACAAACCTGTTTTTGTAATAGGAATTATCAAATATTTAGAATACTATTGCTTTTTAATAGATTAAGACTTTAAATAACTAATCAATTCAGTTTTTGAATTAATACCTGGTTATCTGATTGATAATCTTACTTATGAAATAGCTCAATATCCAAACTACATAAATTATCTCAAATAATATCATATAATTTATAATATAAATTTAACAGATTCTCAGTAGATATGGGGAATGCTTTGTAATATGACTGATAATAAATGTTTAAAATTTTGATGTATTTCTAATTGTTAAATAAATTATTGAATTTTTTAGAGTTTTAAGATTCTATTGTTATTTTCCTCAAATCTTTTAAGTGGGAGATTTCTATAAATGAAATAAAAAATGAGTTGTTGAGAATCCAGATTTATTCCAATACTAATTCTAAATATATATTTAACTAGTACTCATTCTATATTATTTAAATTAGAACTTAGCTGCTCTTACATTAATAATGACTATATCATATAATATATATTCAATTTTTTTCTAAAACTAATTACTCTACATTTAATAAGAGATAAAGCTTATCAAAAAACACATAATTCTTATATCTGAATATCCATAAAATTAAAAGACCGTTAGTTGAAATATTTATAAAAGGCTTATGAATTTAGCCAATCATTTCCATGCTTCATAATAATCTATAATTTTATAGTTACACTAATTTTTGTATTATAAATTTTAAAATAATTAAATGACTGAGGCAAAGTCTAAACGCGATTAAATTTGGGAAGAGAAGAGAAGACAAAGAGAAGAAAGATTATTAAGTATATTATAGATATAAATGTAGGAATGGAAGGATAAATGCAAGAAAATAATGCAAATTAATTTTAACTCCCACCTCCAAGATTCGATGATCAAGTTCCTATCTCTTTTCCTTCTCAATCTTAGGAATATGAACCTTACATCCCTCCGGAACCTTATGTACCAATTGAAATGAATAGAAACCCTGACCCACCCAGAATGTATTAAGGATCAATTCCTCAGCAATCTGAATTCAGGGAATAGAGAGAGAATAGATCAAATAGTTAATTTTAATAGCAATCTGCAATACAATAAAGTCCTTTGAAAAATCCAATTAAGCAATAGTAGGACGAGTATAGAGAATATTTGAAAAAACAGATGGAAGAAAAAGAAACTGAGAAAAGGAGAAGAAGAGATGGAACAAACAATAATCAATAATAAATCCAATAAGTTTAATATCAGTAATAATCTGTAAATCCAGCTCCACTCCCAGCATAACCTGTGAACAGGTAAAAACAAGAATATGGAGAATTTCTCAGATAATAAATGATGGAAAAAGAAGAATAAAAGAGACGAAGAATTCAGTCAGGAAATAATCAAAACAATCAATAATAGTAGTAATAGTAGATGTTATAATACTAAGTGCAATAGTAACCACAATAATACTAATAATAAATGTACTAGCCACAACAATTTGAAATAAATTAAGGTTTTTCGTAAGGCAATCAACAATCGAATATTCCATATTAACAACAATAGCCTTAATAAATTGATTAGAATAAATAATAGAAATAAGAATATGGAGATTATTTAAGAATGTAAATGTTATTAAAAGAACAAGAAAAAAATGACCGAAAGAAGAATCTTTAGTAAAGAATGGAAACCGGGGATGCATTTCCTTTTGGTAAGGGAGGAGGTGGTGCACCTTATTAAAAAGGTGCCAATAATCAAATACCTCAAAATTATAATTAATAATAACTATATCAATAACCAAATTATTAATAATAGCAACCTTAGTAATATAATCAACAGCAACAGAATTTCTAATAACCTATATAATAAATTTAATATTAACAAAGCATTGCGACTCCTTAACAATATTAATATCAAGAGTAGGGTCTACCATCTGGATTTGATTAATAACCGATATTGATGGAACCTTAAGCAGACCCGTAGTTGAAAGGAGGCAGAAATAGACTAATGTTGGAAAATTAAAATGTTGATGACATAAAAAAGAAAGAATTATAGAAACTAGAAATGCAGAGAGTCTTATAAGAGTAAATTGAAGAAAAAAAAAGAAAAAAAGAGTAAGAAAGGTTGCAGAAGGAGATGGAAGACAGGTAAGAAGAAGAGAGATTTCGAAGATAAAAGGAACAAGAGGAAATGGAAAAGAAGCGAGAGGAAGATCTGAAGAAATAATAATAAGGAAGTAAAATTATTTAATTATATGAATTAAGAATTTGAATAGGATAATATTGATTTGAAAGAGAAAAGAAGATTGGAACGAATCTAGGAGAGGAAGAATAGAAAAAATTAATAATAAGAGGAAGATTAACCATAATAGAACTTTTAGGCATATGAACCATAATAATAGTATATCCCACCACCCTCTCGTAATCCTCCTCCTTCTTAACCAAAATCAGAAAATTATTTAAAGGAGTTCTTGATGAATGAAAAGATGAAGGAAGGAGTTAGTCCACATTAAAGTATCCTCGATTTTTATAGAAATGGACCTTAACCAATGAATAAAGCAGAAATATAACAGAACAGAGAAATTGATGATATTAAAAGGTAGATGCTTTAACAATAAGAAAACTTACAATAATAGATATAATAGGTTATGAGTCAAGCTCAGATGGCAATTGAAGGTAGAAATAAAGCAGAGTAAGAATTAATTGCTTTGAAAGAACAAGTGAAAAATAAGTATTTATAAGAAGAGAGACATCATGATGATTTAATGATTGCATTAGTAAAGAATGATCCAAAGTGGGAGAAACAAGTCTTTCCACCACATCTTTTGGCTTAAGCCGAAGTTGGCGCATACAAAGATTTATCAATGCCAGCTTTAAATGAAAACTTTAATTTTCCTAATCTTAATTAAAATAAAGCACCTCCATTTGCACCTGCTTATGAAAGCAAACGTAAATTGTATATATATATATTCAGCTCTTGTTTTGAAAGAAGAATCGAAAGAATAAAAATAATATTTTAGAGAATAATTCGGACTTTAATCATTAGTTTCAGATTCAAATATGGTTCCTATTGATCACAATGCCTCTTTGGTTCCTTAAATATAACCTATGAATAAAAAGGCATCTGAGGTTCAGTTAGATAAGATAGATGAATTGAATGCTCATTTTGAAGACAGTCTTAAATTGGGGATAGGGGAGACATATCAAATCAGAAATGACAATTTCAAAAAGAGACCTCCTAGTAATAATGGATAGCATCCTTCTTGGAATGTTCCTTCTATTGACTCAGAATTTGTAAAAGAAATTGATGATCTATTAAAATACAAGCCTGCTTAATAGAGTTTAAATCGTCCTCCCTCTGGGTTTACAAAAAATGGATTTGAATAGAAACAATTATAATAATCTATCACAAACAGACCTCCATCATAAACCAATTAGAGACCACCCTCTGCTTTTGGCCGTGCAGCTCATGGTATATTAGGTTCTGCGGAGTTGAATTATAAGGGAATTACTTTAGACTCTGAATTTCCTGATATGACTATGATCAAGAAGGGGACAAATACTGAAACGTTTGATATAGCAGGGATTCATAAAAGGATGGATCAAAAGTTGATGCATTTGAATGAAATCGAAGAAGATGAGGATTTACAGAAATTAGATAAATTACTTTATTAATATAACTAATGATAATATCAATATACAATATATCAACTTAGTTATATGGCATTCCTAATCAATTAGATGATCGTTAATATTTTATAAATTTAGTTTAAATGATAAAAATAATTTATTTAAATTATGAAACCAAAAAGATCAACCTCAGCTCATATTACCCTAAATGCTTAATTGATTAAGCAAACATCTCCTCCTTCTCCTGTTAAAAACAAATTATAGGAAATAAATGATAAGATTAACCAAATGTTCATCAAAGCCAAAAATCCAAATGAATAAGTCAAAAATATAGAAACTCATTTGCAATCGCAATTTCAAAGTTCAAAAATATTATCAACAATATCGAAAGAGAAAACAAAATTATTATCATAAATAACTTCAAAGGATGGTAAAATAAAAGAGTAAGAATACAAGATTAATGAATTAAACAAAGAAAATGAATATTTGAAATCATAATTAGAAAAATATCAATAAATTTCAATTGAAATGGAATAATTAGAACAATATTGCTCAAAAATAGTTTAAGAAAATCAATAATTAAAATAGTAAGTGAATTAATTGCAGACTTCCTTTAGTTTCTTATAGTCTAGCAATCTTATCACTTTAGGTTAAGAAATTGACTAATAAATCTAGAGTTTGAGCAAGTCACTTTCAAAATGTTTTAAATTGTTAGAATATTCATGCAAATAAGAATTTGATGACTTGCAAGCCTTGATCAAGATCAATTCTAGTGTCACCTCACAACATAAGCAGGAAGGCAATTTATATACAATACTAAAGGAATCTTTGGAGTAGTTAAAACGATTAATATTTGAAACAGATAAATAATTTGATTTAAATTATAAAAAAGTGAGCAGTAATGTGTTTTATTCTTATAATTATTGATTAAAATAAGGGAAAGTATTATCTATTATTCAAATCAATTTGGTGAAGTCTTATTTATCAAATAATCTGTTTATACTCTATAATTCCTTCTCCAAATCCTTTTAGCTTTCATGAATTGCCCACTATGCTAAATTGAGATTTCTTTCCAATACTTTCATTTATGTAAAAAATTCGTCTAATTTTTAAGAAGGATTACGAATTGATATTACATTCTTCTTTTTTTCTTAAAACTCTTAACTATTACTTTTGGGTAATGAATTATTTAAATCATTTTTGTTTTAGAATAAGCCTTAAAATACTTTTTTGAATTCATTTCTCTTCTCTAATGAAATTTTCTTATGCTGTTTGATTTCTATGAACTTTTATCTCATTTTCAATAAGATGCCCATGGGTACAACTTGATTGGCTTTGACCTTTCTTGCAAAAAGATTAGACTAAGAATTTTGAACTGATGTTGTCTTGGATGACAAATACTGTTTTTCCAAAGTTCTGTTTGCAAATATGATCATTTAAACAACTTTTCTAAACCTATCCTTCAACATATTGAGTTTTGTAATTCTATTCTTTAATAAGCGTTCTAGAATGCTTTCAGTATTGCTTTACCTAGTGTCATATATTACACTTTATTTATGTTTAATAATTCCCTTATAATCTCTGACTTCTATTCTATTCGCAGATTTGATCAATTCTAATTTCTAAGCACTGACTCTCTCTTTTTCTGCTTCTATTTCATATTGTTTGAATCTAATCAAAATATCATCTAATCTATGTTCTGCTAGCATTTGCAAATATTTCTATAAGGCTGGAAACTCCTTTAAATATTTAAAAAAATGAGAATTGCGAATAATCAAGTAATAGCAATCCTATTTTGCTATTGCATATTAACTACGCTATTATTATCTTTTTATTATTTATCGTCTATTAAAATATTCTTGCTCTCCAAATATGGATCCTGCTTGTATTTCCAGTAATTCTTTTCCAAACTAATTTCGATATTGAACCATTCCTTCAACAAGAAAATAGATTTCATCTACTGGATCTCCTTTTAACCAGAGAAGTTATCCCGCTTTAGCCTTCATCAGACCAATGTGTCTAATGGCTTTTAATGAGAAGGGAATAGAAATTCTAAATAAGGAGACCCCTAGCAACTCTTTTTTTGCTACAGCCAACAATATCTTATTTTATAAATCTTGAGGGAGTATCTTGAACCATTCTTCTTAATTTAAAGACCAACTCAAATTGTGTTTATGATTAGTAACTATAAAGTTGGATATTTCTGATTTATAATCAGGAAGTATAGTAACCTAATTAAATAATATCTTTAGGTTATTTAATGTCGTATTAAATTAACTTTCAGTATCAATATCAGCAAGAATTGAACTCAAATTACCAATCACCAAACTCATAAATATACCACCACACAGAGTGCAGACTATTGTACTTATGTATTCAATCATGCTTGTAGGAGTCACATCGCCATATCCAGTTGTTGATAAAGTTTACATTGCCCAATAAATAGCATCTATATACTGAGGTATCCCTTGATCTGACCATTATCTTGATAAAGCCCAAAGACAAGTAGCATAGTGAAATCCAATTAGACTGAAAAACAAAATTTAAAATAGGGCTGCCTATTTCATATCTAGGAAATCAAACATAAACTCCAAGCTATTCAATAGATAAAAGGTTACATCTTATTTTAATTAAGAGAAGAAGAACTTACTATTTGTTGGACTCTTTTGACCCTGAACACCTTTATTAATTAGCAGTACTGAAACGGAATTACTGATATGATATCAATGATAAACCAGCCAAATAAATAGTGCTTAACTATTGAAATAGAATCTTGAACTAAATTATTATTTTCATCATAATAACACATTCTCATTAATATAATGATGTCAGCAGCTATGAATAAGGATGATGAATTACAAAATATTATTGAGAATATCCATTTACTTACATTATAGACAATTTGTTCATCTTCAAAAGCTGCCACAAAAGGGATGTAAAAGGAACAATATATCAACACAATCAACATAAAAATATCCCATAACTTTTTAAACCTATCCTCCTTAGCTAAAATACTTATCCCAAATTACTGGATAGATGAGTGATTCATGTATTTTCTTTTTATGGTTTCCTTTCAATTTTTTTGAGTCCATTTATTTAGCAATTGAAAGAAACATGCTTATTAGATATACTTTTCTAAAAGTCCTCATCAATCGTCTCTTATTGTTTAATCGTTTCATTTATTATTCTAATGCTAATTTCCTAGACCTAATGGACATATGATAAAAAACAACTTTTTTAATTCAAGAAGTGATGTTTTGTTTATTCTGTTTTTATTCTTCGGCTCTTTTGAAATAGGACTTTATAATACAAATTTAATAGATTCTCCCTAAGGAGATACCAAACCCTCATTCGATGGTCGATGCCTGGCTACATAAAAAGTGTTAGCCTTTTTAATCTTATTTTCCATTTTTTTTAAATATATAACTAGATTATTATTTTGTAATCAAAAAAAAACTAAGCTAATAATTTTTATTTATAAAGTCTCAAAAATAGTATTTACACTATTACTATGTTAGAGTTTACTGTGATTATAAATTAATTTTGTGTCATCTCTTTATAGTTCCATTCTGAAATCGATTAATTAAGATATTAATTGCTTTATTTAGTAAGATGAAAACAGATAGAATAATTTCAAAATTTGCCTTTTCGCAATTACAATGGATACTCTGATTTGATTTGGATAAGCTGATCTTATGCTTAATGAAAGGGATTTAAGTAATATTATTTACTTAATTTAGGGATATTTATTATTTAAGTTTAAATAGTTATGAACAACGAATTTGTTAAGACTTGCTCAATTACGTAAAACAAGGAAGAATATATTTGTATGAATGATCAATGCTGCAATTCTAATAGAAAATAACTTCACTGTTATGAGTGCATCACCAAAATCCATAGACAAAACAATAATAATTTTGTCAATCATCTTGATGATTTCAAGAAAATAAGTCTAATAATGTAAGAGGTTGATAAAAAGAAAAAAGATAGAATCACTTTTTTGAATCAAATCATTACTACACTGAATGATTTTAAGAAGGAGAAGTTTTAAATAATTGAAGGTTATTATAATAATCCAAAAGAATTTTTAGAATAAGTTAAATAGCATGTGGAAAAAGAGATTGATTAATTAATCCAAAAGTTTTATGAATAAATTATGGAAATGAATAAATTTACAGAATATTAGTAGCAACACCATTTGTTAATGCTTAAACTGTATTCACAGCCTATAAATTAATATACCGAAGATATTTTACAAAAAAAGAGTCAACTTTAAGTCAAATTGAACAATTACATAAAGAAGATGGACTTGGATTTGCATCAATAGATTGCTAAGTAAAATAATTCCTATTTTCTAGATATCTACAAAAATAATAACTCTTAGAACAGTAAATGCAGTAGTTGATAAAATAACCAAGTATTGCAAATTCATTTATATTCAAATCTACTGTAGTTTTGATTTTGCTGGTAATTGGATTGAATCCCATAATTATGTATTAAGATTTTAATGGAAGAAGTGAATTACAACAAAAGATGGATGAATTTCAAATACTTATTAAAGAATTGCAAGGATAAATGGAAAAAAAAGAGGATAATGGATTTTTGGAGTTTAATAGTAAAGTGTAGTAATAAATGAATAAAATGCAGGAACAAATAGATATGATAAACTAATATATGAATCAAGCTGAAACACCATATAATCAGTTTAAGAATTACTTTAATACAAAATTAAAACAATATAATGAAACTATCTATAATTCATTATCTGAACGAATAAATATATAAGGAGATAAATTCAAACAAATAAACTAATAAATTTTTGCATAACATTAGATGAATGATAAGATTCTCTCAGACACTAATAGAACTTCATCTGTCTTATATTACTAATAAATTAGAGTAATGAAATTAGAAGAAGATTTGAGTTTTGTTAATAAGAATATTACTGCAAATTATGAAGCAATCGAATGGTATAAATTATAGCTAATTAATAATCTAATGAAAATTCACAATAGACAAATTGAAATTCAAAAACGAGACGAAATTACAAAAAAATTAGTTGGGAAAATACATGTTGATTTAAATTCTAAAGAATTGGAGAACTTTGTGATCATTTATGATGAGTTACTCACCAAAACATTTAATAGATAAATAGTCAGATAAATTTAGAGTGTAACTCAAAATGATACAATATTATGTATTGGAGGAATGAAGGTGGAGAATCCAGAAGTATTGTTGGTAGTAGGTTGTGATTATTAATAAGAGATATTTCAATTCACGTATCATTGGTAACATGCAAGGAAAAGCTCATCGGGAGATATTTATTGGTATCTGGCTTATCCGGTAGCCTTTGGATTCTCTCCAACAGAGGAAATTTACCTAACATTATGTGATGACTTGGATCCAAGTGACAAAAGAAGATTTAGTTATTGGTTTGAGAATGGTGAAGATGGTGGAAGAAGAATAGGGAACTAAACTCAATTAATCAACTCGATAGAATATAAAATGATTATCTACGCTTTTTGATAAATTGAATCTATTTGTTAATAATAATTAAATAAATATCTTTAATTTGCATAGGCGTACAAATAATTATTATTAAATTTGAACTTAAATAGAAAATTAGTTACTATCTTACTATTATTATTATAATAAAATTATAATTAGTTAGATTTTATCTTATGCTATATTATTCATATGTAAGATAAGAGATTGAAAGTGTACAAGATGAGAATCTATTGTAATACTTAAGGATACAATGAAAATTGAGTAATTAGAATATATATGAAATATAAATTCAGATGGATGCTATTTTGATCAATGGAATACTCATTATTAATTAATAAAGGAATATTATTAATTTAAAATGTTATTTATATTATTCATTATCCAATCAATAAATGGATAGGTATGTGAAACAGCTGATCAATTTTACAATCCCTTAACATCAAAATGTGAAGCATGTCCAGCAGGAACGGGATTGATAAATAATTAGGTAAAATTGAAATTTGAATATTATTATTAGTGTATTTGCGATTCAACGATAAATGGAGTGCCTGTAAACTCAGTATGTCCTGCAGAAACTAATTTATGTGTAAGTGATACTGGATCTTGGTAAGCCTCAGCTTGCTCATGTTCTGGTCATGCAATAGCACTCCCTACAAATCTTTGCTAATAATGTCCTAACAATTAAATAAATGTAAGTGGGAAATGCGCATGTTCAGGATCTACATTAGCAAGCGATAATTATTGTGTTGGTTTATATGTGAATGTGTTTTCAGATGATATATCTCAAGTGTTGGGACCTAAAGCTTATGATGGATGCAATCTTTATAATGATATGGTTTCCTGTTAGCAATTAGCAAATCTATTTATTTTGAAACGATCAACAGTGAGTACAGAAAAAGATTTTAGTTATTTATATAATGCGGTTCTGACATTTTAAAATAAAAAGAATATGCCAAGCATCATCCATGAAGTCTCAACTACAGTTACATCTGTAACATTAATTGAAGACACTCCCATTTAAATGCAGGTGAATTTCAAAGAGGATAGAGCCACTAGTCTTAACAAAATACCTTTTTATGTAATGGAATATTACATCGATGGAAGTGTTAGTGAATTAAAGCCTCTTCAGAATTAGTTCTAATTGTGCAGTTCCAGTTACGGAGATACTGATCTGGCATCTAATTTTGGAGTGTCTTACAAAAATGAGTAATTATTATTGATTATCATTTTAAGTTGCAATGTTGACTTAACAAAATACTTAAATAGCAATTACTAAACAGTGTTTTATTCAGTATGGATAAAAGATATAGATGGAAGTTTTATCTAGGTACCAATTAAGATTGCTGATTACGATGGCAATGGAAATGGGGAAACCGAAGATGAGTACGGTTATACAAATACAAAGTTTTTGTGGAGATTCTTTATGGTTGATAACTTAAAAAGTCCATCAGAAATCATCTATGCAAAATCTATTAGGTTGATTAGTTATTTGTCAACAAAAGAAGATGATAAGACTTTCCTACCATACTTTTATATAATTTATAGTGAACCTATTACTATTACAACCCTAGAGAATGAAAAGTATTATCCTGTTAAATATGGTCACTATTACTATCAAGCTAAAACTAGTTTCTATACTGTGGCTTCAGCTTTATTGATTGTAGCTCACATATTCATTATTATTGTCTGGTTCATACGAATATATGTATGGACTAAGAGGAATCCCTCTTACACAGGTCAGAATGATTGGTGTATGTATTTGACAATCAGATCATTTTATGTCTTATTAGACACTTGGGCAGAAGTAATTTTTTATTATCTGGCCATTTTCACAGGATACTTGTTTTGTTTCTTCAAATTCCAATAGACCATCTATATCTTGATGCCTGATCTTTCAGACTATGCTAATAATTATAGACCATTTGAGGTCCTATTTTATATGATGTTTGCTTGTAGATTGATATCAATGTTCAATTTGATTCTGAGATAAGCTGATGTTCAAGTGTTCTTTATAGATTGGGAGAAATCTGAAGTGTTGAGACCAAGAGAATTGGCAGAAAAATTAGATAATAATGTGTTGAGAATGGTTGAATAAGCTTAATCAAAACAAAGTGCATGGAGGATGATCTTGATAGCAAATGAATTTAACGAATTGCAAATCTATAGGATAGTAAGTGTTGAATGGACATTGCTATTTGTAGGATTCTTTTTGGAAGGATTAAACTGGATTAATCTAGGATAAGAGTAACCTAATTTGTCATTGGATAAAACTATCCCAAAGAATTATGTTCTATAATATTTTTTGTGTACTTTTCTCTATATGGCAATTGGATTGGCTTAAATCAGTATAAAATTAAATTCATTATATCTTAGTCATCTAAAAACTCTTTGATATTTGGTTCCCAATACTCGTAGAAGATTTTGTAGATTTGTGTGCAATATCTAATGTTTCCATACTCATTTTGGATGATGTCTTACATGGATATTATATACACGGAGAGAATCCTATTGGTTATGCTGAGGGTTCAAGCGAGCATCTTGCCAATTGTCTACACTATGAAGCATTGGGCAAAGGAAAGAAAAGAGGGTTCATCCAAGAATCATCTCTATAACACTCAGATGATGTGGATCTTCAAACCTTTGAGTTGTTTCTACCCATGCGATTCAGGGAGGCATATGAGAAAGTCTACAATCAGGAACTCAAACAAAAAACTGACAATGCTCAATACCAGAATTACAATGAAATGTATTTCAATGATTATAATTTTTAAGTCGAGTTTTAAGACAGGGTGTTCCTGATGGCTTAGATATGGCGTTGGTATAAACCATCAAAGATACATTCTCCTTCTATTTGAAGGATGTGTTGACTTAGGTATTCCCATTGCTAATGTTAGGTTCGGACGAACTTTGCCAAGTGTGTCAGAGACAAATTGCCTGTCCAAAGATTCTTTGATTATCCTCCTGCTGATTTGGAGGAAAACTATTTCAAAGATCAAAGTATGCCTGTTTTCTTCAGAGATCCAGATCAATCATTTAAATCCATGTTCTTCTGTGGACATGAATTCTTTTTCTTGATTACAGATACTATGATCTTCAATTTTTGGATGATTCTCACCAATAATACTTACCTTTCATTGATGTTAACTTATTTGATTTCAGCTGGGATATTCAATTTCCGTTAATGGGTAGGAGAACGCAATTTGGCTGATCAGTCTAAAATCGATTCTAGATTCTTGATATGATAATTAATTTTAAATAGATAAATAATATATATATGAATTTAGATTTCTCTAAACTAACAGTCTACACCAATTCCCTCCTTGCTTATAGGTTATTTGTTTTGGGCTAGAATAATCCTCTATTGGCTCCTTAAATTATACCTAAGCTTGAGGAAAATGGTCTTTATTTGTAATACATTCTCATATTTTCATAGAGCAGCAGCTAATTTGGCAGAAAAATTAAAAACGTCGTATTCCCGAGAAGAATTGAATAATGCTCGCAAGACCATTACAGAGAAAAAGAATTAGATCGGCCAAACTAAAAATTTATAAAATAGAAATGCTTTAAAAGAACTCTTCATCTAATTAGGAGACTTATACTTTAAATATGGAGACTTAGTTGAAGCTTATGCTGCATATTACAAGGCCCATGAGAATAATTAAACCCAAGAAGCCCTAAATTATGCCAATTCATGGGTGACCTGCATGATTTTAAGCAATAATTACATGCACTACAAAGTTATTAATGTCAGTCCCAAAGACTCAGATGTTAAAGGATATCAGAAGTGGCTATTATTAAGTGCCATCAGAAATTACGTAAGAATGGATTACAAGAACTTTTTAATTGACCTATTACAAATTGATACAAATCATCTTGAATCAGTGGACTTTATCACAAGCTATTTTGATCTGAGCAAATATTTTGCAATAGCTAGTCTAATCACCAAATTACCTAAGGATATCATTGAAATATTATAGAATCCATTCATTATTAGAATACTTGATGCAGATTCCTCAGTGTTGGAGACGTTGAATTGCTACATAGATTACGATTTTGTTCAATTGATTTAGAAATCTTAATTGCTCATCGTACTATTATTTCATATTTTTAGATTGAATTGGAAAGAGATGTCATCTCAGCTCCACTCATCTCATAAATCAAAGAAAAAGTCATTAATACATTACTTAAATAAGTAAGTCTTATTCTATATTAATTAGTATATCATTAATTTCAAAAGAATGTCCTTGGTATCATTAGCCAATTTATTGAATTTAAAGCAGTTTGAAGCTCAAATGTTAGTAGAAAATTTGATTAAAACAGAAGGCCTTAATTATGTTATTGATCCAATAGAAATGATTATTCATGAAAAATACACCAATGAATAATAGCAAATACGCCAATGTCATTAACTCGGAATAACAGTTTTAAAAGCATTGGATCATAAATATTTCTAAATTCTACAAGATTAAAAATGAAAATGTTATATCAACACAAGTTAATATTATTATTGCTTCTCAATTATATTATAGCTCTAAATGAATAAATAATTGTTTTTCAGTATCTTATAAAAAGCAAGATAATGGTTTCCCTTCATTATCTTATAAAAACAATTAAAATAACTCTGTATTTAAGATTATTTAAGTTTTATTTTAAATTCCCTTCATTAATATTAATGAACTATAATTAAGAAGAAAACGAGAATTAGGATTTCGAGAATAGATCTCCAAGAAATGAAGAAGAGGAAGATAAAAAAGATTAAGAAGAAGAAAATGCTTAAAATATTCCAAATTAAAAGAAGAAAAAAAAAACTTAATAATTCCGATTGAAACCTGAATAAATTACAGATCCTAAAAAAGGAGTCGTTTACCTATATAATTTGTGTAAAGACTACAGGTTTGGCAATGATGAACTCGACGAACTAAACAAATACATGCATGTCATAGAAGAATGGCATTATCAAATAATGCCTAAATATGACTTTGACTATTTTACAAATAGATTATAAAAATTTGGAGGGAATAATAGTGTTTAAGTAATATTTGTACCTAATTCAAGACCCACTTATAATTCCTCAGAAAGGCTCACAAAGGACTAATTCCCTGGCATTTTGTACTTAATCCATTAGGAGAACAACCAATAAATGATCAGACTCTCAATTAAACTTTTAATGAGACCATTACCAATAATTATGAAATCTAAGAAGAACACCAATAGCAAAACCTAATATAGAATGATCAGAACTTGAGTTAGCCAGAACCATAGCAAAATATCGCTACTTCTGTTTCACAAAAAAAACCCTTAAAATTATCCCTAAAAAAATAAAATATACAATCCTAAGTCCAATCTGTTAAAAAGGAACTTACTGTTCGATTCAATGATGAAGTTCAGTATGAGCCATCACCAAAGCCTATTTAAGTGGATGAAAATTTTGATGATATATTTGAATAGTTAGAGGCTGCTTATAAAATAAAAGAAGAAAAGAAACTAATAAATTGAGAGATTAGTATGTTGATCTATAATGTTTTTCTTAGTTATTATCATTATAAACCTAATGTTTATTTTTTTAATTAATTTAAATCTTTATATACTCTTTCTTGAGCTTTCAATTTTAAAATCCTTAAAAGAATAAAGACTCTAAAATAGTTAGAATTACTTCATAAAAATAGTTTTATTTCAGCTTATTATATTTATACAAAGATTAATTTTTGTATAATTATGGGAAGCTTATATTTAATGTTGCATGTGTTGGGAATTTGAGCTGTCATTCTCGAAAATGACCCTCATTGCCACACTGCTTAATATATTATAATTGAATTATTCATATAATACTTCAAAAACTTAAAAAATAATATATGGGAATCATTTACTAATTAAATTAATAAAATTATTTTTTTCATAAAATTTCTCTTCATACTCTCTAATTCACAACCCTTGAAATGTTATTTATAAAATGTATAGATTTTGATGAATTATCATTTAATAAAATGGTTGATTACTTAAAAAATGATATTTTAATTGAGGGAAATAAAATAATAAATTGAAAGAAGCATATGTATATCTTCATTTTTTAAATTGGCCGTGTATTTAATCAGCCAGAAAAGTATTTATTTTGAATATAATATTTATTTATGATAAAATAACTATTTAAGTTGAGAGTATTTACATTTTGTCAAGAAGCTAATTTTGGATTTAAGAAGGTGAAACTTGAAGAAAAATAAGAACATGTTAATTAGGTGTTTCATAATGTTGCTAATAAGTACTTGTTTGTTTGAGATAGTTATGATTTGATGAATGATTTAATGAGTGTTGGATTACATAGATGTTGGAAGAATTCTTTTGTTGAAGAATTGGGACAATTGAGAAATGGAGATTCATAAATTAGAGTCTTAGATGTTGCAGGTGGAACTGGAGATATCGCCTTTCGTATTCTTGAAAAACATAAGGGAAATAATTTGTTTAATGAAAAGCTCAAAATTACAGTTTTAGATATAAATTAATCCATGTTAGATGTAGGATAAAAAAGAGCAAATGAGTTGGGATACTAAAATTGTATTATTGTTTTATGAAAACATATAGAAATCGATTTTGTATGTGCAAATGCTGAAGAATTACCATTCGAGCCTAATACTTTTGATGCCTATACAATAGCCTTTGGAATCAGAAATGTGCCCAGAATTCCTAAAGCAGTTGGAGAAGCTCATCGAGTGTTGAAATAAGGAGGAAAATTCTAATGTTTAGAATTTAGTAAAGTTCAGAATCCTATTTTATCTCTTGCCAATTAATTTTATTAATTCAATTTTATTCCCACAATGGGATAATTAGTGTCTAATGATCGACATTCCTATTAATATTTAGTAGAGAGTATTGAAAAATTCCATAGCCAATAAGAGTTATTAAAAATAATCGAGGAAGTTGGTTTTAGATATGCAGGATTTAAGAATTATATGGATGGAGTTGTGGCTGTACATTTTGGATTCAAGTTGTGATAATAATGTATTGGGATAATTTTTATTGTAAATTTAAATAAAAATGTATTCTCTTCTTAATTGGTGGAACCTCTTCATATAGATTATTTATTTAATAGTTTCCTCAATGAATTCAATGATCATTTCTTTGTTTCTCTTTTAGATCTAAAATTTATAAGAAATAACAATTAAACAAAGAAATAAAAAGGAATAAAATCACTATAATCTTCTTAATAAAAACATTTCCTTGAGTTTCTCCTTTTATCTTTTTTAGACATATAATTTAAACCTATCTTGTTTAGGCTAATAAAACTCCCTATTTTCATTTATATCATTTACTTACTGATACTTTAGACATCATGGAGAAGAGTGTCACATTGATCAATACAATTTTAAACCTCTCTAATTGGTGATAGTTTGAGCCTCTAAAAAAAGAAAGGTTAGGCAATTGACCTCCCAGAATTGCTAAAAATTGAAGTTCCAATTGGATCTTCATTCTTTTGAATGATTTCCTTATTGGATCTTAAATTCATGTCCTGTTAATTGAAAGATGTAATCCTTGATCTCGGAAGAGTGGTTTTATCACTGCGTTTCATGACATCGATATTCTTCAACATTATTGGTGGAACATGATTCAATTTCATTCTTTTATAAACATGAAATATAATAATACATCTCTTGTTATTGTTTCTGTTTGAGTACCTCTAAATAACTATTACATTGTTTTTTCATTTTCTTGCTCCACATTTCAACAATTTACATAGACCCTTTATCAGAATTCCTTTTGTTCTATGATATACTTTGTATTCGTTCTAGTGAAAATTCATTCTATTAGGATCTGGAAATCTGACAACTCTTGTTCTTTTTCATTTGTAAATGTTCATTTAATATTTATCTTTTCATAAAATTTATATTGTGAATTGAACTATTTATATAAATGTCATCCATATATATATATATATAGAAATTAATAAGTTCATATTCTCTTTGGTTTTTTGGTTAGATGAGAGCACATGTATTCCAAAATATCTTGTTAACCCTTTTTTATACTTTCAATTTATCTTTCTTAATTCTAAAATAAAGAAATGAGTTAGTGAATTTCATCATTTTGATCTAATAGTAAGGCTAATGATTCAAAATTTTATAAGGCATATTTGTCCTATTATCTTTACTAACTTTTCTCTCCTTGTGTAGATATATGTGATAAAGGAAATGGATGTCCATTCTATGACTACTTGGTGTCATTTAGATTGCCATGTTTTTTCATAAGTAAATCTGAATTAGTAATTTCATAATTGTATTAGTTTGAGTTTTGGTTAAAGTGCCTCTCATAATCAAAAAGTGCTTTATCTTCTTTAGTCTTCCTTTTATTGTATAGATTGTCTTCAGAATCAGATGTGTGTTTATTTTCAGAACAAAATTACTATTTGTTTTTTAGCCATGCCTTGATGGTTCTAGTTTTCAAGTCATTTTCATGAGCTGTGTATTCGATTTATTTATCAGTGGGGTTGTTTCCTAAGATTTTGAGTATCTATTATTTTTCTGCATTGGTCACTTACTTTTTACGATAAGTATATTTAGGATTCATAAAATATCATTCATATATTCTAATGATAATTTATAAACTAAAATATCATTCTTATTATTATTATAATAAATACTTTAACTCATTTTCAAAAAGAAATTGAGAATTTTACAAATGATGTAATTATTTAATTCATAAAAAACATATGTTTATATAGTATTTTGTTTTAAATAATTTATCACTCCTCTTGTTTAATACAGTCTTCCTTTACTTGATGTGATTAATTTTGTTATAATGATTTCTATGGACAATACAGCTATTTGTTATATCTAAAGTATAGAGACAACTCTGCTTTATTTTAGGAAATGAAGGGTCTTACCCATTTTAAATTAGCAAAGAATAATCTGAGTATTTTTCTAGCGAATTTGGATTTTTTCAGTTTTAATATTGAATCCCTATTGAAACTTTGGCTAGGTATCTTGATGAATTTTTTAATGTGTGAGTCATTCATAACTCTTTCGTCATCTTGAAAATGTTCAAAAATAAATTTAACTATCTTCTAACTCATGTTCTTATAATAATTCTTACTTTATCCAGGGAATATGTGAATTTTTTTATCATCACTCGAGCTTGGTTTTTGTTATTCGACCACTTTTTTCTTATGTTATTATGATAAATCCTCATTTTTTACCTATGGCAGCAGCTCTTCCTATTTGGTTTGCTACTGTTGTTAAACATTCTTATTGAAGAAGTGATTCAGATATGGATAAGTAGATGAGTAAAAGTTAAAAAGTGCTATTCGAAAAAATTTTAATTGCAGCAGATTGGCATCATTATATTTAAAAATTAAATTAGTTAGAATATCTAAAATTAATATTATAATATTTTAATTTCGAAACTTCAAATAGCACGATTTCGCTTTCTCTAAAGGTGATTGATAAATAATTAAAATAATTCTATCATATATGCTTTATATAATATCTATGATTATTATCATTAAAAAAATATAAATTCATAGTTTGCTTACCCCCTTTCTGCCTTAATTAAGTATTTTTAGAGCCAATAATTTAACAGTATTAGAAAATGTGTATTTATTCAGTTTTTTTTCATCATCTTTCCAAAATCTTTTTTGTTGTCTTTTTTTCTATCCTTTTTATAATTCTCTTATCTATGATTCAATTGTATATTGAGGCATATAACTTTGAAATGCAGTGCCTACTTTGTCCAAAATGAAAGAGGATTTACATTATTTTTATAATAACAATTGCACTTCCTGAATCATACTTTAGCTTTTGATTAAAATCTACTCTTCATTTTAGAGATATGTTCTTCTTAATGAAGTTTTCTATTCAACTTATCCTATTTGCTACTTTGAAAATGATGACACTAGATTAATAATGCAAGATACTGTTTTATAATTTTAATGGGCCATAATGTTATGATATTCTTTTTTAATTCTATCTAGATGAAGAATTTTCAATGAGACCATCCTCTTCGGTTACTAATAATTATAATGAGCCTTTTTATTGATCAGAAAAAAATGATTTTTCCTATCTCAATTTACCATCCTATTCAGAATCTGTATCATCACAAAATTGATTGTCTTACTGAAATAATTTCAATTATTGTTCAATAGGTTGATGTTATGCTAATGCATGATGTTTTCTCTTTGTTCTAATAATTGATCTCCTATGATTTAGAATTTATTTAAAATCTTATTTCTTCAAAATAGCTTCTAGATCAGGTTTATATTAAATCAAAGGACAATCAATTTCTTGATGAATATATCGATTGCAAAAGTTACATTTATGATCAAAAAGGACATAATTTGTTGAAAAAATCAACTTCTCCTTGATGTGATGAAAGATTTCAAAATCCTTTTGGTTTTGACGAACGATATCCAGAAATTTCCTTCTACTAATTTTATATAGTTCACTTGGACTTTGACAAATTGCTGTTTCTTTAGGAGGAAATCCAGTAAAAAGACAATAATAACCCAAGTATTGTGAAGATTTGACAGATCTGAGTTTTTAGTCAGTTTGAATTTCTTTCAAGATAGCATCTCCAGTTGATAAAAAATATCTTAAAAATTAATTACAAAATTACAAATTATCTTCATGTTGACCACCTTATTTATATATAATATCTCCAGGAATAAATTAGATCAATTCTAGGTTTTTAGCAACCTATTATTATGTAAACTTTGAGAAATGATTTATAATCAAGTTCATCTTTCTAATTACTCTAGATTAAATGTCTGAATTTAAATCTTATTATAAATTCTTAGGTAATTGGTTGATAAGGTTTTTAATTTCATCCTAATTCTCTTTCTTTTCTTGAGCTTATTAGAATCTTAAGTAATTCCTTATTCTTCCTTAAGTAGATTCATCAACTTAGTTCTTACTCATATATTAAATCATTTAAATTAGGTTCTTTCTAATTATACTGGTATTCATACTTATAAGTTAGTTTAGTATCATAAACATTTTTTAGGATTATGCCAATCGAACTCATTGTATAAGCAAAAGCATAACTAGAAAAGAACATTATTAAAGAAGAGACAATCATTTCAACTTAGTTTTAGGCTGAGAAATCTCCATAGCCTACAGTTGTCATTGTCATAGTTGCCCAATAAAAAGCTGAATTATATCGATGCCAAACTGTTTCGTCGTTTAATTAGTTTTATATAATCCAAGAATTCTGCAAATAGTAGGTATTTTCACCAACGTAATGCCATATACATGCTATGATATGTGCAAAATAATAAATTTGAATGATCAACTGAACTAAATCTAATACAAAGTTTTATCCTCCCTTTGAATAGATACATTGATAATAATATTCTTATAAATATCTAAGTAGCCTCTAATATATCAATATTATTTGTAGCACTATTATGATCTCAAACCAAAAATTAGATAATAATTAATATTTCAGATCAGCCCATATAAATAATCTTAAGAAATCTGTCAAAGCATTTGATTTTATATATTAATTAATGATCTTCTTCCTATTTGTTATCAAAACTGCTGATACAAATACTCCTCTATTGAATTATGCTAAAAAGTCAAAAATTAGATATATTAATATAATTTATTGTAGCACTGATATTGCTTCATTGTAGTAATTATCAAATGATCCAAGGAATGGAGTGAACCAAAGCATCATTAGATTACATAAAAATCCAAGAATGTCCCATAAAATTATTGAATTTGTAGATGGCAAGAATATTGGAATAACTGAATCGTTCTCATAATCTTGATTATTTAAAATTATATTACCCTTTTTCTTATGCTAAGAAATAAATTATTATTCAAGTAGCTTATCCGTAATTTTTTACTTGTAAGTATTTCTAAGAATATAAGAATTTGTAAATAAATTATTAATGAATCGATGAACATGTTATTACAATTTGAAGCTTTACAAAAAATGTGATTATTTCTATGGTTAAATTGTTCTTGAGGCTCTATTTGTTAAGAATAATGCATGTTTCTTAAACTCGGTCTTTAATAACTTTATTTTATTACTTTACTTTCAAACCTAGACATATTCATATCTATGCTCTTGTTCTCGCTGATATTTCTTTAGCTTTATACTTGATAGTCCTCCTCTTGCATTAGATTGCACGGCGACTCTTACTTAGAAGTTAACTATTGAGTCAGTGCAGATGGTCCCATTCGCTAAGACATTAATATTTCATCCATAACTATTATATATATTATTGTATAACCTTTTTAATAATGTATTACTTATTTCAAAAAATATTGCAATCAAATAGTTATTATTGAAGAATATAAAATTGAAACAATATTTTTAACAAAAAACAGATTTCTTTATCTCAATACATGGATGAACGATTAAGTTAACAAATATCATTACTTTTATAAAACGAATCTAGGTGAAAATTTAGAAAATAGTGATTAAAGCTTATTCAAAAGACCATAATAATAATTTTTAAACAATAAAATCCAACAAAAATAAAATTAATCATGAAATATTTATTCATTCATATAATGAGTAAAACTCAATAATTCAAATGAATCAATTTGCAAATTCTGATTCTGGCTTTATTGATTTCTAAAACTGAAAAATCATACATTCAAAGCTTGTCAAATCCAGAATTTTATTTTTCATTATTATTTAGCCTTCAATGAATTAATTTTAAATAGGAGAACTCTAAATGTTAAATACCATTTCTAAATGACAATTATAGTTATTTCATATCTTTCAAGATAATAATTGTTGAACTAGATGTTTTGAGTATTTATAATTAATTTATGAATACATTAATTAAAAATAATTGATTTTAACTCATTCATCTTTCTTCTGTTGTTCATAATTAAATTGTTTGAATTCTTTTTAACATGGTTAGTGGGAAATGTTGAAAATTTATAGGAAATAATACTTTAAAGAAAGGTATTCTTGAGATTAAAAATGGAAATTTATAACAAAGTTAATTCTAATTATCGAAAGTTCTAGATTTTGATGACAATAAAATGAATCCAGCAATATTATTTAGTTCAATTAAAAATATAACTAATGGCTAAACAATAAGGAGCAGGGTCACTTTGGAATCCAAATAGTTGGCATTGGGAAGAGAAAAATTACACTCCAATTTCAAAGCAATTGATTGAATCTAAGATCAAATCATGCAAAGTTGAATCTGGAGATATCACTTTGTTCAATTAGGTTGTGAAGTCAATCACTGGAGATGTAAAATTGCTTATTTATTGAAAGGCTTAAGTTAACATCAGAAAGGGAAAACAAGTTTTGATATACGATTTCGATATAGAAGTTGAATGGCATGGTATATTAAATAATTGAATATTAAGGTGTCAATTAAGATCATGAGGCTGAGGGAACATATAAAATTAAGGACTTGAATTCTTTGGATAACGAATTCGAAATAATTCATATAAGCTGCAATACTAAAACAGCCATTTCTGATAAGTGCAAAGACTTGATTAAGAAAGACATGTTCAAAAAATTAAAAGAAGTCTTCGTCACTTTGATGTAAGAAATAGGTTAATATGAATCTGATCCAGAAAAATTGTAAATTTGAATTATTAACCATATTAGAAAAAAAGACTAAGAGGCAAGAAAATTGGCTGAAGAATAAGTAAGACTTGCTAAAGAATAAAATGGAGAATTAAAGGAAAAGATCTTTTATGAACAAAAACTAAAAGAACAATAAATGAAAGAAGAGTTCTCTTAATTTGCATAAAAATGAAGTTATAAATATTTAAAGTTAAAAGTCATTTAATTAATTAAAAATGTTCTTATATTTATTAATACAAGGACATCATATATCTAAAAGGAAGATCTATGTTTGTATAAAAATAATGTTAAAATATCTAAGAACATGAGCTATTTTTCTATTAATCAAGAATTATGATTTTGAAGTGGCTTGAATTTCTCACCTTTAATTAAAGAATTATTAGGCAATGGCAAAGCCTTTTTTGATTTATCTAAAAGTTGTGTTTCAGTAATTTAAGAATATTACACTTTTAGCTGCGTCATTTTCTTTTCTATTAAATCCAATTCGTTATCTGAATCAAAAATGATCCATCTTTCCCTGTTTCCATTTTTCCATTCCCCTTATTTTCTTTATTGCCCAGCTATAAAGATACCTCTCCCATGTTATTTACCTTCAGCCCAAAATCCTATGTATTTCTTACCATCAGGCCTATAATAATTAAATAAGACAATTACCATTCAAAAATTCCTTATCCATGCTTTTTGTCATCTATATATTCACCAATGTAGACTCTTCCATCACTCCATTAAAATAGGCCTAAACCATGCATCTTATTATTTAGCCATTCTCCACAATACTTTCTACCATCAGGCCAAGAATACCTGCCTATCCCATTAATCTGATTGTTTAAGAATTAACCACAATACTAAGCTTTATCAGCCCAAACTATATCCTTATTGATTTATAATTACCAAACTTCCCTTTTCCATGTTTGACTCCATTCTAATATTCTCCTTCGTGTTTAGCTCCATCTGGCCAGATTTCAATACCAAATCCATTTTATTAATCATTATTCCAGTTGCCTTCATACCTGGCTCCATCAGAATGAATATATATTCCATAACCTTTCGATTTATGATCTTCCCAGTCCTAAGTATTTATTTATTGATACTCCATCGTAAATGTCTCCATTGGCGTGATACAACCTCCCTTTTCCATTAGCCATATCTTTAATCCAGAAGCCTTCATATATTGATCCATCCTTCCATATTTAAATACCTTTTCCGAATTTCTTATCTCCAAACCATTCTCCTATGTAGATTGCTCCATTTTCCAATAAGACAGCATTCCTAAAAAATCTATTTTCGTAGGCCTCACTTTCATTATCTTAATATCTATGTTCTGAGAAAGGAAATGGGGCCATCTAAATAAATGGTACAACTATTGTAATACTTTGCTGAATTTTGATAAATGTGTTAATGAGAATTATTTTAAGATATTGTTCACTTTGCTGTTGTACAATTGAACCTAAACATAATGATATTTCTTTCTGACTATCCATCCTCTCAATAATGCTTATATCTTGATAATGCATCTTAATAATTTAATCTCCTCATCTTCAATTTATTGTTCTTTTCTGCTCACTCTTAATTTCTTGTCGCTCTCAATTTGATTATGATCAAAATTGACAGTCTTTACACAAGCACAATTAGCCTAACCCATATGACTGTTAATTAATTAATTTATAATAAATCTTTCATATTTTCTCTTTTTATTTGATTCAACTTACTCCCTCTACATTTGACAATATCTCACAATCAGTTCCATAATTCAATACTCAAAGTACTAATTCTTGCACAATTTGAACAACTTGTTTAATTTTAGCAACTCAAATCTAAAATCTAATTCTTGTCATTATTTCAATAGTCAGGATCTCATTTCCAACCAATCTTATTTGATTCAAATACTTAAAAATAATTTACTATTTTTATAATCTTTAAATAATTTAATTGATTATAGACATAATTATTGTATTAAACTAATGCAATAAAAAGATCAAAATTAAAACACAGGCTGTTTATGTTTTGGGAAGAAACAAAAAGGTGAATTTCCCAAGACCTTCAAGAAATCTGGCAAAATCCTTAAGAAATATAAAGATAATAGTTTGGATGTATTAGTTTACCATTTTCTTAGATTTCAGATGATGCTATTTTAGAAGTGATGATCAGATTATATATATCGGAGAACAAAAGCAAAGCTATTGAAATGCTCTAAAGGTGCCGTATCAATCCGAATTACGAAGCCAATCTGATTAGAAATGATTTGGAATATTTTATCCCTCAGCTAATTAACTTCTTAGTGTTTCACTAACAACTTTCAGATGAAAGGCTGATCCAATTCATTACCAAAGCATCTCAAATCGACTTTTTTTTTGCTCATCTTGTTTACTTCCAATTAAAGAGTTTATCATAAATCGTTGCTCATAGTAACAGAGTAGAACTTAAGATAGTGCAAAAGTTTGTATAGGAATTTGAAGAATAGATGACAATAAATTATTAAGGCAATTTATTAATAGCAACCCAATTTTTAAAGATTCACCTTGATGATTCTATAAAGAGTTCTTCACTCAGAAAATCAATAACAAGTATATCAAATAAAAAAATTAAACAGGAAGTTTATCAAGGATCCGTAAGAATCAGATCCTTTAAATAAAATGAGGTTGTGCAACTTTACGGCACCAATTAATGGGAACAAGAGATGGCAAATAAAAGTCCCTCTCAATATATAGTAAGAAACCATGAAGATATCGAATTAGAAGATTACTCCTCTATTTTTGATAATAATGAAGATATTCAACCAGTTGATACTGCTTTTTAGTCTAATATCAACTTCTGGAATGATATCACTAAGATTTGTGATGAACTATCTAAATCAAATACGAAAACTTAATACCTACATAGTTTACTAAATAAAATGAATGCTAATTTACCAGCCGCAGTCTATGTGCCTTTTGTTAAGAATTCAATCAGAAACTACGCTGTCTTAAATATAGTCTCTAAAGAAAGTAGAGTATTTTCAACCAAAATGAGAAGTCCTTATAGCTTAACACTTGAGATCTATAGGCCTGAAATTGAGGATAATTACAATGAATAGTAATTACTCGATAAGTAAATGTCGTTAGCCATAAAAACTAATGTACTATATTATCTCATATTAATAGATGATTAAAGCGGATGGAAATTGTCAAAGTTAAGTCATTATCTCAGAATAATAAAATACTTAAATGAATAGAACCTTTTCTCTTGCAGAAGCATAAAACACATTTAATAATGAATTTTAAAATATCAAATTCAACTAATTTAATTATTAAAATAACGAGTCAGAGTCAGATGGTATAGGATTATTTTATAATTATCGACACACCAATAATTAAAATTAAGATCCGGATTAATAAGATGAAATGATTGATTAATAGATTATTGTCTAGCAATCATCATTTTCCAATGCCACTGATGAATAATAGAGTGATAAAATAGTTGAACAAAATAGTAGTCAGAAAATATCTGGATTAGGAGATAAAAGCAACCTAGAGATAAGTTCATTTAATAGTAGAGTCAGTTATTTGCAAGATGGAAAAGGACTAGTCTTAAATTAGGAAGAATATCAAGAAATCAAATCGACTATTTTTGGAGAAAATTCTATAGATTAATCAGAAAGAATTAAAAGACAAAGTCCTTTTTAAACTTTGAAATCTTGGAAACTAGTTCATTTGATTATCAAAACAGGAGACAACTTAAAATAAGAGCAATTTGCTTTGTAATTAATATGTTAATTTGATCAAATATTTAAGAAGGAAGGCCTACCTTTAAAATTAAGATATTATGAGGTTTTATCATTGGGACCTGATTGTGGTATGATTGAGATGATTAAAAATGCCACTACTATTGATAGTTTGTAAAAGAATCTTCAAAAAAAGTACACTCAATTTAGTGATTTCTCTGATTTTTTCAGATCATTTTTTAGAAACAATATTGAATAAGCATTATAAAATTATGTTTAATCGCTTGCAGCCTACTGTTTAGTTTGCTATTTTTTATAAGTTAAAGACAGACATAATGGGAATATATTATTAGATGATGAAGGTCATTTGATTCATATTGACTTTGGATTTTTTTTATCGATATCTCCAGGTAAAGGAATGGAATTTGAAGGAAAAGTACCATTTAAATTGTTGTCCGATTACATTAAAGTCTTGGGAGGCGTAAAAGGAGCTTTGTTTTAAGATCATTTCAGGAAACTCTTTTACAAGTTTTTTATTTATTCATTATTTTTAGAGGATTTAAAGCCTGCCAAAAACATTAAAATGAAATATTATTATTGGTTGAAATGATGTACACTGGTCACGGAACCACTCTACCTTGTTTTTAAAAAGGAGAAGTTGCCTTAAAGGAATTAGAAAATAGATTCAACCCAAGAGTGGCATCTGATGCTGAATTGTTTGTTTATGTTTAAGGACTAATTAATAAATCATTGGATAATTGGAGAGCTAGATGGTATTATGTTATATGTGTATTTTTAGGTATGATAAGTTTTAATATTTCGCTTAAGGCATATTTTATTGATGAATTGGAAGAAGAAGTCTTATTATATTTATTTGTGTCATAACAAATTATTATTAACATAATATTCATATAAATAACTGCGAAGCCATTATTCAAACAGTTGAGCTTTACCTATTCCTTCTTTAATTTAGTCTATGGTCTAATCAATTGGTTATGACTTTTTGTTGTCTACAAAGAGCAAATCATTAGTGATCTATTGAAATACTAAACGAGTGTTGCCTATTGTAATACTATAGATGGATTTGCTCATGGATATGCCTTGATGCAATAAGGCTATCATTATTCCATTGCATAAAGTTGAAAATATCTATTTGATGTTTGAAATTTGATGTATACATTGATTGAATTAATTTAGATAATGCAAGAAACTCTTATTTGTTACTAGGGGTATTCTTGTAAATTGAGAGCCTGTTCAAATATGGATTTCAATTAATATTCTAAAGATTTATCCTACTCAAATTTGATCTGTATGTCAAGGATAGCCTCTAAATCGATGTATTATAATACATTAGTTTGCTTTTTATGATCCAATTTAGTAAGGTCCATGTACAGATATAACAGCACAATTGTCATCTTGTTAATACCTAATTTGGGTGTTTGATTTTATTTGTTTCAATATTTCCACACTCAGCTTTTCCATAATTAATAATTAAATAAATTATTGCTTAGAAAATATTTAATTTAATAAAAATTCAGCAAAAATCATAAAATTTATAAATCTTTTCATTCTTTCATTATGAGAATTTACGATTCCTATGCCACTCTAGTTTCTCTATTCTATAAAAATTCTTTTTCCTCAATTTAAATTGTTTGTCTTTAAGATAGAATTTGATAATGTGGACTCATAAACTTGTTGAGACTATCTATGTTTTTTATTTCTGCCTAGCATTCCAAATATGGTTCTGCATTGTCCTTATTGTCTCTACAATATTACATGTAAGGGAGTATAAATTCCACATTATCAACTCCTGATCCTAAACAAAGTTCTGCTGAATAGTAATATTTTTACATTCAAAAATCAATTATAAAACGACAATACATCTGCAACCTACTCTTTCAGAAACTGATTCATAAGGTAGGTTTAATTTGTCAGTTATTTAAAAATTCATCTTCCCAAAATATCTATTCTGCTCTTTTTCTTCTAGCTTCTCTTCACACATTAATACTTTAGGCATTCCTTATAAAAACTTTTCTTTTATAATAAATTCTAAATAGAATAATATTTTTGCAGATTATATATTTAGATATCCAAACGTGTTATCTACGTCTGCAGTCACATTTAAATAATCCCCATTAACAATTTCAGATTTATCAGCCTCAAACGATACAAAAACTAACTAATTTTGAATTAAATCTATTACCCCTTTTTGTTATCTAAACCATTTATATGTTGTTATTGCATCTACTTTCTGATTCTTTTTCTCAGAATTTTTCAAAGATCTCAGTTATTATTTAAATCCATTAGAATCTTTATAAATTAAAATCTTTTATTGGCACTTCTACAATAATTGTTTATTTCTTTAATTTTTAACAATTAATATAGCCTCCAATATATACTCTCTAGAGACTATCAAGTCAGCACTATATTTGTAATCGAGAGAAGGAATTGAAATCTCTGGGTTCCAATCAAAGGCTACGAACAGATATTCGTCAACTTAAATTCTTAAATGGCATTTAATAATGTTTTTACCTTTAATTTTAAACCAGGTTTACAGTCTTCTCAAAGAATTCATGATTCTTCACAGAATATTAATAAAGGCTTTTATTTTTTTCTTTGAAGTTATAATAAGCATTTTCAAGACCATAAATCTAATTAGGATAAATAAATATACCTTTAAATTCAAATCAAACTACCCTTATATTTAGGGTGGAACTTTGAAGATAACTTTGCCTTATAAATTTTACTCCAACGATAATTTTGTTTAATTTAACTCCAAATAAACTTTTATATACTCTTCTTCGTCTTGTATACGATTATTTTTATTACCCATTATAAAAAATATTAAAAAATTACAAATATTTAACTTCACTTAAATCTTAATGACTACTCCAGCCTTGAAGTACTACTAAAATACTAATAGTGAAGATTTTTTTCATATAAGATTGATAAATATTTCAATATCAACTCATTCCGTAATTTACTCTGAATTCATACAAGAAATTTGCAACTTGATTATTAAATATTCCAGAGATCTGAGTGATAATATAGTAAAATTTGTAATTGCCGCCATCAAGGTTGCACACTTTGTTTATTATAAAGATATTTTTTGAATTTAATTCAAAAATTTATTGATTCCCCAAATTATTACATCATAATTAATAATATAGATAGAATGTAAAATGTTCAAAAGAAATTCATTTTAATTTATCTCAATTAAATTTATATTGGAGTTATAATATTTAGTTTTTTTCGATGAGTTTAATATTATATATAATGGATTATTAAACTAAATTAAGGGTCTCAATCGACATTTTAAGCTGTATCAATTAAGAGAAATAATAAAAGTACTCAATTTCTAATTTTTAGAGTGGTTATAGCTAATATAATAAATAAATGTCGCTTAGTATTTGATATTGATAGTGGTCTTGTGTTAAAATAATCCACCATTACTAATTTAAACAAGGATATACTTTAAGAAATTAATTATACTTTTTAATAAGATGAAATATTGAGTTTAATCTACCCTTTGTATTATTATTAGATCTAATTATAGGATAATTAATAATCATCCAATATAAATGGTCGTAAATTTGTAAAATGATGGAATCTATGAAAGAGTAAAATAATAAAAAGAGTTATTAAGAGGAGAAGAATATTATGTTGGGTTACCTTCAGGATAAAACCAACAATTTATTCAAATTTAGTAAGGAGAAATTATAATCAATAATCAGTCTTTTATGATAAAAGAGAACATGAACATTGTCTTTGTTAAAAAGAAATCAAAATAAGATTCTATATTTGAATAAATATAAATGATTAATCCAACAATGTGTTCATCACATTAACATGCTCATATTAAAGTCTAGAATGGAAGGATATTCTTGGTTGATGGATTTTAGGAAAATACATCAAAAAATGGAGTATGGATTTTAGTTAAACATCAGATGTTCTCTAATCATAATCAATATTGTTATAAAGATTTTAGATTGGCCATTTATTTGAATTGAATTATTGACATATATTATTTTTTAAATATAAAATACAATCATAGAATTGATAAACAAAATAGAAAAACTAAATGAAGAATTCAAATCTATATATACTACAGGTATCTTCATTTAAATGATTGAAAGATCTCTTTTAATCAATTAGAATATTATAAACTTTGATATCTGATAATATTAAATCAAAAATTTATTCTAGAGTTAAGAAAATAATATTATTTAAAATTTCAGATCAAGAATTGAACTGAAAAAAAATTTGATTTTTCACTAAAATAGGTTAAAGGTAGAAATTAATCACTTATTAATAGCTAGGAACTCAAGGGATAATAAATTAAGTATGAATGATACTAATGTATAAGTAAAAGAAATGTTGATTTTTAGGTCATAAATTATTTTATCTATTCTATTAATTATGAGTCAATTATTCATATTAGATGATAGAAATTACTACCCATATCATAGGTATATACATTTTATTTATGTGGAAAATTTCTCTTTTTAATGACCAAATGGAAGATTCTTAAGGTTATTGAATAATCATTGGCTTTATTTGGATTAATATAATAATTCATTTTACTTTGAGATTTTTGATGTAATAAAGTAATAGCCTTAATTAAATTAATTCAAATATATAATGTAAGGAATCACTTTCAATATTGAATTAATTTATATCCCAAAACAACTAAGGAAGTATTATACATGCATTCCTTTTCAGAAGGAATAGTAAATGGTTGGTTTTGCCAAATTATTTGTATACTTATTTAAGAAATCAGCGTGCCATAGTAAATAATTATCTAGATGCATAATTTTAAATATACAAATTTATAATATTTTTATAGAGTTTATTTTTCTATAGGTCAATGATGAAAATTTTCTATTCAGTAATAATTAGTGATTTTAATCACTCCTTCGAATATACTTATTGATTATTTTATAATTGTTGCATTTATCATGGTCATAAAATGTTTTATTTTACAAGAAATAGTTTGGAAAATTACTTTTTCTTATTTATACATTTGGACTAGTTTACAATTTTAATAAATATTATCAAATTTATGTCATATATCTTTAATGAATTTGAAGTTTTCTGGCTCTCTAAGTGCTCTGAGTAGATTGAATCTATATTTCAAATGCCATTAAGTATTTGAAATTCTAGAATTATAAACATAAGAGACAGCTTGAGATTTTAAAAATTGTTAACTTAATATTAAAATTATATTACCTTATAATTCTAAAGACTCTATTAAACTCAGAATTTTTGCCACCATCCACCCATAAGTCTCTAAGTTATTTTATATTGGTCATTTGATTTTTTTTATTTTTTAAGAAATTAATGAAATCGTCATATCTATGTTTAGACATTATTTTTTAAACTAACTCAGGATTGTTGAAAATGTATGAAATTATGGCTTTTGAGTAATTTTTCGTAATGTTTTTTGTATCGTTAACCTTAGATGTTTTTTTCTTTCTACTGATTCTAAAGGATTCAGAACTATCACTTGTATGCTTATGTCGCTTGCCCCTTACATTGTTCTTTTTTTTGGCTTTTTAGCAAATGCTGCTTTCCTCTGCATTCAGGACTTCCTCACTCTATATAGAATCTTCTTTAAAGAATTTAAGCTGCTCTTTTTAAAAGTGCTTTTCTTCTTTTATAGATTAAACATGTTTCTACTGCGCTTGTTCAACATGCGGAAGTTAAGATGCTAATGGCGATACATTTAATAGATGAGCACTGGCAGATTGCTTTACCTGTGATTGTTAGATATCTGTTGGCTTTTGTAACCACAATTTACCTTCTAATGAATTATTGAATAGGCATCTGTTTTAACTATTCATTATATTACACACCTCCTGCCCATCATTAGAATATTGAATATCTACAAAAATAGCAAAGTAATTTAATACAATAAGGATTGGGGGAATAAGGCTAATCAGTAGACTAATAATGCATAATTTTTTCAAAAGAAGTTTAAACAGCTGTGATAGGCCTTAATAGTCGGAATGGGTCTAAAGACACATCAACAGAGCAGAGATCTTATTTACTACCGTTTTGAAGCATAAACGATTTTGAGGCTCTCATAAAACCATCTGTCATGTTAATTTAAATAAATTTATCAATATCTAATGATAGTGCAAGTATATTAATTAATTGAACTTAGTTGTTAATTGGAGTAGCAATTTAAGCGATTGAAATCTCCTCTAACATTTTTAACAACCTTTATTTAAAATTGAAATGGATTTATGTCTAAATTATATAAAATTCTTTAATTCAAATAGATTTATTTCTAAAATGCCTATTTTCTACATACTTATAATCTACTCTAACTTCACATTAATTTGAGTCAAATTTTAGGATCCTAATTATAAGATTATTTAGATAGAATTAAGCAACATAAACTTTACTTTATTCAACTCACATAATTCAACAAATATAGTACATTTTTAGCTTAACTTAAAAAATAAATAATGGTACTCTAATAACACAATTAAAATCAGATAATAAATCATCATTATTATAATCTATAATAAAATAGAACGTTTAAATTGAAAAGAACTCATTAATTAAAAATTGTTATAGTTTGTTTTTATAAATATATATATTTATTATTAATTCATTACATAAATTTTATAAAAAAAATGAATACAATAATCTATTCAATATGTTTGTGTGTTTTATAGTATTTAATGTAAGTACAGATTGAAGAATATATTATTAAATCATTATGGATTAGAAAGTATCTTTTAAAGTAGGAATCGAAGATATTTAATACTCCCATATATAAGTTAATAGGAATGTATTAAAGAAATAATCTGAATTAATAATGAATGTATTTTGAATTTGATTAAAATGAAAATTTATCATAAGTAATCTCAATGTTAAGTTAGAACCTAATTGTTTAATTGAATTTAATGACTAATATTATATGTATTATTTGGAAAGTAAATAATAATTTTTATATTTATTAAATTAACGAACATGATTGATGATTAAAATATCGAATCTGGTGATTAATCTTAATATTTGAGAAATTGTGATAGTTTGAATGCTTATGAAATCAGTGGATAAATTCAACAGGATCATTTTTCTTCATTATATAATAAAGCAATAGAAAAATAGCAAAGAATCAATTAAAAACAAGAAGAGAAGAATGAAGAAATTAAACAATAAGCAAATAAAGTTAAGATTGATTATAACTCATAAAAAATCCTTTTGAAGAAATTAGAAACACAAATTAATACAGTACTTAATCGTCATTAAATTGAAGAGCAATTGGACTATGAAAGATTTTGTAATGTGCTGGTTGATCTAGGTATATCAACAAAGAATGATCATGTGTCAATTGACTTATGGAAATTATTAACATTAGGATTAGATTTAGAAAGTGCATTTATTGGATTTGTATTTAATATTCTTGTGATATTATTGGAAAAATAGTTAACACAAACTTAATCAATAGTATTATTAACAGACGTTATAAATGTTGAATTAGAAGATTAGAACATACCAAAATAGGTGATTAATTTTGAAGAATTATAAGAATTGATGTTTAGATTGACTAATAAATTTAAATTATTAAATGTGAGATTTTCAACTGGATCAAGAGGACAATCTTCATCAAAAAAAGAGTCTTGGGGTAATAATAATAGTTAAAATAATGGAAAACAAAGACAATAATTTGACACTCACTTGTCGGATACAATAAATAGATTTGAAGTGCTATATGAGCATTCTAAAGTATTATAGGAGAAGAAAAGATAGTTGGAATCCTATATACAAGATGATCCAGAATGTCTATTTAAGCCTTAATTGACATCGAATTAAACAAAGAGATAAGACAATGTAAGTACATTTAATAGATTGTATTAAAATGCAGAAGCAATAAAAATGCATAAGTAAAAGTTGAAGGACAATTTGAATAGATAAAGGGATGAAGAGGAATTAATGGAATGCACTTTTAAACCAAAGTTAACTAATAAACAGAGATATTCATTTAAGCCTGTGAAGGGAGAATCTGCAATTCTAGAGAGAATGAGCAAGGCTAGACAGATGAAACAAGAAAAAGAGAACTTCTATTCTATGGAACAAACCAATAGTCAAAATAGGCCTCATCAAACTGTGCCTGAACCTTTTGATTTAAGTAAAAGAGTCTCCAATCCAAAGAATATGTTACTGAATGTGGATATAAGGATTTCAAAAAACAGGAAAGCTAGAATTTGTATTAGAGAAGGAGATGACATAGAGCAAGTAATAAAAGGATTTGCAAAGGCTCATCAATTAAGCTTAGAACAATAGAATGTATTAAAAGAAACTTTAGAATAATACATTAATTGAAAACCTTTATTATATGCTAATTTTAATATATATAATTATCATGACTTATACTCAATTATCTCATCACTCCATAATCTTTTATACGGATATATTGAAGAACGATGGCCATCTGACCAAACGATTGCTACGGCATAATTTCCTTTTGGTTCAATCTTGTATGGATAAACTTCCTGATCGAGTTGTTGATTCTAATAAGGTGGGAATGAAATATTACTTAATTTAATCTTCTTCCCGTAAATTCATCCACACATAAAGCACAATTACATTTAGATCTGAGTTCAGTTGATTTTATAGGTTTTTCTTTGCCATCGAAATCCCTAATAATGATCACTCTTTTGCCTGTATCATATCTGACAGTGGGAGTCTTAGTCAAATCAATTCTATTTAACTCATTAACTACATTATTAGCCAATTGTCTATATATATTATTGATGGTGTGATCATCAGGTAATGTCAGTACTACAGGACTTCCCAAATCTGAATATTTGGAAATATCTCCATATAAGGGTATAGAGAGTGCTGTAGCAATACCAAATTATTTTTGTAGCATGTTCATGTAACCTAATCCGAAAGGTCTATGAACATGATTGCAATTCGGACAGACATATTCAGCCATATTTTCAACCACACTTAAGGTTGGCACTTTTAGGACATCAAACATTTCTATTCCCTTTACAACATCTATAAAACTTAATCTCTGAGGAGTAGTAACGATTACTGCTCCATCGAAATTTAATTCTTAACATAAACTTATTTGTATGTCTCCTGTTCCGGGTGGCATATCGACAACCAAATAATCTAGACTTTGCCATTGAGTTTGTTGTACTAATTAAACAACGATGCTGCTAACCATAGGACCTCTAATGATGGCTTTTTAATTGCCACTTGCATAACCATAACTCATGGTTTTAACACCGTTGAATTCTATGGGAAGTATTTCTTTAGGTTTGTCTTCTGGAGCATATAATTACTATTTCTCTTTGCCAATTAAGGTAGGCAGAGATGGGCCATATGCGTCTGCATCAAATATTCCCACTTTGAAGCCTAATTTTTGTAAGGAAAAAGTAAGATTCAATGCAATAGTGCTTTTACCCACTCCTCCTTTGCAACTAGAGACTGCTATGATCTTATTCACATTTTAGAGGTTGCCTCTTTTCTGAGTATTGGTTTGGGTAAATACATTCTCTTTTTTTGGAGCCATACGAATGTCCAAATTCTTAATCCATTCGAATTGCTTAAGGGCATCTGAGCAAAGAGCCTTTATCTTTCTGTAATCTTAGTCCAATTTGAGATCAATGATAACTCTTCCATCTAAAGTACTTGGTCATTGGAATACCTTGGTCAATGGATAGATTTTCTACGTAACCATTGGACACTATGTCTTTGTGAGAATCGGAATGTTTTATTTCTTTGAGTCGATTGAGGATTTAGATCTTGTATTCTGATTAGCAACATTCGATTACCTTCATTGATGGAGAAAGCGAAGTACAATTTGTTGATGATTGGGACTGACTTAGTTAATCTTCTTAACATTTAATTATATATATATAGATATAGATTATTTTCAGAGTAGTGACAAGTGTATATCATAAACAATCAAAAACACGGACGAAGTGATCATCATTATTATATTATTTAATTTTATTAATGAATTATCGATAATAAATATTTCACTTAAATATTTTCAAATTATATATGCACTCTTTAATTGCTAAATAATCTCATATAAAAAGCACGGATTAATTAATTAATTTATAATGCAGCCACTTTTGTAATCAGAAGATCCTTCCACCAATACAAATAGGGATCCTCATGGTTTTGGATTATCATAGGCTACCTTTGTGAACGTATTCTTCCACATTCTACAAATAGGATTAAGCCTCCGACATTCAGAGAATTTATGAAGATTTGTACTCCAAAGTCAAAATTGGTGATCTCAAGGGAGTCAGGTATCTTCTTGGAATTAATGACAACGATTCCTTTAGCCAAATGCAACCAATCAATATTCAAAATATCGCAGATGAAAAAAAAAATACCTTGCTTATGCATGCTGTTTGGAAAGATCACACCAAGCTTTTTACAGACTTAATAAAATATTCTCTAAAATTATTTGGGTAACAATTCATTAAGCAAATCTAGTGAGTCTGCTACCAAATAATGGGTCACTCAATAAAATGATTCAGGAAATCAATGCATGCATCTAGCTACTCAAAAAGGTAATATAGCAATTCTTGATGCAATCCTCAAACTAGGAATCAAATTGGATGCAAAAACCAGGTTAGGACAAACAACTCTCCACATAGCGTCATAATCAGATTAACCTATTATGTTATACTATTTAGTTAATATCGCGCACGTTAATATCGATATAACAGATAACGATTTTAGCACTGCTTTGCATTTAGCCAGCTACTCAGGTAGTGAATAATGTGCTGCTATGCTGCTAGCTTGGGGTTGTAAAATTAATACTAAGAATATTTTTGGTTGCACTCCTTTGCACGTCTCTGCAATTAGTGGGGAATATAAAATCACTAGAAAGTTATTGCTTTATAATGCAAAAACAAGATTAAAAAATAAATAGGGGAAGACTGCTTAGGAGTTGTCTGAATAAAATGAATTCTTAACTATCACTTAAATGATCATGGAATACTAGGAAGGGGATATCAAATGCAGCAATCTATTTGGATAGAGAAATAAACCTAGGATTGTATTATTATATTAATAACCATTTATAGAATCAAAAGACTAGATTATAAATGTACGCTTTCATTTTCATGTTAATACTCAATCTAATCTATTAAATTCTATTTTCATTGGGAAATAACTTGTTTGGTTACATTTAAATCATTTTAGACATATTTCAAATCTGTTTATTTGTCTTCATCATTAATTCTGATCCTGGATATCAAGTCCAATATAAAAAAGAAGGTCAAATATTTTATTAGATTCTACAGAATAATCCCAAGAAATTGGAAATTTGTGCAGAATGCGAAACACTTAAGGCCAAAAGAAGTCGTCATTGTGATTTCTGTAATAGATGTATCAAAGTCTATGATCATCACTGCCCATGGATAAATAATTGCATAGGGGCAAAAAACCATTTTGTATTCATCATATTTATCTGGATCACTTTCTTAACAATTGGATTTCAATTATTTGTTTCAATTGTATTGTTCATCAATATTGTTTGGAAATAATCTTATATTGGAATACTATCGTCAAACTTGGGTTACTGGGATACATTTGACTTTTTATTTAACTCTCTAACAGATCTCAGAAAGTACTTTAGCCTCTCTAAAGGCGTTTAAATAGAATATATAGTCTTGGAATTATTGATAACATTGATGTTTTTTGTGTTACTAAGCCATTTACTATGCACATAACTGAAGAATATGTATTATAATAGAACTACCTTTGAGAGACTAAGCAAAAAATATCAGGGGTTTAAGTAATACAAGTTATATAATCTTTTAGTAATTAGTAATCAAGTTTACTAGAAAGTAGTTACATTGAAAATGAAGTTAGCAATTCAAATTGCTTAAGGAACTGTTCCCTTTTGCTATTTCGGAACAAAAATTCTTAGGATTACAATTACGTTTACCATGATAATACAAGCCTTACAACAGCAATAATTTCCTGATTGTTATTTATTATAATAATTTCAAATTTAAAAATTGAAAAATGACAGATAAATTTAAGGCGGAACGAGACAATATTCAAGTTTCTATTAGAATAAAGTAAGCATCCTTTTATGAATTATCAAAGACCTTTATTAGAAGATGGAAGATCATGTATTAAGTTGGATTCCAATTTAAAAAATACAATTATTATTGAGGGCAATCAATAATAACAGCAAGACTAGAAATATTTCTATTTTGATTACGTAGCTTAACAAGACTCAACCTAAGAAGACATATTTAATATAGTTGGAAAATAATAAGCAATCAATTGTCTAGATGGTTATAATGGATGTGTGTTTGTCTATGGATAAACTGGAAGTGGTAAAACATACACTATGATGGGTACATAGAAGCAGCCAGGCTTATTACCAAGAGTGATTGATTTTCTTTTTAATTGCATTTAGGAGGATTCCTCAGAATACGTAGAATATTTAGTCAAATGCAGTTATTTGGAAATCTATAATGAACATATAATAGATCTTCTGAATCCCTAGTTAGGAAACTTATAATTGAGAGAAGATCTCAAAAAGGGAGTTTATGTAGAATAGTTAAGCGAAGAAGTTTGTACAAATGTAGCTGAATCATTGGAAGTACTTCAGAGAGGTAGTCTTAATAGACACATATCATCTACCTAGATGAACATAGAATCATCAAGATCACACAGTGTGTTTACTATATAACTTGAATCAAGAAGATAATCATCTCAGACTTAGGTCATCAATCATAGATTTTCAAGATTTCATTTTGTTGATCTAGCTGGTAGTGAAAGGTAGAAGCAATCTTAAGTTTAAGGAGAGAGGTTGAGAGAAGGTTGCAATATAAATAAAAGTTTACACATCTTGGGCAATGTAATCAATTCTCTTGTTGAAGACAATCAATCCTACGTACATTATAGAGACTCCAAATTGACTTTTCTACTCAAAGATTCTTTGGGAGGCAATTCAAGAACTCATCTAATAGCCAATATATAATAATCCCAACAATTCTATCAAGAAACCTTGTCGACTCTTATGTTTTCTAAAAGAGTTAAATAAGTTAGAAATAAAGCAAGAATCAACGAAGATGAAAGTGGAAATTTAGAGAGTCTCAAGAATGAAATCAAAAGACTCAAATAAGAACTTGCAAAAAGTGTTACTCAATAACAAAAATGGGAATCACCTAAGAAGTTTGAATAAAAATAATAATAGTCCTAAATTAATGAACAATGTATTCAATTTCATATTATAATCTAGTTTTACAATCTTTGGAATTGGAAAGCTTGATGATTAATGATTAAAAATACATTAAGCTCGAAGAAATTTTGAAGTGCTATTTAGAATAATCAACAGAAAGCGAAACTGCATTGTTTTTAGAAATTGAAAAATATTTGAATGGAATTAAATAATTAAAAGAAGGCTTCTAATTAGGATAATAGTTAGAGCAATAGTTAAAATTTGTTATTAAATTACAGAATGAATAAATATAAAAATTGAAATTAAATTAATAAGCAGATGAAATACAATAATAGATTTAATAATAATTAGCATATGCTTTGCAATGTCAAGGATTAGTTATGAAAACATTTTACGAAAACTTAACTTTAAAAGAGCAGTAAGGAGCTACATAAACAGTATCCAAGGTTTAAGTGTAAGTCGATACAAATCTCAATTTATTAAAAGAAATAGTTGAAACTGTTTAGGTATATTATATATTTATTTGATAGAACTCTTTAAATGAAAGAAGACTTTTTCAATAGCAAATAGATACTTAATTTAATTCATAATATGTCACTTTAGATAAATTTAAAGAACTTGAAACATAATCAGAATATAAAGAGAAGTTGTTATCAGAATAAACATAAAAATTAGTTTAAATGGAAGAATAAATCAAGGAGGTTGAAAAATAAATTTTACAAAAATTAGCTGAAAATGGTATTACATTTAACGAAAACGATTAAATCATTGACGTTAGAGATAAGCAAATATTAGATTTAAAAAGCAGAATTAGTGATCTTAATTAAGAACTCAAAAATTCAAATTAAGAATTAGAAGAGTTATTAAATAACTCAGAGTAGGTTATTTAATAATTGAAAGTTGAAAATTAATAAATAGTAGCTCAAAAATAGGAATTTGAAGTTAATTACGAACAATCACAAACAAATATCTAATAGTTCTAAGAAGATTTTAAGCAATAGATCTTGTAATTTGAAGAATAAATTATTTAATTGAAGGATTAAAATTAATTATAATCTCATAATTATCAATAGCTCAATTAATAAAATTAAGAATTCAAATAATAAATTCAAAATGAAAAAAATTAAAATACTTAGCTTGTTTAAGACTTAGCAGAAAATGAAGAAAAACTAAGAGAAATTAATCAAATAATTGTTGACAATGATATTACAATTTAAGAACTAAAATAATAACTATCTACTTATGAAAGTAATATTACATAATTAAAAAATGATTTAAGTGATTAAAAAACTAAACTTCAATAAAATCACAAAGTAATTAAAGAATTAGAAATTGAAAATTAAAATCTAAAATAAACATGTTCCAAATATTAAAATGAATTAGGAATAGTATAAGACTAATTAAAGTTATCAGTATCCAAACTAGAGAGTTCAGAATTGGAATTATTTACTTAACTATAATAAGTATAAAAAGATAATTAATTGTTATAATAAGAGAATTCACTCTTATATAAGACTAAGGATGAAATAAAATAGGAAAGAGATGGTTTAGTTCAAGAATTAAAGTAATAAAATTAGGAACTTCTAAATACTTAATTAAAACTAAAATAAACTGAATAGAACTATTAGGAAGAAATGATAGTATTTTAATAAAATTATTAAATTTAAAATTCAGACTTAGAGAAGAATTACTAAGATTAAATCAAACAATAAAAAAAGGATTTTGAATTGTTCTTATAGCAACTAAGTGCAAAAAAAGATTATGATTTAGGTATATTGAATTAAGAAGTAATATATTATTTATAACTTTTTAGATCCATTCATTGACTTGCATAATCAAAGAAAAAGAAAATTACATTTCTGAATTGTAGTCTTCATAGGAATTCTAAATTAATGTAATTTAATTTATATCCTTAATAGTTGTTAAATTAAAAATTACAAAATGAAACTTAAAGGGCTTAGCATTTGGAGAGCATTATCGAAACATAGAAATTAGAGTTTGAAGATATTCAAAAGGAGCAGATGTCCAGTGTAGACTTATTGTAAAAGCAATTAGAAAGTAAGCAGGCTGTAATTCAAGAAACATCGGATCATTATAACCAAGTTCATGAACTCTACATCTCTTTGTAAGCTAGGTTGGAACAAAAGGACTAAGTTAATTCCGAATTAAAAAGAGATTTGTTATAGCAGAAGTCCAAAATAGAGAGCTAGTCAAAGGAAATACAATAGTTATAATAAAAAATGGTCTCAATAGAGAATGAGAACTAATAAAGCAGAAACACAATGGAAATTTAATAGTAAGGTAAATTGTAAGATATGACATAAAAATTATAAATTAAGATTAGAATAATCGAATAATTGACCAATGAAAAAACAGCTTTAAATGATAAAATAAAGGAGTTTGAATGTGAATCAAATAAGTTAAAATAAATGATAAATCAATTAGAACAGTAATGTAATGAATGGTTAAATAAATCTAATGCATTATAGTCTCAAATTCAATGTTTGATGAATACCGTAAATGAAAAAGATTCAGAAATAGAATTTATGCAATAAGAATTGAATAAATAAAATCAGATTCTTGATAAAAGTTCTGAAGTATGGAAAAAGGAAACAAACTAAATGGAAATTGATAATAACATCTTAAAAATCTAAATCAATGATAAGTAAAAGGAGATACACAAACTTGAATAGAGATTAAATGCTAGTTTAAATGATTTGCAATAAAAAGAACAATAGGTAGATCAATTAAAGTTATAATTAAATCATCTAAATACAAATTTATAACAATAATTAGAATTAACTTCTAAAGATAATTCCTAACTAAAAAAGGAAATATCATAATTAAATCAACATATTGATTCACAACATGAGGAAATAGATTAGATGAGAGTTGAATTGGATTAAAAATAATCTCAAGTCGATGAAAACAAATCAATTGTTAAGAAATTAACTAAGTAATTAGAAGTAGAAATTAAACAATATTCTCTGCATTTAAAAAAATATGAAGATTAACACAAAAAGGAAGTTTAAGAGTTAGTAGATTAATTGGATATTCACTAGAAGAAATTATAATAGAAGGATCAATAAATTGAATAGTTAAATAAATAAGTTAATGGATTATAATGTGCATTTGAAACCAAAGAAGATGTAAATCAATAAACTCAAAAAGACATTCAATAGCTAAAGGATAAATTAAAGTCTGATTAGACTAAGTTTACAGTATATATTATTATTTATTTTTAGAAAATAATCTAAGGTCTTGAGAATGCCAACATTCAATTGAAAAATCAATTAGAAGAAAGTAGTTATCAGATTTAGGAAAATGTGCATAAATATCAATCAATCCAAAAATAAAATGATTTATAGAACATACAAGTTAGTGAATAATAAGAGAAATATAATCTCTTAAAGGATCAATTTACTAGACTAGAATCTTAAATGAAATAAGAATCCTAAATAAGAGAACAATATAGTCATATTGCTGAGAAAGTTACAAAGGAAAACAATGAATTAAAATAGAAGATCGATAAAAAATAATAAGTAAAATTTATCATTAATTCAAAGATTATTGTACAATTAGAGTCAGCTCTCTTATAAAATGAAGAAACACTAAAAAATGTACATGATAGAGCAAAGGAGTTTTGTAAGTAACAAGAGAAGGAAATTAATGATATCAAGGATTAGTATCTAAAATTAGAGGCTGAACATAATGCTATATTAGTAATTGTTAGATTTATCTTAATAGTCCTAAAATTAAGAACGAGAAGATGAAAATGAATAAATGAAAGACCAAAAAGATCAAGCACTGATGTAAATGCACGCTTTAGAGGATGAAAATGGTTAATTAAAGAAGGAACTACAAGAGCAACATGAAAAATTAACCAAATCAAATAATGAAAGATCTATGCTCTATAAGTAAATCGAAGAAATGCAAAAAGATATAGCCTAACTTGGAGGTCATAATAATCCTTCATAAAAGATACGATATTTAAATACAATAAAGCAAGAAAATTCTTGTTTGAAATAAGAAAAGCTATACTTATCAGAATAATTACAGAAGGAAATTGAAGAAAAAAATAAACTGCTCTAGTAATAATAATAGACTAGAAAAAACACTGATTCAGATAATTAATATAATACATCTAAATTAGATATGGTATTTATGTTTGATTATCATAGCAAAAATTGATTGTTGAAAATTAAAGACTCAATAATGAGATGACTAAACTTAATCAAATTTTGAATTTAAGTGGAGTTAAAAATAGATTTTCAACAATCAAAGGCAGCGATGGAGATAAGATCATTTAATCTGTGTAATTACTTATTTAAGAGTTGATTGTAAGACTAATTTATAATTTTAGGACTGCAAATAAGAAATTTAACAGAGGAATAAAGATTAAGAAGGAAAAAACCTTAAATATTAAACAATGGAAAAAGATTTATTAGTTATGAAACAAAAATTCTATGCTGTATAAAAAGATAATCCGTTAATCTAAACGAAAGCATAAAGTCCTGCTGTGCAACATGATGTATTGAGAGACAACAATAGAATTAATATTAATTCGGGTAGTGTTTAAAGATAGTCAAAACCAAAAGCTTAACAAACTTTCCAATTTTAGTGATTATACAATACAAATATCATTAATTAATTCATTTTATAATTGTAATCTCATAACCTTGCCTTATTTTGTATGAATTGGCCATTATTTATAATTTGACCATCCAACAATGCTAAAGGTGAATTTTTAAACTTTCCTATAAACCCAGTCAAACTCTTTAAGTTTGCCTCAAATTCAAATCTAAAATCTGATCTCTCCATTTTATTATATCTAATTTTGAATTCTCTTTTTAAATAGTCTGTTTACTCAGCATCCAGCAACTTTTATAAATTGTAATTTGGATCAGGATAATTAAAAGCTCCTTTATAGCCTATTAAAAACTAGTAATAATATTTACTAAATTAGAAAATGTGAGGATAGGTGTGCTTAAATTAATCTCCAGAATCAATGTAAGTAATGATGTTTTAATAACTTCTTAATTATTTTAGTATTAGCAACTACAAGAATATCGGCGGTTATAAGTATATCTAGCGATTAATAAATTTTTATAAAAATCCAACAGGAGTATCCCACTCATAACTTGAGCTCTCAGCCTTATTGATTTCTAATTGATCGTAATTGTTTAAATTAAAAACAAAAAACTAAGTGTCATATCTTTTTTCCATCATCTGAGGTGTGACTATCCTCATGAATGGTTTGATCTTGGAATATAATTATTTATATTCTAACTATATATTAGTTTCTTCAGTAGTTTCTCTTATAGCAGCAATCAATGATGCATCATACCATGGTTGATTGAGAGGGCAAAAATATCTTTATTGATTTTGCTAAATTAATTATGAATCTGCAAAAGCTATCTTATAATCAGTTTCTTCTAGAATTCCTCCTGGAAAAACAAATGATCCTCCAAATGAAATTTCATGGCTTCTTTTTAACATCAAGACTTTAAAATCATCCCTGATCAAAATTAAGGATGCACTTTTTTAACAACAAGTCATTTTTATAATAATCTATGGATATTAAAAAAAAATGAAAATCTATAATTATTAAAACCCTAACATTATTTATCATTCCATGTGCAAGTTTATAAATATTTTATCACCGGTGTTGAATTACACAGCCAATGCGTCATATTTTTAAATCCATGACACTCGAGTATAATTGAGATCCATCCGTACATTAGACTCAAATTCTTATGTAATTTAAGGGATCATTTAACGTTTCTCCTTGTTCATTTTATATGCATTAGTTATTCGCAATTAAAATGAGTAATCAGTTTTTTCAATCATTAATTCATCACCATAATTGTCAAGAGTGAATCTAAAACCATCAATAACACGGGATACTCTAAAATAACACAATTTAATTACTATTTCTCTCCTGGATTATCCTTTTTGTTCCTTAAATAATTTTACCTCTATTCATCATAAGTTTAATTTTGAAATTATGTTGAAAAAACATCCTCTTCTTAATTATTTGCTTGAACATTATTTATTTGAACATTATTTATTTGTACATTATTTGGTTAAAAAATTACACTTGCTTAAAACTTTTATTATTGAAAAGAATTCGGCTGGATTGATTGAATTTATGCTTGATTAAATGGTTGGTTAAATTAAAATTTTGGTTACTAGCCAAATTGAATATTGGATTATTAACTAATTGAAGGGTTTCCTCCACATTAATTACCACTTGGCTATTATACTTATGTGGCCCTGTGTTATGGATTAAAGATTTGATTCTGGTCAGGAGTTTATGAAAGTGGAGTTGTATTCAGTATTGGTCTATAAGGAATTGCTTATATTGAGAGCCTATCATTAGCTTATAAAAAGCCTTTCACTTAGCAGTTTAAATTCTATAGAATTAATTATGCTTCATTTTTGTAAATACTTTTGCCATTTGAGTCAGTGAACCCTAAGCATTAAAATAATTCTAAAAATGTAGTGGATTCTCCTACTAGAACATTTTGGCCATTTAAAATGATATTCATCAAATTATTTAAATAATGAAAAAAAATGTCTGCTAATTCTATTAAAAATGATTCAAATTCTATAGAAATCAATTTAATAAATTTATTATAAATTATAGCTGCTTTAAAAATTAATAAAAATAGTATTTGATATTGATAAATCTTTAGGATTGTCTAAAATATTAAATATCAATAGAATAGGCCTTGATTTTCATTGTTTATATCTGCTAATATAATTGGAAATCAATCTTGAATTCATAATGCTATCCTTCGAAGAAGATCGATCTCTTTGTTTTATTTCTAGGTTAATTTGATATAATTGGTTTTCAAGATTCTATATAACTATTTTGTATTCTGCCACTTAATCTGAAAGTAGTGCTGCTTAAGCCTGTATATCATCTTGGTAACTACGGATAAATGAATTTTGATACTTCTATGTCAATTATTAAATATGGCTTTATAGTTATATATTTTCATTCAATAGTTTTTGAGTTTCTGATTTTTGTTTTTCAAGCTCCATTTTTAGTAAATGCAATTCTTCTTCCTTTTACTCAAATTAAGATTCATAGTCTTATTACAATTCATTGCTTTGAATAACACATTTCTCCTATATTTCCTAGAGTTTGAGTCTGAAATTATATTCCTAGGAAGATAATTATTCAGAAAGTTGATTATTTTATTACTTGATTGTTTTCATTTGGGAATGAATTTCTTGCAAATATTTTTGGTTTCCAATATCATCAGTTAATTTATCAATTAGTTCTTGTTGTTTTATTGAATACTTATCCTAATTATCCTTGTATTCAAAAAATTAATTATGTAAGGATTGAAAGGATTATTGTAATTCATTATTAGCAGCAAGTAGTTATTCAACTTAATATTTATATTATTAACATTCCATTTATAACTATTGTTTCTCTTTTTGGCTCTCAAGAAATTTAACTTCTAATTATTACAACAGACTAATTTCTTTTTCATTACTTTTAGCAGATTCTAGTCTCCCAAGCAGTTCCTTTTTTTCATTCAATAGCTTGGTGATTGTGCCTTATTGTTAAGTAAGCAAATTTTAGTATTGCTCGAATTTCATCTCATAATAGTATTTATCTGCATAGGCTTGAGACAATTTCTCTATTTCACTTTCTTCAGTTGTAATTGAATGTCGTAGATCTGTGGATTTACTATCTGGAAACATATCTTGGAGATTATTAATGGATTGAGTTTTTTCGAAGGTTTATGCAACATATTGAATGTCGAGTTGCTAGAATGATAAATACACATTACCACTCTTTTACTTGGTTATTTAGCTTAAACAGAACTTTAATTCACATAAGCACTGGTTTTGTCAGCTAACATAAATCGTTATATTTTATTAAAATAAATTGTTCAAATGAAAGTAATGTCAAATATAATTATATTTTTAAATGGGTTCTCAGTGTTCTCAATGTAACTGTGATAAGAAAGGGAATGATATTTAAGTAATCTTATGAATCAACTAGGAATGTATTTCAATTCCTACAGGCCCTTCTAAAACTGAGAAGACTTAGTTAATAAAAAGTAAAATGGCTATTGTAATCTAAAAATACTGGAGGAGTTATAGAGAGCGTCGTAAAGCAACTGATCATAAAATACTGTGTGCCTTTGAAACGGAGACTGTGGAAAGTGGAATCACGATAAATCAAGATGACAAACCCAGAATCGAAAAACCTACTTTTACGTATAAAATTCTTAAAGCTAGATTCCCTGGAGGAGCCACTTATACTGGGGAATGGAGAGGAAATTCAAGGGATGGGTATGGAATCCAAATTTGGCCGGATGGTGCTAAATATGAAGGTGAATGGAAACATAACAAAGCAAATGGAAGAGGTAAATTTACACACGTTAATGGGGATATTTATGAAGGAGAATGGGAAAACGACATGTCAAATGGATATGGAGTCTATTAACATGTTGATGGCCCAAAATATGAGGGAGAATGGTTTAATGATAAGTAACATGGATATGGTATTGAGTTATGGCCTGATGGTTCTATATATGAAGGCTATTTTTAGAATTCTTATAAACATGGCCAAGGTAAATATATTTGGAACAATGGCTAAAAATACGAAGGGGATTGGTTTCAAAATAAAATATCAGGAAAGGGAATTTTAATTTGGGCGGATGGAAGAAAGTACGAAGGAGATTTCTATTTTGGTAATATGCATGGCAGAGGTATATATACTTGGCCAGATGGTAGAAGATATGAGGGATTATACTTTAATGATAAAAAGCATGTAAATCTTATTCAATAATTTAAAATAAGGGTTTTGGCATTTATGACTGGGGGGATGGAAGGAAATATGAAGGAGAGTGGGAAAACGGTAAGCAACACGGGCGAGGATATTTTTCTATTAATAAGAAAGGAAAATATGGACTTTGGTAAAAAGGTAAACGAATATCATGGGAGGAATAATGATATCACAGAAATTATTGAAATTATATTACTAATTAAAATAACTTATTTGACTGGTTTTTTTTGTAATAAAATTTTCAATCTCATTAGCATACAAATTCTTAAATTTATTTAGTTACGTATTTTCTGTAAATTTCATCGACTTCTTTGGAATTTTACCTTAATCCTTATAGTACCTAGACTATTAATCTGACTTTTTCTTTTTCCTTATCCAAATTCTTGAATTATTTTAATATAATTTACTTGATCCTATTTTTGTAAATTTTATATCAATGTCTTAAGAATAGGTTCAAATGTTTTGATTAAAATTTCATAATATGGACCCAATATCACAGGATCTTTTCTAACAATCTTCTAGATTATTCTTAACCTGGGTATTCTAGTTTCATCATATTTATCCTCAACTATAAAATATTAAGAAACTCTTACCAAACTTATCAAAGACTTCTACTAAAATTGGTTTAATTTCTAGATTGTATTTATCTATGAATAATTCTAATAAATCAAAGGACAGAGATCTTAGATCCTTAGCATCATCCCTTTTTTCAACAAAATTACCAAAATTTAATTCTTTTTCCTCATATCTCCTTAAAGTGAATGTTAAATATTAAGTTAAATTGACTAATTTAATATGTTATATGTTTTAGGTAAGTGCTTTGATGATTCCAGTTAGAATTGGAATTTCCTTTTCGTTTTACAACATCTCAAATAGGATTTAAGATTTACTGGCCCATTGATTGGAATACTTTAGACTTTAAATGCAAGTAAATCTAACATTTTAGGAAGGACTCTTAAGACCCTCTAACAAAATTTGTTCTAAAGATTTGTAATTCTACTTTACTAATCCACCCAAAATGTCACCACATATGGTGGATATTGTTTTATCTTTTCCATTAACCTATTTCAAAATATAATTAGCAATATCTGCAGGATTAGAAATAGAATTGATTTCTGTGAATTCCTTTAATGCTTGATAAAACTAATATTAATTAGGATTTTATTCAATCAAATTTTATATTTACTGAATATCGGAAATAGCTGATCCAATTACGATGGCAGCTAAATCAGAGTCCTAATTATCCTTGATTAATTTGCATAAAATCTCAATTGCTTTTTAGTCTTTTTAATATTTATGCAAAAATCTTAAGGTTGATAATTTTAACTATCTGTTAGTGCCTATTGTAGAATATAAAGAACTGAGTGAGCCTGGACTGTTTTTTAATATCTAGCAATATATCTATCCAGCCGGGTATAATTCTTCCTTTCCTAATTGTCTGGAAACTTCCTATTCAATTATTTAAGGTTAATTTATTAGATGGAAGTAATCTTCAATTTCACTCTTTATTTTTGTTTGGTACAATCCAATTTTAACTGACTCCCTTATTAGCTATTCAGGTAATTTGATGCCCGTTACTTTAATCAATACTTGTAAAGTCTAAATTTATAAATCAAAGTTTTCTATTGTTATCTATTTGAATTTGTTTAGGATATCAACTGCTAACTATTGATCAACTTTATTGTTTTAGATTAAGTGAATTAAAGTTATGTATGTTTAAGCTTTATCATTTTTCTAAAGTTAATTAGCAATATTTGAAATTAATACTTTAGGTTCATTAAGATTTTTGAAATATTAGACAAGATTTATGATATTGTTGGTTAGGGCTTCAATTTACAATCTGACCAAAGAGATTGAAGCTAATTATTCAACTTCTGGTTTTAAAAATATTGATTCAAAGTGTTTGAAGAGAGTGGCTGCAAGTGAAAATAAACTTTATTTGATCTCCTAATCTAAATTATCTATCTATATTTTTGTGATCAGATTTTATTTGATTTATGTCAAAGACTATGAAAATGTTACCTCCTCAAAGTTCAATTTGAACACTTCAATTAACTTTTCTAAGGTATTATATCCTTCAACCTGAATTCTGATATACTTTTAATTGACGGCTTCAAGAAGTATCAAGACCATTTGCTGCAAAATTTAAATTTAAAATTCTGCTGGCTCTGTAATTTTAAGTATAGTTTTCATGGCTAAAATAGAAGCAAGCTAATAATAGAAATATCTATAGAATTACTTTTTATTCATTAGAATAATGCATAGAAGAACCAGCAATTGATTAATGGATAATTTCAACAATTTTTGAAAAACATGAATGTGATGTCTAAATTTGGGAGTGGAAATATTGCCCAATAGCTAATAATAATTTTGTGGTTTCTGATTTTAAAGATTATTGTTCTTAAGAGTCTTAAAAGATCGATTAAATTTATTCCAATAGCTATTCTACCAGTTCAATAAGTGAGATAGAGGCTGGAATAGACCTTTGCTTGATCAAAGATAGTTATTCAACTTCCATTATATTTATATCCTCTTTTATAATGGCAGATGCTTAAACTAAGCCAATCAAAAATTAAATGATAGATAATTTTATTTCTGCATTTTTTTCATTCATCCTTTTCATGATGATCTGATTTGGACCAAATAAGGCTGACAGAATTAGTTTATATAGTTATGGTTGAACCTTCAACAACTCTTAGAATGTATATAATGCACATCTTCGTACTCTCCATGTTGAATCAGAAGCTAATGAATTTATTAAACAAATTTACTTTCATCAGCATAGTATTCATCTTCATATGCATTCTCTTCTTCAATTGTTGCTACTCCTAATGGATCAAAATCAATCAAAGGTGTTATTTACTCAATTAATTAGAGATCAAATGAACGTGCATAATAATTTGTTAGTAAATAATTTATTGTAAGCAATTAAATTTCTAAAATCTCAGCATATTAATTAATATTGTCTAAATCTATTTTGCTATGTTCATTTTGGGTCTAAAAGTATCTATAAAAGATCTATTCCACCAAAGCCTTATCAAAATATTTTCCAGAACTCTTTGCTAAATAATTCAAACTTTAATTTAAGTAAAGAATTTTAGTGAAATTTTGTTAATCAAATTTTAATTCTTTGGTAAATGGAAGTATCTCTATAATTGCATATATTATGATTGTATACTTTATTGGATTAAATGATTTAGACTTTCTTGGTTTAGGCATGCTCCCAAATGGCCTAGACATACGCATGAATTTTTTCTTATTGACAATTCATTTGAGTTTGTGATATTATCCAATAATAAATCTCCAAAGTCCTTATAATACAATTTGGGCCATCTTGACATTATTAAACTTAAAATCTTAAGGAGTTCAGCTTGTATTTCAACATTTTTCTAGATTTCTTGATGGACTATTTAATTTGAAACCTACAACTTCTTAACATTCACTTTCAATTCACCCAATTCTATTATCTATAATAAGACTTACTTTGTATAATTGTTTCTTAAACCTCCTCTAAGCTGAAAACTTGACTTGAAATCTTTTCTACTATTTCTTGAAGGCAAATGTGATAATTTTCTCTTACATCACTCATTCCTTCCACAGATGACTTCAATAATTCTAGAGAAATATATGATACCTCCTTTGATCTCATCAAAGGAGCCAATCTTTAAAATTATCTAATGGCATTTCCTATTATAAATAATTCGATTCAAATACCTTAAATTTCTCTATATTGAGATGATAAATGCTAATAAAGTACTTTATAGCAATTATTAATTAATTTTTGATTCCTTTCATCTTCCATCCCTTGTTCTGGTTTTCCATAGTATGTTGTCAACTCATTTGTGAGTTCTTCAGCTCGCATATATTGAATATCAGGGTCTGGATTGGTCAAGGCTTCCGAAATCAGAGTATCAATTTTCTTCTAATCCATAAAATTATTTCTTAATAAATATCAGATTTTTTCCACTCAAGAAACATTTGCATAATGAATATCCGTCAGATTATATTAGGCAATATAAAAATAGCTTGTATAAAAAGTATAAAATCTTAAAATCACTCTAATTTATTATCTAAAACTTGAGATATTTATCTTACTATTATTTCTAGACTTAATAATCTTTAAAAAAATAAAAACATTTCTATAAATGTGGAACTGATTTTAAATACAGAGTATTTGATCATTATTAAAGAACTTTCATTTGACTTCATCTTGGGAAATTGATTAAAAATAAATATGAAAAGATTATTCTACATCTTAGATAGTAAAACTTTCTTTGAATTGATTAGTATATATACATATCGATTTGAGCAAACAGAATTTATCACATTATTTTATTTTATTGAATTTAAATACAAAGAAAGCATAATTTTATTGTAATACTTTTTTAATATTTTTGATTTAAATGTTTACAAATAAAGATAACTTTGCAATTTATCTTAAAATTCAAGAAGTACGATAAATTTACTCCAATTTTAAATCGACTGTCCTTCTTTAACTCGAAAAACTCGAAAATTAAATTGAAACTATAATTTATGAGCTTTCTCAAAGGGATGAACTTGATTCAATTTGTTAAAATATTATTGAAAATGACAATTCTACACTAAATGATGATGAAGTGCAAGAGATAGCTCAAATTTGGAATAAAATCTCCTATCAGAAAAACGATGAATATTTCCCAAAGTTTAGTGATCAATTAGTGTCAAGAATTTAAAAGACTTTGAAATTATGGGAATAATAAATTTAAGAGACATTATAAATGGATCTTAGAATTATTCCCATTTATTCAAAATCCTTATACAAATTTGATCTTAATACCAAGTTTCCAAGCATATAAGTAAATGATGAAATTATGATTGAATAAACTCAAAGTTAAACTCATTATTGCTTTGCTGTAGTTGATTAAAGACTGAATTAAATAGAAACTAGTTCAATAAAATTCAAGTTTCCAAAATTTATAGGCGACATTGGAGTTGGAATTTGTGATTTAGCGGTTTTAAAATCAAAAAATTTTAGACCTTAGTTGAATTAAGTTAACAATGGAGCATTTGTTTGCTTTTAAGATTCATGTAACATGATTTTTAACAATAGACACTATAAATACAGAACAAGATGAATATAATTGGAAGACCAAAGGTTTTAAATACGGTGAAAGAGATGTTATTTAAGTAGTTTATGAGCCAACACTCAAAAGAGCAACTTGGATAAAAGTTTAAGTAAAGAATTAAATATAATTTTAGAAACCTGAAGATGGTTATTCAGTAGTATTATTAAATGATAAAAGGGAATTGTATTTTTGTTGTATTGTTAAAACATAAGGAGCTAAAGTAGAAATAGTTGTGGATTGAAATCCTTCTTATTTGTAACAATAATTTATATAAGTATCATCTCTTTTTTTATCATCTTTATCTTAGAAAACACTAAACAGAATTATCAATTCAAATATGTTTTGATATTTTTCCTAGATTATCTTCATTAGAAAACAAACATCTCAGCAAAGCAAAATTCATTAACGTAATTTTTATTTCTAATTTTTTTGATGTTTTAAAGTAAAATAAATTTTTATTTAGAATTAATTATAATGAGATCAAAAAGTCCTTTAGTCTCGCCTTAAAATTATCATATCACTACTAATTTACTTACTCCAACTTAGAAACACCACGTGTCCCAATTATCAACTGGATAAAATAATTCTAATTCACCTTAAACCGATTTTAGACTTAAAAAAAGAGAATTTTAACTTTCAACTCCAAATTAGGGTCTGGATAAACAAAAATTAATTTCAACTGCAAATAACTACTATCACCCTAATAGTATATAAAGAATACAGACTTCTGAAAGCCCTGCGAAAATTTTATTTAAAACAGGGTATGAACAACAATAAGAAATAAAAAGGTTAACTTAAGAAAATCTAAATTTAAAGGATCTTGTAAAAAAATAAGAAGATTAATTAAAATAATTATTTGAATTAGAAAATATTTTAGAGTAAAACAAATAGCTTCAAGAAAAAATAGAAAAATTAGAGAAAGAAAATTCTATCCTTCGATAAGCTGAAGAATAAGCTAATAAAAATAAAGATGATTAATGACTTTCATTTTTTATTAATATAAAGTAACTTCTTACTAATAATACTCTTTAGATAACTAAATTCTTAGTGAATTTAGCTTAATATTTACTTCAGGAAAATATATATTTTAAACGCTGTTCTTTATTGATATTTGATTTCTCTATAGGAGATTTCATTCAATATAAAATTCTCTTATTGTATCTAAAAGAATTTATATAGAATTCATTTTTCATGAGATGCTACATTCTTCTTGTTTATTCAATAATTTATTAAATTAAAATCATATAATGATATCAAGAATTCTGATTCTAATATTAGTAATATAAAATAGATAATTATTAATCATTAATATTGATAAATTGAATCGTATTATGAAGTTTGACAAAATATAATTTTCATTTCATTTATTCGCAAATTCATTAAAATTCCTTCATAAAATAGAGTTAGGGAATATTGTAATAATACCCTCTTTTATCATTATTTTTTAAGTTAAATTAGTGATATAGTATAATGATATGCACCTTAATTTAGTAAACTGATTTTTCCAATGCTATTTGGTATATAAGAGAGATTTTATTTATTCATAAAAAGATATTTATTCTTTATGTTAATTTAAACAAAATCATTCTTCTAAGGTGTAAATAATAATAAATAACTATTGAATTAATCAAAAAATAATTATTTACGATGATATTTAAATAAAATTACTTCGAATTTTAGTTCAATGAATGTTTCTAGTCCTAGATTTGCTTTTCATATACTAAATGGAATATTTTGCCATATCTTGCCGGTAAATCTATTTAGCCAGCCTTATTCTTTTTAAAAATTCACACTTTTTTTATACCCTCTCCAATTATATATACTGTAACCATTAGTTTATAAAGATGATTATTGATTAACCAGAATATTTGTAAAATTTTAAAGTTTTGTATTAATAGCAAAGTCTCTTATAACTTATTACAGAAATATCCATAATTTTATAAACAATGAAAATAAAATTTTTAGAAGCATCTCATTTCAATATATAAGTTTTAGCATTTTCGTTAAAACAAATAGAATACAATAAGAACAATTAAAGAATAATTATGGGTTTGATTTATGCAAGGTTAGATATATAATCTTAATTCATGATGAATTATTTTTTTTAATTAAATCTAATTTTTGAGCTATGGAAGTCTTTTTATTTTAATGGAAGTTGATTACTTAATTTATATTATGGTTATGGTTAGACTTCTTCAACTCTAATAGAAATAATCTTTTTTCATTTTTTAAGATTTTTATATAATATTAAAGATATGAAAAAATGGATCTTCAGACATAACTAGATGGCAGAAAAGCCAAGATTTGTAACGATTAACGGAATATTGATATGAGATATTGAGTATTTGGAACACTTTTTGTTTTTACAATTTTGAGAATTAGATTTTATATAGAAGGTAGGATATTCAATAAGGAAGAGGTTGCTATTGTTGTTGTTATTTGTGTTATTTATGCCCTGTTTGTTGTTTTATAGATAAAGTCCAAATTCATTAGAGAAATATTTAATTGAATAGAGAAACTTTAAGATGTATTGAGGAATTTAGAAAATTCAAAATTTGATTTGATATATGTATCTTAATAAAATAATTCATATCAATCTCTGTCGAATAATCTGTCCAAAAAGCTCTTTGGTTTCTATTATTATTGTGGTTATTTTGGCTATGCTTAACCAGTAGGTTTGGTCTAAATTAATTGTGATAAATAATACCTAAGCTTGAGGGGGTAATCTTGGTGATACAGTTTAGGCTAAAGGTAATGATCCTGGAGCATAAACTGGTGGACGAACAGTCTAGACTGGGATGGATTGAACCAATGGTTATTAGACGACAGGTTATTAAACATATTAGACTGGTTATTAGACCACTGGTTATTAAACATATTAGACTGGTTATTAGACAACTGATACTGGTTGTTAAACAACTTAGACTGGTTGTTAAACAACTGGTTGGGCTTATTAGTGTACAACTTATCTTTCGACTGGATAATATTCAACTCTTTCTTAATATCTATCGACTGGGACGTATTCTAATTGTGATATTTATAATAAGTACCTGTGTATTTTTCTTGGAATACTTATGGAACATATTCTGTTTAGTACTCAACTGCATAATAATCAGTCACATATCTTTCTCTTGGAACTTGAATTTTTTGTCTGACTTCTTCATATTCCAAAACAGTCTTTTCGTATGGAACATATTCGATTCTGCTTTCTCCTTTGATTGGTTATGCAGCAACGACAGGTTGGGCAACAACTGGTTGGGCAACAACAGATTGAGTGACAACTGGTTGTTAAACAACTGGTTGAGCATAGACTGGTTGTTAAACAACCGGTGGAGCATACACAGGTTGTTAGACAACTTATGGGGCATATACTGGCTAAGCTACAACAGATGGCTAATAAAGAGGTTGAGAATATCTCAATGGTGATGAAGTGAGAGGTGGACCATAAGTCACTGGAGCGGGAGCATATTAAGGAGCAAATCCAGGTTAGAATTATGGTGGTTAGTATGGTGCACCTTATTATGGAGCTTAAGGTGGATGTTGTGAATTGGGAACGTTGCTCATTATTATGATAAATAAATTTATTTAGAGATTAAAAAAAGATATAATTTTATGAATAACAAAAATAGCGTCACTATTATTTAATTAATAAAATATATCAATCAAACAAACAGCAATTCTTTAATTTATTATCCAAATTTGTGCTTCTATCCCTTAACTAATTCCACTTTCAAGTTGAAATCTCCTATTTTAATTTCAGAATTGTGTTTCAAAATAATCTAATTAGATTCCTTCTTCATATCTGATTACTCAACTGTTGAGAGGCTCACCCAAGTTCCATTAGCTGAATCTCTATCTAGTGACCCATCTGAAATAACCCAAGATTGATGTCTAACAAATTATATAGAAACCTATTTACTTAACTGAATATTTAATTCTGCATTATTTTCTAGAAATTGTGTTTTAATTAATCTTAATTTAATTTTCTGCTCCTCTCCCTATGTAAAAATCATCTGTATCTAAATTTTATTTGCCTATTAGGATATTATGTTGTTTATTTTAGTCGACACCTTGACCAGAAAATTTAATTCCTAAAATTGGAACATTATATTCTTTTAACTTTTAATAGTACTCTTTAGCATGGATGAATGTTGGTTCTTCTTCTATTTATTAAAATTCCTATTATTTCTATTTGTCTTAAAAATGAATTTCATGTCTCTATGATGATTTCAAACAAAACAATCTTTTCAACGTTCTGTAAAATTCTTAATCTACTTCTTTGAAATTTTGCTTATATGTTTCATTCAAAACAATACTAAAGTTGGTCTCACTACCTATACTGAATTTAGTATCAATAGATAACAAGTAAGGCTCTTATCTGAATACTCTCAAATAAGTTCCACATATACTTCCTAGATCTTAAATGTAAACATTTCTCGGTTCTCTTTTATAAATTATAAAATTTACTCCAAAAATTAACTTATTTTGTGCTTGATCAATTTTGGCAGGTTGATGTGCATTAATACATATTGATATCTTTAGTCCAGTACTTAATCCTTTCTAAAGTAGTCTTTGCACACTATTTTACAATGGATCCTTGAAATTACTCGATCTTCTGGTAATACTAATCAAAATGTTATTTCAATTCTACTTATATCATTAGGAATGAGATCTTGATTTTAATTTCGATGAGATCTTCCTATCAAAATATCTTTTGAGTTTGTGTTTTTTAGCGAGCCAATCAGTCTATAAAAATCCTTATTTTAATTACCCAAATTCGTTAATAAAATATTGATTATTCACATTCGTATTTCTTTGAGAAGTAACTTTGATGTAAGGTTAACTCTAATCTAAATGATCGTTCTGTATAGGCTCTGTGCGCTTTTGAAGATATTTTTAAAGATTTTAATATTTTTCCCTACACTTCAATCAAAATATTACCTTGGCGAATTTCTTTCTCTTCTTTGGGCTAATCTCTAACCTCTTACTATATCATCCTCTTCACCAAAGGAATCTCCCCTATTAAATTCCGGATTGTCTAAATAAAAATTAAATCCTAATGCATAGAGCTAAAATCCGAATCTTTGAAGCTGAAGTTCAAATTCATTGAAATTTGCATTGTTGTTTGTATTATCATTATTCATTTATAATAATATTGTAAATAAAAATATTGAATATAATTCATAATTTTAATTTCTCTAAGATTTTCTAACTAAAAATTAGATGGAAATATTACTCAATTTATAACGTCTTCATTCCCCCTTTAATCTTCATACATCTTTTACTCAAAGTTCTCCTCACTTCGCAGAACTCTTCATTTCAAAAACCAGTTTAATTTCCCTCCAAATTTAAGTTCTTTACCACCACTTCATTATAATTCGAATGACAAAATAATCCCACATCATACGAATATGCCGGTACTTTTATAATTATTTTTTATCTTTTCATTCATTTTTCTCACTAGAATTTAATTAAATTTACCTTCCAAAACAGTGATAATGAATCCACATCCTTCAGAATATCTAACAATAATATTTATTTAGAAAATTATTAATTTTCTAATAGTGAATATAAAGAGAATTGTTATAAAAGTTTAATTTTCTATTCACACTCCTTTTAAAATAAGCTTGATTTAAATTTTAAGCAAAACTTAATTTCTTGAGATAATTTTGAATATATACTATTATTATTAATTTTACATCCAAAAATTAGGTTTAGACATATTTATGGCTCAACCCAATATAGTCACCGAATTTAAAGCATTTCAATTTCTACTCAGAAATTGACTGCTTTAAAGTAAATGTTTGAATAAGCTAATTTTGAGTAAACAATAATTAGAATAATCACTTAATCCTCTTTGTATCTTTTACTTAACAAATTGGCCGTGTTGATATAAGGTTTTTTTTTATCGAACTCTATTTTTGGAGTTATATTTAAATTTTATATTTTAAATAAATAAATTAATATTTCAGTGATCAATATGATTTAATTATTTAAATTTGACAGGGTAAAATTTTCAGCGAAAGAGTAGCCTTTGATAATCAATAAATTATAAAAATTAAGCAATAATATTGTATAAGAATGAACAGTATTTACAATTCAATCAATCAACTATAATACATATTATAAATGTAAACTTCAATTTTATAAAAAGTCAATCAATAATTTCTTAGCTTTTTCTTTGTTATGACACTTATTATTTTTGCTTTATTAAATTCTTTCAACAATCCTTGCAAAATTGGGTCTTTAAGATGGTTCCTTTTAAAGACAATCTTTAGCGAGAATTGCCAAAATTGGAGGATTACTTTGTTAGGGAATTTCAACAAGATTATGTCCCCAACCGACTGTTTCTATAATTTAAGTTATGGATAAGTTCTGATATGGAATTTTACCAGTCATAATTTCCCATAAAATCATTCCAAAAGAAAATACATCTGATTTTTCAGTGTAAGGCTCTCCTCTCATTATTTCTGGAGCCATTTAATAGGAAGTTCCAATAGTACTTTTTGTTTTCTTGGTCTTAATCCTTGATAATCCAAAATCGCAAAGCTTAACATTCCAATCTGAATCAATTAGCACATTTGAAGATTTCAAGTCACAATGCATAATACCTCTTCCATGAAGATTATACATTCCTAGAGCTATATCCTCTATAATATGAACAAAGTTTAGATTTTTTGATTTTTTTTTATGAATATGATCATACAAACTACCATTCTCCATATATCTAACAATTTAAATAAATAGTACTCTGTAATTAGATAAAAGTTGTGCCTTTTGATGCAAACTCCCATATAAAGCACAATATTTGGATGCCTCAATTCGGAGATAACTTGGACCTCCTTTAGGAAATCAGCCATAGTTTATTTATTTTTAGATTAGTCTTGTTTCTAACAATATGATTTGATGGCCACATCTTATCCAAGCCAATTTCCTTTAAAAACTATTCCATAATTTCCTTCTCCAATTTGTGTTCCTTATTTGATTTCTTAAAAATTGATTAGCAACTTTTCATTAATTCCTAAGTCTTTCAATAAACTCATTATCCTTTCTTAATGTTTCTATTATAAATGATCTTCTTAGGCATTTTAGTAACCCTTATCTAAAATTTTCTGATAATTCTTCTATGCATTTAACTGAGTTTATTAATTTTCAATTGAACAGAACGAATTTTCTCCTGAAGAATCTGATCTATCCAAGTTGTCAACAATGAAATTATTAATATTACAATTATCCTCTGTTTTTAGAATTTAACCTTAATTACCTTATTTTGGAGATTATTTGTTTTAAAAGAAAGGAGAAGATTGTTTTTCTTCCGATCCTTAAGTAGATTTTTACTTTTATTTCTTTAATTTTTGATTCTTGGTTTCCTTTCCTATAGTTTTTGTAGACTCAATCTTTTGAATGATAGAAAACAATTGATCATATTTTGAAGATTAATCCGCTGAATTTTCACTTTCTGTCTTTTAGATTTAACTGCACATGGTTTTAATGTAGTATTTTTTGTGCATATTAATTTATTAGAAGATTTATTTTCTATGTCCGAGTATGTGAATGCCTAATTCTTCTTTCAATTCCTTATCTGTTAAATTATGTAGGATTTCTCCTAACATATGATTTTTCTAGAAGTTCTCCTTATATTGGGATAGACCTAAGCATTCCAACCATGCACAAACTTCGTCAGTATTCCAATCCTACACTAATTTATATATATATAAATAATTTAATACTTTTTTTGTTTCCTTTCACAGTAACAGTTTCATTTAAAGCTTGAAGTGTTTCAAATCCATGTGCGTCTAGTTGAATCAAATGATTTTCATCAGATTTATTGGGTTAGGACTGAAGATGTTTAATATGATTATCATGCACTAAATAAGCAGAAAACACATTTTCAAATTCATTTGGAACTTTCTCAACTGGACTTTATTCAACCAATTTGTCATTCTCAAATATTTAAAATCTCAACTCCTTTGTGATAGAGCTGTAGAAGTAACCGGGACCATTTTTTTTGTTTTCTTAAAATTCCCCTTACAATTATATATTTTAGTTACCGGAATAAATTGAATTATCTCTATAAAATATTGTTCCCTTACCTTGCTTGTAGTTATTTGACCATTGTCCAACATATCTATCGCCATGTAAACCAAAATGTTAGCCATGACCACTTTTCTTGTTTTCTTTCCATTGCCCAATATATAATTCCCCACTGCTATAATAATACTTCCCTTTTCCATGTTTTTGATTTTTATACCATTCACCTTCATACCTATTACCATTATCAAATTTGTAGACTCCTTCTCCATGTTTTAAGCTTTCCTTCATTTCCCCTATATTATATCACATTATAGATACCGTGATATTCATCATTATTTGAGTATGTGATATGATGAAGATTATTTGTTTTTCTTTTTAAAAAACTAAACAATTTCATTAGACAAATAAATTTATTTATCTCATCTTAATTATAATATCATATTGTAATAAATATTCAAGAGGTTTACCTTATTAATGATCTTATAATGTTACCACTGACCACTGTTAGTTTGTATTAAGTTTGTATAAAATTATCAAATTTTCATACAATTTATACTGCCATAGATTTTATTTAAATGTTATATAATAATATGAACTTTCTTTTTTTGGATTGATTAAAGTTAATCATTCTTCTTAATTTCTTAAAATAATTTATATTAAGGAGTATAGTCCTATTGCTATGATTCAAACAAAGAAATGTTATTAAATTCTTACTTATAGATCAAATTTTCATAAAATTTTGGTTTCATTAATTGTTAGAAGAATATTAATTAACTATGAATATCAAAGAATTAACTTCATTTATAAAGGACTATGATCTTATGTTTACACAAAAACTAGTCAAATACCTTGTGATAATCGGAATATCAGCTATGAAAACTAAAACTTAGGATATATCGATAGAGACGATAAAACTTATTGCAAGTACATTCAAATTTTATAACGAGGCTCTTGCAAACAATAAAAGCTAAGAAAAGAAATGGAAACTTTAAAAGAAAAAGTTATCAATATATAATAGTCAATAACTCCTAGAATAGGGAATTTCACATTTACTGAGGATAAATAGTTAAGAATTTCAAAAAGTCCATTGATCTAATCATAATATTCACCTATTCAGAAGAAAAAAGAATAAGCTAGTAATAAGTGCAAAAAGAATGTATCGATTTAAGATTAAGATTTAAATTTCTTATCGTTAAATTTGAATAATAAAAGTAACCAACTCAGTACTAAAATCGAATAATAAATAAAATAAACACGATCTTAGAAAGTTAGTTAAAATAGTTATAAATCATCGAAGACAATGAATATGGATCAGATTGCTAATAATTTTTTGAATTCTCCTTTAATAAAGAATCCTTTATCAGTAAGAAACCAAACTTAATAAAATGAACTCTAATGTATAAATATTAATATATGTAGATTTCTTTTAGAATACATGGAAATAATTTTGAAATTTCATGATTAAATTTATCATTAATAATTATTTGGTGTTACCAAGAAATTATCTAAATCTAGATCTTTCTTGTATTTTTTAAATGCGCTTGAAGTGTACCCAAATTTAGAGCTTGATGATTTCGTAAAATCTTTGGTCGCTTCTGCAAAATCAATATTGATATCTAAATTAAGGTCTTCTCCCTACAGATATTTTTAAGAATTTGCATCTAATTATAAATAAAACTAAAAACCAATATCTTGTTTCAACTTTTCTAAATACTGATCAAAGTTTGAATGATCAACATTAAGTGATGGTCTAATCAAAATTAGAGGCGTGAAACTCGACTTATTAGTATGAATATTCTCAAAATGAATTGTTTCATTTTTTTATTCTTTAGAATTTGATTTTTCAAAATTTTACTTATTTGAAGAAATTGTTGATTGAGTAATTTTATTTTGTGAATTCTAATTAGAATTTTATTCATTTTGAGATTCTTATGAAGATTCCTTTAAATAAGTAGATTGAATACATTTTCATATGTTTAAAATTAAAATCTATCATAAATTATTTTAAAGACTGAACCCTATTTATTCCTAATGACAGTATCGAGTTCATCTTCATCATTGAATTTCTATATTCAATATGTTTGAAATTATTACAATTTTTTTTCTTGAACTTTATCGAATTGATCTCTTTATTGGTATTTAAATACTATTTTCATCAATCTTATAAAAACTAGAATATGAATCATCCTCTTCATCATCATCCTCATCAACAATATTCTTTCTTTTCTTCAAATTTAATTTTCTTGATTTTAATTTATTTTCTCTTTATTTAGTATAAAGTCCGCTTAATATAGAGTTTGAGAGTAATACTTAAAATCCATAATTTTCTCTATCAATTGTTTGAATTTCTCTTCGTTGAATTAAATGATCTATGATTTTTGCTTGGATTATGCAAATTCAAGAATGGAATCCTATAAGCCTTTGCAAGCAATGCATAACTTTTTCATATGGTCATCTTTAAGTTCAGATGGATTTTTTTCAGCTAGTATAAAGATCTTGGACAAAACACCTGGCTTAATGTCCTTGATCTGTTGGGTACACTTTTCTTTGCTAAATATTTATTTACGCAGATTACTGTTTTTATCACCAATCATTTTATTTATACGTCTTAAACTTCTTCTTAAGGTTGAATAGAAATGATTTTTTATGGCATTATCTGTTCTACCTGGAAGTAATTTTGCAATCTCTGCCTTAAAATCTTTAAATTTCCTAATATTACCCACTTGTTTCCATGTTCTCTATGTGCCAAAAATATTATCTTCTCTTCACTTTCACTCCAAGGATCTTTGTTAATCGACGGATCCAAATGATTATGATATCTTTCTCTGCATTATTTACCAGATCGACCAAATAAGCCATATATTTCTTTCATTTTTTCAGCAACAGTAGTCCATTTTTTTATCCCATATTGCTTAACTAAGTGAAGAATGGCTATATCTTCCTATTCATTTATTTATTGATATCATAATACTTTTTAATTCCAGGCCTTTCTATCAGTCATATTTAAATATTAATTAATACTGTTTCAACATATTATAATCATAAAGCAGTTGTATTCTTTATTAATCTGCCCCCAGTTTACTTTTTAAACCCATAGCGTTCACTAGTTTTATAAATAAATAGATTGATACAGCATCTTAGTCCATTGGCCATGAACTTTCTCTGGCAATTCAATTTTTTATAAAGGAACTGGCCAAGCCAAATTAGGTTAAGCTAATTAATCAATTATGTTCATACATTATTTTCCATATTTTTATTATTGCTGCAATAAATAGTCTATTTCTCTATCAATCCTTTATTCATCGTATTCTTCTGGTTTTTATTTCAAAGTTTATCTTTTTTCTATTTCAATTTAAGCGAAAATTCCCCTTTAATAAGCACTGTCACGACTCTAAGTTTTTACAAAGGACGGCCCAGAGATATTCTTCTGAACCATATTGAAATCGTAAAAGTCCTTACTACAAACTGGCTAAGCAGGCTTACTTATTTGTGGACTCTTTGGAAATTCAATTGGATTCGAAGCTGTAATATAAAGAGATTAATATACGCCTGGACCTGGAGTTTTTGTCTTGTTTAATTGAATTTTCTAAATACTGTTTTATAATAATAATCTCTATGAGGTCCCAAAAATCCACTATTCATTTAGGATGATGGTTTAATATGTTTAGTTATTTCTCTAAACTATTTGATAAAGCCTTAATCAGCCTACAAATTTAATTTAAAATTCTTAAGTGGTTCTCGTTTAGCCATTCTTCTATCATCTGCTGTTACAGCTCTAGGATTGAGACCTAAAATTGATGTAGTTGAAAACTAATAACAATAAATTTAGTTTTACTTTAAGTCTCTTAGAGTCTGATGTGTACAGCACTATTTATTAACCTTTAAGAAAGTGTAACTTTTTGTCTTTGCCAACCAATTTTCCCGTGGAATCTCTTTCCTATAAGAATGGCTTAAAATTCTAATTATTAAGGAGATCCTCTTTGCTAGTAAAGGATTATGTCTCAAATTCGAATTCCTGGGAACTTGGTGCCTTCGAACTCTAAGCATCAATCACAAATTCAATTGGATTAGTCTCATTACTCTGTCTTTACATTTTTGTAAAATTTTTTGAGTTATTATGAAAATAATAATATTGCTTCGAGCTTAGGTTAGAAACACATCATCTTCTATTAAAAAGAAACAAATATTAATATTTTTTTAATTCATCATTGAAAATAGTAACATTTCATATTGAGTAACTTTGATCTAATAATTTATTTATCAAAATCTCTAGTGCATCATTCGATGAAAAGTAATACAATCTTAATCTTATAAAGGATCGAGATTTAATTTCTAAAGTGCTGCCGAGAGAGGTTTGGCTAAAGAAGACAAGTTTGTTCCAAATTAAGTAAATTAGAATGAACCTGATATTTTTTTTCCTCAATTTATTCTCCCTCATCAGTCTAATGCTTTAAATTGTTCAGTCTAACTAACCAGAAAATATAATGGTGAAAGTTGTCCCGAACAATAAGTGAAAGTATTGAATGAATCTTAGATGACGAAATTTATCTAACCACTAAGGGATAGTAAAATATCAGCAGTTCAAGATAACTAACTAAATACTCAGCAATCTATTCAATTTTAAGAACTTAGTGATGAAAATCTAGGATTTTATCACAATTTCCTTTATGAATAGTCCACTGAATAAAATCTTGAAAAAAAATTTTGCTTAAACTAAAGCTACTTTTCTTAGAATTAATTTTACTTGAATCATTCACCTAAAAAGCGGCAATATTCTTTTCAAAAAAATTAAAATTTAAAAACTTTAGAATATACAACTGAAAAGGAAGATCCATATGATGTGGAGGAACACATGTCATTCACACTGAAAAACAATAATTCAGTGCAAAAAGTATTCAAAAAAGATGAACATGAAGCTTCCAAAGATTCAAAATAATTTTACTAGACCACTTAAAACTCTTAAAACTAAGTTCAGTTATAAATCAAAACAAATAAATTTAAAACCTATTTTTTGGTTGTTAGGGCAATATTTAGAATGATGATATTAGTGAGGTAAGATATATTCATATAATATGCTTTAGACCAAAAAAGAAATTGTGGCTATAGAGTTAGTAATTATATTTTTAACTAAGCAAAACATTTAAATTTAAGGATAAATAAGTCTAGAGCAAAATAAAGCAATGGACTCAGATATCCTTAACGAAAGTTCTTTCTGTGTTAAAATTTTAAACACTTAAATAATGGAATTTTATTGTAATAATTTTATTAAAAATATAGGAAGGCAATCTCGAAGATTTCTAAAAAGACTTAGCTATAACTAACTTTTTAAATTTATGCTCTCATCTTATTTCCAATCTTGAAATCACAACGCAGTCTCATACTTTTTTACCAGAGCTTGGATATTAATCTTATTTAGAATAATTTGTAGAATATAGACAATCATATAATATATTTGTAACCAAAAGAACTAACTATCTTTAAAATAAATACTCTAAAATAACACCTAAAGAAAAGGCAATGATAGCTACTGAATGCGTGCTTATGAATACTTTTATCCCAAATTTAGTCTTGCTTACTGAAAACAAAAAAATTTTCAATTCGGATGATTAAAATATCTAATTTTTAATAAGAGGATTTATTAGCATTCTCCAATAATTGTTTATATCAACTTTTTCAGACCTTCCAGAAGTTAAAAAGCCTAATGCTTAATTTTAATATTAGTAAATGCAAATAGGAAAAAATAAATTTGGAATGATTTTGGTTCCGATTGAAACTGATATAGAAGAGTTTTATAAAGGAACTTTTAAAAGCGATTAATTAAGATTGATATTCGAAAGGAGAAGTTGGTATTCTAATTTAGTGAAAAAATTTAAAAAAGTAGTACAAAATATATACTAACATAAAATAAATGATATATGATTGTTATTCAATTACTTATTATTCAACCTATTGGTAACATTATATTCTCATTTTTCTATTCCTCATTTATATTAAATTCTCTATAAATCTACTTCCACATCTTAATTTCTGTTTAAAATTCTAAAAGCAACATTATTTGATTACTTACACTAAATATTGACAATGTTAATTAACCAAATACAATCTTTAATAAAATTAAAATTATAGAACGAGCCAGCATCATTCAGAGTTAATTTATAAATGATATTAGATATTTCAAAAACGTAGTGTAATTTTTTTGAAATGAAAGTTATGCAAATTAAATAATCATTGATTTAAGCAAAAGAATACATTTTTTTTAGAGTGAATTAACTTTAATTAAATAATAATAAAATTATAAGCAACACTGAAAAGTTTATTCCATTTACTTTCTTTATTATGTTAATTATAGTGAGAAATGAATTAAAATATTATTATGTTCCACAAAAAAATTAAAATATATTTAAATCTGCAAAAATGTTTCATTCATTTTTATTTCCTACCAATAGAAATCCAATGCAGGAGTATAAACCTGGCCAAACTATTAAAAATAACCAAAAGAATTAATTACCTCAACTTTCTAAATATATCGAAAGTGAAATAATGAAAAGAAGTATTGAAAAGGAACAAGAAAGAAGAAAATCGTTATAGTAATAATCTAATCAGATAGAAAAAGAAATTTAAAATAAATAATTTCTCAAAGAAAGAGTTATCAAAAAAGAAAGAGATTTATTTGTTGGATAAGGAAATTCTTTATATGCAAATGCTGCAGAAATAAAACCTCAGAAAAACTTCAATTAACCATATTATTAGTTTAACTAATACTCAACTGTGGATTAGAAACAAATAAATAGTACATTTAAGGATGAAGCCAGTAATCGAGAAAGATCAATAACCTCCAACATTAAAAACCATAGATACCAGCATTTTAGCTTATTGGAGGATGAAATCCCTATTACATCAAATAATAAAATGATTGATTGCAATTAGATCTTAGATTTTAGGATATCTGTTGACTCATAATATACTTAACCTCATATGGAAAGTAGATTAGGTAGATAAATTCCTAATTATATTCATTTCTTCTAAAGCAGATTCGACAAACCTTATCAATTGGCAAAGGAAGAGTATGAAAAGAAAATATAATTACCTTAAAATCTATTTAAATCGTGGGGCTTCATATGTCTTTTTATATTTAGATTAATTAAACGTTTAAGATAAAAAAAAGTCAAATTTATCTAAAATTTAAAAGATCTAAGAACACGAGGAGACGCTTTAAATTAAGAAAAAGTTGAAGAAATAAAAACCCTATGGTTTAAAAAATTAATCCAAAATTTATTACAACCTATTTAATCGAGTAGATTTACTTAACACTTTTAATAAAGTTAAAACCCAAATGATAAGAAATTTATATAGAAGCGCAAACAATGGATAATGAATTTTTCGTAATTATTTTTTAATAATCTATTTGAGATGACAAAAGCACATAATTTCAACAAAGAAATTTTATCATTAGCCTAATACCATATCTTGGAAATCAATAAGAAAGGTAGCTTATTCGTAGCCAAAAGAATAAGAAAAAAATAAATTAAAAATGAATAAATGCTTCTCATTTGTGATTACATATTCTTTTCATTTATTATCGAGAAAATAATATTAGAGTCAAACTAGATGGTATGCATAAATGATCATCATTTAGCTGAATCTAAATTTTAGCTTGTATCTATTTGCAGTTTGATATAAATTCTCTTTATGAATCAGTTTAAGGAAATGTAATAGTATTAACCAAACATTTCCAGAATCATTCAGAAAAGATTAAAAATAAGTAAAAATAAATGTTAAGATTTAAATATTACTGAGGATGAAGTTATTGAATAAAATGAGAATATCATCATAGGTTTGAATAAATTAGAATTTTATGAAAACTTAATTAAATAAAATTAAAAGTGGTATTAAGATATTTCAACTTTATTTGAAAATTGTGTAAGCAATTTAGCATCTTAAAATAATATTTGATAATTATATTTATTTATATATATGCTGTTTTTATAATAAAAAGTATTAGATGCAAACATGAATCCTAATAAACCATAGTATTTATGGTAGAATAATCGATCATCTTTACACAAACGATATTAGATTTCATCTAGAAGCAATAGCCTTTCAATTAAAAGTAATAGAGAACATTATTCATCCTCATTTGAAAGCGATCTAAGAAAAAGCCTTTTAGCTCAATCACAACTTTAATATTAAGAAAAACTACAATAAGTAATGGATACTCAGAATGAATTACTTAGACATCAATTGTTAGAAATTTAAAATAGGCAACTGAAATTCCAGAATCAAATGCTTCAATAATAAGTAGAAAAAATCTAGTATGATGTAGAAAACACCTTCAAACTAGTAACAAAATAGAAATTACCAGCATTAAATTCTTAATACTAAAACCCAATTGCTTAATAAATCTTAAATAATGAATCAATGATCTCCTAAATAAAATAGCATCATTAATTGGCTGAGGCAAATAGCTTCAGAAATAATTTAAAAGAAAATCAATTGGATAAAATAGAGAAAATAGAGAAAATAGAGAAAATGGAGAAAATGGATTAACAATCAGAAAATACTATCAAAGATATACATTAAACTACCATAAAAGATAATTCAAATGACAATGAGTTTAAAATTAATAAAAAAACAATTCCTTAAAAACCTAAGAAATATTTCACAAAACTAAAAGTAATCTTTTTGGTTGTACTTGCTTATGTAAGATGGAGCAAAAATTTTAGAGTAAAAAGAATACAACAAGCAAAAAAATTAAAATAAATTAGAGAGAAATTCTAGCTTGCTAAATAGAATATCTTAGTAATTAATGAAGATCAAATAAAATTACAACTTTATTAATGGGTAGAAAATGTATTTGATGAATTCATCTTTGAGCTCTGTAGACCTGAATTCTTAAAGCATTGTCAAACTTAAGATTATGATCCTAACTCTCATGATAATATTATTTATAGATAAGGACTGATATTAAAATTAACATTAGATTACTTTATTAGACTTGAAAAAATGACTTAAATAAATGTTTTACCAAAATTAATTGTCAATTTGATGTATTTGTCATTGTTTTTATCTTAAAATTCTAAAGCACCATTATTTGTAGCAAAAAGAACCAATTTTTATTTGAAAAACAGTATTAAAATATCCAGTCCATAAGAAAAGATGATTATTGGAGAATATATATTGTTTCGCTTAATCATACAGAATATGTTGATTATATTTAATAATATCAAATATCATAATCGAATCCATGAAAAGCTTATCAAATTTTTTGTTACTGTTATAGCAAGTTTTATTTAAATCCTATACATGGACTACTTTGAAGATATTAAATTTGTTAAATAAATTAATGTTGAGTTGTATTAAAGAAAAATTGTTTTAGATGAAAATTTTAAAGCATTAATGATTTTAGAAGAGTAAATTGATGAAAATGAATTACTGATTTTAGGTTTGTAAGATCGATCGTAATTTGAAATTCTGTTTTAACAGTAGATTGATTGGATTTAAAATATAAGCAAAATTTTCCATAAAATTATTATGAACCTACACTAATAAATATGATTAGATATAGTAATTTAATTTTTATTTTTAATAATTTTTTTAATTACATCATCTAATTTATACTCTAATTAATGTATCCAGGACAGTTTAATCTGCATATTATAGACAAAAATGCAGTAATCAATCGACCTTAAAATGCTCTTTATAATAAACCTTATGTTTTGAAACTAAGAAACTAGTCAGTCTTTTAAGATCAAATCTAACAAGGAAAAGACGTGTTAACTGACAGTTATCTCTCATAAAGTAGTGAGTAAATATATTATAAAGTGTAGACAATCTTAACACTAACTCATGAAGTCAAAATTGCAAGAAATAGAGAATTTAAGTTTAAAGCAGCGTAATGAATTTTTGAGTCAAAAAATTAACGAATAATAAAAAGAATTATCTAAGCTCTGGAAATTGTGCTAAAATCATTTGCTGCCTCCAGTTACCTAATCAAAATAAAATGGATCAACAGACTCAGAATTTTAGGATTCTCAATTTCGAAATGGATTTGAAACAAGAAGAGCCGAATCATATGAATATTAATATTCCCCTAGATATGACAATTAATCTGACTCTATTTCGTATAGGCAGACAACTAGGAAATACAAGAAGCATAGAATTTAATAGAAAAATTCCGTAGATTTGTAAAATTAATCAGAGAAATTTTCATATTTACATATACCTGCTAGCTACAAAAAACCCACATACAAAGAAAATAAACTTCCTCACAGAAAAAAGAGATATAGAATAAACACTTCTCGCTTAAAAAGTCTATTTTTCATTCATCCTAGCTTATATTAGATGGACAAAAAATTATAGGTATTTATTTTATAATTATAAAAAGGCAAAAAAGAAATCAAAAAATCTAAGAATTGAAATAAATTCGTTAGAAGTATACAAAATGCCTTTAAACTATAAGCAATTAAAATGTACTAATTTGCAAATTAATAATTAAAAAATGGATATCTCAAATTATTGATCCATTAATTAAATCATTTTCTACAAATTAATTTATTTAACAATCGAATGAAAATTCGACTAATCCAAATAGTGACAGTTCTATTTAAAATAGATAACATTAATTCATTTTATTAACAAGTTAATTTTTAAAAAATATGGAAAAATTTACAGAAAGGATAAAATTCCAGAATTAATTTAAACTTCTTTATTTTTATCATTATTTAAAAGTCAAAATAATAAAGCTCCTATATTTGTAGCAACAAGATCTAAATACTATACAAAAAATACTATTAAAATTGGAAGTTATTAAGAAAAATTGATTATAAGTGAATATTTCATATTCCGATTGCTAACATAGCATTTGATTGAAAGCTCAAATCAAATGGTTTATCAATACCTCAATCACAAGATGCTTTGTAAGTTTATGATTCTCTCTATTTTGGGGATTTTATAAATTTTATTTTAAGATTTCTTTTCTGAATTAAAATAATATGATGAACCTTCGACTGAACTATTTTAGAGAAGAGTAAAAATAAGTAAATCGTAGGACATCTCAATCATAACTGATGATAACATTGATTAACAGCAATCCCTTATCTACGGCCTTCATGATAGATAAAATTTTCACAATATAATAGAAAAACATTCCGAATGGCTTTAGGATATTTGTACAAGATTTTCAAAAATTTTACAAAATTTACATTCCATCTTATGATTGTTGATTATATTTTTTAATAGTTTTACTATCCTCTTTTTAGTTTATAAGATAATAATTTTCAAATTATAACTATTTATGTTATAACTGAATTTTTAAAATTCATACCAAGAGTTATTAAAGAACTAAAATTAAATTTAAGAGTTTCTTCAAAATGAAATCACTTTTTTTGCATCTCATCGAAAATCATCATGATCATAAATTTATATATTATATGAGAATAAATAATAAATAGTTATATAGAAGGAACAATTATTAAATAATTATTAAATTTTTAATAAGTTAAAATATTGAGATGATATTCACAGTATAAGGATACAAATATTCTACTTGATTAAATTCTTGATTTCAATTAATTGAATTATAGTATGAACACCATGACATAACGTACGATAATAAATATGGTTATTATAATAATCAGTGTTAAAATAACCATAATTTTTTTTTATAAATAATAAACATAAACGTATAGTAATTAGACCAATATTGGCTATCTATATTTGTTTAAGATACTTAATACAATCATCTAATCATTTATTTCATAGAATATTTGCTAAGTAAATAATCTTTTGCCAGTAGTTTCTCAGTTGAATGAAGATTCTGATACAAACAGGTTTGAATCTGATGATTTTTTTGAGCTTAAAAACTATGTATTTTTAATTACTTTTTATATTACTTACTATTGAATTTGTGTTATTAAGTGAGAGCTTCTTAATTTAATCAGAATCCTGTACTTATGAGTTACATAAGAATGAAGACGGAAAAAATTTTTAGGGTATAAAAGTGTATTATTTACTTAAGCA